GAGCATGCGTTGGCGCTGCAGCTGTGGGCCTCCTACCGTGGCCAGCTGCTGGCGCGCACCGTGCGCGGCATGGCGGCGTATGAGCGCGCCCTGCGGGTGCTTGCGGCGCTGGACAGCCCGCGCCCTGCGGGGGTGAGCCGGCGGGAGCACGCGGCGGCGGTGGAGGACGTGGTGGGCGCCAAGTTCACGCACGTGGTGGCCAGCCAGCTGTACGGCAAGAACCGCCGCTCCACCAACCTGCGCGACCGCTGGCAGGTGGAGAGCACGGACGTCCTGCTGGAGGCGTTCCCGCACTTGCGTGTGTCATACTTGGACGAGGTTTCGGCGGCGGAGGTGGAGGCGCGCAGGGGCGGTGTCATGGCCCCGAATGCGCCTCCGGAGCACCAGTATGCGGTGCTCATTCGCGGCCGGCAAAGCGGGCATGAGCGCACTGAGGAGCTGTACCGGGTCCGTCTGCCTTACAACCGCTACAGCAAGCGCGGCGTGATCCTGGGCGAGGGCAAGCCCGAGAACCAGAACCACGCGGCCATCTTCTGCTTCGGTGAGGCGCTGCAGACCATCGATATGAACCAGGACAACGCGCTGGCGGAGGCGCTCAAGATGCGCAACCTGCTGAAGGAGCTGTCGCCCGAGCTGGACACGCGGGCGGCCAGGAGGGCTGCGGATGCGCTGCAACAGGCGGTCAAGGGGACCTCGCTGCCCCCTGCTTCTGAGATGAAGCGGCTGCTGGGTGGTCTGCGCAGTACGGAGCGGCCCGTTGCGGTGGTGGGCTTCCGCGAGTGGGTGTTCAGCGACAAGGCGGGTGCGCTGGGCAGCTTCGCCGCCAGCAGTGAGTTCGCGTTCTCCACCATGGTGCAGCGGACCATGGCCTACCCCGCCAACGTGCGCCTGCACTACGGACACCCGGACGCCTTCAACAAGCTCTTCGTCATGACCAGGGTGAGCCAGACGGGTGGGCAGGGCTGCTGCAGACGGTGCAGTGAGCAGGGTACAGAAGCGGGATGGGATGCGCCCCCTGGTTAGCAGGAGTCATGTATGTTGTCGCCATGATATGGCCCAAAGAAGGACCCGCCAAGCCAGTCCTCCCTGTTCTCCTGCTGAGCGCCCGCAACTCCCTTCCCCACTCCCTACAGGGCGGTGTGGCCAAGGCCACTCGGCAGCTGCACGTGTCCGAGGACATCTTCGGCGGCATGAACCACAGTCTGCGCGGCGGCCGCATTAAGTTCCGAGAGTACATCAGCTGCGGCAAGGGCCGCGACATGGGCTTCGACTCCATCAATGCCTTCGAGTCCAAGATCAGCGCGGGCTTTGGCGAGGTGGCACTCAGCCGCGACCTGCTGCGCATGGCCGTGCGAGTGGACCTCTGGCGCTGCCTGCACCTCTACCACTCTCTAGCCGGCAACTACTTCAATACCTGGCTCGTCATGGGCTCAGTGTACGCGCACGTGTTTGCGCTGCTCTTCTTCGCACTCGCACGCGCCGCTGTGTACCACACCGTCGTCTACTGGCCCTCGCCGCCGCCGTCACCTGCCGGCACGCCCGTGGTGGCCAGCGCGGCCTCGCCCCCCGTGGTTCGTGAGACGCTGGCGTACGACACCATCCGTGTAGAGCACGTGCTGCAGCTGGGCCTACTGACGCTGCTGCCGTACTTGGCGGAGGTGGCGTTGGAGCATGGTCTGGCTCGCGGCCTTCAGGCGACGCTGGCGCAGGTGCTGAGCGGCTCCTTTGCCTTCTTCATCTTCAAGCAGCAGACCACCACCTCCGCGCTGCACTCCTCCATGCTGTACGGCGGCGCTTCCTACGTGGCCACCGGTCGCGGCTTCTCCATCACGTCCTCCTCCTTCATCAAGCTCTTCACCAACTACGGCCGCTCGCACATTGCCCTGGGCTTCGAGCTGGCGGCCATGGCGGTGGCGGTGGCGGCCACCAACGAGTGCGCGGCGTGCTCATATGGCGGCCTCACGTGGGGCACCTGGCTTGCGGGGCTGTCGCTGGTGCTGGCGCCCTGCTGGTTCAACCCCATGGCCTTCTCGCCCGGCAAGGTCAAGCGGGACATGCATGCATGGGCTGCGTGGCTGCGTGGCGAGGCGGACAGTGAGCTGGGCTGCACCTGGCACCAGTGGAACCGCCGCCTGCTGGCGCACTCGCGCAACGAGAACGGCACGCAGACGGACCGGTGGGGCAACGTGATGCAGAGTGTTGCGTTGCGCGCCGTGCCGCCCGCGCTGCTGGCCCTGGCCGCCGCTTCACGCCTCACGCTGAGTCTGGACAAGCTGACGGTGCTGCCTGGAGCCCTGCGCAGCAGCTGGATGGTGTTCCTGGTCGCCAGCGCGCTGCTGTGGGGCGGCATGGCGGCGGCCCTGAGCGCGTCTCGCCGCTTCAGTGAGCTGTCTGACCAGCGGCGGTGGCGTCTGTGGGCGTTCTGGGTGCTGGTGTCCGGCGTGGTGGGCTCGCTGGCGTTCCTGGTGGGCCTGTCCAGCTGGTACTCGGGCAACGGGCTGTCCAACCTGTGCCTCATCCTTTACGCCAACATCAACCTGCTGCTGGCGGTGCACCGCACCCTCGAGTACGTGGCTCCGCGCTCTCGTGGCGCGCGGCGGCTGGTGGACGGCGGCTACTTGGTGCTGGACTCGGTGGTTGGCTGGACCGTGCTGGGATTGCTGGGCGCGATGAGCCTGGTGGGCGTGGTGGGGCGCGTGCAGACCACAATGCTCTTCAACGTCACCTTTGCGCGCTCCGTGCGCCGAGGCAGCCTGGTCAAGACCATCGGCACGACCAAGGCAGAGCGCGGGCAGCAGGGGGCGCTGCTGGGGCTTGTGGTGGAAGCGGATGCGGTCAGCGAGGCCGGTGACGGGCGGGCCGGCAGCATGGCCAAGGGCAAGACGTCCAGGATGGCATTGCAGGCGTGTTAGGCAGGGATTCGGGTGTAGCTTACTAGCAATTGTTTCACCAGTATTGATTTGTAGCCGGTCGTACATCCCAAGCGAGCGCTGGAGAGACTAGCAAGTGCAGCGCGGTCCATGACATTTATTCCATGTATATGCTATGCAGGCGCAGTGATGTTAGTTATGCGTGCAACGGGTGATCGCCGTGTACAGTAGTAACCCTACGAATTGGTGGGGTGTACCGAGGCTTACAGAAAGCGAGAGGTACCTTCAAGAGGCACGGTGGTTGGTTGCCACCCCTTACCAGCTTACGACCCCTGCGACAATCCCACGCCATGGGCTAAGATACTAATCGTGTTTTCGGTTGTAGCAGCAGGCTTAGCACATTAGGGTTTTGGATCCCTGTGTTGTAAGCTCTGTCTAATTGTAGCATCCGCAATGGACGTCCGTATGCGACTGATGGCATGTGCTGTACACATGCACGTCATATTTTCTTTTGACTGCTGCAACTTCTGACGCCACTTGAGAGTTTAGGAACCTGATGTCCCTTTATGCCCATCCGGGAGAATGAGTGCTGTTTGAATCGCCATGCAAGCGCCGATGGCTTAGCCGTGCTCCATGTAAAAGCCAGCCTTAACACTGCGAATTTTGGGCCCTCGCCCCGGCGCCCGTTCACTGCACCCACATGTTGCGCCAGCAGCCTCCAATCCTTGCAAGCTTAAAGCATTTTTGCTGAACCCGAACGACCCTCTGCGATCAGTCCTGGTGGCCTCGTTGTTGAGGGCTTACAATCAACAAGGCAAGAAGTGACCCATGGACCCGTGGCGGGATGGACGGACGCGAAGTTCACATCATGTGCCAGTATGTTGTTTCCTGCCAAGCGCAGATTAAGCCCCCAGGACGTCTAACTCCGTTTCCAGTTGGCGACTGCAAGTTGTCGTGCAAATACCACTCGAGTGCATTTATGCCATTGTTCCCAAACATCTTGCAACATGTGGGAGCAAGCCTTTTATGAAACGTTTATCGGCCTTTATGGGGATAGCCATGCTAACGGATCAAGTAACACAACCCTTCTCAACTGACAACCCTGCAAGCTGCTGGGCACGAGTCCGCATGCAACTTGCGCAAGTTGGGCCTGATCCCGGTAGCTTAAATATAGCGGTCAGTACAAAGAATAGTACGCACATATTACAGGGTAATCTGAATCTTATATCCTTCACTATGCATTCTTTGAGCGTACAGCAATGGTGTCGTACGAAGTTGGAAGGTCGGCTCAGACATGACGTCTTGCTTGCAGTGACAGTCCCGTCTATACGTGACCACCAGGCTCTCTCCTTACATACTTAACACGCCAACATGGCATCATTACCAACAGTACATGCATCCTGCAAGAATACACAGCTGAACCTCCTAGGTAGGATATCCAGCTATCTATCAACAAATTTAGTCCCGAGATTCAGATACAGACTATCTAGTAGAGGACGTTCCTTGCGATTCTGCGATCATCCAAGTTGACCGACGACCTGCGAGCGCAACATTTATTTTACGGCCACAGCCTATTACTCAACTGCGGAGCACCGCATCCTTCGATTTAGTAAGTAGGTTGTCTCATATGCTGCGTTGCCGAGTTATGGAGTATGGGCACAGGTTGGGAAGCAGCTGTCATTTTGACGCTAACTGTCGATTGCCATGCCAACTTACTCATCGCTTGCCTGTCTGGTTACTACTCGTCAATAGTAACGGCTACATATAACAATATGACCCGGTGACCACCCTTAATTTGGTCGCAGGCAAAATTCTCGGCACGCCAGTTACAAGATGGAGACCTGCCGTACGGACAGTCCGGTTGCTGATGAGCTTCTTATCGAGCCAGCTACGTGCATCGCGCACGAGCGTTCGAGTAACCAACGTGCCCAGCCTCCCGCTGCCCTTGCTCGCCGCCCGCTGTGCGACCGCGTCCAAAATACTAGCTGGGTGGTGGCGCGCACGTTCGGCTTCCAGGCCTTCAACTCCCGCGTCCCGGCCTCCGGCCCCTGCCAGCAGCCTTCCTGTGCGGCCCAATGGGTTCCCGCCACAGCCCTGCTTGCCGGCGATCACCTAGAGGCGCTGCTGGTGCGTAACTTCATGCCCCGCATACTCATGGAGGCTGACGGAGGTGGAGGGGACGCAGCACCGAGCAGCGGCGACAGCAACGCCGTTAGCGGTGAGGGTGAGGGCTGCAAGGGAGGGCAGCAGATGAAAGAGGACGCCACTGAATCCCAGCTGCAGCAGCGTCAAGAGGCGGCGTTCGCGCGAGCCGTGTGGGAGCTACACTCGCAGATCTTCTTGCCGTATGAGGGCTCGGCGGGCTGGTGCCGGCAGGTTGGGCTGGCTGCCCGGCCCGCTGCTGTTGCTTCTGAGCTGTTGGGCGCTCAGGGCGGTGCGGATCCGCGCGTGCTGCACCTGCTGCTGAGCGAGCTGGCGCTGTACTTCCTGATCTACAGCGAGGCCGCCAACCTGCGCCACACGCCCGAGCTGACGTGGTTCCTGTTCTGGGCCGCTAACAACAGCCCGGCCATGGAGCGGCTGGTGCGGGAGGGGCTGCAGCCGGAGCAGCAGATGAACAATGCGCGGGAGCGGCGTCTGGCCATGCGAAACACTTTGCAGGTGGGCTGCGGAAGAAGAACCTGGGGGAAGGGGCTCCATGTAAACTTCGCTTTCTTGGCAGTGAACGCCTGCCAGCATTAACCCGAGCCTCGACCCCTGACTCCAACCTGTCTGTTCTCCTCCCCGTTTCGCAGTCTCATCTTTGCGCCGTACAGCAGCATCTGGGCCACGACCCCACCGCCTGCCGCCCCGAGCACAACACCGAGGTCGCCGCCAGCCTTGCCGCCCAGCTGCCCTCGCTCATCCTCTCCCTCGGCCTCCCCACCACCTCCTACTCCGCAACCTCCGCCTCCCCTGCCCCCGACTCTTCGCTCGCCTGCCCCGTCAGTCGCGCCCTGTTCTGCGACCTGTGCTGCCACGGCGACGGCTGCTGCTGGACGGACCTTGTGGTGGCGCCGCTGTTCACTGTGCTGGCGTTCGAGGTGGACCACATGGCCTCGGAGGGGCAAGAGGTGGCGCACCGCCTGGGCTACGACGACATCAATGAGTCCATGTGCCGACGTGACATCGTACGGCGCCTGCTGGAGATGCTGGGCGTCGCGGCGGCAGCGGACGCAGGCCAGGCGCATGGGGCCCTGGACGCCATTACTCGCCTGGGCTATGCGCCTGCAGTGGCCACTGACGGCGATGGAGCACCTGCCGGACGCGGCGTCCCTGCCACCTCCAGCGCCTCCGCCAACCCGCGGCTGTCTGACCCCGTGTACGCCGCCGCATTCTGGGCGGATCACGTGTTCGTGAAGACGCACCGCGAGCGCCGCAGCTGGCTGGCGCTCCTCCGCGCCTTCTACCGCGTGTACAGTCTGCAGCTGGTGCTGCTGCACGCAACCATGGCATACGCCTTCGCTCCAGGCTCGCTGCGCGCGCTGTCCAGCGCCGTACTGACGCACGCGGTGGTGGCGGCGGTTGAGCGCACCGCCAACTGGTGGCTCAACCGGGGAACACGCGACACGCTGCAGGCGGCCAAGGCCCGGGACAGCTGGGTTAGGGAGCCGGCGCCCGCAAGCAAGGCGGATGAGGGGGATGCGGAGGCCGGCAAGCCCGAGGCCGCCGCCGTCGCGCCTGCGGCCCCACGGCGCAGCCGCCTGTCTGACGGCGGCGCAGTGGAAGAGCGCATGGAGCGTCGTCGGCGTGTGGCGGTGGAGGGGTCTCCCGTGCACAGCGTGTTCGGCTGGCTGGAGTGGGTGGTGGTGGCCGTGGCCATGCTGGCGCTGTTTGCGCTGCAGCATGTGGGTCCAGCGTCGCTGCAGCCCCTGGCCCACAAGTTCTGGCCTCTAGCAGCCGGAGGCTATGTGGCGATGGTGGCAGTGCACGGGCTGCTCACCACGCGTGACGGCTACTGCGTGTCGCTCAGCAGTGCGCTGCGGCTGCCGGCGTTCTGCCGCGCCTCCTCGCAGCGCCCCACGGCTGGCTGCTGGCTGGAGCAGCCCATGGCGGTGGGGTGGCGCGCCGCTCTGCTGACGACGCTGTTCTGGATGCAGGTGCTGGGGGCCAAGCTTGCCTTCGACTACTTCGTTATCATGAAGCCCATGGCTGGGCAGGTGCGCCTGATCCTGCATCGCAACTGGCTGGGCTGCTCGGGCCACTACCGGCTGTTCGGTGCGGAGCTGCCGCTCCGTTGCCTGGACGGCGATTTCCTTTTGGTGATGCTGCGTGTGGCGCCCTTCGTGCTGGTCAGCCTGGTGGACACGCAGATCTTCTATCAGATGGTGCTTATGGTGTGGGGCGTCGTCCACGGACTCGTGTCCCTCAACTTGGGCGTGGCGGGCTCGTGGGAGGCGCTGCGGGCGGAGTTCCACCGTGCACCGCTCAGGTGGTGGGCGCGCTGCATGAGCCCCGCAGCCAACGAAGCAGCTAGGGCAGCAGCTGCGGCACACCGCGTAAAACGTGATGCAGGTGTTGGCATCACCTGCGGCGCCGGTGGGGCCTGCTCCGACGACGAGGAGGATGAGGAGTACGGCAGTGTCTATGCCGGGCTCAATGCGGGCATGCGCTCCTCCACCTGCAGCCTTTCCAGCCTAGCAAGCAGCTCCGCTGGTAGCGCCAGCGACTCGCCGAAGCCGCGAGCACGGCGGGTGGCGGCGTTGGGCCCATATGCTCCCTCTGCGGCAGCGAACTCCAGCGGCGATGGCGATTCTTCCTCCGTCTCCTCCGCTTCCACGGGCAGCAGCAAGAGCAAGGGCAAGCTGCGGGGTTCTCGTGCCCGTGACGCCGCGGCAGCCGCTGAGCTGGTCGCCATGCTATCGGGTCAGGGCGATGAGCAGCTGGCACAGTGGATGGCATTCGCTGCGGCCTGGGACGCGGTGGTAGAGGACCTGCGAGCCTGCGACCTCATTAGCGACCGGGAGAAGTCCAACTTGCTCTTCACGCGCTTGCCTGCCGCAGCCACCGCAATGGTCGCAGCCACCTCCAAGCCCGATGCGCCATCCGTCAGCGGCGGAAGCTCCTCCGGCGGCTCCTTCACCACCGGCGCCGCCTCGACCTCCTCCGCCTCCGCCCGACCGCTGCGGCCACTGCTGCTGCCCGCCTTCTTCTACGCAGGCAAGGTGCAGGCCGTGGTGGACTCGGGCTCCGCCAGCCCCTCGCAGGAGCTGGTGCTGGGTGAGCTGCGTGCGCTGCTGGTGTGGCTGGGATGCCAGCTTGGGCTGCTGGACGGGACGCAGGCGGCGACCATGCTGGCGGCAGTTTGCTGTCCGTCCACGATCGACGTGGCGCATGCTCGCAGCCGTGAGAAGGGGCTGACGGCGCTGCGGCGGCTGTTAGCGTCAATGCAGGCGCTTAACGGGCCGGTGGCGGCGTCTATGTCAGATGCGGACCTATCTCAGTGGCGCCAGTCGCGACTTGCAGATGCGAAGGCGGCCCTGGATGAGGTTCTGGCGGCGGCGGAGGTTGAGGCACGCGCCGTGGTGCGGGCGCAGCTGGGTGTTTCCAAGAAGGGCGGCAAGAAGGCGGACAAGACGGTGCAGAGCGAGCAGCAGCAGCAGCAGGGGCCGGACGCTGGCCATGAGGATGTTGCGGTTGCAGACCCGCAGGCGGCTGCTTCGGCGCTGCTGGAGGTATTGGCGTCGCTGCGCACCAGCCTGTCCAAGCAGCCCGAGCGGCTGATGGCGGCGTTGATGCTGCTGCACCCCGAGGGTTGCCAAGCCGCTGCATCCCCTGTGGAGCTGTCGCTGGTGCGCCGCGTGCTGTCTACTGCCGTTAAAATGGTGAACCTAAGCAGCGCGGCGGCACAGCCGACCGGCGCCGAAGCCCGCCGCATCCTGGGCTTCTTCGTCACCTCCCTCGCCAACCGCCAGTTGGGCAAGCCGGCGCCCGTGGCAGCCATGACCTCTTGGACGGTGCTTACGCCCATGTACGCGGAGGACGTGCTGTTCCCGCTGGAGGCGCGCACGGCGGCTGAGGCGGTGGGGCTGGATGTCAGCGGCAAGGGCGACCTGTCCTCCGCGCTGCCCGACCTGCTCACGGAGACAGAGGAGCGTGTGTCGTTGATGTCGTACATCCGCTCCATGTTCCCCAAGGACTGGGACAACTTCAAGGAGCGTCTGGGCGCCAGCCTGGGTGGCCTGGACCTACGCAACGTCACGGAGGCGGACTTCGCGGAGGGCGGCGCGCTGGCGGAGCATGCGTTGGCGCTGCAGCTGTGGGCCTCCTACCGTGGCCAGCTGCTGGCGCGCACCGTGCGCGGCATGGCGGCGTATGAGCGCGCCCTGCGGGTGCTTGCGGCGCTGGACAGCCCGCGCCCTGCGGGGGTGAGCCGGCGGGAGCACGCGGCGGCGGTGGAGGACGTGGTGGGCGCCAAGTTCACGCACGTGGTGGCCAGCCAGCTGTACGGCAAGAACCGCCGCTCCACCAACCTGCGCGACCGCTGGCAGGTGGAGAGCACGGACGTCCTGCTGGAGGCGTTCCCGCACTTGCGTGTGTCATACTTGGACGAGGTTTCGGCGGCGGCGGTGGAGGCGCGCAGGGGCGGTGTCATGGCCCCGAATGCGCCTCCGGAGCACCAGTATGCGGTGCTCATTCGCGGCCGGCAAAGCGGGCATGAGCGCACTGAGGAGCTGTACCGGGTCCGTCTGCCTTACAACCGCTACAGCAAGCGCGGCGTGATCCTGGGCGAGGGCAAGCCCGAGAACCAGAACCACGCGGCCATCTTCTGCTTCGGTGAGGCGCTGCAGACCATCGATATGAACCAGGACAACGCGCTGGCGGAGGCGCTCAAGATGCGCAACCTGCTGAAGGAGCTGTCGCCCGAGCTGGACACGCGGGCGGCCAGGAGGGCTGCGGATGCGCTGCAACAGGCGGTCAAGGGGACCTCGCTGCCCCCTGCTTCTGAGATGAAGCGGCTGCTGGGTGGTCTGCGCAGTACGGAGCGGCCCGTTGCGGTGGTGGGCTTCCGCGAGTGGGTGTTCAGCGACAAGGCGGGTGCGCTGGGCAGCTTCGCCGCCAGCAGTGAGTTCGCGTTCTCCACCATGGTGCAGCGGACCATGGCCTACCCCGCCAACGTGCGCCTGCACTACGGACACCCGGACGCCTTCAACAAGCTCTTCGTCATGACCAGGGTGAGCCAGACGGGTGGGCAGGGCTGCTGCAGACGGTGCAGTGAGCAGGGTACAGAAGCGGGATGGGATGCGCCCCCTGGTTAGCAGGAGTCATGTATGTTGTCGCCATGATATGGCCCAAAGAAGGACCCGCCAAGCCAGTCCTCCCTGTTCTCCTGCTGAGCGCCCGCAACTCCCTTCCCCACTCCCTACAGGGCGGTGTGGCCAAGGCCACTCGGCAGCTGCACGTGTCCGAGGACATCTTCGGCGGCATGAACCACAGTCTGCGCGGCGGCCGCATTAAGTTCCGAGAGTACATCAGCTGCGGCAAGGGCCGCGACATGGGCTTCGACTCCATCAATGCCTTCGAGTCCAAGATCAGCGCGGGCTTTGGCGAGGTGGCACTCAGCCGCGACCTGCTGCGCATGGCCGTGCGAGTGGACCTCTGGCGCTGCCTGCACCTCTACCACTCTCTAGCCGGCAACTACTTCAATACCTGGCTCGTCATGGGCTCAGTGTACGCGCACGTATTTGCGCTGCTCTTCTTCGCACTCGCACGCGCCGCTGTGTACCACACCGTCGTCTACTGGCCCTCGCCGCCGCCGTCACCTGCCGGCACGCCCGTGGTGGCCAGCGCGGCCTCGCCCCCCGTGGTTCGTGAGACGCTGGCGTACGACACCATCCGTGTAGAGCACGTGCTGCAGCTGGGCCTACTGACGCTGCTGCCGTACTTGGCGGAGGTGGCGTTGGAGCATGGTCTGGCTCGCGGCCTTCAGGCGACGCTGGCGCAGGTGCTGAGCGGCTCCTTTGCCTTCTTCATCTTCAAGCAGCAGACCACCACCTCCGCGCTGCACTCCTCCATGCTGTACGGCGGCGCTTCCTACGTGGCCACCGGTCGCGGCTTCTCCATCACGTCCTCCTCCTTCATCAAGCTCTTCACCAACTACGGCCGCTCGCACATTGCCCTGGGCTTCGAGCTGGCGGCCATGGCGGTGGCGGTGGCGGCCACCAACGAGTGCGCGGCGTGCTCATACGGCGGCCTCACGTGGGGCACCTGGCTTGCGGGGCTGTCGCTGGTGCTGGCGCCCTGCTGGTTCAACCCCATGGCTTTCTCGCCCGGCAAGGTCAAGCGGGACATGCATGCATCGGCTGCGTGGCTGCGTGGCGAGGCGGACAGTGAGCTGGGCTGCACCTGGCACCAGTGGAACCGCCGCCTGCTGGCGCACTCGCGCAACGAGAACGGCACGCAGACGGACCGGTGGGGCAACGTGATGCAGAGTGTTGCGTTACGCGCCGTGCCGCCCGCGCTGCTGGCCCTGGCCGCCGCTTCACGCCTCACGCTGAGTCTGGACAAGCTGACGGTGCTGCCTGGAGCCCTGCGCAGCAGCTGGATGGTGTTCCTGGTCGCCAGCGCGCTGCTGTGGGGCGGCATGGCGGCGGCCCTGAGCGCGTCTCGCCGCTTCAGTGAGCTGTCTGACCAGCGGCGGTGGCGTCTGTGGGCGTTCTGGGTGCTGGTGTCCGGCGTGGTGGGCTCGCTGGCGTTCCTGGTGGGCCTGTCCAGCTGGTACTCGGGCAACGGGCTGTCCAACCTGTGCCTCATCCTTTACGCCAACATCAACCTGCTGCTGGCGGTGCACCGCACCCTCGAGTACGTGGCTCCGCGCTCTCGTGGCGCGCGGCGGCTGGTGGACGGCGGCTACTTGGTGCTGGACTCGGTGGTTGGCTGGACCGTGCTGGGATTGCTGGGCGCGATGAGCCTGGTGGGCGTGGTGGGGCGCGTGCAGACCACAATGCTCTTCAACGTCACCTTTGCGCGCTCCGTGCGCCGAGGCAGCCTGGTCAAGACCATCGGCACGACCAAGGCTGAGCGCGGGCAGCAGGGGGCGCTGCTGGGGCTTGTGGTGGAAGCGGATGCTGTCAGCGAGGCCGACGACCGGCGGGCCGGCAGCATGGCCAAGGGCAAGACGTCCAGGATGGCATTGCAGGCGTGTTAGGCAGGGATTCCGGTGTAGCTTACTAGCAATTGTTTCACCAGTATTGATTTGTAGCCGGTCGTACATTCCAAGCGAGCGCTGGAGAGCCTAGCAAGTGCAGCGCGGTCCATGACATTTATACCATGTATATGCTATGCAGGCGCAGTGATGTTAGTTATGCGTGCAACGGGTGATCGCCGTGTACAGTAGCCCTACGAATTGATGGGGTGTACCGAGGCTTACAGAAGGCGAGAGGTACCTTGAAGAGGCACGGTGGTTGGTAACCACCCCTGCGACAATCCCACGCCGTTGGCTAAGGATACTTTTCAGGTTTTCGGTTGTAGCAGCAGGTGTAGCACATTGGGGTTTTGGGTCCCTGTGATGTAAGCTCTTTTTTATGTTATAGTTTTCGCAACGAGCATCCGTGTACCACTGATGGCATGTGCTGTACACGTGCATGTCAAATATTCTTTTATTGAACTGCTGCAACGCCACTAAGAGTTTAGGAACCTGCTGTCCCTATATGTCCATCCGGGAGACCGCGTGAATCGCCATGCAAGTGTGGGAACAGCGCCGATGGCTTAGCTTTGCTTCATGTAAAAGCCAGCTTTCACGCTGCCTACTGGGCCCTCGGCCCGGCGTCCATTCACAAGCCGAATATGCGAGAGCATATAGCAAACACACTTGCGCCAACTGCAGTGACGAAAAGGAGTCATATGGCGTGGGTGGCGGAGACCGAGGTACACGTACGATTCCCGCCAAGGCCATAACACTGCGGCGTGTCGGCACCGTCCTGGATCCCATGGCCAGGAATTTATTACATTGCCATGTCCCCTCAACCCATGTGGGGCAAAGGCCCATACGTCGGCCCAAGGGTTTGCGCCATCGCATTGAAAAGTACACCATGCATGCTTATGCCGGGCAAGTGACGACGCCACAAACACCTAAACCCAGAGCCTTCCAGGGGCTACTGCGCCGTGTTCTGCAGCTGTGACAGCAGCTTGTCCATGCGGTACCGCATCAACGGCTGTCCCTTGGCATTGCGCTTGAAGTAGAGGTGCTTCTGCTCCTTGCGAGCTTTCTGCAGGCACGAAGACGCATTCAGGGACGATCTCCGTACTGAAGCTGACTGATAAGGTAGAGGCAGAGGGGGCAACTTGACGGGACCGACAGAGTGGTGCAAGAAGGTCCTAACATAAGGTCAACGGAGCAAAGTCCACCCTCCAAGTGCACGTGAGCACTGTACGTACACATGCGACATGTTAACCTCCAATCCATTGCCCCATCTCTGTCTCACCTCCACAGCTGCCACCCGCTGCATGCGCTCCTCGCGCTCCTTCATCGCCTGCGTTCAGGCAGGATCAGGAAGGCCCAACATGTGCATTGAAAGGACAAAAACCAGCACTTGGGTTTGGCATGACACATGGCAGGTAAGTACACCTCCGGGCCCAGCGCATGCCATGCTGCCTTTCTCGCATGTTCAGCATGAGTGCCGCACGTGGAACGATCATCTCTACGTCAAGCATGGCAAGATCCGTACAGGACACATCCCCGCTTACCGCCTCCTTGGCCCTTTGCTTCTCCGCCTTCTCCTCCGCCACCTGTTGAGCCAATCGCTGCAGTCGTGATAGCTTCTTTCCCTCCTGCCCACCCGGCCCTCTTTCGCGGAAGTGCTTGCCGCCACGGCCAAGCGGCTCCTCATGGTCGCAACTGCCATCGGCATCGCGGCGGGTTGCTTTGCTGTGACCACCCCGGCCAGCAGACCCCTCCAATGGCCGGGACTGCCCCTTGTCGTCGACACCAGGGTGTGGCCGCTTTCGCCCAGGCCCCTGCTGCTCTTCCTTGCTTTGGCGGCCGCCGCCTTGCGCATTGGGCTGCGCTTTGGCGTGGCCACTTGCCCTTGGCGCCTTGCCGTCGAGCGTTCCTGCAGCAGCAGGCACCGCCGCCGCCGCTGCTTGCCGCGAATCCTCATGCCGCTGATGCTGGTGACCAGGTCCAGCTTGCGCGTGAGAGTGGATGCGCTCCTGGGCGCTCTCCCGTGGGCCATCGTCGTCTGCGCCCTCGCTGGACCCTATGCAGGTAGAAGTGAGCCCGTCTAGCTGAGAGCACTCTACCTTTTTATTCCTAAAAGAAAACAAGGATAACCCGCTATCCAATGTCAAAACACCACACTGAACTTTATGTAGCTAAACACAGGAGTTTGTCTAGAACCCTGCTTACCGACTCCATCAAGAGCCTCTAGCTCAGCGACCTGCAATAAGCATAAACATAATTGTAAAGCAATGATGCCGAACCCTTCAGTTTACATACGCCAGAGGTCCGCGTGCAAGCCGCCGCTGCGCGACGATTGCACTCACCGAGTCCTTTATCTGAACGCCAACAAGCTCGCCCTTAGACTCCAGCTTTTTCTTAAGCTTTTGTAGCTTGCTATGCTGGATAAGCTTCTGCTTCTTTATGCGCTCGAGCTTCTTCCTTTTGTCAAATTTGCTCACGCCAAGGGTCGCAAACTTATCCAGAGAAAGCCCAGCTCCGACAGGGCGTCGATTTGCTGCTTTACCATGTTGAGGAGGCGCCATCCTAACGCTCTGCGGCGTTACTAGAAACCTGACTTCAGGCTGTAGTAATGTATACTCGTTACTCTTGCGAAAGGAAAGGTGCGGACTACCAGGCCCTTCTTCTCTTCTTGTCCTTAACTTCTTGTCGCAATAATAATAACAATGTTTGCACATAGCATGTCATTGTAGTCATGCACAAAGCCGTACAAGCCGTCTTGTGTATCGCAACTTCGTCCCTCCCCCCACACACATAGAAACTGCACGTAACCGCAGCTTTGCTTGTCTCAGTTCACATAAGAAGGCTCACCGCGCAGGCCCGCTATCCAGCCCCAACCAGACGCTCACAAAGGATGGGGAGCGCCGCAAATTAGCCCCGTACGACCCTGCCGACTTTACCACCACAGCATGTCTCGAGCCCCCACCGCCACCTTCCTGCGTTTGCAACCCACCATGCCCTACATTATTTCTTACCGCTCCCTGTCCACCTCCCGTTGGCCCCCGCCCGTCTCCCCGACCCTCAACCGCTGCCGGTCTGGGCCCTAACCCAGGGTCCAGCGAGCCAGCATCCGAAGGCTCCACCGCCACAGCCGTCGGCCCATAACGCGGCGCCGCCACTGCAGTCGCCAGTGATGAGGTGGACCAGGCGGTCGCCGTCGCCCCCAGGCCGCCCCCAGTGCCGTACATCTGCCGGCCTGGAGCTGCCAACGCAGCGGTCCTACCCGCGCTGCTGCTGCCACCATTTCCCTGTGCCGCAGCAGGTGCCTTGCGGCTTTGCCCTGCCCCCACTCGCAACAGCACCACAGCTAAGAACCCAACCAAGACAAACAGCGCCACCAGCGGCAGCAGCAGCTCCCTTCGCATACCAGCCACCGATGCCGTCGGGTCGCCGCTGTCCGCTCTCACCCGAAAGCGCTGCGAGCCCCCTCTACCCCCTGATCCACTGCCACCTCCCTCCTCTGCCCCAGCGATGCCGCCAGGACCATCGCGGTCGCTCATGGCGTCCACCACCGCCGCCCCCAGCACCCAGTTGAGCCCCACCTCGGCCCCGCTGCTGCGCTCCCGCACCGTGTTGGTCCAGGTCAGGCGCGTGTCGTCCAGCCCCAGGCCCAGCCCGCGGTGCAGCAGCGCCAGAATGTAGGCGGCGCCGAAGCAGTAGCGCACCAGGAACTGCGGGGCAGGCGTCAGGAGAGGAGCGACGGAGGATCAAAGCCCAGATTGAGACGGGAGGCGGAGCAAGCGAATGGAGTCAAGACAGGGAAAACGGTACCTGCCTACATAACCCACATGTTTGGAGTTCTGCAAGGCCAAGGCTTCAACTCATATAAGGGTTACAACCAGAAGCAGAGCACCTCAGCACTGTCCACCTTCCATCCCTTGCTTCCACACCCCACCTGGTCTGAGATGTGGCCGCTAAACTCGGCGTGCAGACTGGACCAGTGCCGCGCGCAGTACTGCCCTCCGTGCTCCCGCAGCTGCCGCAGCGTGGCGGAGGTGGGCAACCCCAACGCGCGGGCAGTCCAGGCGAAGTTCTCCACCGCCACGAACCGACCCGCCAGCGCCGGCACGTAGCTGCCCTGCAGGAAGCACCCACTGCTGCCGCTGCCAGTGCCGCTGCTACTGCTAGCGCCAATAGACTGAGTAGAACGATGTCCCGAATGCCCAATAGAGTCGCCATCGTCGCCTTCCGTGATGTGGGTTGAACTGCCAGCGGTGGAGCTCGCTGGTTGGCTGTGGTGGTGGTGATGGGTGCGCCCATCATCATCGGCCGCACCAGGAACGGCGCCCGTCGAGCAGTTGTGTGCCGGCAGGATCTCGTTGACGACCTCCAGGCATTGCAGGAAGGAGGCGTTGCCGTGGCGCCCATCCTCGCTCACGTACCTGGTGCAATTGCGGGTGGATAGGTTGATGTAGGCGGGGTAGGTCAACATGTGGCCGCAACGACAGCCTATTCTCTCTGTGACCAGAGGGAATAGAGTCCCAGAGGGAACCCTTCGTATGCCCAGAGTTTTACCGAATTTCACTACACAAAACCCGAGGAGCCCCAGTGCGCACCCGACCGGCAAGCAGGGGTCCGCGACGGTTGACACCCGCGGGTGCCGCTCCCCTGGCCCCAGGTGCTGCTGTTGCTGCCGCTGGCGCTGCAGGACATACTCCGCCGCTCGAGCCAGTGCCGAGTCCATTCCCAGTCCCAGATAGCTGTGGGTGAAGAGCCGCGAGGGCACCCCTGCAGTGGCCCGCGAGCGCGACGAAGGCAGTTAGCTACCCAGATACACAGATTGCTGCTTGGTGCCTAATGCACCACCCTACTCGCCACCGACCAATTACATGTTAGATCATGTAGAGCATCAGCCCGTATCGGCAACCATCCAATCTTCCTTCAAGAACGCGTGGCATCCGCCAGAACTGGGCGTGGACTTTCCCGTCCTCACCCCAGGGACCTACCTGGCAGGTGCAGGTGCTTGCCGTACTGCTCCGGCAGGCGCACCGCCGCGGGTGGCAGGAAGGTGACCTGCATGCTGGCGCCGCCCATCTCCAGCAGCCCCGTGAAGAGCTGCGCTGGGTCCAGCACCTCCTTGCGGCTGTGGTGCGCGTGACCCGCAGCCTCCTGCATGCAAGAGCACCAGGCAGTACGGGAAGGTAACGAGCTTCAGACCTCGTGCGAGGAAGGGAGAGAAGAGGGAGGGGCGCCTGCATTGTAACCGGCGCACGCGCAATAGTAAGGTCGCGGAGCGCGCAGTCCGCAGGGAGGGTTATCCACCCAGACCTCCTTCCCGCACCCCGCACCTGCAACGCCCCAGTGATGTAGTTGACCGCCGCCCAACCGTACAGCCCCTCCATCTCGCCGCCAATGACAGTTGCCCACTCCGGCTTGAAGCAGAGGCGCGACGCTGCCAGCAGCTCCCTGCAGGCTGCCAGGATGTCCACCTGCTGCTGCTCGCTCAGCAGCCGCAGCCCCGCAGTCGCCAGCAGCCGTACAGGCGTCACGGACCAACGCTGGGGAGGGACCTGGACGGGAGGGAAGGGGGCAGACAACGCCAGTGAGTTAGCGGACATGCATGTGCAGCAGGCAAGCCGGCATGTACTCACCGCACACGCAGCATGCCCAATAACCCTGCACATATTAACAGCTTTCAAGCCCCTCAAGCCACGCCACGCCGCCACACCAGGCGGACAACCATGTTACCACAGCACGCAAGCCCCTCAGCCGTGCGCCTCCGCACGCCCGCACCCACATGTTCGTAAGCGAAGTCCAGCAGGGGCTGCAGGCTTGCTGCCGCCAGGCGCGGGTGGCCCGCATGCGCCGACAGCCCCGGCTCCACCGCCATGCTGGGCTCCGGCAACACCAGCGCCACGTAGGCGGGCGCGCGGGCGGGGCGGTAGCGGAACACACGCACGCGGGTGCCGCTGCTGCCGCCGTCTGGGGTGAGCGGGCGAGATGCGTGAAGGGCACGTTGGGTTGGGAACTAGAGAGGGCGAGGGAAAAGGTCGAGGATAACACAGAAGGCTCATGAAGTCATAATTTTCCGGGGCATGCCTGTCGACGCGGGTTGGGAGGTTTCCCGTTTCCGCGCCTGAAGAGGTGAGGCTGTACTGCTCATACGTACTGCTCCAAGCCCGTCACTCCGAAACCACGACCAAAACAAACCTCACACACGTGCAATGCATTCATGCGGGGAGAGGGCCGCTTACCAATGTACACAGCGTACTTGTCTGCATGGGCCTGCGGTGGATGGGGGCCAGAAGGGACGAAGATCAGATCAGGAAGGGTCTAGGTTATAGGGCGGTTCGCAAATCGGCGTGTCGGATGGCATGGTCAGGGCTAATGGACCAGGCTCCGGCAACAACAGTGAACGGTAGCGCACGGAATGCGAAATGCAAGCCCGAGCGCTGGGCAGAAGTCCCGGCCTTGGGTATGGATGGAGGGCTTCCCCTCCCAGTGTTATAGCTTAGCCTCGCCCTAATAGTGCCGTGCTTCAGCACGGTTTGAAGTTAGACCACTAGTTGGGGCCTAAAGTGCATAGGGGAGTGAGTCCAATGGTTTGCCTCTGATTTGCATGGCATGCACTGGCAGCAGGACGGCCCCAGGCTACCATTATATGCCCCAAGCTTCTCAATTGATCCTTTTCGCTACCCCTCCCTTTCCCTGCCCAACAATCCGACAACTCAAGGCACATGGCCCGTTCCCTACCTCACTCCGAAGCCCATTGACAGCTTGCAGCAAAACACCCAACGCCAGCAATGCTGCTAGGAAAAGGAGCAGAACACTTGCGAATCGAGCTTTTCGATCTACCATGAGCCATTGCGGCGCCAGTCTAAGGCGCGAAATGTGTCTGTTTAGGGATTTGCTGAGTCTGATGGCAGCGCTCTTGGCTGCAACATCTTCATCCGACAGCCAAATACTAAGCCTCAGCGATGACCGCGATGTTTGCATCGCACTGTCCGTGCTGTCTGCAAGTCCACGTCCATTGGGCGACTTGGGAATGGGGCCTTCACTAGCAACGTGTCTACCAAGAAGATAAAAGGCAAACTCTGATTCGGGGTATTTGTAAGCTCGATGAGATAGAGTAAATAGGTGTATGCGATCACGCCGTGTAAAATCCTAGGAGTAAAGGAGTGCACCGGTCGATTCAAGACACGCGTGCACCTGATCACAAGGGTCCTAAGTACACGAAGCTAACTGAAAATGCCTGTGCATATTAAAGGCTGTGTGTTGGCTGGGGCCACGCGATTTGCCAGACCCATTCGCCATTCCGCTGCCGTGCATCAACTGTTGGGTTAAACCCAATCGATGGCTATTCCAGGAATCTTGCCTCGCACGTAACATCCCTTGGTTTGGTTAAGCATACTATGTAACCATCCAACTAGCACTTAGCTATCCTGCTACCTCATTAATGCCAATGGTCATTACGCACGAATTTTTGACACCCAGGTCGAATACTACCTTTGTCTTAGTTTAGTAAGTGATTGAAGAGTCCTAGTCTGTGGCAGGCAGATTCATATCCGTTCAGCAGGACAGCCTCTAGCGCTTCTCTCGTACCTGTTCATTTAAAATGCCGGTCGTTGAGTCTATTTGGGATCACTGGATTGGTAAAGGCATGATGGTACGTTTCATATCGTCGTGTTCGGCCTGTCATACCCGGGCAGCGCAATGTTCCCGTCGCAACCCTGCAGGTGGCAGCTTACTTAATGCTGAACATCTCGCTAAACATGGTCAATAAGTGGACTATCTCCATCTATGGTGCGGGGCATGGGTGTGCTGTAAAGGGCGGGGGACTGCGCCAGCACAGCGGGTGTGGGTGTATTGGGTGGGTGGGCGATGTGTCGTAACATAGAAACGTAACTTAAAAGATGTCGTGGTACTCTACCAAGGTATGCGGCTGTATGCATGCATGAGTATGGCTATATGCACCCGTGGTCGTGCTGCTTGCGTACAAGGCTCGACCTGAGCAAGCCTGCCCTTACCATGTGTCCTGAACTATTTTTTGCCCCTTGCCTAACCTAGCACCCCTTCTGGCCAAAACTAAGCTGTCTTGCGATATAGCGGCAGCCTGCTATCCGGCTTGACCTCTGTTGCGATTGCCTCCCAACTGCAGGCTTCCACTTCCCTATCGCGTTGTCCGTTGCCCACATGGTAAGTGTGGACTCTAGACGTACATGAGCCCTCGGTGGATTCGAACAGCAGCTGTGTCTCGAGCCTTGGCGGCAAGGTAGCGGTGCATGGTTCTGTGTTATCACGTTGTAGGGGTCCCAGTCGTAACGGTGTGCTTCAAAAGCCGCGACACGCACCTGTCCGGTCAGGGGCACCCTTGGCGCATGGATCCGGACACGAACCCCCATGCACTGGGTGGTGCTATCTGCGACTGTTGTGATGCGCCGGAGCACCCGAAAAGCCCCTCACCAACAATTGCAACCCCATCATCGATGCAGGCCTTTAGCTTTTTAGCACTTGCCCCTTTCATGTGCAACAAGCACAACCGAGAGCTGCACTACCCATCGGTTAGCAAGCAGGTGCGTCTCGCGGGATTTCGGGTTGTACTCGGTTTTGGTCAAGACCGGAAATCCAGTACATGTTGGCGCGTACGGAGCTGTCGAACGGGGCGCCGTATGCAGTCGGCACCCGGGGTCTTGCTGACGTGGGTCATTAAACGAAGGCTTGGCATCCCATGCGCTGTAAACCCGAGATTACTGGACGATGTGCTCCGGTCGTGGCCCTGTTTATCCTACGCATGCCCCTTGAGCCAGTCAGTATGTTCGTCCCTGTCCCCCACACTGCAGTGGCCGGGTCTCCTGTTCATCTCCGTCTGCTTCGCAGTCAACATGGGGCTCAACAACATGTCTCTGCTGAGCATATCTCTCAGCCTGAACCAGGTCATCAGGTGGGTGCATCACGGGGCTGGTGGGGTGCGCCATGCCGCCCATGAGGGGCTCGATGGGGCTTTCAAAAACGTCTTTCTTACCTTTTCAACGTCTGCCACCTCCTTTCCTCCCTTCCTTGACGCTTTTGCTAGCAGCTTATCATGAAGTGCCAAGCGGGATTTCCATACCTGTCTTGACCCTGTCGTGTGCTGAACGCCGCAGGTCCTCCATTCCCGTCTTCACCGCCATCGGTGCGGTGGTGATTGAGCAGCGGCCGCCCTCCCGGCAGGAGTTCCTGTCGCTGCTGGTGCTGGTGGGCGGCGTGTCCATCGCGGTGTTCGAGGGATCCAGCAACAAGGCGTCCTTCCTGGGGGTGCTCCTCTGCATCATTGGTGGGTGCAACCGGGGAGCCAGGAAGACAGGGACAGGGAGCCGGGATGGGATGGGCAGTGTTACCCATAGTGTTACAACAGCAGCACCGGTATACGGACCTTATAGGGCAGTACCATTATGTTACCTAGCCTGCATTCTTGCCGCCTAGCCACCACTGCTGTTGCCCATTTCTCGGCACCATTCCCACGCTCCCAGGCACCATGTGCAACGGACTGGCCATGAGCTCCATCGGGCGGCTGCTGACGGAGAAGATGGACGTGCTGCGGCTCACCTTCTACACGGCGCCCATGACGCTGCTGGTGCTGGTGCCCTTCTTCAACAAGCTGGAGGCAGATGCCTTTGCAAAGTACTCGGCCCACGGTTCGGGCTACATGGGTGGGTGCCGGGAAGCTGTTGCGTGCGGACGGCAGGGACCTCAATGCTTAGTCGATGTAGCGGTACCGGTCCATCCCCTGTGCCCTGTGTGGCTGTACGTGGAACCTGCGAACGCACTGGCCCGTGGAGAGCAGGCGTGCATGTTGCAGTAGCGCAGTAAGACTTCTTTCTCGCGGCAGTGCGGGCTGGGCAATGCGGCCTCCCATGGTGATTACCTTGCCGCTATCGCTGCCCCCACAGGCATCATTCTCTTGGGTTGTTTGAACGCCCTGCTGTACAACCTGATCCACTCCTTCGTCATTAAGGTGACCAGCTCGGTCACAACTACAGGTGTGTGGCTGGCTGCCACCCCTTGCCGGCCTTGTGTAAGATACCGCTTGCCATGAAGCTGATGTTGCCCTGCTCATCTTAACCTTGCACGCCACGTCCTTGCTGGTTTGCATGGCATATGATGACAAGGCGCTGTCGTCATGGCGTCACTTCCAGCCCATGCGCTCTGACAATGCTTTATGCTCATGTTACCTTTGCAGTGATTGGGGAGATGAAGATTGTGCTCATCTTGTTGTTATCAGCCATCATCCTAGGTAAGCACCGGCTGGCGCTGTGAAGACATCAACCACTCTTGACTCGTCATACAGAAGGCGCATACACCAACCACATACGCGGTCATGACCCACTTACCGCCTAGAGCCCACCTGTCCGTCATCTCGCGTCCGCATGCCGGCATGCGTGCTGAATGGTTCGTCGTGCTCCCTGCCAGGCGAGTCCGACGTGTGGACGGCCAAGATGTTGCTCGGCTGCACCACCGCCATTCTGGGCTTCTGCATGTACTCGCACAGCCGGCTCATGGCGGGGCCGCAGAGCGCGCCGGTGATCATCAAGGGGGTGCCAGGTGGGTGGGCACGGGGCCATCCTCGTTGGATGAGCTCACGACGCAGCATAAGGTGTCAATGTTTTTTAATGTTACTACTAGGGAAATATGTCGTACTCAGTATGCATTTGTTCCGTACTATCACCAATGCCTCCGTACGGTGTATCAGTATGGGGTCTGTGTACATTTGAAGCTCTGCGTGAAGTGCTGAACGTACGCCCGCCCCCTCCCCGCCCCTCCCTGTACCACAACCGTCTGCGCCACCACCGTGCTGTCCAGAGCTGGCACCCAGCCTCACCGACTCCATACGCGCCCCGCTCATGAGCTCGACCCTATTAATGGTCAAGCCGGGACGCAGCTGATCGCGTTGGCACCTGCGCTACCTGGGTCCCGCAGGGGAGATGTGGGTTGAGGTCCAAATATACAGGCTGTTGGGCGTGTTTAGGCGGCTGGCATAGTTAAGGTATATGCAGGGGTGCTGTCACCAATTGTTATTAACAGGACCAATTGTTATTAACATCTTCATGTGGCGACCCAATGGGGTAAGGGGTACAAAGAGTGCTATCATGCTGGGGTAGGGTATGTGGAAGACATGGCGGCAGGCAGATACCATATTAACGAATGAGGAATGCATGGAGGTATGTCACTATGGGTTAAGTTCCAGTTCAGCTTTTTCCACCGCTGAAGGGCTCACCTTGCATCTACCATATTTTGGGTGAGAGCCGCAGGCTATAGATGGCTATGAAGGGCGCGACGGCAGAGGCATAGCTTTGGTGTGATTCTGCGTGCCTCTATGCATTCGTGACCAAGGAATTACTTAACTAGTAGGAGGTGCAGAGGTGGGAGGGACGCCGTGTACGTACTACGTAGCCATGAGCACCCTATCGTAAGTGCTGTGGCCGCGCCTCCCTCGAAGTCTGTACTATGCCATTGAGGTTCTCCCAAATGTACCGGTATATGGATTACCCTCTGCCACCAGACCATGTAGGTTTCACCAGTGCTCAAACCCCTTCACCGTCGCGCTTAAGAGGTGTTAAGACTTCCTCCCTTGCAGTCCAACTCCTACAACAACACTAGGGAAAATCATAGAAACCATCGCAGCCCACCAACCCCGTGGAAGCGCAAGGCCAGGTCAGTAAACCATAACGTGCTGTACGGGTACAGCCCCACACCACATGTACAAAAATCTGCAAGCGCACGTACCGGTATGTCGAAGATGGAGAGCACGCATCTTCACTTCTTAAGCAGGCAGTGAATCACAGCCCCCTACTACCCCTTGCCGTTCTTGCATTGGTGGCTCACCAGCATTTTCCCGCGCGGCACTCATCCCTATGGACGGATTAGCCCCTCATCCCTATATCTTGCAGGATGTGTACCGGCAATCACACTTGTCGTATGGACGTTGCACCCTTCAATGTACGATGAAGGACGTGTCGGCGTTGCTGTCGCTGCACTCCAAGCAGGGGTTCTGGCTGAAGCCGGTCTTGGCCAGCAGCTCCCGGACGCCAATCACAAGGTTCCTGCGAGAAGACAGTTGTGAACAGCCAGGCGTTAGGCACCAAAACAAAATATTAACGTGCCACCCACCCAACCGACCTGAACGTTAGCGGTTGGTCTGGCATTTGTTGGTGGTGTTGCCGTACCACTGTCTGGATGGCGTTGGACAGCGCCCCGTGCGCTTTGCTGGGGTTGCCGCTGGGGCAGGCGTCCGCGCTGGTCTCGTGCGACTGGCAGCCGGTGATGAGGATGCCCACGTCCGCGGCCAGCTGCTGGTCGGGCGGCGGCTTGGAGCCAGGGGCCGGCAGCGTCACCAGCAGCTCGGGCTCACCCGGGTTCTGAGGAAGAGGCGAGTTTGACATGACATGCCAGGAGCAGGGCAAAAGCAATACGGCATTGAAGCTGTGGAAAGGAGGAAGAGGTGCTGTATTGACGCCGCCATGCGTGCTGGCAAGGGCTGCCAGCCGTGTAAAACTGGCGTACTTGCCAAGAGCCCGAGACAGAAGAGAGTCATGGCAGGGACATGCGAATGCTAAAGCAGCATCGCGGCCAGGCAACGCCTCCAAACTCCCCCATCACACAATTGAGATCAACCTCGGTAACGTTATGCATCCTTTGTCGGCTTTCCCAGCCATAAGAAACACCAGGAGTGTGACTCACCCCACCGGAAACCGCATACTGTGCTCCTGGGCCGCTGCTCGCATTGGCCGGCTGACCCGTGGGTCCGTCCTCCACCGTGCTGGGCGGCGCCAGGCAGGAGCACAGCAGCTGCATCAGCCCGCCTAGGCCACCGCCACCATTGCCGTTGTCGCCGTCACCTGTAAACGCCTTGACGCCTGAGGCGGGAATTGAAGCGGAGCAGCAAGGGGGCGACTTGACGGAGGGAGTTTAGAAGCAATGGTTAAGGCGAAGTGAAAGGGGCGATGAGAGGACTGCGCCTCACAGCTCTCATTTGCACGAAAAAATTCAAGCTGTGCACCCGTGTATGCCCCACGCCCTACCCCACCCAAGCGCTGTCACGCAGCTCGATAGTATCTTACTCTTCACCCCACCCCAGCCCCCTCCCCATGTGCTTCACTTCTCATGTGCTTCACTTCCCCTCTCCCGCCCTTTCACCGCCGCACCCGCGGTCAGCATCTGCAGCGCCTGCACCACCTGCTGCACCTTGGCGCTGCTGTCCGGCCCAAACAGCTGCCCCAGCTGCGACCGCACGTTGCGCGCGTCCACCCGCTGCCCGCCCAGCAGGTCGCCCAGCAGCCCGCACAAATCGCTGAAGGGGAGGGCGCTGTGGGGAGGTGGGGGCCAAAGGAAGGGGCGGACGGCATCAAGGCACAGGGACTCGCAGAAAGGAAGTTGGCAGCACTAAGATAAGAAGCAACGACACAGCGGACCGTGCCAGGCTTGGCAAAATTGGGCACTCACGCTCGCTCCCTCCAGCTGAGGTCCGCTGATGGCCTCGCCCCCGTTAACGTTGCGCTCTCACCGGTTCTTGAAGTCCCGCCCATCCGGCTGCCCTAACGCCGCCAGCAGCCCCGCCAGCACCCCCGTGTCGGCCTGCGGGGGCGGCGGCGCGCCCGCCTTGGGCCCGCTGATCTGCACCGACCCGTGGTCCAGTAGCGTGCCGCTGTGGCAGCAGTCTGGGGAGGTGTGTGGGAGACGTGCGCGTGATGGAGAACGTTGGGGAGAGGCACGGGAGGGTGAGGGACGGGCTGAAGGATGGAGGCGGCCGTTGATAAGGATCGGGTTGTTTCGTGATGTTTGTCTGGGAGATCCTTGCATCTCGTGATATACACAAGTCCCAGACAAGGTTCACGTGACCTCCAGGGTTCTGCAACCCACGCCGCATATGCGTCCGCCGGAGGTAGCCGCTCTACAGCCCGTAAGTCGTGTGCTCTATTGCTCCCTGTATCATTTCAGGCTGCGTAACTTTTTGCCCTCCGTGCTTCAGCTCACCCACCCGCTACGAAGGTGAACTTGACGCCGGGTTTGGCCTCCAGCGGCTTCAGCAGCGCACGCAAGTCGTCGTCACAGATGACGTTCAGGTCTGATACGTGCGGAGGTAGGGGCGGGTGAGAGGGGCCATGTGCGGAGTGCTACAGGGAGTCAGTGCAAAGTGGAAACAACATGGGTTTGCATATTGTATTGTCATGACATGGCCAACACACGCTCCCTGCTCAACATGCTATCCGCCTTCACGGCAACCGCCAGCACAGCATGGGCAGCACCACTTCAAGCTACAACGCAGCGCAGAGCACAAACTCGCCACATACCTGTAGGGCAGATTGCTTCATCCTTGCCATCTGTGGGTGCGGGAATGATGATAAGTAGGTTGAAGTAACGGTACCGCGAGGTGACGCGTGAAGCCACGAACCCAAGGCCCGTGGGCCAGCATCTAATACATAAACCATACGAGGATAGCAAAGATTGACATGCACCTCAACACATGCTCCACGGCTTGCCTTTTTCCTCTCCATCGGGACTTGGGATCTGGGTTCCATGGCCTGAGAAGTGTAGAACACAAATGTCTCCATCCTGTGCAGCTGCGACCATCTCGATGATCTTTCCCTGAATACGCAACACCCAAGGCAAGCTAAGATCATTGACACAGGTGCCAGCGATAGCCTTCCGCGTGCGCTTCGTTCAATGCGCTTGCATGCACTTACTTTTATGTTCTTCCCCGTAGGCTGCAGGTACTGCCGGTCCGTGTCAATCATAATCGTTATGTCTGATGAGTCAAAGCCATAAAACTCCTCGAGTATCGCCTGAGCGGGACAAGAGGCAGGGTCAGTCGTAGTCACCGCGCTGTCGAAGAATGACCTTGCGGGCGTGTAGTTGTGATATAACGTCGTCAGGTTCATACCTTCATGCCCCATACATCGTTTACGCAACCGCGTAGGGCTGCATTGGTCCCTGTGAGTGACGTTCGCAAGTTGGAACTCTTTCCTGCCTTACTGATCCCATCCTAAAACATATTCAAACCTGGATAGTTGCATCCGATTAAGATTGCCCTCCTCGATGGCATCCTAGAGAAGCTCACGCTCCTGATAGCGAAAATGTGAAGTAGCGACTGACCTATGAGGCGCGTTTTTAGTACATATGCATCCCTTGTAGTGCTTTCTACTCTTCATCATGTTGGCAACGTGCTTCACATCTGTTTCAGTTGACCTTCAACCGCTGGGGCTTTGTCGTACGCGCCGTGCGTGCTGGCAACGATGGGCCCATGCCTCATGATACATGGTACATGTCATCGGCATTACCACAGCTTTCTCGGATCGCTTGCTACTTCCGCCAGACATGCGATGGGAGGAGCTTGGGAATTTGCTTCCGCAAAGCGCGCTACACTATCTAGCATCAACCCATCCATCTGGTGAGCACAAGTAGGTATTCTTGAGAACACCACACACATCGCACATTCCAGTTGGTCTCCTGGCCCTTGCCGCTGAAGTACCTGCATGGGCTAATGGCCTAAGAGCTTGCATGGCTGAGAAAAACAATGCATCTCCTTGCACTTTTCGGCTTCAAGTTATGGCCATTTGGTTGCGGCCGCATCAGCTGACCCGGTGGGTCGGTCAATAATCCGGCCACGTCACAGATGCTACCTGGCCCAAGATCAGTCATTGCTATGTATGGGTCGGCTTTGAGTTATGCCCTTGCGTATTGTATCCAAACCCTGCAGTCGAGTCCTTCCTGGTTACCCGCAGCAAGACATTGGGCTCAGCTGCGGGAGGCAACCAGGTAACGGCATCCCTGGTCATCTAGGTTAGGCTTGCTCTGCAACTGGGTACAGCTCTCTACGCCTGCATCAAAGACTAAAAGCAAACGTAGTCTGCACACCCACACATCATGTCTCACAGACGCAAGAACGACACTCCTACCAAACTGCCCGCCCCTTGTATCATCATGCACCTGCGGGCGCAATCCTAGCAGCAGGGCGGCAGCAGCGGCGCACTTGGGCCCCATGACGCCTGCTGGGCCCTGGACTCCGCCACGCTGGCGGCGGTGGAGGCGGTGGCGTGCGGGCAGCTGGCGCCCGCGTGGCGCAGCGGGCTGCAGCTGATGCAGGAGCTGCGGCACTCCATCCAGGTGCTGCCCACCGGCTGTTCGGCGTGAGTGACACGCGCAGGGGAACGGGCTGGGGCCGGGATCCACGGGCTGGCGGAGACAGCCGTCAGAGAGCTGTTGGACCCCAAATGCTTGTTGGTACTCGTAGTACTCATCTCCCTCTTTCACGCTTCCGCTCCCAGGATTGACTGCCTGCTAGGCGGCGGGCTGCGTGAGGGCACGGTGGTGGAGGTGGTGGGCGAGACGGCCAGCGGCAAGACGCAGCTCTGCCTGGCCGCCGCCGCCACCACGGCTGGCCGCGGGGAGGCGGTGTTGTTCGTGGACACCACCGGCAGCTTCACGCCTGAGAGGGTGCTGCGCCTGGCAGAGGCGGAGGCGGCGGCAATGGCAGACGGAGGTGGAGGAGGGATAGGGGTAAGAGGCGGAATGCTGGGTGGGTGGACTGGTAAGGACGAGGGGCCTAAGGTTGGCGGCGGTGGCGGCCGCCAAGGGAGGCGGGCTGTTTAGCGGGCGTTGCAATCGTGTGCGGGGCCTACTGGCTTGGAGGGGTCAAGTTGGGGACGGTCATACTTAATACTTAAACTACTGCTGGCCTCCGCCTAGCCTTTCACTTAGCCGTAAGACCCATTGCTCCTTACGGCCCAGGAGCGCCCACCTGCCTTCCGGCCCCACGTTCCGCCTCCCGCCGCAGCACCCTGCCGGCGACCCCTCCCTCGCCTCGCGCGTGTTGGGTTGCATCGCGGTGGTGCGGCCGGGCAGCGTGTTCCAACTGCTGGGTGTGCTGGACCGGTTGGAAGCGGAGCTGCAGCAGCAGGGGCAGGGGCAGGGGCAGAACCAGCAAGGGCAGCAGCTGCCGGGGCAAGGGCAGGAAGGGCAGCAGCCGGGAGGAGGTCAGCCAGGGGGTGCGCCCGAGCCGCCAGGCATGCAGTCCGACGCGGCTGGCGGGCGGGTGGGTCCCCGCCTGCTGGTGGTGGACTCGGTGTCGGCGCTGCTGAGCACCGTGCTGGGCAGCAACCAACACACGCAGGGTGGGGGTCGAGGGATGGATAGTCCGCATTGGGCTGGAATTTAGGTTGCGTATACCGGTATGGGGAGATGTGCGGTACCCCGAAGCCGAGCCAGCTTGTACAAGACGGTCGGGGGGTTTCCACTGACCGTGTGAGTGCACCGTATTGTGCACCCTGCAGGCACAGCGCTGCTGACGGCTGTGGGCCGCATGCTGAAACAGCTGGCGGAGCGATATTCGATCGCGGTGCTCGTCACGAACCACGTCACAAGTGCAACCCACATGGCAAGAGGCGGCCGAGGAGGCGGCGGGGAGGGTGGCGGTGGTGGCGGCGGCCGGGGCACGGGCTCAGCGGCGGCGGCGGCAGCTGGGGTTGGGGGGCTGAAGCCAGCGCTGGGCGAGCAGTGGCGCCCGCAACCGCACATGCGCGTGCAGCTGAGCATGGACGAGTCGCAGCCCCCGGGGTCGGGTGCGAGGGTGGCTACACTCACGGCGTCTCCGCTGCAGGTGGGGTGTTAGGGACGCGGGAGCGGGAGATGAGCGGGGTGGGCTGGGAGGGCTTCAGTGACTGATGTCGTCCTATAAGCGCATGCCAGCCGCCGCTCAAGTCCAGATAGCATGGCCACACGTTAGATGGGGTATGCTTCTGTGTTCTCTGATGTCGACGCGTCGTGTCTTTCGTCTTTGCCTTCCCCCATGGACATGGGGCTGCTTGGCATTGTCGACCCAGATGACCTTTGCCAAACCCCTGCAGGCATGCGGGCAAAAGGCGGCCTTCCGCATCCTCGATGCAGGGCTCTTCTAAAGGGCCGCCGGGCGGAGAAGCGCAAGGGATTGCTGGTCATGACCACTGGCACACATGGGCTAGCGCCTGGCTGTCAACTGTAACGAACCTTTATGCTTGCTGTGGTACTTGTGCATAATGTTGCACGAGGATGCGATAGGCAACACATAACAGCTACCTATACACAGTTAAAGTCCTTGTCCCCATTCGTACACACACCGTCAGCCCCACACACGTCGGGTCACCCATCGTATTAATTACCAAGATGCATGCCGTGCCGCATGCCGCCTGGCATGCTTAAATCGCCCACGGCAATCCACAAAGGTTAAAGCTGGAGCCCATTTGCCGATCTGAGATAGCGTATCGACACATTAGCCTGGAGCGTCCACGTATCAACCTGCCGCCGGCAAAGCGTTCATATATCATCCGCCCTAGAGCAGCGACAACCCCTCTCAGAATGCACCAGGCAAGGAGTGGAGGGGCTGCCGTACACGCTGCCCCAGGCGCCGTAACCACTGCGTAGGTTTTAATAGTAGTAACGCAAGCCACAGTTGACGATGCAGAGCATAAACCGGATATCAACAAAACAAGCCTGGAAAAGAAGAAATTTAATACAGCCTTTAACACAAAAACTTACCCGCCATTCTCTTTGCACCTTAGCTCGCAGTATGCTCGGTATTCCCAACTACACAAATGCATCAGTACAGTGGCTAAGCGAAACGCGGGATAGGGAGGCCCAATCCCTAGCTGCAAAGTCGCACGCCCTATAAGATGAGCTAGCCGCCTCAGAACCGTCCTGTAGACAAAACCTACCTCTGAGCCGCCACACCCACGTTCCAACGGCCCCTGCGCTACACTATTACGGCACCAAGGCGGCCAGCTTTCGCACGCATGCATTAACAGACATAACCACCCGGCATTCCGCTCCGGCTACAAAGATTCGCACGATGTTGGAAGTTTCCAGAACGCGGAAGCACCTACTAGCGGACATCGGCATAGGGGATGTCCGTGCACGCGCATGGGGCGTTTGTAGCATTCAAACCTTGCCACTAGTAGCGTTATCCGTTGCTGTGCGTAGCGCCTGCACAAGACCAACATGGGTCGCACGCCAGCGCACCGCCCCTCGCTACTGCACTTCCGTCATCCGCACGCATAGGAAGCCTTACTCCTGCTCTGGTGCCGCATCCCCTACTGCCGCAACTGTCCCCACCGGCTTTCCTAGCTGCTGTGGTTGAAGCGGCTGAGGCATTACTGGAGGCAGCAGCATCGCCGGAGGTGGCAAGCTCCCCAGCGCACGCTGAGTCATCAGCTGCTGCAGGGTGGCGGCAGAGGGCTGCGACATCAGCAGCTGCTGCAACTGCGCTGGCGCCAGTAGCGGCATCTGGGGCGGTAGATGCGGCGAGGAAGCGAGCGGCAGTTGTGCACCTGGCAACTGCGACGTCGGTGCCTGTGAGAGCGCCTGCACCAGCTGCGACCCGGCGGGGGCCGTCGGAGCTGCCGCCGCCATCTGCCCAGCTACAAACGCAGACCCAAGCCCTGCTGCAAAGCTAGCCGGCAATCCGGGTGGAAGGCTCGGCAAGCTTGGCAAGTTTCCTGGCAAGCCCCCGGGAAGGCTTCCAGGCAGGCCCCCCGGCAGCGTGCCTGCCAAGCTCCCCGTCAAGCTCCCAGGTAGTGTTCCTGCTAAACTACCCGGTAGGCTTCCCGGCAAGCCAGGCTGCCCCAGCGCTCCAGCCGGTCCGGCTGCTACAGCCGCGGCCGCCGCCATGGCCGCCGCCGACAAGCTGCCCGACGTGACCTCCCGCAGTCCGCCCTGCTGCAGCTGCGAGCCGCTTCCCGAGGGCGCTCTCCCACTGGCTGTCGGGCCCCCCACCGTGCGGTCCACCGAGCCCACCCGCATGCGCTGCTCCACCTGGCGCTGCTGGTACTCCTTTTTGAAGTTGGACTGGCGCAGGCGCTTGATGTCCTCCTCCACCTCCAGACAGGGGTTCTCGTAGATAGCGCGCTTGAAGGACTCGATTTCAGCGAGGATATCCGCGATCACCTACGAAGGCAGTGGAAACGTCAGGCATGAAAAGTGCATGGCTTAGAGATCAGCGTACTGAGCTGCAGCTGTGGTAACTGGCACCGACGCAGGGTGGTGCAGATCGTAGCCTCGAACGTAACGTACGGTGGACAGGGAAGTGACGACCTGCAGTACATCCCAGCATCCCCGCACCCACCTCCTTGGTCGCAGGCTCCGTCATAGCCCGCTCATTTAGGCTCTCGATCAGCTTGTCCATGGACTTCAGCTTGCGGGAGGGCCATCGCGGGATACCGAGAGTACGGCAGTGTTCCTTGAGCTTCGTCATGCCAATGCCCAGCTCCCGCGCCGCCTCCTCGATGTTGAGGTGGTAGACCTGCTGCAGCCGCTCCTTGGTGATGCTGGCTATGCGCGCACACACGCCGTTGCGGACAGCCGTGCTGCGACAAGGGGAGTGGATACCGGTAGCATGGGGGTAAGGACGTGCATGACGGCATGAGGCGGCAAGAAAAAGCATGCATCGTGCATAGTACGAAGGTCTCTACCAATGTTTAAGGCTAGAGCAGCAAAACATGAAGATGGATTAACGGCAATGCACCGGGCGCCCAGGGCCAGTCTAAATGGCTACGGCACCCTGCGAAAGGATACATGAACATACCAGTAAACGACTATTGTAGTATTGTTACTTCTGCCACGCCTGACGTAGCCTAAAGCAGGCTAGAGCCGTGCGTGCTACGTATATAGCCCTCGCACACAGCAAACTCTCTCACCGTGACTGTCTTTCCGAGTCATGTCTGGAGCTGCCGCTGCTGCCCCCCGCCGCTCGTCCGCGCTGCTGTGCTGCGGACGCCTTCAGCGCCGCCCGATACCGCTCCGTTAAGCTCTTCCCTGCGAAACCGCCCGCGCCGGAAGCGCTGCCCCCTCCCGCGCTGTCGTTGCTGCCGTCTCCTTGATCCCCTTCCTCGTCCCCATCGCCACGGAGGAGCCCCTCTTCCTGGCTACCGCCGGCGCTGACGGCCTCGCTGTCAGGGTGGTGGCAGCTGCGGGGGCTGCCCACCGTGCCGTCCGCGTCGATACCATCCGGGCTGCCCTCGCGCCCAAAAGACCGACAGCGAGCTGCCGCCCCGCCCATTCCAAACTGCGACTCCAAAAACCGTTGCTGAATGGATCCCGTGGGTCGCAGGGAATGTGAAGATGCGGGACCGGAAGCCAAGGGCAGCAGTGACGCCGGACGACCGGCATCCCGGAATGGCCCTGCTCCAACGTTGCCGGAAACTATCGAGCCACTTCCTGCCACAAAGGAACCCGAGCGCGGCCGCAACACCGGCTGCTCGATCCCGTCAACGGCACCAGCCATCCCGCTCGCTCCAGCACCACCAGCCCCCTTGCCGCTGTCATCTGCGGCCCCTATACGGCAATGCAGACCCGCCGCCTTGCCCGAGCCGACGGGCCCATCTGCTACCTGCTGCTCCTCCAGCATGGCGGCCGCCTCCGCCAGCTGAGCCAGACGCCGCAGGTCCGCGGAGGCGCTCGTCTCCAGCGAAGCGCTAACGGCCCATGGCTGGCCGGGGGGTGCAGATGCGGGAGCCCCGCTCTCGGCTGGCGGCACTACGGCGGCCCCGGCAGCCGCAGAAGTGCCGGTGGGGACTGAGCTTGGTACTGCCCCGGCAGCCCCGGCGTTGCTGGCGGCTTGTATTGCGAAAGCAGATGATGGAGGGTTCAAGCCCGATGCACAGCGCAAGATGGGACTTGTCGCCCCTTCTGTGGAAGGAGCCCGTGTTAGGCTGAGGTTGCGACCGCCTTTCAGCGCCGGTGAGCGTGCTGAGCGCTTGCCGGTTGTGAAGGTGCAGCCCGGCTGCCAGTCAACTGACAGTGGCTTTGCCGCGGCGCCGTTGATACGAGCAGTCCCTGAGTCTAATGGTACCGCCGCAATGGCGGGGAAATGTTCGGAGGTGGACCCGTCCGCGGTACTAGCAAAGCTCAACCGGTTCAGAGGCGGTCTAGCGAATGGGGAAATGGTACTGGTAGGGGCTAACGGAGGCAGCGGCCCCGCTTCCCGCTTAACGGCCGGCTGGTGGGTCGGCTGCGCAGTGGCGGGGGCGATGCCCACGGGTGCCAGATGGGCCACGGCGTCGGCACTGCACGGCTGCTGCACCTGCTCAAAAGGGCAAGACATTTACAAGTAAGTTGAGGTCTTCTTACGGCGATTGCATGACGTCATCATCCAAGCTTGCCCCGCTAGGAGCGCCCCATCCAAATCGGGCAGCCTAGTTCTCAATTATATCTTGGCATTCCATTGCAATTAGCGCAGAGACGAAGCGCTTGTTGCTCACCGGTCCATCGAGGGGCCGATTGCCACCGGCGTGCTCGCTGTGCAAGCGCTTCTTGTCCGGGGCCCCCTCAGTGTCGTCAGGGTTATCGCCACCCGGCGGATGCTCGCGTTTAAGCGTACCGCTCCGCTCCATATCAACAGCTACTCCTGCTGCTCGATCAGGTTGGGCGACAGCGCGCACGCCCTCGTGTTGTGGTGCCGTCTGTCCTATGCTGGGCGCCTGCCTCAAACGGAGGCCCGCCGATTGAAGAGCAGTTCGAGCAACCTCTACAAGCCGAGCCGGAGGGAGTGGTTCATACGGACGCCGAGGCAACTCCAGAGCTGGGTGTAAATCAGGGATTGGTAACGCCTGCACGTGCGGCAGCTCCAAAGGTGGCCTGTCACAGGCTTGCGAGCATGGCAAAGCTGCAGCCACGCAGCTGGATTGAATAGGTATGGCAGCTTGCGGTGCTGACTCTGAAGTTAATATGCTCACAGGCTGCGCGCTAGCCATCGATGGTGCTTCTCCCAGAGGAAAATGACCGGAAGCATCCGTCGCGGGCTCATCAAGACAAGTATTTGTTGCTTCAGTGCTGCCCTCCCCAAGAAGAGGTTCAGCACTAATTGACTCCATAACCTGTGCAGGAAGTAGGCGGGCAGACGCAGAAATGGTCTAGGTGGACAGGAAGGCGCACAGTCGGGGAATACAAATGAAAACTGCAACTGCAAGCCGCTGTGTAGCGACGCTAAAACTGCATTATCCATGGCCTGTAACTCTCTTCAGATGAGCCACACAACGTGCACCAAGCAAGTAGTGATGCGGAAATGGCAGGTGAGCGGACGTCTTACTGACCGTCACCTGTGCGAGCGCTTATAGACTATTGGCACGCCAAACCCCACATCTGCGCGGCCACTGGCTACGTCCGGCAAACGGCCTCCGTCTAAGTAGCGCGAGCCGACTCCACTCTACCACTTGCACAAGTCCTTCTTTCAACGCTGCAGTATGTTAGTCTCGTCTTCCCAAGCTTAACGATGGGGGCACTTCCTCTTTGGAATTAGCTGCAGACAACCGTGTTAAAGGGAACAGCCAAAAGGCACCCCTGTACTAAGCATGAGATGTAGGATAAAGGTAACGAAACACTAGTACTAAACGTTAGCCAACCAGCAGATAATCAAGGAGGTTTTGGCCCCGGGCAAACAGTGTACAACACCGACGGTCGGTCTGCCCCCCTACATTTCCACCGACCATCTGGGCAATCCGTCCCGCGCTGGGAGTAAACGGGGACGTAGATAGTGCTATGTTGCAGTTTAAGGGCCATTTACGGCCTTGCGCTGTATCAGAGGCCCGGACCCACAACGTCTGCTTATTCCACACTGCACAGTTTGTGCGCAAACAACGATGCAAGAAGCTTAAAAGTGACACTCGATTTGTTTTTAGAGCTTTGCCCGATGGTCCCGCAACAAGTCCCAGCGCAAGCGCTAGTGCACGCGCTGTATTGGACAAAACTGCTGGGCGGATGACCTACAAGCCCCTGTCCTATGGCGAGATGGTCAACGATGCAGTGGAATCCATTATGGCGGCGCTGAACGACGGGCTAAGGTGGCTCGAGGTGGAGTTCCCTGCCTTGCCAACCAACGTGGATGGTACGTCCGGCGTCACCCGTGCCAGGCCTCAACTCCAAGGAGACGTGTGATTTCCGCATTCATTTAACGCACGTTTTCCGAAAAGATGGTTGTCAGAGGCCGTGGTCTTAAGATGTTACGCGTGCACGCCGCGCACGCCACATAAACGAGTAACCCAACCCCATGCCCTGCACCATATATCTCGGCCGGCCACACACCGACAGGCTACAAGGGATCATCAGACCTCTTTATTGACTCGAACACGCAGCTAGCCCTCGCGGGAGCTAAGCGGGTAAGAGATGACGGCAGGCCATGCAGCCCCCCACACTAGGGCCTTTGTACTGCCCCCGTTTGCGGTATTGCAAGCTGCGCGTCCACTGCTTCCCGCAGCTAGTCACTCTTTGGCAGGTGCATTTCGGAATCTATGGTTATAGGCTAGCACCTAGAAGTCTAGTGCCACTTGTAAACAGGAAAAATAAGTGCACAACAACACATCCCCGCCTGTTTCGGTGAACTTGTTGCATGGCAAACCTCGAAGCCCGACAACACAGCAGCTGTGAAGATTGAAGCATGTTGAACTCATGGCACCTGCTGCTCCTAGTGGTTCAAATCTTGCATAGCAACATCCGAGCAGCATTCTTAATGACTCTGCCCCCACCGGCCTATTACTTCGTGCCCCCTCCGTCCCGGCGCCGCCCTCCGCTTCCCAGTTAGCCGCCCGGGGTCGCAAGGTGCACATCGTGCTGCCGGACGAGGGCGAGTACTCCCGTACCTACCGCATGTAAGTGCCGTACGTCGTACAGCGACTGGACCGTGTGAGGGGCTTTGAAAGGTTCCCGATTTACTTTTAGCCCTTTTGGCCTGTGCGTTGTGTCTTGTATGCTTCTACCGTGTTCGCTTACAGGATGCATCAAGGGTCCTGCTTCGTTTGGTTTAGGGCTACCACACTAATCTCCGCTCCTCTAGCCGCTTCCTCAACGGCACCCATCACCCCCTCCGCTACCAGCACCGCCAAGTAACTTGTCATGATACCAACAAGTGCTCACCCACCGTTCCTTTCATTCCCACCTCTTCCTCCTCCCAACAGCTTCAAGAACAACATCCAGCTGGCGGAGGGAGTGACGGTGGGTCACCTCAAGGAGGCCGACCCGCCCAACCCGCTGGCGGCGCTGTTCGCGGGGGTGGGCGGTGGCGGCGCGCCCAGCAGCCGCGAGGCGGGTGAGCGCGCCGACACCTACATCTTCATCAACGCCACCTGCGTGGAACTGCTCAACCTGCGGGCATACGTGGAGAAGGTGGGGGAGCGGCTGATGGCCATGAATCCCTCCTCTCTTTCTCCTTCCGACACCCTTGCCAGCCAGGCTACTCGCCCCGTTCTCCGTCCTCTGGGGCCGTCCGTTCAACCCATCCCGGACTCCCTGTCCCGCCCTCCCGCCCTCCTTTCTTCCCCTCTCCCCAGCTCCCGGGCGGCCCCGAGTCCGGGCGCGCGCTGGTGCTGTGGAACATGGAGCTGGACACCCTGCGCGGCGACCTGGGTCTGCCCGCCTTCCCGCCCAAGGAGCTGCACTACGCCTTCCTCAGCCGCTTCCGACCCGTCTTCTACCTGCGCCCGCGCGACTACTCCAAGTCGGTGCCGGTGCCGCCCTTCATCGTCAACTACAGCGGAGCCATGTTCCGGGAGTACCCGGGGCCCTGGCAGGTGGGGGCGGAGGCGTGGAGGGGGAGGGGGCAACTGGGGGCAGAAAGAAGAGGAATCATGTGTTGAATGATGGTGGGCAACTGGGGGGAGGAGTGCAGGGGAGGGGCAGACGCCTGCGCGAAGGGAAGGGGAGTGCGGAGGACGCTTATGGGGATGATGCCATGGCATCGTACACCCCGTGCACGTGCGGCTGACTGGGAGCTGTCTGCGCGTGCTTGTGGACTGCTAGCCTCTTGGGCGGCATCTTGGGCTGGCCGTCGTCACCCCCGCCAACCATGGTCCCATACCCTACCTTTCCCACCAATAGGTGATGCTGAAGCAGGACGGTGGCGAGTACGCGTGCATAGCGGAGGAGCCTGTGCGCTACAACCTGGGTGGGTGGCTTTTGGGTGGTTGGGGAAGGGTCGATGTCATAGGATTTGCGGGGCGGGCGCCTCTTAAATCCCTCCTGCTGCGTGCGGCTGCCTCGCCTCACTCTCACATCACCTGCGGCATGTCTGTGCATGCCCTGTTCCCGTGCGTTCCCCTGCTCACGGCATGTCTATGCATGCCCTGTTCCCGTGCGTTCCCCTGCTCACGGCATGTCTATGCATGCCCTGTTCCCGTGGGGTTCCCCTGCTCAGGCGAGGTGAAGGAGGAGCTGACCGTTGCGATGGGTTTGGCGACTGAGGAGGAGGGCAGCACCATGCAGTTCCTGCGCCGCGGCTACAAGACCTCCACCTGGTACGAGGACGACTACGAACAGGAGGCCAGCCATGAGTGGAGGCTGTGAAGGGAGTGCAGACGACGTGTGGTAAGGTGGTGCGTTTTTGTTGAGTGAGGAGAGGAGGCGGGTCGGAGAGGCAAGGGGCTTGATGGTCCGTAGCGGTGTAGGCTTTCGGAGGGAAGCTGGAACCGGTATTTTGAGGCCTATTTTGACGAGAGGTTTTTTGTCGAGGGATAATGTGTGATTCAAGTGCGGTCGAGTTGGTGTGGCAGGAGAGCTGCTGGTTGTTGTGCATTGCAGTGGGCACACAAAGGGGCCCAGGAGGCAAACCTCGCCCTGCCCTGCAGCCCAGTGGCGTGCAGGCTGTCAGGTTTAGTGTGGCGCCGACAGAAGCGCCAGCCATGTAAGGAGTGAGCCAGCGCTTACAGAGATTGAGGTGCCTGTAACATTAGGGAGGGAGGGCCTTGGATGGCTGTGAAGGGCCTGACACCATCCCGCCCCTATGGGGATATCCAGCACAACATAAGTCCTTTTCATTCCACCACGCCTTACTGCCTTCACTCATCACGCTTTACCACTGGGTCGCAAGCTGGCAGATGCCGCCAGGTACCGGCTGGAAGTGCTGGGACACGTGGTACTATCGAGTGCACGACAGCAAACTGCATAACAAGCCTACCCCAGGGGAAGTAAGGCAAGAGGATGGCAGGTGCTTTAACGTCAAAGCTTATATGAGATTTTGGAAGAGTTAGGGAAAACGGGCGGCGTTTAGCTATAGTGTAGGGGAAAGTGCTTCAAGCGCCAAGGAGGCGAGCCCCGGGCACTGTATGCTTGCCAAATTAAGTGTTCCTGCTGAGACCCTTGGGCCGGGGCACGTTGTAAAACAAAAAGCAGATACGTCTAATTCTGCAATGGGCCGCCTACATTTACATTTAACCGTGTGTGCGCATATGCCTTGGGATGGCAAGTATCGGGCAAGCATCATGTGCAAACATTGCTAACACAGCCCTGCATACATTGTAATGAACTTCAGCGGCAAGTGGGTTAATGACAAGCCAACTTCTCCACTTTGGCATTGCTACTCGTTGCCGGAGTCGGCAAGAAAGTATCATCAACTTGGGCAAACTGCTTCGTCGTACTGCAATGGCGGGAAGGAGCTGATGCTTGCTTTGAAAGCGAGCCGCTGGCTCTCAGCCTCTTGCATACCCCTGAACCTGCGACATTATCGTTAATTGAAAGATGCAACTGAAGCAGTGCACTTCGCGGACATGTGCCCCGTCGCGGCCCCTGTCTGCCCGTCCCCTGCACGGTGCTAAACTCCACCAACCCAAACTTCTTGTGGCTCGTTACAGTCAAGGCATCCCTATCGATCTGGACGCACCTTCTGTGCGCCTTCCGCTTGAGGGGCCAGAGGTCGGTATAGGATGCTTGCAAATCTGATGCGAAGTTATTTATTCCGGATAGCTGTATTTGGTCGAGCGTACATTGGATATGGGCATATCGGTTGTAAAACCTTATTTGTATCGGCTTTCTGGGACCTTGCAAGCCTTTGCTTTGTAATCCATCCGCAGTTACTTGGCTTGAGGAAGAACGAGGTACCCAAAGACAGCGACCTCAATTCCGTCTACGAGCAGCTGGTAGACGCCCCTGTGGAGGCCGGGTACAGCGAAACCGCTGTCAGCGGCAGGTCGGTTACGGGAGCATACGTAAGGATCGCGGCCCACGCCGGCGTCTACATCATTCCACGGTTACTTCCATCCGCACACACAGGTTGGAAGTCCTGGACTATGTGCGTCGCGACCTGATAAGCAGCAAGGGCCGCGCCAAGGAGAGCCGCGAGCTGAACCTCCCCACGGACCTACTGCCAGGAGCCGTGGCGCTCATGACGGAGGTAAGCATCCGGTGGACAAGGGTGACAACGTCCCTAACGTCGAGTGCAGCTAACAATGGACGGTTCAACACCTTCCGCCTTGACAGTCCACACACTACGCCTTTGATCACACCCTTCGGTTGCGTAAGCCCATAGTCTCTAAATCCCGCCCATTCATCCCTTGCAGGTCGGGCAATCCCAGCTGGCGCTGGAGGTCGGGTCGCAGATGCTGCGGGCGGCGGAGGAGGTGCCTGCTGCGGTGCGGCGCGACGTGCTGCTCAGCATGGCCCTGGCCAACTGCAGCCTGGCGAGTGAGAGCCTGCAGGGCGGCAAGATGCAGGCAAGGCGGGCGGGCAAGCCGTGTGCTGCTGCTGCTGGTGGTGGTGGTGGTGGTGGTGGTGGTGATGACGGGGCCGAGAATGGCCGGGGTTGAGTCAGCACCTCCCTGGATAAGGGATCAGCAACAGACCGCCCTCATCCACCCTCCTGCAGGCCCAGCAGCTGGAGCGGGGGTGCGGGTACCTGGAGGCGGCGCTGCAGCTGCTGGAGGGGGCGGGGGAGCCGCCGCTGGCTCCCGGGCTGGCGGCGGAGATCAGGCAGGGCCTCGCCTCGCTGCGGCTGCAGGGGGCCCTGGAGCAGGTAGGGGCGAGCACCGGAGCGGGAGCGCATGCATTTGCATGAATGGACTGGGAGGGTTGTAAGAATTCCTGCACGCCGCTGGTTGCAAACACGTTGACCGCTTCCGGCCCGCCTTCATATTTGTTGTGACAGCTGAGCGGACCTATCAGCCAAAACAAGGTCGAGTACCGTAAACGGGCGTTGCGCATCGTGCGTGAGGCGCTACGCGGCAACACAGGAGCTGCCAGCTCCCAGCAGCCACAGCAGTCCCAGCATGACTCTCAATTCGGACCCATGGGTTTCGGTTTGGCTGCTGGCGGCAGCGCGGTGATGAGCGCCGAGACGTTGGAGTCCCTGCTTGGGTCACTGACGAGCGAGGAGGTGGTGCACCTGCTCGAGTGGGAGCAGGTCGTGCGCAACCAGGCGACGTACGTTTGGTGAGCGTCAGATGGGCAGACTGGGGTTAACCTGAAAGGATTGTGGGTTTGTGATACACGCGGTGGTCTATGTCCTCTGTCCCATGCGCCTCGCCCGCTGTTCACTGCTTGTTACCGGTACCGGCATGTGCCACCAAGCCGCAACCGCGACCCTGTCTCGCCTGCAGGGTGTACCCGGGGCTGCTGGAGGCGGTGGGTGTGGCGCATGTGGTGCACGGCTTCGTGTGCCGCCAGCCAGCCTACGTCAAGATGGCACTGGGGCTGGTGCAGGTAGGAGCTCTGCTTTCTTGGGACACAGGCTGCTGGGGTGCTAGGGATGATTGATGTGGCGGGACTTGAGGCGGCACATTTCTTCGTTTAAGCTGAGGGTTCCATGAGGGTTTCCACTCTACTGCACCGTATTTGCGCCGTAGAACTGATCCATTGGAGCGACAATACTTTGTGCCCCACCTCTCGCAGCAACTGCCGAGCACCCCGGACCTGTCGGTGGTGGAGGCGGTGTGCCAGGTGCTGCTGGGGGCGGTCAACCAGGCGGCTGCGGCACTCAAGCAGGCGGAGCGACCCGGCAAGGCATCCGCAAGCGACAGGTCTGAGGGGGAAAGAGCATTGCCTGGCCTACCTCCGGACTGCATGGCTGCACGGGTGATACCACAATTGGTTGGCTACGACCGTCTGCACAACAGCCTAGGCCCCATGCATCGGTATACACGACCCATGTTCCGTCCTTCCCGTTCCCGCCCACCCTTCCCAGGCTCGCCAGCAGCCGCGCTGAAGCCGCCCCGGACGCTGCCGGCTCGCCGCTGCTGCTGCCCGCCAGCCGCGACGCCTATCAGTTTGTGGTGGCGCACTCCCGGGGGTCGGACGACGGCCTCCTGCCGGGGCTGTGCATGCTGACGGAGCGGTGGCTGACGCAGGTGGGTGGGAGGAGGGTTCTGGCTTGGCCGATTGGGGCGAGGCGACCCGCCAGATAGGGGGTAGCGGCTTACGACAGATAAGCACAGCTCATCTGCCCCTTTCGCTCCTCTCCCTTCCTCTGCCCCCAGGCCGCCTACCCCTTCTTCCGCGACACGGCCTCCCCAGACACCCCTCCGGCCTCCCTGGTCAAGTACTTTGACGACACGCGGGTGGAGACGCTGCTGACGGTGTACGACGCCAAGAGCGGCGGCCAGCTGGCTGAGACCCTCAGTGAGGCCCTCGCCTCCATCAAGCGAGGGCTGCACAAGGCTGCCTCGGAGGGGCTGCTCGCGACCAGCTCCACGACGCAAGGCAGGTTGCCATGCTGGGGGCTGCAGTGAAGGGACAGCAGGAGGGGCCAAGCAAGAGGAAGGGTTGTGAGTAGAGCAGCGAGGGCTTCAGGTCTGTATGGATGTGCATGTAATTTCGCATGGGCGCAGCTAACGGGGTAGCCACTTGGATTGAAGTGTTGTTCGCTTCAGCAATGCATGCGGTGATGCAGGTGGGGTGGGCGTTGCCACAGCAAACCCGGCCCTGGCAGGGCGGCATCGCCTTATCCAGACCCTGGCGGGTGGATTCATGCTCGCGGCCGCCGTGGCGGCGGGTCTCATGACTCCTCCGGGGCAGCGGTTGCTCGGTCGCAGCGAGGGTGCGGCACTTGTTCGCGCCCCGGTGGAGCCGCTGATGGTGGCGCCGGAGCAGTTTGACACCGCGGTGGCCCGACAGCTGCTGGAGCGCTGGCAGGTCAATGGCGGGATGCTGGGTTAGGGCATGCCAGGGAGTGAAAGTAGCGGGAAGCTTCCGGGGGCATGTTCGAAAAGGCTTAGCATATTGCATTGGCATGGTCAGCCTGTGAGGGGCAGGACTAGCAGTCGCTACGCTTATCCCCAGTTAACCTGCCTTTTGGCTCACTGCCTGCACGGTTGTCAGACTTCACACCAACCCCCAAAAAAACCCATGACTCATGCCGCCCAATCATACCCCTTCTTTGCTCTGCCAGGGTGTGAAGGCCGCCGCACTGGGCGCCGCCCACTCCACTGCGCAGCTGGAGGTGTTGCTCGCGGAGCCGCTGCTGGGGGAGACGCTGGACAAGGTGGCCACGCTGCGCAGCCACGGGGCGCACATGCGCTTCAAGCTGCTGCGACTGGAGGTGCGCACCGGCCTGCTGACCCATGGGTCCTCGCAGGGTTTTATGCAGAGTCTAAAGGGGGGCACCCTGCTTAGGACGCAAATCCCCAATGTAGGGCATGAAGTCCCTAGATCGGTATCCCTTAATCCTGGCTTTTATGCAGGTGCGCAACGTGCGGCGTGTCAGCCACAAAGCAGGGCCGGCGGTGCGCATTAGTGCGCTTCTGGAGGACTCGGCCGACCTGCACAACGACGCGGATGGCAAGCCAGTCAACGCTTGCCACCGCACGTACGACGCCGATTATACTGTGGTGCAGGGCAAGGATAGCGTCTGGCGCATGACCAACACCAATGTGGTTGAGCGGGAGGGCCGCAAGTGAAAGAGGCAGCCGCTGCGTGTATATTTGGCAGGTGCTTGTGAGAGTCGCAGCAGAGGTGGTCGACGTCTGCTTGTACTGCTTGAGCTTGTATGTAGTGGCGCAGGTGTCTTGGAAACACTTCCAGAGAGGCTTTATGAGGATTTCGGAGGCAGCCTTCCATGCTATGGCGTAAAGGGATGTGTAAACTACATGCTGGTTCCCCTCGTGCAATCGCCGTGTCTTAGTGCCGGATGGTTAACACTTCTTGCAAGATGAGGGAGCCAAGGACCGGCCATCTATGCACACTGACTACATCCACACATCTTTGCACAAACTTCGATGATAATTGCTGCTGTAAGAGCCACCTGCAAGTCCGATATCTACCGTACACCTGCACACATGCAACCTTGCCCCATAAGAATAAACTCATACAACCCTCAGCAACCCATATTGAACAGCCAGGGCAAGGTATCCATTCGGCGATAAACGTTAGTACATGCCACCAAGACACATATGTACACATCCTCCTAACCACAGCGTAAGCCGTGCAACGCTATGAACTCATGTAGGTAATCACGACACGCATGTTAAGCTGTTGAGAGAGTCACGGATGTGGTGCGCAGAGCCAATCCAAACTCCGTCTTGGTTCCTGTGTTGCAGTGCAACAAATGCAATGACGCTCGCACGGCGCCGTGGTCATACCATGTGGCGTGCAAGGGAAAAGCAGGAATAACCAACTTCCCGGGGACACATAAAAACAACCGGCACCCGCACAACACAGTTCCATACGTTGTTGCGATGATGCAGTGTACGGTCGCCTGATCACAGCGGGGCTGCACTGAACAAACTGCGCAAAGGAGCCCATCACGCGGGTTTCTACATATCACACGACACCAGACATTTATGTGCAACAGGCAATGACTGCGCACGACAAGGTTCGTCATACGCGCAAGCCCGCAGTGAAAAGCATGGCACACCTGCTCTGGTGCTGGACAGCAAACTATAATACTTAAGCTCGCGTACGCAGACAGAGCCAAAGCTGCTCTGTCGCTTTGTGCCTCGCTCCTCTGGCGGATATTACCCCTGCCATCGAGAACCATTGCAGCGTGATGCGCTCTCCCTGCTAACCCAGCAACCCACGTCAAGGTATGCCGCGGCAGTAAGCGAATGAAGCAAATAAAGCATAGCCATCTGCTGGAACATCCGAAAGCTTCACCTGCTATACTACCTGCGATGTAGGCAGAGCCTAGAAGGATAATCTCTTGTATGCAAGCAAGGCAGCGTTGACAGCAACGGTACCCAAGAACTACAACACTGGCGACCTTAAATATAACTCTGTGACAGTGCATATCCCATGTGCACGCCTGCAACCTGGAGATAAAGATCGCGCATATAGATCAAGCAATCAAGCTATCCCAAACGCTCGCCAGGATACGAGCAGAGTAGCAGTCCTGGCTTGAAAAACATCTGGCCCCAGCACACTTTCAGACGCCGCCAGCTAGCAGGCAGGGACGTACGGACGTAAGCAAAGAGCACCAAGGAAAGCCGACAACGGGCGGCCACCAAGGACGTAGGTTAACCACCTCCAGGGTCCTTAGCTGTAGCTGCAGGCAGCCTGGAGGTACTCACGCATGTCTAGCTCTTTGGAGGCAGGCAGACGATGAAACCGCCCCGGTCCACAGGCACTTAAGCCGCGAAACGGCTCTTCCCGGGCGTTTTCCTGCTACCTACGACGGCCGGAGTGCTGCTCTGCCAGACAGGCTTCAGCTGCGAGTTGCCTGTGGGGAAGCCACCACCCCCAGACCTGCTCATGGTTGCGCCCGAGATGCTCGCGCTCCTCTGCACCATGCCCATGTCGTCCGACTCCGCCGGCTCACCGCCGCTGTTGCTGTGCGGCATATGCTGCAGACTGGCAAAGGAGGCTATCGATATGCTGCTGCTGGCGCTGGCCCCGCTGTCGTTCCGCAGGTAATTCCGCTCCGCCGGTACCGCCTGGTCCATAGAGCCCGCCGAGGATTCCCGGCTGGGGTACTGCGAGGGCGTGAGCCGGTGCTGCGCGCTGTCCCGGTCCCGGTCCGAGACTCCGACGTCGCCCTCACCCACCTCCATCTGGCGCTCCATGGAGCTGCAGCCTGAGGGCGCGTGACGCGACGTGGAGCTCCCAAACTGCTTGCTCATGTCACGGTCCCTATCCTGCGGCGAGTCGCTGCCAGCCTCGCTGCCCCCTGGGACCGACTTGCGTTTGTACTGGGACGAAGGCGTAAGGTCGTCCTCCTGCAAGCAGGTCGCAACGGCAAGGAACATTAAGGTTGAGGTGAAACAGCCGATACAAATACTGATGATGAGAAGCAAGCTGTACAGCCGATCAGATACCGTGGTGAGAAGCTAAGGTAGGTACCGAACAGGAGACAGGAACACTATCTCTTGCTTGTTACAGGTATTAGGTGCTCTTAAAACGCAATCAGGCCTACCAGGTGTATGGACTGGTTTGGGTCGTCTCCCGTGCTGAGGGCCTTCCGTGGCGAGCAGGCCTGCGCCAGGATTAGGCGATTGGGAGCGGCGCTGTTGGGTTTAAGCGAGTCCGCGCTGGCCTTTGATAGGTCGGACCTGCGTGAAAAACAAGGGTCGCACCACCAGACAGGGCGGGACTGCGTCATGCCGGGGGTATTAAGGATATTAGTGCGTTTCAACCCCCGTTCCAGAGCTAATTAAATTCGTGAGCTGCCACGTGGAGGCATCCAAGCAGCATTATCATTGCCAGGACGTACCAGCTGGCCACCAGCCAAGATTTTAGCAGGCCAGCTGTGACGCCACCACCGGTTGCTGCTGCTGGGTCCGGGATTTTCCCGCCAAAGTAGTGTCGGAGCCACGCATGCTGCAACAGCTCATCAGCAGAAGGCCTGGCACTCGGGTTCTTTATTAACGCTTGTGCTACAAAGTCCCGCGCGTACTGGGATATGTGCACTGGGTAGTTGGAGGCCTCGCTGTGCAAGATAAGCTTGGTTGTTTCCTGCGGGTCGTCCACTTCAAAGGGCGGCCGCCCGACCAGCAGCTCGTAGACCAGCACACCTGTCGCCCAAATGTCCACCTTCTCGTCATAAGTCCTGGCTCCGTCAGTATGGTGCCCCACCCCATCGCTGTCCTGGTCATCGTGCGGGGGGATGCTGAGGATCTCCGGGGCCATGTAGTCCAGAGTACCCACACGCTCCGTCATGCGGTCGTGGAACTTGTGCCCGGCGAGCCCAAAATCACCCAGGGCAATGTCACCATCCTCGGTGACAAAGATGTTTTCCGGCTTGATGTCGCGGTGAACAACGTGAAGCGTATGCAGCTGCTGAAGCACGCACAGCAGCGGAAAGACAATCTGCAGCATCAGGCACAAACGCAGCATGTGGCATGTTTCCTTAGGTTCTTCATGTTATTCCTGAAAGACCCCAGAATACCAGGAACGGTCATGAGCATTATACTTTAAGAGTAAGTATGGTGCGTACCTTTGTGACTACAAATTCCTCGTGCAGGGTTCCGCGATTGCGCATGAGATGCTGATAGAGGTCCCCGCGCATGCACGCCTCAAATATGAGGTACATTACGGAGTTCTCCTCAAAGGCCGCTAGTAGCGCAACGACCCCCTTGCACCTGTTCGTTGGAGGAGAGGAATTCAGGCCAGGAATGCCGCCAACGAGCGTTAGCAACAACTGCTCACCCAGCGTCCCGGAAGAACCTCAGCAGGCCAATTTCCCTGCGGACATTGTTGAGCTGCCGTGCTTGGAGGCTGTTCATGTTGTAACCCTTAATGACCACCGTCCGACCCGTCCGCTTGCACGCCGCCGACCAAACCGTTGAGTGCCTGAAATGGATGAATTACGGGAGGTGTAAGCGCCGATATGACGTAGACGTCACGCACTTAGCCGGCGGAGTATGAAAACGAGTTGTTAGGGACACCAACAGCCTCCTGAGCACACCGGGATACCTCAATCCTACTCACCGGCCCTCATGTAACACCGTAAGGTCGCGGAAGGCGCTGAGGTCATGGTACTCATAGGGGGCAGCGCTCGGTATAAGTGTCAGGTTGAGGCCTGTGGATGCCGTAGCCGTCGATACCCAGTCCACTGTCCGATAAGATGTACTGCTGTTATTCTCAACCCGTTTACTCGCAGCAGGGGGCTCCCCGTTGAGCCTGCGTGCAGACCCTCGGTGCCATGAAAGCGCTGTTTTGGACATGCCGAGCCGTTCCCTACCCCTAGACAGCTTAAGGGAGCTCACCCAGTGTCCAGTCTCAACGATGCCATAGGAAGGGGCGCATGTGTTCCGGAAAGGGGCTAGATGTAGCTAATCAGAGAGAAAAGTGGCAAGTGTTCTATCTGTGAAATGTATTGTTTAATTGCTTTTATTGTTGTATCGCCTATGTTGCTTCCTTGTCCTCTCCGGTATGCATACTCAGCTGGATACCGGCAGCGTGGATGCCGTTCACGACTTGCGTACAACAACACCAACTGTCCAATCCCTTCCTAATTCAGACTTTTGTCTCTATTTGTATTTGCTGCTTGTACGGACAACCATGCAAGCCACAGACGTTCGGCCAAAAGTTGGAGTCGGCGTACTCATTTTCCGAGGCACTGATGTCTTAGTGGGCTGCAGGTGTGGAAACAATGGGGTTTGCAAGCGTAGAGCGTGCTTATCTGGGTGTCTCGAAATTACACTTCATGACTGAAGGCTGCCAATACACATGTCACGACACCTCGCGAAACCCCGAAGGGATTGGTCACCTTTAAGGCTGCCCTTCCACCCCTTGCCCTGCAGGAAAGGTTCGCATGGCACAGGCACGTACGCATTGCCAGGTACTTCCACCCATAGGGCAGGAGCCCGCAGCTGCGACGCTGCAAACATAGGCACCTCAATACCTCAAAGCTCAAGACAGTGCTCACCTAAAGGTCCATGGCACATTGCGCTCTTTGGGCCCATAGTGACAGCAAAGGCGTATCCCTTTCTCTTTGGCCAGGACACCCCTAGCTTTGACACTTCCAGCGCTGACCACCTGATGCAGGTGGCCACCTGGAGCTCGGGGAGAGCTTTGAGCAGTGCGCCATCAGGTAAGACGAATGCATTCCTTGATAGTCCTCGACTATGAGAGGCCTAATACAGTGCTTGCATTGCGGGCTGCGGTGCCGTTGTTGCTTGGCCGAGTTGGGAAGGGAAGGCGACAGGCAACCTGCTGGGAAAGGCGATAGGCATTGGGGAAAAGACGGAAGGCGGGAATGCAGGAAAGGCGACTGGAAACACATGCTGGGAACGGCATGCGGGAACTCCCTGTGTGCGCATCCTCGTCAGCAACAGAGCACGGTTGCAACCTTCCACCGACGTTGATGCAGGGAGGTAGAGGAGGAGACTGGTATCCAGATCCGTGACCCGGCTTTCGCGTACGCCGTCAACAGTGTCTTCAATGAGACGACCCACTACGTCACCGTCTTCATGCGGGTCGACGTGGACCAGGTTAGCATGCCAGATTGACTTGGACGCTCAGGGGTATGAGCAACCTAGGTTGGCCCTCGGAACGTTTCGAAGATGGTGTTTGATGGCCGGCGCCGTGTCACAATGCTTTTGCTAAGTCAGGGGAAGACGTTTCCTCTGTGTTAGCCTCTGTTCCTACACGCCCATGCACGTCGGCGTCCCTCACACTGGCTGGGAAGGGCGGAAGAAGGAGCATGTTATGCTGCTTGGGGACAGATCAAAACTTAGGCACCATTCATTGGTGCCCGGTTATCCCCGTTCTTACCCCAGGGTGTGGAGCCCAAGCTCATGGAGCCTGACAAGTGCGAAGGCTGGTCCTGGGTGCCCTGGGATGCCATCCCGGAGCCCGTCTTCCTGCCTCTTAGAGCCCTAAAGGACAGCCCGTACAGGCCGTTTGGGTGAGGGCTCCGACCAGCCCACCTGATGACCGGATACATCACCCACCACCATCCAGTAGTGCAGTATCTGTGATACCGATGGGTTGAAGGGTGAAGTTTCCACGTGATGCGAGCATGGCGTTCAGAACCACCCCAGAGCGCATGTGTTAGCCCAGGTTAGCCTATAGTTCTGCCGAACGGGTCTGGTTTCCTCTGGGCCATTGTCTGGGCCATTGCAGTCTGGGCCATTGCACATGAGGGCGCGCCGTTGGCCTGTATGATGTCCACTACGTTGTCGACCGTTAGCTGGTTAAGCCTTCACACATTCTTTTGCACAGACGTTATCATCAAGAAGGCTTCGTGACGTCATGGGCAGCTGCATGCAGTTGTCCTTATGCACGGTTAACCCCAACAATGCCGCCGTCAGCTCGACCATGCTAAGTACAATGAAGTTCCCCCGAAGTATAATCCGCAACCCATTCCCGATGGAGTTGGCGTTACGGGTACGGGAAATGTCCCAAGTCAATGCACGTAGAGGCCTTGCATGAGCTGAGGTCCTAGTACTTCCTAACGGTCTCCAGGCTTCCCAACACCAATAATTCAAGCTGCCCAGCCCCAATAACACCTACAACATTTCCTCAAGGCGCAAACGGTTAACCAGCTAGCACTGGACGGCTGGGCCGTACCCAAAGCCCATTACTGCTGTGGTCCCCATGCACGTTACAAGAAGTGATGGCTTCAAGCCTATCAGCCCTGGTCGCGCTCATGGATAGGCCTGGTCGCGCTCACGGATGCGGAGCCGTACGCCCGCCTGGCTTTCAAACTTGTGGCAGAACCCGCTCACCAACGTGATGCACAAAGATCATGCTCCTGCGGTCACTACTGCTGCGCGCGCTGGGACCACTTGCCGCGGTGGATGACGCCCTGCACCTGCTGCGGCGCAGCGGCCGCAGACGCAGCCTGGGCTGCCGGCCGCGGCTGCTGTCCCGGGCCCTTGGCGGCCTTGGCCAGTGCTGCCTTCTGAGCCATCTTGCTCTTTTCCTGTGGCAGGGCAGCATGCAGGCCAGAAAAACCCGGTTACGGTAACCAAGAACGGAAAATCCACACCGTTAACTGCGCGGGACCATCAGCTCATGACCCCCAAGGGACTAACCCTACACACATGCCGCATGAGAAAGGCTCTGGTCCATTGCAGTACGCGAGGTGCTCGCGCCCCCAAGCCCCCTTCAGCACCCACCCACCTCGGCCAGCGCCGCAGCAGCGAGCAAGCCCTGGGCGTTGAGGACGGGCGCGGCGCCAATGACGGCGCCAGCGCGCTTGGTAGCCCCTCCCGTGCCCGACTTTGCCGTCGTCGCCGCCGCCGCCGAGACGGAAGCACGCGAGGCGGTGACGGCAGCAACGGCCGTGCTGGTCCCCGTAGCTGCAGCCGTTTGGGTCTGTGACACTCCAGTTCCGCCTCCGCCGCCGGCTGAGGCTGCACCGTCGCCACCAGACGTGTTGCCGCCGCCTCCCACTGCCGCGTATTGTCCCGTTGCGTGGTCGTACGAGTACCACAGGTTTGTGGAGTGGTGGTAGTACAGCCCAGTGTTCGCGTCGTAGTAGTAACCGCTGGCAGCATCGTACCAGTACCCAGAGGCCGGGTCGTATGCAAAACCCGCCGGCGTCTGCTGCCCCTGAGCCTGGTCTGCCTGGGCTGTTGCTGCTGCGGCTGGCTCTTGCTGAGGCTTGCCAGCCTCCTGTCCCTGCTGCTGCGACGCGTCTCCTGCTGTCTCGCCGTCTAGCGCCCGAGCGTCGAATGCCTTGGGCTCCCAACTGCTGTACATGGACATGGCCTGAAGCGGGGCCCGCGGAGGAGCGCATACGAAGCACATGCGCCTTCAGGTACGTGGCTAGATGGTGGGCAAGCTAAGCGATTAATCCCGCAGACTAATTTTGTTGACCCTTACAAACGTAGCAGGTTCCACGCCCCACATGACTCCCTCGTTTCCTGTCACGCACCTGCGCCGCCTCCAGCGCCTCAGCTCCCGCCGCAGTTCCACCGGGCGCAACACCCACTCCACCAAACTTGTCTCGCGCATAGCACAGCCTGAGCGGCTGGCTGCCCCCCGGCGGCACCGCACCCTGCAGCAGCCCCAGCGCCCTCGCCGCCTCGCCCGTGCTGAACATCTCCACGAACGCCAGTCCCCGCGGCAGCCCCGTGTACTTGTCCAGCACCAGCCGCACGTCCTTCACTGACACATGCGCCAGGAAGAGCGAGCGCAGGTCCTCGTCCCTAGGAGTGGGGCGCACAACAGGAGGGGGAACGGAATGAAACCAACAACAGGCGGTACAGGGAAGGGTGGAGGGTAAGGGGCAGGGTGAGGCAAGGTAACAATCTCCGACGAAAGACAAAGCACTGGCAGGTCCACGGACCTACGGATCTGTGCGCTCGGTTTGCGTTCGGTTCCGCACTCCCTTTCCCGCTTACGTGACTTCCGGCTCCAGGTTTGAGACCTTGAGGATTGGCGAGGGGACGTTTGCCTCGGCCGCTGCGCGCTGCGGGTTGCTGGGCCGAGCGGTGGAGCACTTGTGGCATTCGACACGCCTGCACAGGACAGCAAGGTTCGTAAGAGAGTTCCAAGTAGCATGCAGTAGCTCACAAGGGGAGCCAACCACCCTGGGGAGGGCGGGAGACATGGCAGGATATACGGCGAAATCGCAGGAAAACGCAGGACGATAGGCCCAGCGACGCTTACCGGGCAAAATTGACGACACTACACATGTCGCAGATCCAGTCCAATGCCGGAACAGCTGCCAGCGAGGCGACCGAGGAGCCGGGCGCGTAGTCCACCCGCAGGGTCTGGCCTCCTATCTGCAGGCTGTACCTGTGGGGCAGTGCCGTCGGAGGGTGTAGGTTAAGAGCGATGAAGAGGGAGGACCCTAAGGCCGAAGGCTCCCGCCCTGCCTCTGCCCACCTGGCCTTGGTCCCCATGAGCACCGCCGCGTCCGCCTCACTGGCGAACTCCACATAGGCGCTGCCGCGGGAGGTGCCCGAGCCGCGCTGCCGCACCAGCCGCACCGCCACCAGCCCAGGGAAGCCCTCCAGCATCTGCCGCAGCTCCGTCTCGTCCCGATCCTCGGGGACATTCTGGGAGGCAGGCAGGCCACAAGGAGGGAGGAGAAGGGGGACAATCGAACAAATACTCGGGCCGCAGCCAAGGTTTGCAACGTGGGTAAGGCAGATGCAGCATGCATGCAGCAGCATACCCACCTGGTAGGCAGCCCTCCGCCTCATGCCCCTCCAACTCACCCGCATTACTATGATGTTGCTTGGCGTTTCCCTAGAGCGCCCCCGCCAGGACCCGGACCCCGGACCGCCGCCAGACTCGTACGCCTCGTCGGGATCCAGCGAGCGGCTCCGGCGTCCGTCACCGCCATCCAACCCGGCCTCAAGCTCTTGCTCCATACGCGATGGGTACCGCCGGCGGCCTGCAGGGTGATGACAGCAAATCCACTGAGAGGATGCACTTGGCTCTTCAGAACAGGAGACAAACGACGACATGAGCTGGTCGATGGTCGACCCCAGCAACCCTCCCTCCCAAGTTCCTACCGTAGCCATCTTCGTCGCCACGTCCGTACCGCCGGTCGTCACGACGGTCACGGTCATCCCGACCGCGATCTCTGTCCGAAACGCGCTCTTCATCACGTCCGCGCTCCCGCTCCCCTCGGTCGCCGTAGCGGTCCCTGGTGTCGTGGCGGTCACGATCTCGATCTCCGTCGTACCGGTGGTCCGAGCGGTTGCGAGATCGGGAGCGAGAGCGGGTCCGGTGGTGGCGATCTGGGCTGCGGCTCCGCCTGCTCGATCTGTATGGAGAAGAAGGGGATGAGGTCTGCTGATCTAAGGCGGTGAGGTAAGGGGCCAAAGGTCCACGGCGACCGCAGGAGGCACACACGCAAGTGCAGCCCGTCTAGGGCGTGTGTTGATGTGTCTTTAAGATGCAGCCTCCGTCAGCCAAAAACACACCTGCTGTCTCGGTAGTCTTCCTCTCGCCTGTCCCGTTCCCTCTCCCTGTACTGCTCCCTGTCTCTGTCACGTTCTCTAATCTCGCTGTCCTGGCGCCTGCCCGCCTCCCGATCTGGGTCGCTGCTCTCGTACCGGTGGCTGTAATCCCGATCTCTGTCACGCTCCCGGTCCCGATCCCGGTCACGGTGCCCCCTGTCGCGGTCAGGCGGATGGCTGTACTCTCTATCGCGCTCATGCCTCCTGTCCCGATCCCGATCCCTATCGCGGCTGCGGCTCCGGCTACGACCGCGCTGATGGCTGTGATCGGACGGACCATTTGGGTCCGGAGCGTAAGGGTGCTGTAGCTGCGGATGGGATTCCGGCTGCTGTAACTGCGGCTGTTGTTGAACTGACGACGGGTACGATTGCTGCGGCTGCATGTATTGTTGTGCGGGCTGCAGCTGTTGTTGTTGCTGCTGGTACTGTTCGTATGGTTGCTGGGGCTGAACGTAAGTTTCGGAGTGCTGCGGGTGCTGGTACTGCTGGTGGGATGGCAGGGGCTGCTGGTATTGGATCGCATGCTGAGGATACTCACTCGCTGTGTGTGGTGCTGGTGTTGGGGCTTGCAGCATGTCGGGCGGAGGGTAAGAGGTCAACTCGGGGTCCAGGGCTGCCTGCGGTGCTGGCTGCTGGGGTTGCTGGAAGCTGCGCCAGGGCGGCGCCAGCAGGGGTGACGCCGCGGGCGCCGGCCCACCTTGTGGTTGTCCGTAGGGCTCCTCATAAGGTCCACCTGGCGTCCAAAGCCGACAAAGTGGCCGTTAGCAATGACATGGCTGGACGCCCTATTTACGCAGTGGGCTCGGGACGAAGCACCAGGGGGGACCAGAAGGTCAGGGCGTGGGCTGAGTTACGTCCTTGGCATGCGGCCCTTGGGACAGGGTCGGCGCTTTCGCTTGGAATATAACAAGTGGGAGAAAGCCACCTTGACTGCCTCCATGGTGGCTCCAGCCGTAGCCCTGATCCCTGCATTACCCAAGCAAGCCAGTCACTGTCGTCGCTCTGCAAACACCGAACAGATGACCGTATCCTAACGCCTCGCCGCTTACCCAGGAGCTGCCATGGCTCCGATGGGACGTAGGTCGGCTATGAGTCCGGGCAAAACGAGGAAAGAGAAATGTCAGACATGGCCACAGGCCTCAAGAGTAATAGGTCCCTCAAGACGCTGCGCTTACTGCAAGCAACCGACGACGCTGATCTTGTAGCTCCTTGTAGTGTTGGAGGCTGCAAAGTAAGACTCAAGACACCTCACGCCTTGAGGAAGGCAAAAATGAAATAGCACTTATATAATAGCTGAAGATGTAGTTGAGACTTTAGCGCATCGCACGCAGTCTGAGATGGTCCTGTAAGGCAAGCGTCGCCAACATGTACGGCGATAGCATGTACCGCTTGCAATGCATTAAAAACAACGGAGTATCATAACCTTCATTTATTGTTGCTTAGTGCACCATTAGGCTAGCTAGAAAGGAGGAAATGGATGCCGGAACTGCTTCTACTGACACCTGTGATGGTGGTTCGCCTTCGTTCCTCCTGAACTACATCAACTCATGTGCCATGGGGACCAAGCCTTGCCTGATAGACGTCCGCGACGCATCTAAATTCATCGAGTCTAGGCTACGCGGTAGCTACAACATACCGCTGGAGTTCTTGGTACCCCGCATGGTGAGTGCGACACTCGGCTTCTGGACTGCATGCACCCTCTGCCGGAAAATGCAACGTGGGGTTCATGCGCCTTTATCAACGTGTCCATGCGCGGCTCCTTGCTCACCCTGTCTCCTTGCTCCGTACTCTTGCCCCGCTGGCCTACCTCCTGTCTAGTTCATCCTCCCTGACCGCGCCACGCCGCTGGGGCTGGTGGTGGGGGGCCCTCCGGCGACCCAGATGGTCAAAGGCGCGGCTGCAGCTGGTGGCGCCAAGGAGGACATCCAGGTGGCCGCCTTCCTCAAGTCCCGGGGCTGGAACGTGGCCTTTTGCGTTGAGGCGACCCCAGAGCTGTGGCGCACTGCCGCGGAGGTTGGAGAACTTGAAACCGATGGGGACGCTGTCCTGCTGCAGCGACGCTGGCCTTTCCAGCCCAGCGGTCTACTCACCCAGCAGATGGAGCGGATTGAGGAGCTGCTGGTGACGAGTCGGCGTGCAGCTGAGGCAGGCCAGGCGGGGGGCGCTGCGTCCGGCGCTGGCAGCGGAGGCGACGGTGAAGTTGGAGAGGGAGTGACCAGCCCCGTTGATGGCGTCCCCTGTGTCACGTTGCGCGCCCTGGACGTGGGTTGTGGCAGCGGCCGTGATCTGGCGTGGCTATCGACACGTAACCCACGCATCGACGTGCCAAGCAGCCAAGAGGCCGAAAAGACTGAGGAGGTGCAGGTCGCGTGGGAGTGCGTTGGACTTGACTCATGGCACGGCGCGCTGCAGCGTGCTGCAGAGGTTCTGTCGCTGGGGCAGGTGCCGGCGGGGCGGGGTGGCGTGACCCTTCATCTGGTGCAAATCGAGGGCGGGCTGCTGAAGCCACTGCCGCTTGCACCCGCCAAGGGCAGCCAGCGAGAGTTCCTGCTGCGTTACCTGGCAGGGCAGCATGGCAGCACCGTCGAGGGCAAGGAGGGTGACGGGGAGCACGGGACGGCTGCTGCTGCGGCAGCTGCTGGTGCAGAGAATGGGGCGGCTTTGATGGAACCCTCGGCGCTGGGCGCCTTCGACCTTGTGGTGTGCGTGCGGTTCATGGAGCGGTCGTTCATGCCAAGGATGGCTGAGCTTCTGAAGCCTGGCGGCGTAATCCTCTTCTCTACGTTTGTGGATGGTCCTGGGCTGCGCGCATTCGGCAGGCCGCAGGGTCGGGAGCACGTGCTGCAGCCTGACGAGCTTGCTGCCAGCTACTTTGGTCCCGAGCAGGGGTTTGAGGTCTTGCGCAACGACATCGATACTATTCCTGACGGCAGAGAGGTCACAATGTTCTGCGCACGAAAGCGAGTGCCTTAGTGGATTTATTAGTGGTTGTACGCGTGTGTAAGTTTAAAGACATGCGATACAGGCGCTTATTTGCGCCAGGAGTAATACCGCTATTTGTAACGAATTTTGGGTACTGGGAGTGGTATAACCCCACAGCACAGCAGGGGATGGTGGCGACCTCAACACTAAGCTCTGCCAGGAGAGCACACAATCCAGGCCAGGAGGGCGCATGCAAGCCTAATGAACACCTTGCCGTGCCAAAAGAAGCACATCTATGAACGGCACAACACTAGACCCTTGCCAGCACATCCTTGACATTGAGGCTGTACGACGCTAGCAATTACGACACCAGATATGATACGGCGAACCTACTCCTGTACAGCGCTGAAGTACACATTTGGCGTCACAGGATCCATCAAAGAATAGTTTTGCATGATCTGCACACAAGTCAGCTCACAATGCACTATAGTACGATTTTGTCAAAGTCGCGCAGCAGGGTATTTACGTGCGCTAGAAGGTCGTCTAATGGCGACATGCCGCCGCCTGGTCCACGCGCGGCACCGCTCGCGTTACGAGTTCGGGTCCCCTCGGTTGCCCCAGTTGCCGCTTGGTGTGGAGCCGCGTAGCCCGGAGCCGCGGGGATGTTGCTCACGCGGCGCCTTGCAGCCGCGGCCTTTTCCTCGTCGGTGGGGCTCTGCGGCTGTCTGCCGCCCGGCCTCCATGCTCGGCCGCTTAGGGGCGGCTTTGCGACGCCACCACGAGGGGACGGCAGTGGGCTTACGTGCGCCTTTGCTGGGACTTCATGGCCCCTTGGGCTGGGGTGCTCGTAGTAGTCGGGATTCCTGAAGGCCAGGAGCAGCTAGGTCAGGACAAATGGGCGTATGGGCAAACATGCAATCCGAGCTTAAGCCACAATTTATGGCGACAAGAGGACGCGAGTCCTAATGGGGAAGAATGCCGCAATCACCGTCGGCCCCACACCCAAATCGCACCCTGCTGCGCCCTCCATACCTGCTGTTTGTTCGGGGCTTGACGTGCGACCAGTCCACCTTGCGCGCCGGTATCTTTGCGGAACGCCGCCGCAGGAAGGGCTTGGGTTGCACATGCGGGCCATCCATGTCGTGGCCTTCCGCCTCGCCCTCGTCAGGCTGCTGCCCTGTACCTCTGGGCGTACGCCGGCTAGGAGCGCCCTCCTCATGCTGCGTGACGGGCATGGCGAAGGCCGGTACCGACAGTTTTGGTGGCTGCTGCGATGCAGTTCCAGGCCGCTGTTGGGTTGCAGTCGCGGGTCGCTGCTGTGTTGCGGTTGCCGGCCGTTGCTGTGTCGCCGTCGCGGGCCGTTGCAGTGCTGCGGTTCCGGGCCGTTGTTGTGTTGCGGTCCCGGGCCGCTGCTGCTCCATCGGCCGGGGTGTGGATTGACCATCTGGCCTGCACAACATTGCAACCCACATGCATTCTATCAACGCCAATACACGCCGTTTTGGCCAAATTGCACAGAAGTATGGCTACGATGCAAATGGACGTGCTGCTATGCAAAGCAACATTGGCATGCACGGAGTTGCGATTAATTTGTTTCCCAACACCGGATGTCCGGTGCGCGATGACCGATGCAAGCCGCTACATCACGCCACCTACTCTTTAACGCCTCCGGCGAGGGCGGTGTGCCGCATGATGCTCTGCCGCTTGAGCCGCAACAGCGCTGCCGCCTTGCTGGTCGCCTGGCCATTAACATCAGCAGAGACAGCGCCGCGCAGGTCCTGCTGCTCCGGCTGCTGCGTCAGCGAGCCCCCTATGCTTGCCGCATGCTTATGCTGCTGGGCACCTGCTGCAGTGACGGGCAGCGGGAGCCCCGGGCCAGACGGCATGCTGTACTCCGAATGCCTGCGTTGCGCAGCGTAGCTCTCCGGCTGCTGCGCTCGCCTCGGCTCGCTGGACATAGCGGGCTCGGAGAATTCCGCATGCTCGCCTGAATGCGCTGCCGCAGGGCCCTCCTCGCGCCGCTGCCACTGCGGTGGCGGGAGCCCCGCCTCCGGGTGGCCTGCAGCACCTCTGTCAGCAATGGGCGAGGCCCAGGGGCTCTCCTCGCTGGCCATCGAGGCATCTACCTGCCCCGCATGGGCCTTGTTGGTCTGCCATGCCCACTTTACCTGCCCAGCCTCTATAGCAACCGACAGGCCAGAGATGCCGTGCCCCAGGCTGAGCTCACCACTGGCGGCCAGCTGCTGCCCACCACCGCTATCAGCGCGGGCCGCGCGCACTATGGCTTCAGCCAAGGCGCCTGGTAGCAGTGGCGCAGCACCGGCACTGGGAGGAGGAGGAAGATCCTGATGAGGGGTCAGACCGTGGGTGCCTGGTGCCTGGACGGTATCCGGGTTGCCGCCCGCTGGCCGTCCCAAAGGAGCCTCCGCCCAGGCTGAGCTGGCACTGTGGTAGCGACTTAGGTGACCCGCGGACTGCCCGCGGCCGTCATGGCTGCAAGCGTCCAGATCCTGCGGAGGGGCCTCGGATGCGGCGTGGTCGGATTGCCGCGACGCCGCCATACCTAGCGTGGTTGGCGGCAGTTGTTCGGACGCGTGGCCACGTATGCTGTGCTGAGACTGCCATTGCTGTTGCCGCCGGGCCTTGAGCTGAGAAAGCTTTGCCGAGCCAGAGGCGGCCGAGGGTGGTGCAGGGCTCTGGAGCAGGAAAGAGACGCAGGGTAAAGGGAACATATGTACTTTATACTTTAAGGCACCAGCGCAATGCACCCTCACCGCAGATCTATTGTAAGAAAACATGCCGCATTTGCACAGTAATGGCAGAGCTGCGCCACCCGATGGCAAGGGAAGAGCACAGAAGCGGCTCTTCTGAACCGCCTTATACGCAAAGCCGGAACCATAGCAGCCCCCACATACCCCAGCCCAGCACACCTGGCTGAGCTGTGTAGGGCGCAGAGGGCCTTGATTTGAACCCGCAACCTCTTCGGCTGCGGCAGCACCCCCTTCCCTAGCATGCAGGTGCCCCTGCGGTGCTTCGCCGTCGTGTCCAGCCCCACCCCCATGCAACGTCCAAGCGCCACCCAACCTGCGTTGGAGACCTTTGCCAATGTTGTTATCACCGCCAACTGCTTCACCCGCTACGGTGCGCGGCGGGTGCTGCTCCATGGCAAGGGAAGGACTTCCTGACGTTGCAGAACGGACGCGCCTGGTACCGCCTGGCGGCGTCGCTGACGGCACAGCAGGCTGCGCTCGACGCTCGGAGGTGGCTGGTGGCGCCTGCAAACCCACATCAGCCGCCGCCGCCAACGCTGCTGCTCGTGAGAAAGCCGCAAGGGGGGGTGCAATTGGTTGTTGCTGATGCCACCCGACGGGCCGGTCGGGTACATCTTTAGGTGCCACAGCACCAACCTGCGCAATCGGCGCAGCCTGAGACGTCGCTCCCAATTCCAACGGCTGTGGCGGCCCGGATTGTCCCCTCTCGTCTACACGCCAAGCGTGCGACGTCTCGCGTGAAACCCCAGCCGGTGACAGCGCAGCCACTGAAAAGGAACTGTGCATAGGTTGCTCCAAGCCATGCTGTTGCTCCGTTCCAGGGGATTGCTGCTGAGCTACAGAATGAGAGGGCAGCTGTCTTGATAAGGACGCTGGTGCGCCCAGCGCTGGAGACGCGTGACCAGCCAGCAGCTTGCTGCTGGTGCTGACTCCCACTGCTGCAGCCTGCGTCAACGACAAGTCGAAGCTAGCGCTGTTCCCAGCCGAGCCGGTAAACTGGCGCCTGCTAGAGCTGCTGGTGCAGCCGGCGGCGGAAGTTCCGAGGCCGTACCGAGACTCAGTGGTATCAGGTTCGTCACCACCATGAGCACCCGTTGCGTCACCTTTCCCATCCAGACCGCGACTGCTACGCTGCAGGCGGCTTACCGGGTGCGACGCAATTGGCGAGGCCATGTACGGGGCGGGGTCTGCACCAGGTGGGGGACTGGGAGGCACGTACGGGCTCGCAGCCACGCTAATTGGCGACACAGCCTCCGCGTTCATGTCCTTGCGACTGGGACTGCCGTAAAGCACCATGTCGCCATCTCCGGCCTGCCGCACAGCTGACGCCACGGACGGCGATGCGGCTGCGCCGCGACCAACTGGTCCGGGCTGTGCGTTAGCAACAGCCTGACCTGGCCCACGCCCAGGCAGAGCAGATCCCGGGCTGCTGTCCGCATCGTACCCTGCAGTGGAGGGCCCCAGGCTCACGTTGGTGAGACCGCCGGGCGATGCCAGAGCCCGAACCGCCTGCCCGCCGTCTACCTCCCCGCTGGCTTCCTCCGTGGCATCGGCGTGGCTGCATGTGCCGGCTGGTGCAGAAAGCGGAGAGCGGCTGTACAGCACGGGTCCCGGCTGCTGAGCCGCTGCCCGCTGAGCTGCAATAGCCGCTGCTGCCAAAGCCACGGAACCACGCAGCGCTGCATCCGACAAGCCACCAGCCTCAACCACAATGGTCTGGGAAAGCAAGTCCACTTGCCCAACATCAATGCTAGCGTTCACGGAAACCTCCTGCTGTACCCCACCCTGGCGCTGGAGAGGACTGCCCCGTGGAGGCAGCCCCGTGGCGCCTGAGCCACGGCTCGTCCCGTGGCCTCCACCACGCAGGCCTGCCTCGTAGCCCCGCGCTGCTAGCCCGGCAGGTGGTGCTACAGGGTCCGCTGTGAGGGCGCCGGGCCCCAGCTTTGGATGCCGACCATGCGCTGACGGCAACGCCTGGCCATCGTTTCCTTGTCCTGGCGCCCTAGAACGGCCTGATGAGGACGGGACCTCCGGTGTAGACGCCCCAGGCGGTCGGGAGTTGGGAGTCTTTGCTGCTCCAAGGACTGCGTCCAGTCCGTGCCCGTCAGTGCGGGCAAGGGCCGCCAGAACATCGTCAGGAACGTCCAGCCCCTCGGCATCCACACTGCCCCTGAAAGCGCCGGCGACACACCGTGGGGTGCCTAGCAGCAGTCGCAGCGCTTCCTCAGTTTCCAAGCTTGCGGCCACCAGCGGCGCGCGCCCGCCTGGAGTCAGCGCCGGACGTGATGCTCCCATCATGCCGCCTGGCGTTGCCTGAGAAGCTGCACGCTGGGGTCTGCCCCCTCCATGCTTCGCCGCGCTGATCGCGGCTGTTCCACTGGCTGCAGCCGTGCTGCAATTGTCAATGCTGGAAAGGAGCAGCTCTTCATCCTCCTCGCTGTCGATTCCGTCATACGCTCGACCGGCGATAGCAAGGGGGCATGGACTGCCGGAAACACTCTCCTCGCCAACAGTACTTGCGGCACTATAGGCCGCGACAGCAGGCGAAGCACCACTGGCCGTAGAGGGCGTAACGGCGTCCGCGGTGCCTTGCGTCCCAGCTGGTTTGGACGCTGTGCTGGTATCGCCGTTGTCTGGCCCAGAACTGCGCCATGTGCCCTGAGAGCTGCTGCTGATAGACGCGTGGATGGGATGATCAACGCCCATTGCGCCCCCAGCAAGGCAAGATGCACTGCCGCCACCACTTACTTCGTACACCGTGTACGGGCCGACGGGTGAGGAGTCGGACGTGTAGGTGGGGCTTTGGTTCGCGAGGCGGCGTCCTGTGTCCAAGCATTGTGGGGCAAGCGGAGCAGACAAACCAACAATTAAGGAGTCACCAGCTGCGGGAGCTGAGCAGTATACAAGAGCAACTGTTTGCAGGCTGGCGAGCCTAGGGCCTACCTGCGGACTGGGTTAGATCGCTAACGTTCGGTTGGTCAACTGGGTCGTCTGGGAAGCTGAGAAGCCTTCGTGCCCCACCCTGGCTGCTGCGGATAGGACCACCATCTGCGCCAGACGCCCCACTGCTGTCGCAGCCTGCGGGCGTGCGTAGCTGGGAGTGCCCCTGCACGTTATGCCCCGGGCCCTCAGACACACCGGGTGTTTGTCCATCCTGTACAAGGACATGGCAGGGATGTTGTTCGGTATAGCATGAATGATGCTACCGCACCACATGGATGATTAAGTTCTTTTAGCACAGGCACGCACCAAATGCTTGGAAACACTTGACTCAGACAAAGCGGAGGTCGCAAGCTGCATGCCTTGTCCATGCTCTTGGTTACGCAAGGCTGTAGCCCGATGGTGACGTTCGGGGCGAGAGGCGTAAAACTGCGTAGCACAGGGCGTCAAGGCAGACGTCATAGTGGGAGCAGGTGAAGCACCGCGGCCCTGTGTGACCGTTAGTGTGCATACCTGCTGATGCTGCGCCTGGATCTCAGCAAGCTGACGCCCCATAACCTCAAGATATGACTGCATATCCAGGGTGCAGAGCTTGCCGCCCCCGCCCGAAGGCCGAGACGTCAGCTGCAGACAGAACAGCTTTCCGGTTGAGGCTACTCATCAGACAAACAAGAAACATGTTTAGCTTAACAAACTGTACCTTATCCATCTCTTAAATACTCCTACAATTGTCCTCTTTCGGGTGGTGGTCGCATGCTTGTGCACGCGCGAACGCGGAAGCCTACTGGTTGGCAGGAATTATGTGCGTTACAATATATATCTTTTCCAATCAAAACGAGAGTATTACATATCTACAGTCAGCTCGGGCTTGGGGTTCGCCAACTTTGAAAGGAATATGTCCGGCAGCTGCGATCATGTCAGCACCATCACAGCATGTACGCCGACCGCCCTTTCGGATAATGTTGCCTAGCGTTTACTCCAAATCATAGCGCCCGTACTGGAGACTTGTAGTAGACAGCCAGGTTGACGACTCGACGACTAACTCGTAATGGATTTCGCCAAACACGGGGACCCTGCGTCACACAACTCATCGTACTTACATTTGCAGTTGTGATAAGACCTATGGAAATCGTCGTCAAAGCATTGACGCTGCGCTGCCCACTTGACAACACCATCCTGACGAAACCTAATGACCAAAGCGGCACCCCAGGTTGCCAGTCCCGCTGCAATGCCCCGCTGTCCACAACGATCTTGGTACATTACAAACCTCCGATGGCAACACTTCAACATATACACTGCGCAACCTACCTCTTGAACTCCACGAAGCCTAGCCCCTCGAAAAGCTGCCGTGAAGCGGTGTTGACCTCGTGAATCTTGGCAACGTACCGCTTGACGCCGAGCTCTCTGTACAGCATAGGATGCGTGCATTCGCGCACATATTCCACCGCCGTTAATGGGGGTAGCGTCGCGCTGACGCTACCATAGCAGCCATACCTGCTGGCATACGCCATTAGCAACCGCAGCGCCTCCTTCGCCAGGCCCTTGCCCCGACTGGCCTTCTCCGCAATCATCACCTCGACCTCCGCCGCATCCCGTCCGCCCTCCTCCTCGTCGAGGGTGAAGAAAAGGTTCACGTCGCCCGCCATCGCCCCACCATGTGACCCAGTTCCCGGTGTGTCGTCCAAGCTACGGTCAAGCACGATGAATGTCAACTTGTCCTCATCCTCCGCCCATGACCGCTGCGGGAGGGAAAAGTGCGGGTGGCAAACTGATGACTGTTAATGTTGGTTGGTGGACGACGTAGCATGTGGTAAGCACGCACTGAGGCTCGGGTGCAGGGTTGTATCAGGCGATAAAGCGAAACCTTGAACATGGTTCGTGATATCCCTCACGAGTCCCCGGCGACATGCGGCGGCATGGGGACATGCATGACGTTCAATGACACCAAGCCATGCAGAAGGAACAGCAGGGCCATGGACACGTTGCCGGCCTCCTCTACCCCAATGGCAACGCAAGCCCGCCACGAAAAGTGATGCCTATCCTCGCAGCCCACCACCATGCCTCCCCTCATCGGTTTCTGTTGCCCCCCCCAAATCCGTTGTCACTTAGGAAGCCTTGCCTGCATCTCATATTCCTCCTCCAGGGTAAGCGGCTCTGATGCAGTGCTCTCCTGCAACTGTGGATCCTGCATCCACTCATGGTACCGAATCACATGCTCTGGCTTATAGGGGACAAGCACTGCGTTCGTCCCTTGGATAGTTGTATTGCTGTTAATACGCATTGGCAACAAGTCACAGTAATATATAAATCTAATGAGCAGTGGTGTATTGAAGTTAAGAGACGGCGTGGAGCAAAGAACATGCTTGTTACTTACACCCCGAAACCACGTCACGGCAAGCGTTGAGGAAGAAAACCAACGATCAGGCTTACTAAGCTGTCTGCAGGGCATACTTCTGCTTTAACAATTTGTTGCTACGAGGTCCTTAAGCTCACTACCAAGTCCAACATCGTGCTAGTTTCCAGTTTGGAGGGAAGCCAAGTGCGTTTGTAAGCAATCGACCATCGCGCAATATGCGCGTTGGACATATGAGCACAGGCGAGCGCCTTGCATCTCATCGCGCAAGTTCCGTCACACCTTGGCGACGGTTGCGGACGCCCTCCCGACTCTGCGTCGTATCGGCGCTTCCATCGCTTCCGCCGGAGGCCTCTCTCCCTGACAAAGTACGCTCAACAGGGTCCAGTATACCTGAGGAAGTGGGATCATGCAGGTGCTTGCGTCTTCATGAGAAGCTGGCTACGTGCAAATCCTGCGCAGATTGCGTCGGCACGCCAAGCCTGTGAAGCCAAGCACCCCCCTCGTAATTTTTCAGTTGCCGGGGTTACCTTCGAGGGTAGACAGGTAGGAGGGCCGTTGGCGCTGATCACAGGCCGGTGTATACTGTGCATGCATGAGCCAGGAGGGGCAAGAACACTACCGTACGGGTGAAGTGCTTGCGTGGGTCATGGTCGCTGTAACGTGGCCTCAACACGAGGGAAACGAGTCTCTTGTACACGGTTCAGGTAGCTAGCTTTGGCCTGGGGAGGGGCAGAGAGCCATGATGTCTCGTGTGGACTGACTTACTGTTAGAGTGAAGAGAATCCTGAAACTCACCACACAGCTCGGTGTGACTAAGGCAACTCATGAAGACAGGTATGAACACAATCCCAACAGCTTCTTTCTCCCGCGATCGCAGAAACTGATAAAGGACTTACAGCCGGAGCAAATTGTGTTACTGGAGCGGGAGCCCTGGAACCAGTATGACCCAGATGCGGTGCGGGTAATGGACCTGATGGCGCGAACCCTGGGTTACATCCCACGGTATAACGACCAGAACAAGTTGTTCACCCAGGAAAGCGCCTTTGGGCTCGTGAACTGGACAGGCACTGCCCCAACGGGTGGATCGTACGGCGCTCGCCTGTACGGTAAGCTGCACGTCAGTAGCGCGCCCAACCCCGAAGCCAGGCACATCTTAAGCTACCGGTATTTACAGCCAGGAGAACACGTGTTACACTTCGACCGCAAGAACGGCTAGTAGGCCCGTGCCACCAAAAACTCCGTTAACGTTAACACGTTAAAGTCTATGGTTCCTGTGCAACGCATTGGAACGGATCCGCTTCCGCCGCTCCCTGCACCGTTCAGTTGCACTGACCGTACAACACACATCTGCATCGCGGCCAATTACCTTTGCACACATCTCCATGACAAATTACCGCCTACAACCCATACTCCCCACAGCCCGGCCGAGCCTTCCTAACTTGGTCCTGGACCCTCTGCTGCTGTCGCCTGACGAGGCCGCCCGCCTCGCCGACCTACCCACCCTCTTTGGCGAAAAGTGGGCCGCTCTCGAAGCCATGACACGCGCCGCAGTGAACTACAGGTGCCAGGTCAGCGGCATCTCCATGAGCCAACTGCCACTGCAGCTGCTACCCCAGTGGCGCTTCAACTCCACCGCCAAGGCCGTGCAGCTGGTGCGGCTCATAGCGCTGTGTCAGCCCCTGGCAGAGGCGAAGGCGCGCCTGGAGCAGGCGGTCGCCGAGGCTGCACGCATGGAGGACGGCGAGGCGGCAGCGCAGGCACTCCAAGCACTGGGGGCCTCGCCTGACGGCGATTTGTTCACCAATGTCAACGGACTGGATGAAGAGGACACGGTGAAGTACCTTGAGCTTGTACGGCAACGGGCGCGAACGGTGAAGACGGAGGGATGGAAGGTGGAGGTGCTACTGTAACTCGATAGGGCATGGCAGTGAGGGACCGGGGGCTTCGGGGGCCCAGGGGGTTTGAAGGGCCCCGGATGTTGCTGTTGGTGGGTGGCAGTTGACTGGAGTGGATAAGCAGAGTTCCTCCGCGGTCCTCCGGGGGCAAATAAAGGCCGACGAGCCTGTCCTCGCTGCGAGCATGAGGCGCTGGAAGCAAGCTCCGCCGCAGAAACTGCTTGCTCCCGCCGGAAACCTGTTTGCACAGCAGTTGTTGCAATAAGGTCATGTCTTATGTTGGCGCCTTTGCTGGGTTACCAGTAGAGCTGAACTCCGAAGTCCAATGCTCAGGGTTTTCCCTGAATCCCTGTAAGGGCCAACTTAGGTTTAAGCCTTGCCCTTTCATCGGATGAGAGGCCCTAGAACATAGCCAATTCTTGCCTGATCACAGCCAGTGACGTGAAGCCCAGACGTGGCACCACCCGCTACTGACGTCAGCCAGACAGCTGCAAGGTGGTACCGTTCACCGCGTAACGTGCGCAGCAGCCCTTCAATGGCACCACTGCAAAGCATGTCATCGCAGGGCAGGATGCCCGATGTGGCGTTAGACACTCGCGCGCAGCGACATATCCAGAACCCCAGACAGTCCTCTACAGCTCTAGTTGCGTCGCAACAACCAGTTCTTTAAGCCCCAGGATACTGAATGTTTGAAGTGTGAAAAACATGGCCAACCGACTATTCGGTGTCTGCCCCGAGTCTCGTCCCGTGATGCCAAGTCACGGCTCACGACGCATCCGTTCAACCCACCTCGAACCCGGTCATCGGGTGCAACCAGGTGGATGCACGTCTTGCTCCGCCGCAGCACGATGCCGCTGGCGCCGACATGCTGCGGGTTGGAGTGCTGTACGACAGTCACCCGCGCGCCGTGCAGGTCAACAATGCGGCCTAGCGCCTGGGCGCCCGCTGCCGAGCCACCTGCAGCGCTGCTGCTGCGTGCCAGGCTCTGCGTGTACTGGGTCCACAGCTCGTGCACTCGCAGCATGGTTTGGTAGCTGCACGGGGCATGAAAGGCGGGCGCACAAGGCGGGAACCTGGGTCAGGATGGCGCCTCTTTACACATCACGCAAAGCAGGAGACAGGCCAATCCATGACAGATGGACGTCGGGAGAGAGCCCGCCTTGAGCGTCAGCTGCCCATTCAGCACGCTCAGCAGCGAACACCACACCTGGGAGTTCGCTTTGACGCAGGATCGCTTTGCGCCACCGTTTGCTTGCATCGCACATTGCTGCGGAGGTTGGCCGAGTAGCTGGAGTTGCGCCTGCGGGCAGAAAACGATGTCATGCATGGAGACTCGTCATTTTCTTCGTTCCATGGCATGGCCCCTCACCCCAACCGTGTCGAATGCGGTATCGACACGCATGGACCTTCTGCCACCGTTGGACAGCATGTCCGAGACTCCCACCTGTTGAACATGTTCTTAGCCTTGAGCACCGCAGTAGGGTTGTCCAGCAAGACCGAGCGGTCCTGCAATCTCTGCACCAGCAGGCTCGATACGTCGCTGCTGTTGGCGCGCGGGTTGGTGGCCACCAGCTGAGCTAGCACCTGCGCAGCTACGGAGTCAGCGCCTGGTACGGCAACCCCAGCCGCTGCCCTCGATTGTGCTGCCCCTAGGCGCGAGGCGGCTCCTGCGCCCGATTGGGTCCTCCTCCCAGGAGCTGATTGTGAGGCGCTGGCGCTGGTGACTGCATCGGTGGCGGCGGCTGCCGCTGCCTTCGCTTTTGCCAGCGCAGCGGATAGTGCACCGTCCAGTACTGCATCCCCAAGTGGGTTGTAAGGAAACTCGCCAGGCCCAGATACGGATGGCTCTGCCGGGACGCTAGGCCGCAGCGGCTGAGAGTTGGTCCCCGTGGGATGGGCGGGAGTGGGAGCTGCTGCTGCAGCAGCTGCTGGGGCTTGCTTTCGCTTTGCTGCATCGTCCAACGCAGCAAGCCTGAAACCGCAACGCAAGAGCGTAAGTAGCGTTTCCTTTTCCGCAGCGGCTTGGCAGGTTAGGCAAGGAGCGAGGAAACGGAACACATGGGGTGGCATGCCTACCTCTTGCGTTTGGCAGCCGATACAGCAGGCCCGCCGGGGCTTGTCCCGGCAACGAATCCTCTTTTCATATAGCCGCGTTTGCGAGGAACGAGGCTGCCTAAGCGTTAGCCGTCTTCCAACCGCTTGGGGAAAGTTTGCCGCAAATTAGCTGTCAGCAGGAGCTAAAGCTGGAAAGGATTTACAATTGTAACGGTCCTTTTGGGTTAAACAGTTAGTAGGGTGTCTGGTAAATCTAGGCCTGCCGCCATCATGTAGTCGATGCAGTAGACATGCACTATACGACCGTGGCAGAACATCAGCACGATTTAGCAGCAAAGAAAACGCTTTTTTAAGACCCTGAAAGTACGCCTGCCATCATTTATATGAACGTACTTAACACGTATGCTAGGTATGCCAACGCGTTGACCTCTCGCGCAATTAGCCTATGCTTCACATATACGTATCATAGCCGAGCAATGGTAAAAACACATGCAACAGACATTGTTGAATGGAGCACCTAACTGTATAAGCTGAATTATAGGAATATTCTTAACTACTTTAGCTACCATGAGTTGGCGCCAACCGGGGCTGCGCTGTTGGAAGACGTTCACACGCCAGCAAAAGCGCAACTGTTGGAACTCCGGCAACCTGACGGTCAGGAGGTAGGTGGCGGTAGTGTTCGCCCCGTCGCACCGCGGCAGTTTCCCCTAAATACCCGGACTTGGCACAGGTACCTCCGTGCCCTCGCCTACATCTTCAATGTACACACCCTGCTCCTCATGGCAGCAGCATGCATATCCGTGTGGGCCTGTTACACATACAACTTCAGGTGGGTAGGCGTTGAGGGGGAATGCTTGAGGAGGGTATGCTCGACTATACGGCCCATAGTGGGACCTGCTGTGGACTACCCTTGCCCTTCAGCGGCATTCCTTCAGCACATGGATAGCGCCTAACCCCATAAAATGGGCGCCGTATATTGCCGTGTAAGGGACTAGCAGCAATCTTTGCGTGTAACTGTCCTCAAGGTTTCCGTGCACGGCTGCCCTTGGTCCGGTTCCAGGTACAACATGGACTTCACGCTTGTGGCGACTGGGACCACCTTCCCCCTGGTGTTCACCATCCAGCAGGTGGGCAGTTACGCGAATGACCCATATGGCGATGTGGGTCGGATGGTGCAGAGCAGGGGCTCGCTACTCCCCACGTGCTGACCTGTGCTTTTGCCCTTAGCAAGCGAAGCAAACGTGTTAGCCTAAAGGCAGATCAGCTGAAGGGCGTTTAACGCGTCTTCCGTCTGACTTACGCCGAAATGCCGTTACTGGCCAGGCCTTCGCTCGGCGTGAGCGAGCGACAGTCCTTGTTGCGAACATGAAGGCGTCGATGGTGGCCCTATACTACATGCACAGAGTAAGTCAGCTGTCCAGGACAGGCATGCTCCGCTTCCAATGTGCTGTGCAAGGCAGGGATTAAGATCCAGGCATGCGGTGCCCTTGTTTGCTCCCTGTCGTCAAGCACCGTGTGTATACTGTACGGCGCCCATGGGCACACAGTTCGCCGTACCAAGGGCGCATTGTCGTACTGGTGTTTGTAGGATTGGGACCAGAGCGAGAACTTCCCCTCCTCGCTGGGCAACAACAACCTTGTTTGGGCGCGGAAGGTTAAGGCGGTCCTTGAGGAGCTCTGCGGCAGCTGCTCCAGGTGAGGACTGAGAAGTGAGGAGGCTTGCGTCCATTTTGTGGATGCGGTACTTAGGCCGTGCGCAATACGGGGCCTTGGTAGGACTGGGGGCCTGGCGTGTGCAAGGTGACCCGCAGCGAGAGGCTCAGCAGGGGCGTACGCCGTTGAGGTGTTGCATGCAACGGCAAAGAGGCATTAGACCGCCATGGCCTGTGATTTCATGGGTTGCACCCTTCCGCGTTTCGTAACGCTCTCTGGGCTCCATGCTAATGCCGTTGCACGCATGCCCCTACACCGCTGCACGCATGCATGCAGGTACCTGACCGCGCAGGACCGGTACGAGTCCATCGCTGAGCGGCGGCTGGTGGCCAAGAAGAACGACGAGCTGTACGAGCTCTTCCTGCACCGCCTGGACGTGGAGGAGCGCGGCACGCCGCACTTCAGCCGCCGGGTGCACCGCGCGGAGCGGCAGGACCCGGGGCACGTGCACCTGCTGGACTGCTATCGCGCGCTGTCGCTGCTGAGCGTGCTGAATGAGCAGCTGACGCTCAAGGCGGGCTACACCAGGGGAGGTGAGGGGTGATGAGAATGGTGTGGTGTACCTCGCGGAAGGGTGTCTGGTGTGAGCTGGGCAGCAAGCTGACACCGGCTAGCTACCCGGTTTATAGGATTGCCGTCTGCTGTGGCGTATGTCTTGTAAAGCCGAACCAATGGTAATGCAATGTGGGCTGATCGCGTGATTGCTGTGTCATCTCCTTACGCAGGCGAGGGTGGCATGTCCCGCACAAACCAGTACCTCCGATACATCATTAGCAACCTAGAAGGTAAGCGCCATTGCATGGGGAATGGTTGGGTGTCTCGCCAAGGAGCAGGCAATGCAATACCCTACCTGCAATGCAATACCCTACCTGTACGAGGCGAGGGCTGTGACGCCGCTTGGCAATTGCCCCGCCCCTAACCCCACCCGTGACGTTCGCCCCTTACTTGCAGAGCTGCGCATGATTCGGGTGAGCGCGCCATGAGCTACGGACCTGCGGTGACGACTGGGTGCTTGGTTTCTGGTAACGCACCACTTGCAGGTCTTGCACCCAAGCGCTATCTATCTTGTGCTGCTAGGGGCCGTCCCTATCCACCCTGCGACGGCTCTGTTAGATGGCGTCAAGAACAAATCCCTTTCCCGTGTTTGAATCCCCAGGAGTACAGGACGCCATACATGATGCGGACGGCGTGCGGCATCCTGCTGCACATCTTTGCGATCATTCTGGCCCCGTGTGAGTGTGCGGCTGGGCGTGCATGCTGCAGCCATATGCTGGATTGGCCCCGCCTAACATGACCTCTCTTTGGGTGCAGATTTTGCGCACTTCTGCGACTCGTGGATCTCCCTGGGGAACCGGGAGAAGACGTGAGTTCAGCCATAACACCATCCGTGCCCTGATTATTATCCTCCTTGGCGCGTATTCATTCTAGTAGCTTCTAGCACACCTAGGCACTGATGGGTGTGGCAAGCACCTTCATTTGCAAACACGGCAATGTCTCAATGTGTATCTAACTGCACCCACCCTCTCCCCAGCGCAGCTGCCCTGCTGGCTACGCGGGGGCGATCGTGTACGTCATGATTGTCATGCTGCTGTACCACACGCAAGTGGACATTGAGATGCCGTTCGACGAGAAGGGCCTGGACGATGTAAGACACCTGGAGGGACGGCTCTGCATGGGGCTGCGAACGGGGCTTCTGGATTCACCTGTGCAAACGAAACCATGCCGGCTGGTTCCGATTCTTTCGTCACATGCAGTGCTGCCGGTGCCACAGACTTGAGCACTAGCGTCACTTCAATTACCGCATGCCCGGCCTCACGCACGGCCTACCTTTTAACGATTCAACCCATTGCCGCAGGTATTCTTCATGAACTCTGCGGAGCTGGACGAGTCCATGGGCATGCACGCCGTGCTGTCCGGCCGCTCCTCAGCCGACCTAGACAGCCTAGCGGGCTCCTCGCCGCGCGAGCTCAGCAGGGCTGGCGGCTTCGACCTGCCGCACATGCTGCGCTCGCCGCACCTGCACGGCCACCACCACACGTTGTCGTCCAAGGACTTGCAGAGCAACAAGCCGCTGCGGACCATTCCCTCGGACCATGAGCTTAGCACGGAGGAGCAGTCGGAGGAGGCCAGGGAGTGTGCGGAGCCGCTAGGACGCGTGTACATTGTGGGTGGCTCTCCGCCCACTGCGGGGGCGACGTTACAGGGGGAGCGCCTTGTGTAAGCGCTTGTTGGCACCCGCTTTGCACTGAGAGAATGCGACGTGATTGGCGCGTTGGCTAGCGCAGATGGACTGTGGGTGATTTCCGGACGGTGGTGGGTGTATGATCTGTATGATGTGGACTGGACTGCGGATAAGGAACGTGCCATGGTGCTTTCATGTGTCCCTTGCAATTGTAACGGCGAATGCCGGGCAATGCTTATGCTACAGGAAAATATTCTTGTGCCTGCCCTGAGGCAACCCGTTCTGGTCTTAGGGGCCTGGTGTGGGGTGTGTTCAGCGGTGCCAGGACGAACGCAAGGTTTTTTGCCAAGCCATGCGATAATGGCTGACTTTTGACACCATATTATATGCAGGGCCGCATGTATGTCCTGCTTGCATTGCTTTAGGGAGGGGGTCTCGTCGAAGGGCGATCCGGTGGTATACCGCAACTAAGCGCACTTGGGGGTAATGCTGGGATGCCAGGGAACAACCGGCATTCAGTGCAATTATCTCTTTCCCCATAGCATTTATGTAGGTGCGTTTGCAATCTGTTTATTTATTACGGTGGGCAGTGTGGAGGCGTGCATTTGAGTGCGGTATGGGCCTCAGGCTCCGACGTGCTCGGGTTTGGGGCGCACCCGCTGATGTGCAGTCAGGGACTGCCACTATTGATGCGGTCGTTGGGCTTACAGGAGACAGGGAAGTAGGGATGAGGCACATTTCCCACTTCTGCGACGACAGATATGCACCTCTTATGGGTCGTAAGAGCTGTAAAACCCAATTGCCGCGAACACACCCTTCCCACCAGGCCTCCCCGCCCTCTCTTACACCGCACATTCACTCCACTCCAAACCGTCATCAATTTCTACCCGACCCCAACGTTACAACCCAGCCCGGAACCCCCAACCCAGCATCTACCCTCACAGCTCAATGCCATGCACCGTGCACGCCTCCATGCCGCCTCCACTCCAGCGCCGTCTACTTCTTGTCACCCTCCGCGGGCGCCCCCTCCTGCCCCTCCAGCACCTCCTCCAGGGTGGGCGCGCTGCTCATCTGGCTGACGTAGGCCTCCGCCAGGTCCAGATCGTCCTCCGCCTCCTCCAGCTCATCCACCAAGTCCGTGATGATGGCTGGGTTGGGTGGGAGCATGGGAAAGGGAAAGGGGGGGGTGGGAGAAGGGCATCAGATACAGCGAGGAAAGGGGTGTCATGCTCTCATGTCCACTCTGCAACGCCCATCCCCCAACACTGCTTACCAGTATCGTACACGTACATTGCTCCACCGCCAATGATGGACCCCAACGCGGCCGTAATGAAGTCTCTTCTCGTTGGCTTGTACCAGGGAGCAGCTTGGGTTGGCTGCGAGACAATGAACCGGCCCCCGGCTTGTTGGCTGAGCTCAGTTGCTGAGGATACTACACGGATGGCTTACCCGGGGCGGTGGTGGCGGTGGGGGTGGCGGTGGAGGTGGTGGCGGCATAGTTTCAATATTTGGCTGGCTCGAGCTCCTGCATTATGTTACCGCCGTTTCCAAAAGTTCCGAGCAAAGAGACAATCTTAAAAATCCTACCTGCAGACTACCGTCCTTGACGACCACGGTGTCCTACAAGGCAACATCTGTAAATGCGGACTATTTTGGTGCAGTGTTAACCTTGACCCATTTGCACAGGCTGACTGCATGGCGATTGGCACTGCGTAAGTGCGTTACGGCGGCTGAAAAACAACCTTAGGTCTGGACGACACTGGTAAGTAAAACCCTAGACAAACATTGACAGTCCCACGGGGCAGTGAAGCGCGCTCCGGTGCCTTCCGGAGAACGGCGGTTGTACGACGTCATAATGGAAGGCACAATAGGAGCCCAAATTTTTCCCACGCATATTCTCTGGATGCTCTGTCTGATAATTACTTCCGCTGTAACTGAAATCTTTTAAATCTTGAGGTATTTGCTGTACAGCAACATCAAGGTACTACACCACAAGATCAAAAGCGGAGAGTCAGGGTCTATTGCTTCAGTTTAGCTCCCTTCCATACAACATCTCTCATACGTTTCTTTGACGCAAGATGCGCACTCTCCCGCACTCCACCAGCAGCCGGGTGCTAGCGGCACCCTCCCGTATAGGCCGGTGTTCTGTTGTTAGGATCTCATGCCAAGCCCAGAAGACTACTACTCCTGAAGCGCCACCTAAACCCCTCGCCGAGACGGCGCGGTCGGGCCTCGGCAGCATTGGCGACCTCCTCGGCCCCATTGGCTTGACCTACAGTGAAGGCATAACGGTCCGTGCATATTCTAGGTTTAACCTTAAAAAGCCAGTTAAAATTCACTCCTTATCTGCTCTATTCACGAATGTGTGGTAGTCCTGTACATTCGTCTTCCCGTTGTTTTACCCTGATTGTCCGTGGCTACGGCGCGTTTATTGTAGCGCTTTCTGACGCTTCATAACGTGACTAGAACGGATTCTTGTGAATGGAACCTCCCAATTCGTGTTCCACCTAACAAGCGGAAACCCTGGATGTCTTAACAGACAAAGCGCACGGAGGCCGATGTGGATAACAACTCTCACAATCGGCACGATAAGGATGCAAGTCCCAGTGGGCGGCCGGTGCGCTTTGGCCAGCCTGCGGTTGCCCGTATTCCCAGCATCCACAGCATGACAACTGCGGAATGGCGGGCACTCTATGAAAAGGACGGCACCAACGACCTTTGGCTCGAGGACGAGTTCAACGCTGGATCACGTCTCATGGTGAGCAGATGAGGTGCTTTTTTGGACACCAGCTGCTTGCGGGTGAAGTGTGCAAGCGGGTTACAAGAGGGTCTCGGGGATCGTGTGCCTTGGCTGCGACATGTCTGATCGCACAGTTTTCAGGAGCCCCCCTATCGTCCATTGAAACGGGGAAAGGATTTGGGTCAAGTATGTCCCCTTCAATTCCTACCGCAAGGAGCAATACCCGCACTGTCATCAGCCCTGTGCCCTTAGGGCAGTGCATCCTGGAAATTAAGTCACGTGCCGGCGCCATAGGCTTACCATCTCGTTGTCTTGCCCGTGTATCGTCTTTGACACAAATGCATTGCTTCCTCGCGCGGTACAGGGCGGCCGTGCCGTGCACAAGGGTGGAGTGTACGGCTTCCGCACCGGTGAGGGTCCCTCTGCTGGCGACGTTCCCCTGCACAAGGTGAAGATCTTTGACCATTACGGCAACCAGGAGATCGAGATTGAGGTGCCAGAGGACAGGTGGGTTAGGTTGGTATATACAGCAGATCGTCGAAGATGGCTTGTAGCATGGACATGGGCTACGGACTTAGGCTACAGATTGCTGGGGCTGCTTGAAGCTTTGAACTTTTATCTCGACCCTGATAGTCCCCTTGTTGGAGCGTTCATTACGTCATGGACAGCCATGTTTCACGTCATGAACATCCATGCTTCAAATACGTACAGGTATATCTTGTGGGAGGCGGAGGACCACGGTCTGGAGCTGCCATACGCCTGCCGGATGGGCTGCTGCACGGCATGTGCCGTACGTGTCAAAGAGGGCACCGTTTACCAGCCAGAGGCACTGGGCATTAGCCGGGAGCTCAAGGAGCAAGGCTATGCGCTCATGTGCGTGAGCTTCCCTTCCTCAGACGCCGTGATGGAGACAGTATCCGAGGACGAGGTCTACGACCTGCAGTTCGGGCAATACTTCGAGGCGCAGGCGCTAGACCCGAATGCGGACACAATCGCCCGCGACGACTACGCGCTGTCGATTGCCAACATGGACGAGTAGGCTGGTCGTGTGGTAGAGAGTAGAAGTCCACGGTTTGATGTTGACGAGTGAGAAGCCAGGCATAGACTGTGTCGCAAGCGACGTGACCGTCGTCTTAAAACATAGCATGTCGGCACAGGAGAGGAGCCTATTGCATAAAAGTTGTACAAGATGAGTAGCCGTGTCATTCTTTTCGGTTTATTGTTTGTTATGTCTTCTGGTTTGGTCCTTCTAGCTGTCGAACGGCGGCCATATATGCCTAAGATTATTTTTATTGGTATCCTGCGTGTATGTTATTGCATGACCACACTTATGTGCAGGATGGGATTCCACGGCAACTGCCACTTCGTACTGGAACTCTATGCTTCCAAGCAAAATTTTCTGTAGCCAGTGTACCAATACATGCTTTGTAACCTTCGCTACTATATGAATCACACCGGAATTAGATGAAGCAACACACGAATTGCTCGCCCTGCACTTGAGCCACTGCAACTCCTGAATGCTCCAGATGCCGATCAGCCGAACCTACGGGGTTACCTTAGGACTTCTGTTAATCTTATTTGTTGGCCCGACCCTTGCCTGCTATGAGCTTACTGAAGGAACGGCGACAGCATCTGAACGCCTTCTCCTGAATGGCACCTTTTCGCAAGTGCTAAAGTGCACTGGCGTATCGAGCCTCTTGATTGTACCATACCTATGGAAACCCATTGCTATTACCGTGGATTGCGGGAAGCTTCAAACGGTGGGTGCAGCCCCAAGGTTCGCTTGATGGCCACCTCGGGCTGCGGAATGTCCTAGAAAATGACAACGCTTGCTCATGCAGTTTCAAGTGTATATGGGACCAAGCCCAGATGCTCTCGTAAAGCGGTACACGAACCGAGAGCAGGCCTGGTGCAGCTTGTCGTCCCTCTTCCAATCGGGATGCCAGCTGCAGATGTCCCCCTTCGCTACCAGCTATGTCGGCATTCGCAAAATCTTTAGCACAGGTGGGAGACCACGAGGTCGTGCTGTACTGTGCGATGACGACATCAACCGTCTTAGGGTGGGGGAGCAAGTGCTTCCCATAACCCAACACGCAGAGCCTGGGTGCTTATATCCGCCGGAATGTGCTGAAGTGCTGAACCCGCACCTACACCGCTGCTCCACGCCAACTGCTCATTTCAATCACCCCTCCCTTTGTCCCCGGGTCTTGCCCTACGTCTCCCGCCGCAACCTCGCGCACCCAGGAGTGGCGTGTCGGGTGGCGCGCCACGACCAGCTTAGCAGCTTGATGCTGGGCAGCTGCGTGGCGGGGGCGCTGGTGTTCTTGTGGGCGAGCTACCTGTCCGAGTCCCTGGCGCTCCGAGTCACCAGCGGCGGCCTGATGTTTGCGCTTGGCTCAGTCATTATCCTCATCTACGTCTTGGCGAGGTAAGGTGGTTGAGGACCGCATTCGTAATCATCTCAGCCGAATTTTCCCTCCCCCCACCTGCCTCCATGCATCGGTTCTCCTGTGGTTCTACCTTCCCGCTGCAGCTTTACCCCTCCCTTTCCACAACTTCCCTTTCCCCGGTACTGCAGGCAGATGCCAGGCCGGCGCAGCATGAGCATTGCCGCCACGCTGATGGGCAGCAGCAGCTGGGCCGTGGTGCGCTGGCTGACAGGCCACTGGCTGCCCTCAACCTACGCGCTGCTGCACAACCGCTGGCTGCTGGGCTACCTGGCGATGTCCAGCTTGTTCGGCGCCGCTGTGACGTACCTGTACGGTGGCGTGGAGAACGCCAAGCTCAACACGCTGATGCGCGTGGGGCTGCAGCTGCTGGGGCTGCTGCTCATGTACATGGGCATGTGGACGCTGCCGCCTGTATTCGCGACGCTGCTGGGGGTGCTGATGGTGATGCAGGCCATGCGGGTGGCGGAGCCGTTCATGGCGAGGTGAGAGGGTGGGGGAGAGAGGCCATATGTGCGGGAAGGTGTGGGAGGGCGGGTGGGGGTGCCTGACGCCATGCGGTCATCACTCATCAGGAGTCGGCAACGGTTGGGGTAAGGACGCGGGCGCACGGGTCGGAGATCTTGTTACATGGTCAGGTTGTTCGTGCAGAGGGGGGCGCTCCTGATACACATCTTGGATTGCGCCTTGCACCGCATGGTGCCACGCGTGTGGACTAGGCCCGCGCTAAGATGCTGTGCCGGTATCCCTCGTCCTGCTCTCAAAACAGGTTCCGCACGTCGCTTCCGGGAAGGCTCATGTTCGGGGCTCCCGCACCGGCACCCTTCGCGCAGCACGAGCCTGTGGGGACGCCGCAAGGGCCGGGCTCGTCAGCCGTCCCGCGGGTGGGCCAGTTGCAGCCCGTGCCGTACAACGGCACCCGATTGGACACAGGAAGCGCAGCGGCACCACCGCATACCCCGATTACCCCCATGCAGCCGACATACGTACCTGTGGGCCCAGCGGGCGCGGTTAGGGAGCTGGCGGCGGCTGTGAGCTCGATGGTGCGGACTGGCAACATCATTAACCCGTTATCCGGGCACAGCATCAAGATTGGCGGCGACCTGTTCAATCAGTTGATTGAGCAGGGCTACACGCCGGACATGGCAGCGGGCCGGCTGCAGCCGCCGCCGTCGACTCCAGGCGCAGGCGGCAGTCCGGAGGGCACTGCTGCGGACAAGGGAGCTAGCTCTTGGCTTCGAAGGCGTAAGAGCATGATGTGAAGGGTCATGGGAGGGACGGCTGTGCAAACGGATTGGGGCTTGATTTGGGTAAGAAGAGGCTGATGTGGGTATAGAGAGGCTGTTCAAGCAAGTCCTTGGGAGTTGACGCCCCTCGACGTTGTTCGCGTGTAGGGCTTGCACGTACGGTAGTCGTCATGGCGGTTGTTGTAGGTTTAATAATTAGATGGCTCTTGTTTACAGCGTAGACGCTATTGTCATTATGTACATATGCTACTACAAACGGAAAAGGGAGCAGCTGTCGTTAGCCACAGGCCCCACGCCCGCGTTAGCGGGATTCTCTTGTACGGAAAAAGATCACGCTGAGGCATTTCTTGTACCTCTGCCGAAAGGCACAAATCCATTTGGCTTAAGTGTGTAACATCCTAAATTGAATACCGTGTAGCCCTTCGTATGCCGTGTGGCTGCTGGCTGGCCATGCCTTCGTGACGTTCTCCGAGACGCATGTGGTGGATGCTGCAACATGGCAGAACAAAGGCAAGCGTCGCCTCGTAATTACAATTCATCAGTTCTACTATGCTGTAAACAGTCCGTGCTTATTTCGCGAAGTCGGTTCGGTTTCGTGAGCAGGTGCCTTACTTCGGCGCCGTTTCAGCAACCAATACTGCGAAAATGCGTTAAGAAGCCACGAGCTATCGTCCAAGCTGTCAAGGTGCGTGGCTTAGTTACCTTGTGCTTCTGTATCCCTACGTGGTCATTCAGGGCTACATTTCCGGTTGCTGTCCGCAGGAAATAAGGTATACATCAGGAGGCCAACGTCCAGAACTGCACTTGGCGCATTTCCATGAAGCACCTCGGGCCAGCGGGACGCCGGTGCAGTTCACGGCGGTTGGCGAGAGCGCAGCTCATCCATCCTCGCGGCGTGTTGAGAGGCGTATTCCCCTGGACCAGGCAAGGCCCTACCCAGCTATCTTGGAGGATCCTGGCAGTAGCGAGCGGGCTGTCAGTCGTTACCTTATAGGCACCATCATGAAGGCGTCCTCCTGGCAGCAGCTTGAGGGCGTGGTGCAGACGCACACCGCCTCCCTCAACTACATCCACATCAGCGCGCTGGTATGCCGCCTGCCCAAGCTAGTAACGCCCACGCAACTAGCAGACTCACAAAAAGCCAGGTTCAACCGCTTTCTCAGCGCGGTTTCTGACCTAGTCTCACATCGCCTTCCCAGCTTCGATGCGCGAGCCGTTGCCAACGTGCTGTGGGCTGTGAGTAAGCTTGGCTACAGCCCCGCGCCCCCGTTGCTGAACAAGTTCCTCTTTGAGGCGTACGTCCGCATGTACGACATGAAAGCCCAGGAGCTAGCGAACATATCCTGGGCGCTAGCAACCTTGGCCGCCATGGGCAACCAGCCCGTACCCCAGTGGATGCGCAAATTCACATGTGCAGCTGTACGGCAGGTGCCGTACCTGAAACCGATGGAACTGGCACACATGACCTGGGCGCTCTCCAAGCTCTGTGCCCCGATTACAGCCCCTAGCTCGCCCATGCAGCGACCGTTAGCCACCTCCACACCGCACACCCCGTCGCATGGTGCTGTCGCCACCAGTGCGGCTGCTACCACCAGCAGCAGTGGCAGCAACACGGCTGCCTCAGGCCCTGCCGACGCGCTGCCGGAGCTGGTAGCCGCGCTGGAGGCCAATGCCGCAGCCCGCCTGCGGCACTTCCACTGCGGCGAGTTGGTCATGACGGTCATGTCGCTGCACCAACTCCACCCGCCGGCCGGCTGCCGCCTGCTGCACCGGGCGCTGCCGGAGCTGCTGCAGAGCTGGTCGCAGGAGCTGTCACCACAGGACCTCTCCAACATCTGGTGCGTGCTGTACAAGTCTGCAATTGCAGAAGCAAGGATGCAAGATGATGCGCTGGAGGCGTCAACCAACGATGGTGGTGGGTCGGTATCTGCTGGCAGCGGTGCGACGCCACAAGCCGGTGGTAACGCTGCCGGCAGGGCTCACGATGACCGTAGCGGCACTAACGCAGCCTCATCATCAGGCCAACCGGCAAGCAGCAAGCCTGGGCGGAGCGATGGAGGACCTGCGGACGCAACGCATTTCAGTCGGAACGCCGAGGGGCAGGGGCGGAACTTCAACGCTGCCTCCGCTCCTTCACGGGGGCCAGCACCCCCACCACCAGACCCTGGGTGGTCCCTTCCCGCACAAGTGCCCCGCCACCACCTGCACGCCCTGCTAGACCTCACACACCGCTCTCTGCACACCTTCACGGCCCAGGGGCTGTGCACCGCGCTGGCCGCCTGGGCCGCCCTGGAGCTGCAGCCCAGCAGGGCCCACATGGTCGCCGTCTACCAGCGCTACCAGCAGGTGCTCCCGGCGCAAGCCACCTTCCAGTGCGTGTCTGTGTCGGTTTTGGCGCTAGCCCGGCTGGGGTTGCGGCCCGAGCCGGCGGTGCTCGACTTGCTGCTGTCCTGCGCAAGGTTGCAAATGCCCACAGCCAAGCCGCACGACCTGGTAGCGCTGGTGTGGGCGCTGCAGGAGTTGAAGTACCGACCCAGCAGGACGTTTTTCCCGCGGCTGAGCCCTCAGCTGGATGCGGTAGCCCCTCAGCTGCGGCCGCATGGGCTGCACATCGTGGTCCGCACGTACGCGTTGTTCGGCGTGCGGCTGCCTGGGGTGGTGGCCAAATGCGCGCTGCAGGTGACGGGCACCACCGCGATGATGACGGAGGCGAGGCTGCATAAGAAGGCGGATGCTGCCGCGCCAGCTGCGGTCGCGAAAAGCACCGAGCCAGTGCCAGCAGCAGCATTAGTAGCACCGGAAGCTGGGGCGACAGAAGCGGATCCGGCGGCGGCCTTGCAGCAGCTCACAATGCTGCCGCCTTGCGTCGCGGTACGCTTCCTAGCCTCGCTCATCGGCGTGGGCATGCCCAAGGCCAAGAACAGGGAATACCGTGGCGTCGCCAGGTCCAACCTGTGGCGGCTGCGCTGGCACCTGGAGTCCAGTCCCGACCGGCGCAAAGCCATCCTGGGCTTGCTGGAGGCCAGCACGCTGGGGAAGCTGGAGGGCCTGAGTACGGACGCGCTGTGCTCGCTGCTGTCCAGCATGGCACAGCTGCGGCTGGAGCCCAGCGCCGCCTTCCTGTCCGAGGTTCAGCAGCAGGCGGCGTCGCGGCTGCACCACATGGAGGTCTGGCAGGTGGGCTGGATGCTGTCGTCGTTGGGCGCGCTGCACTCGCCGCCGCCTGTGGCATGGCTGGAGGATGCTCTGCGGCGCATAGCGCTGGAGATGGATGCGCTGTCGAACCGGCAGCTGGTGGGCGTGGTGCGCGCGCTTGGGCGGCTGCACTACCGGCCGCCCATGAAGTGGATGCAGGCGTACTTCACGGAGTGTATGAAGCGGATAGACACCTGGCCGGCGGCTTTCCTGGCGATCTTCCTGCGCTCGCTGGCTCAGATTGGGCTTCGGCTCAAGGGCGCGCCGTGCACGAAGCTTGGAGCGGTGGTGTGGGCAAAGTGGAAGGAGAAGAAGCAGAGAGCGGCCGAGGCGACTGCGCGGGGGGATATGGAGACGGTACGCAGGTCGCTCAAGTCCAACCTTCGGGTGTGTCTGTGTAGCGTGTGCGCGGATGAAGAGGGGTGCGTGATTGAGGGGCCCTAACTGCCGCATGGGGCCGGTGGTGTGGCGGGATGAAAGCTGTCAAAGGTTGGATTGCGGTGTGAATCATTACCATCGCGAAGAGGCAAGCATGGCCCAGCGGCCCGAGTGGAACGCAGTTTGGGTTTAAGCTGCGTGTGGGAAGCAACAGGTTCCGATTGCGGTAGGCAGATGCCGCGGACAGCCTCAGGTGCTGAGGTGTAACGTGGATGCCAGAGAAGACAGAAGAGGAGCTGGGAGAGAGACTGAAGTGAAGGTGTAAGGCTGTAAGCGGAGGGGTACTATTTGTTGGGGCTTAGGCTGGGTCAGGCTTGATGCTGTCAAGACTGTCACCGTTGCGGGTGCCGCACGCAGCAGGGCTGTACGGGAGGGTGCTTGCTTAGACCTAACTAGCGTGGTAGCTGGCAGGTTGCCACCAGGCCCCTTTGTATTCTTCGTCAACTGTACAATATATTCTTTATGAGTATGGTAGGTAGCTGCGTAGCTCCCAGCCTGTTGTTCCCGTATAGGGATTGTCTTGGTGTGAGTTGTTTTCTGCCCAATGGTGGTGCTGTGTCATTACGAGCAGGCAAAAGCCACCAAAGGGAGCAGTGGATAGCTTTTTAAACCTTGTCTTCGGGCTGCCGTACTTTGCGAACGGTTGCCAGCGCCCGTGGCAGTGTGGTGAGCAGTGGCAACTGTCTTAGGAGGATAGGTTTCAGCACAGTATCCGCATCCGCAGGCGGCACCGCCGCCTTGACAGGGCTTGTTGGCAAGCTGCGGGTTGCCTTGGGCGCCGCTATCCAAATGGCGGCGCCCGTACCGTCCGACAATGTCAAAGGAGGTGACCCCGCTGACAATGAGGAATGGGTTGTGGAACGTTGTGGAACACGCTGGATCCAGAGACATGGAATTTCGGCCCACTTGAGTATAATGGTCTCATCTGAATGAACCTTATAGGCTTAAAAGCACCTGGGGACGGCAACAACCGGTGTGGATGCTTTCACCCACATGCGACACAACACCCCTATTTAGTCTAACAGCAATTGATTGTCCTTAAACATGCATAGGCATCCTAACAGGACGCGGCATCTTAACATTCCCAAGGCAGCATGAAGGCACAAAAGTGCACACCTCCGTGTCCATCAGCGCTTGTTCCAACGCTAAGGCATTCAACGAGGTGTGCTAATACGGCATCTTACGGGTACACTGTGTGATACATTTTGCAGCCAGCACGTGTCAGCCTGAGGGCTACACCTAGAAGCTCATAGACACTGTCCAGCAATGTGCCCCATGTATGTGCACGGTCACACTTATCCGTGTGGTCCCTAGCGCAGGGTGAGAGCCCTGCACCGGACAGCACCTCACCTTGCAGTGAAGTGCTGCCCAGTCTAGCACAGTACAACAACCCGGCCCAGCTGGCCTGGACAGCAACACCCGCCGCAAGGTTCATGCCCGCCCTTTTAACCGCTTGCCGTTGCCCTTCTTCTTCCCGCCTTTAGAGACGCCGCCCTTAGCTCCCATTTTCGAGCGCTTGCCCTCGCCTTGCTGCTTCTGTTTCCGCGGTGCCCCTCCTCCGGACGGGTGTCGAGCACCTCTCCCACCGCCAGCGTTCTTCCCAGCGTTCTTCCCAGCAGCCGCTCGCCTGCAGCAGCAATGCAGACAGGCAACAAAGCTAGTGAGCATGGGCTAACGTCCGGGCGAACAGATATGCGTCGATATGCCGCATGGTAGGAACACCACAGGCCTGCAAGACAGAACGATAGCTACAACCATACCACCCTACTCGCTACCAACGGTATACACAAGCTTTACCCACGCTCTCCTCACCCTTTCGAGCTCGGCCCTGGTCCAGCCCTCCCGCCATCCTCCTCATCGCTCCCCGCCTCCTCGCCGCTGCCCTCGTCCTGCTCCTGCTCCTCGTCGTCAGACGACTCCAGTGCCATGGTGGTGACGGTGGTGGTGACACCGCCCTCGCCCTGGTATACCGTCACGTTCTGAGGCTTCTCCTCCGCGTCGTTGTCATCTGCCAGTACGGCGAAGAGGGGGAACAAAGGCAGGAGCGGGTGACTAGCGCACGAGGTAGCGGTAGGTCTCAGCGGTAAGGCACCCCCCACCCGGAGATCCCAAAGCGGCGGCCGCTAGGGAGCACAATAGGTACTAGCTGCAGGCGAGCGGCGGCCAAACCATCCCTCCTGATGCGTGCCAACAGCATGAGAGGTTAAACGCTCCTGGCCCCAGGATGCTGGAAGCCCGCGTGCAGGTACGGCACTCCTATCAAGGACGGCGACAGTAAGCTGGGTAGCAACCATGGCCCCACCCACCGTCATCGCTGCTGGATTCAACGCCGTAGTTGTCCCCTAGGCCCAGCTGCTCCTTCAGCTTCGTACGCCTCTGTTAAAGCGAGCGGTCAATGTTTCCGGGGTGAGAACTCGTGGCGTTACCCATAGGGTCATAGCACACAAGATGCAACCCCTCCAGTAGTGGCGACAAGACCCTCAGGGCAGTTTGGCGGCCAAATAGCACATCGCAGCCGGGGGGAGGGGGATTTCACTGTGCGCTCCTCGCAGCTACCGCCTAAGCATGGCAGTGTGGCAGGGAGCCAAACCGCCACCCACCTCAGAGCGCTGCTGGTTGCGCTCTTGCCGCTCCTTATCCTTGATTTGCCTACATGGATGTTGAGACGGGTATAGTATGGGGGAACAATAAGTAACTGTGTACTTGGTGCTGGACTATCTTTGCTGTGCGTGTGGGCTTGGAGAAAGATTAGGGTTCAGGGTGAGGCTAAAGGGTGCAGGTACACACCCACTTTTGGGCATCTTGCCGCCGCTGCTGCTTGCGCTTGCGGAATCCCGTGACATACTCCCTGCATGTCAGATGAAGTCACTCTGGTTGTGATATGCGTCCTGTATGTTGCACGCTGGCGGCTGGACATGAGCATCCTCCGGGGAAGGGCTGGCTGCGGCCAGCACAATAATAACAATTCCTCACTTGTAGTCCTTAACATCAAACACAACCTCCACGCCCTTCTGCTTCAGCTTGTGCTTGCTTATGTGAAAAGCTGAAGGAGCTTGGTCGCCTGGCACTTTCTTGCGCAACCCTAATGCATCATATTCACGAAACCTAAACTTGCTCATTGTAATTTAGCTTCTAGCTCTGCGGAAACTTAGTGCTACCAAAGCCTAGCAGCAATAATCGTCTTGAGCAAACAGGGTTAATTGAGGATCGAAGTGAACAGCAGTGTGTTCAGTGGGTTGCAAGGGCAGAGATGTTTGTACCGGAGCAGTTGATGCCATGCTGCCGATATGCTATGCCCGTACGGCGCAATTTTTAAATTGTCCTTAACCTCGAAAAAAAGAGAGCACTTTGGCGCAGTTGACAATATCGCTATTAACGAAGAACGTGCAAGGGGTCGATCCATTCGATAAATTGAAGAATCCAAGCACTTGCGACAGAAATGTCCCTTACGAACCCAGTGTCATCGGTGCAGCATTTTCAATCATGTGCGCAACCCATAGGCCCTAAACCAACACGTGTATCCTGCCAGCACTTGAGCGCTTTAGCGGCCACGCGACTGCTCGCTCCCACGCCCTACGTTCATCCCACGGATTGCAATGCCATGCCACGTCGCTGCAGTCCGCTGACTAGGAATCCCGTCCAGGCCCATCGTATTCGGACAGTAATGCGAGGTAGACGCGCCTTGGCGAGGACAAACCTTGGAAGTACCTCTCCGAGGTACTCCAGCTTGGCTTGCCACCTTTTGCCTAACCTCTCTGTGTTCCACCGCCGTAGCTACGAATCGCGAACCCGGATTCCCTTTTGACGAGAGCGACTATTTGAGGTATAGTCCCGTGGGCATGGCTCGTGTTAGATACCTGGTGTGGAATGCGTTCAGATGCGTTTAATCACTGTCGTCTTGCGAACTCACGAATTTCTCGTCCCAGTACGCACATTTAAAAGCCCGTAGCTCCTGACAATGCACAAGCCCTTCCTTCCAATGGTTTGGTAGGGTTGCCCTTCTCAACCGCGCGCCGTACGGCCCCATGAAGATCCTGCCCGCCTCCGACCAAAGCGCCAGCACCTATAGCGGTGAGGTTCTGCTGGCTGCATTAGCATTGCAGTGCAGTTTGAGCAGCCTTCCTGTGAAGAGCAGCCCTCTCACAACGCGGTTACACATCGTGCCAGGCGTGTTGGTCTTCAAGCGTGAGGCGGAGCAAACCCTCAGCCCCGAAACTCCAGTCTTGGAAGTGTTTGTTGCTGGAGGTAAGAAGCATCGTACCGTAGCGCATGTCCTGTTACGTTGCTCCAAAATGCCTTGCCAGGTATGGTTAGAGCTATCTGCGACACCTTAGCACCCCTCGAAACTGCCCTGTGACATCCCAGATACCGCATGCAACATCTACACTCAGCTCCACGGCTACAAGTCCAACCGACCCATGGTTCACGACCTCATGTTTGACGTGAGTTACGTCTGAAGGCTGCTTGCAGAGCCTGGTGTCGTTTCAGTCCCTTGGTCACTAGTTCTATATATCACTAGAAATCTCGCCTTGCTGGTAACCAGGGCCGTAGGTGTAATGATTCGTGAATGCCGCTCCATACACGGTCGTATTCCACCAACTCCTGCACTGCCGTTGTTATCATGCGCAGCTACTAAACCGCGCCCAGGAGGTCAGCCGCGGCCAGTGGCAGCTGCTGCGGGTGGCGGTGGTGGCGCTGGAGAACGACATATTCATCGGGCGCCTCTTCTTCGGTGATGCGGCCACGGGCGCTGTCATGTGGGACTGTGACTGCCGGCCCTCTGACGGCGTCTACTTGAGCCTTCGGGTGAGCGGGCGCACCTGGCTAGGGTGCCCTGAGCTGGGGTGTTGGTAGGCTTGTTTGGGTGGGGGGAAAATTATAAATAGTTTGGGTGGGGGGGGCAGTGTTCGAGGTCATTGCTGCTGCCTGCTGGTTCTGACGCATGTGCCTTCTGGGCAACCGCAGACCGGCTGCCCGTTCTTCGTGGCTCGCAAGGTATGGGAGGCGGCTGCCGTGCCCATCCGCATGTCCAAGGTGCACATGATTGCGGCGCATGAGGCCGGCGTTGCCTCAGCCCAGCAGCAACAACAGGGGAACCAAGGGCTACAGCAGCAGCAGGCGCAGCAGCAGCAACAACAGGCCCAAGCCGCTTCCAGTAGCTCCAGAAGCAGCCATGCGCAAGCGGACCCACAGTCCGGCGACGGAGGCAGCAGCGGTGCAGCCTCATCCGCAGACGACTACACGACACTCAAGTGAGTGCAGAACCGTTGGGCTCCTCGGCGGACGGCTGTTGCAGGTCAACACTGGTTTCCACGATAGATACTGTACTAGGCTGTTAGTTATCTGCAGTTGAGAGCCGTCCCCAAACCCTACGTCCCTCCTACATCGCTCTCTCTCCTCGTCACCCCCAGGCCTGACGACCCCGAGGTCATCAAGCTGCTCAAGCGCGAGCTGGCGGTTGCGGTGCGCGAGGAGGACTATGCGGCCGCCATCCGGCTGCGCGACCACCCCTACATGCAGCTCTACCGGCGCATCGAGGCCTTCCATCACGTGGGGCGGGCGGAGGAGGCGGCGTCGCTGCGCCGAGAGCTGGCGGCCATGATCAAGCGGAGCAACGCGGCGGGGAACATGGGGCCCCTGTGAGCATGCGGGCCCGGCAGGCAGCAGATGCAGGCGCTGGCTTGTGGTGCGGCAGGCGCGGAGGGGGCAGGCGGGCGGGCGGGTGTATTGTGCATGCGTGCATCATGAGGAGTGACGTTGTTGCTGATACTGCCAAACTAACTGATGTGTGAATGAATGGATCAAAGTGAATGCTGGGAACGGTGAGGGAAAGAGAGACCGGATAGAAAGTGATAAGCTCAGGTTACAAAGGTACCGATCTTGGCCGGTCCTTACGCTGTACATACTAAGTCAATTATATAGCGCTGTAGGTGATCCGAAGCCAATATATCACTTGGTGGTGATTTGCGGTGCATGAAGAACGTGGTTATTGATGACGCACTCTGTGATTAAAGCATCGCCGCACAGTTAGGCATATTGTCCGCAAGATCTTAGAGAACCCCCTTGGGCAGCCGCAGCTTGCCGCTCTCCACGCGGGTCTTCTGGAGCGGTTTGACCCGGAGCACGCCGTTCTTGAAGCCCGGTCCCGCCTCCATAAGCCCGCGGTCGCGGTTCTTGGCTGCAAATTGCAATTGCAACGGAGGGACGCAGTGAGTCCAGGTTTTGTTTTGAGGCGTGGATGTTGCGCGCATGCATTATTGTACGCATGGTAGCTGCTGTTGAACTGATACACGCTATAACGGGAGACAAACATATGGCGAAAGGACAAAACGCCTGAAGTAGTCGAGCTGTATGTAAGTGGTTACGTAAGGGGTCACCTTCGCCCCTTTCGCCATCGGTCGCCAAGGCCCAACAGCTTCCCTCCAAGCCTCTCCCCTCCAAGACCCCAGCCCTACCCAGCCCACCTCTGTCTGCTCGCTTCTTCTTGCCCATCCCCTTGCGCTGCACCATGCCCGTCTCGATGGCCTCCTCCAGGGCCCGCGCCTGCCGCTTGGCCGCTACCCGCGCCATACCCTTGCCGATGGATGCCGCCGTGCGGGGGGCGGTGTCGGCCTTGGCGCCCAGCCGAGCCAGCATGCGCGCCTTGTAGGCTTTGGCGCCCTTCTTGTCTAGAGCGGTGGAGGCTGGGGGCGGCATGCGGGGGAGGAGAGAAGGCGAGTACCGTAAGGAGATCAACGCAGGCGGGGGGAAAAGGTGGGAAGCAGGGCGAGATGAAGTTGAAGCCGAGCAAGCAGCTGCGTGTGTTGGCAGCGGGCAGCTGCTAGGGCGCCCCCTGCTCCGCTCCCCCCCTCTCTCACCAAACTTCTCAATCTCCAGCTGCAGCTTCTGGAACTCCTCGGGGCTCAGACCGCTCTCGTCCTCCGCTGCCGCTGCCGCCAGTTTGGCTCCCCGGCCGCCCCGCGCGGCGGCAGCAGGCGCCTGCACCGCCTCGTGGACCTTGCTGGCCTGCAGGGGGGCGGACGGGAGCCGGCGGGGAGGAGTGTACGCGGATGCCGGGCGCTAACCTAGCCCAACCAGCCTTGCCCTCATGTGGAAGACACCGAACCCAGACTCACGACTTGAGTGCTGTAAGGGAAACATCTACCGGTACGTGGGTTTTCCCATAGTGCCCACAACCAGACAAGCACTTGTAACTACCCGTACGCCCTACCTTGTGCGACATGAACAACTTCCGCTCGCGCCGCAACGCCTCCGCTGCTGCTGCCTCCTGGGCTGCCGTTGCCGCCGCCGCCGCCGCTGCTGCACTTGCAGAAGCCGCTAATCCCTGTTTGCCCATCCTGCCGCCTTCCGCCGCAGTGCCGCCTGCAGCTGCCCGCTTGGCCTTCTTCCGCCCAGCCTTCATGATGGCATCTATCTCGTCCGCTGCCCCTGCGCTCCGCTTGCGGCTCCCGCTGCCGTTTGCAACAGCAGCGCCGGCAGCCGCCGTAGCGGCTGGTGACCCAGCTGCTTGGCTGGGGATCTGTTGGTGTTGTTTTTTGCTCCTTGGCTGTTTGGTTTGGGACGTAGGGCCCTCCTTTGCTTCCGTTTTTGCGTCCCGAGGTGACGCGGAGGTCGTGATACGGCCTGCAATAATTACATGTGCAAGTGGGGCCGGGTCGTATACTGTTGCTTAACAGCATGGCGTATCCTCGCAAACAACGGAAAATGTCGGGGATTGGGAATCCCTGGGGCAGGATTAGGAATCCCTGCAATGCGGGCTTGCCAACCGTGCCCTAAGAGGAGCTCGTTGGAACCCGGCAGGTAGACACTCAGTCCTTTACCTGACATGGCAGCATCGGCACCCTCGGAAACCACCCTCCGTCGTATTGTAACGCAAGAGGCTCATGCAGTGGGGCTCCCCCACCAAGCACCCCGAGAGGTCACCCAGCAACCCACTACGGCAAAGATATCTTACCGCCGCCGCCTTTCACCGCTTGCGCTGATTGCTTAGATTGCCGGGTTGCACCACGCCCGCTTGTGCTGGCCTTTGCCGCTTTTCGGTCATCGTCGTCGTCAAACATCGCCATGAAGCGCTCACCTGCCAGGGCGGCCTGAAGCTTAAGCGCGTGCTCATGCGTTAACAGCTTTGTTTTTATTCACACTCTCACCGTACTCCGCAAGCTTATCCAGCACAGCATCCGCTGTGCCGGCGTCGGCCTTCGGCCGCTTTTCTCCTTTCATATTCTTTCCACAGCGGGTTGCAACGAGTAAGCAGAGGGGGCTCCCTTAACAGAAGTATCAATTCTTGGCAACTTTGCAGTGTCTCAGTCGGGACTGGGACACTGGGTCGACTGTTGAGGAGCACACGAACCCGATTCCGAAGCTCACACCAATACAAGCTTGTGTTCCCAAATGGAATAGTCAAGGCGATAAGCAAACAGCGGGGTACCCGGGGTTTACTAACGATGGCTCCGATGCCGATGCCCCAACCGTCACTAAGCACCTTTGCGAGGTTAACGTACGCTGCGATCCTTTACCAATGTAATGCACGTCTGATTCACGACATACTATACTAACAAAATTCATAGAGCTCTAAGAGTTATTTCGCGACACGGCTTGCTGTCGCCTTGTTAAGCCCGTCGCCCCTTTCATACCAAAGCATTGCCAAGCGCACAACACCGAACTCGAAGTATATGTTAAGGTCAGTCGTATAACAATGCGTTAATGCTGTGCCTAGCTTTACTGAAATGGCCACACATGGATGTTACCAGTGAGGCTCGGCGCTTCCTGGCCAAACCTTTGGGCCTTCATTTACCTTTTTGGCGAGCTTCGAGGACATGCTGGGCTGCTTGACTGGAAACAGTCGCACTGACACTCGGCGTGGCTCCAGCGTCTCAACCATGCGCTGCTGGCAGTTAGTTGAAAACCGTAAGCACGGAGGGCTGGCTTGCCACAAATCACAACAACTTCTGCTCTCGCAACAAAGCGCCGTGCGCCTGCTGCATTCCCCTTCCTGGTCACACGTGTAGGACTACCGCTGGTAACGCTAGTCGCTGTGGCAAGTCTGGTGGTTGCCGCTGCCTCCCTCCGAGTCCTGGTCAGTGACATGGGGGGCCTACAGTTTGAAACAGGGCAGCACACATTAGGCAGGGTTCAGAAGCACCCGTATGACCTTTAGCAGAGGCAGCGTGCGGGCACAACCGCCGGGGCATGGGACTTCACAGGAAGGCAACCTGACTGACCTGCTGCTGCTGCTGCGTTGCACCCTGTAGTCCGCACCTCGTCTCCTCACTCCCCTGCTGCTGCTGCTGGGCCCTCACCAGGTGACCGATCAGGGCGCAGGGCTGAGCCCTGGTGGCAAGGCAGTGTGGGGCCAGCCGAGGACACAGCAGCAGCAGCGGGACCACCACGCGGACTGGCGGCCGGCAGTGCCGTACGGCATCGCGCACCGGGGCGCCTCCGCCGAGCTGCCGGAGCACACGCGGGAGGCGTACGAGGCGGCGGTGGCGGAGGGTATGGGGGTGGGAGGACGGGATGGCGGGAGATGACGAGGCGTCACCATGGGTTGCCCAAAATCACCATAGCCGGCTTTCTCTCACTACCCCACCCCTTCTTGTGGTGTACTTCGTTTGTATCAGCCCCACCCTTCTCATTGGGTATTCTTCTCCCCCCCAGGCGCCGACTTCATCGAGTGTGACGTGGTGCTCACCGCCGACCTGGTGCCGCTCTGCCGCCACGAACCCAACCTGGAGGGCTCCACGGACGCAGCCGCCAAGTTCCCCCACCGCCGTACATCCTACCTCATTGACGGAGTCAACGTGAGCGGCATCTTCAGTGTGGACCTGACGGCGGCGGAGGTGGCGACGTTGCGTGCCGTACAGCCCTGGCCCTTCCGGAACCAGTCGTACAACGGGCAGTTTCGAGTGGCCACGTTGGCGGACTTCCTGGATGTGGCAAAGGTAGGTGGCGTGAAGGCCAATCCGCTTGTGTATCGGGATAGCGATTGAATCCCGCACTAACCTCACTTCCCTTCTGGCACCCTCCTCGCTCCTTACCCTCCTTGCACCCGCCCCTGCAGTCCGCCCCCCGCCCCGTGGGCATCTACCCGGAGACCAAGCACCCCTCCTGGACTAACTCCCTGCCCGCCCTGCGCGCCGCCGCCACCCGGCTGGAGGACATCCTGCTGGCGGCCCTGCATGAGGCGGGTTTCGGAGCGGGCGGGCCGTACGGCAGTGAGGCGTGGCGGCAGCGGCCGGTGTTCGTACAGTCCTTCGAGGCGTCCAGCCTGCGCTACATGGCGCAGCGCACGTGCGCGCCCATGGTGCTGCTGCTCGGGGAGTGGGAGGGGTGAGACGCGTGGGAGGGGACCAGGGGAGCCGTCAGCTGATGACGCACCCAACCCCTCTCTTTCTCTTGCCTTTTCTGCGTCCTCTTTCTCGTTCTGCTCCCACCTCACCACTGCCCCGTTAAGATGACTTCTGACGCATCCCGGCGCATCCCGCAACACCTGATACCCTCCCCCTCACCCCCGCCCCCCTCCAGCTGGTCCGCCCCCGACAGCGGCCTCACACTGGCCCAGCTCACGGAGGACACCTCCCTGGCCCACATCGCCGGCTGGGCGGCAGCGGTGGGGCCGGACAAGGAGACACTGGTCACCTGGGAGCAGGAACAGGGCAGCGGTGGAGGTTCAGGTGGTGGTGGCGGCAACGGCAGCGGCAGCGGCAGGGGCCGGTACGTGAGCTCGGGGCTGGTGGAGAAGTTCCATGCGCACGGCTTGCAGGTGGGTGGCGTGGGGGCAGGCAGGGGGGGAGGGCAGGGAAGGGGTCGGAAGGGAGGAGGCGTAGGGCCGAGCAGGGCCGGGGCGTTGTGACGGGTGATGAGCCGTGTATCCGCCCCTACCACCACCACTACCCGCTCACCACCACCACCACCCGCCTTCACCCGCAGGTGCACCCCTACACCTTGCGTCCTGAGCCGCGCTTCTTCCTGCCCCACCTGGCCGACCACTACTACCGGCACCATCACACCACCAGCCCCCCCACCCCCACCTCAGCCTCCTCCTCACCCCCCTCCGACCCCGGCCCGCCGCCCGTCAATGCCAACGTGAGTCTGGAGTACCAGCTACTGCTGGCGGATGTGGTGATGGCGGATGCGGTGTTTGCAGACCACATGCCCTCCTTCGTGAGCTGGAGGCAGCAGCAGCAGCAGCATGGGCATGGGAGGCAGCAGCAGATGGGGTGGGTGCAGGGCACTAAGCATGCGGGTAGAGTGCGGTGGTGGGGAGGGCGGAGGGTTGCCGCGGTAGAGGCGGGTGGTGTGCAGGAGCGGCGGGTGCAGACGCAGGGTGGGGGGAGGAGTGCCTCAGCAGAGGCCGCCACCTTGGGGGGCCGGGTCGCGGTGGTGGGGGGCGGACGAGGGGAAGTGATCGGGGGTCTGGGAGCAGCCGACAGCGGCGCAGGGGGTGGTGCAGGAGGGGCTGCTGATGCTGGCGGGGGCGCGGGTTGGGGCGGGCGGCGGGTGTGGAGCGAGGAGCTGCGGTGTGAGGTGTATGTGGCGGGGAGGGGAGGAGGGTGAACGGGGTAGCGGAGGACAGGGCGGTGGGAACCTGGGATCTACAAGCGGGGATGCCCGACGCACAGCTCCAGCAAAAGGGCTGAGCTCAATGGGTACGCCGAGCAGGATAGTTAGTAAGTGCACATGTGCCAGGCTTGGCTTGCTAGGAGGTGTGGTTAGCTATGTCCGAGGCTCAACGAGGCGCTCCGTGCATGCTCTTCCATCGCCTCTGAAAGGCCAGTTTGCCGCTGAGTACTTGCCCGGATGCCCGTACTGGCCCGTCTACGGTACCCCCCCCCGAAAACGTCCACCGGTATGTGGGCTAGCGACATGCGCGCAGACCTTGCACCACTGGTATCAGCTGCATGTCACCAAGTATTCCCACCGCTCATCTCGCTGCTGCATACCGGTACCCAACCACCACGGCCGCCCAGCACCTTTCCCCAGATCCCCACGCACCCTTCGTCCCCTCCAAAACAACGGCAAACAGCAGCCTCATGCTCACTGGGTCTCACGTCCATGTCGCCCTATCATCAATTACTGTATCATGAGTATGCAAGCGCCCGTGAGGGGCGGTCCGCCACCGTCGACGCCACCAGCGCCTCCCCAGCCTCCGGAAACGCCCCGTGCACGATGTCCCGTAGCAGCGGGGCGGCCGCCTCGGGCACCTCCTCGCCGTCCTTGAGGCCTGCGGGGGGAATGGTGCGATACCGGTAGTGGTGAGGCCCGGGCCGGCATGGCAGACGAGCATGCATGCATGGCAGGGGAGGCCAGAGGGTTGTGGAGGAGGAAAGGGGTGGCTGGAGGCTGGCAGGCAACCCAACACCCCTGCCCCTCATCCGGCTCTGCTGGCCTGCAACGGTTTGCCAGCCTCTTAGCACCCGAGATGAGCCTACACCAGCTGCACACACCCTGGTGGTACTGGTAAGTGAACCAGCTGCTCCGCCCCGTCCCCCGCCCTACCCCATTGCCGCCTCCTATCCCCATTGCTTTGCTCTAACCTGTGGCTTCCTATGGTTCGGTATGGTCTTTGACCCACCCACCCCGCCCCCGGCCCACCTAAGCACAGTGTGCACAGCGCGTCCACCGCCACCCGGACTTGCTCCTCCAGCCGCCCCTCCGGCCGCGGCATCAGCGCGTACTTCTTCAGCACGGCCTGCTTGGCGGCCTCGAAGCGCTCCACCTCCACCTCAATGTCTTGCTGCATGCATGCGAGGGAGGAGCGAGGAGGGAGTTGGGGCGGGAGCTATCAGGGGAGAGGCAGGGAAGGGCCGCCGGCCTGACATGGCAATGATGGCGTGGCGTGGCGTTTTGGGGGGTAAGGGAGAGCGAAGGCAAAGCCAGATGCACAGGTGGAAAGGCACATACACGAATGCTGTGGGCGAGGGCATGCATGGCTGCCGGTTACCGGTATCATTGGAGGTCTAAGACAGCACGAAGGGTGAGTACGGTAGTTCGCGCCAGGCCGACGGACGGACCTCACCGTCACGCGCAGGCGCCTGCTTGCGGATACGATGTCCTTGGCCGCTACCAGCCCCACACCCATCTTGCTCATCCAGAGCACCAGCATCACCCAGCGGCTGTTGGCGGGCTGTGTGAGAGTCGGGCCAGGGAAAAACAAGCACATGGGGTTGGTCACGTGGAGTTTGCCCTTCATCTGAACGAGGAGTGTGGCTCTTGTAAAACCCACATACCAAACAGTTTAGCAAGACAGGGTACCATTAACGAGGCTTAGGCTTCCTGTAGAAGACAGTGCATGGCGGCTCAGGGCTATAAGGAATACCGTAGATGCCTGCTTGGAGAGCCGCTCACCTTGCCGTACATCTTCTCCAACTGCGTCTGTGCTAGCCGGTAGCTGGGAGGCGCTTTATCTATCATAGAACGGGAGAACTCTGGATAGGCCTGCGGAGAATTGGCCATGAGGCTTCAGTTGTAACATGGCGATGCAATGGCCAGGGGGCCTAAAGCTTGCGTATTAGGGGCGGAAAGAGCTTTGGGTACGTCGTGAGCTTCAGGAGGCGAACCCACCAACTCATCGAAGCCACCTTCAGGCGTTGCCAAACGGGAGACAAGACCAACAATAGGGAGTGCTCCCTGCACCTTCTTCGCAACAGTCCTCAGGTTGCTGAAGAAATCCCCATCCCTGGCACCACAAGTGCAGGGAAAACCGGTTATTGACCATAGGAACGAGGGCATCTGTGGCACTCAGGTATGCATACTGGTAGGGGATGACCCACTTCGCCTGCGCTGCCTTAACGACGAGAATTGCCCTTCCGGCACGCCCACGACAACCGACTGTCGCCGGTCTGCTGCCGCAAGCTGTTAACTTGCTGATGATCATTATAATGGGCTATGCACCAATTATCCAAAAAATTGTATAACAATCCGTGCGAGTGCCAATTACGACTTGCAAGGATAGCTATGGAAGCCAAGGAAATTCTTACGTTACGGTGGACCGATAAAGCTAGAGGTTTATCCTGAAATGCAAGAACGTGAACGTGTCTCGAACACTGCGATTAGGTAGCCTTAATTTGTTTTTCCAGATCTTCAACTTCGTACCGCAAGTCCAATTCCTGGTAAAACGACAAGCGTTCATAAATGTGTTTTGGGAAGTGTGCTTTTCCTCGCTTCCTCGTGCGGGAAGAGCCGGCATTGTACGACATGTTCAAGCTGCTCAGGCCTACATTGCCAGCATCAACACGCCATGCTAAGAGTATAGCATGTAGCCAACCATGCAGCCGCCTACACGCTTGGTGAGGCAAATTATAGGTTTGGGCTTTGGCCCTCACACAAGACTGGTCCGACCCTTGGGCCGAATGAAGCCCCTTTCAAGTAGTACGCACATACAGGGCCCATGTCTGCCGGATGCACAGCCCCTGACATTAATACGCAATGCGCACGAACATCTTGTCACTCACAGCTCCCACCTGCATGGCACTGAATTCAGCAGAGGTCACGCACGTCCCCGGTTACCGAGGTTCTACTAGAAGCTCCGCGACATCTAACGAAACTAGGTCAAATCAGTGTGCTCCTGACGACTAAAAGACATCTCCACAAGGTAACTACTCTGCATCCTCACTAGTTATTGTACTACCGAGGCCATGAAACATGCAATTCCACAGCAACCCAATCCTGCAATCCTGCAGAGCGCACCCTCTACCTACAAACCAGAACCAGACAGCTTATAGCTAAATCCTGCCATCCACGCTCAGCGCACTGCCCACTGCTCATATGAACGATTCGCACTGTACGACGTATCCTCCTACCTAACCAGCTACCGATCTGGTGATCCCGTCAAGTCGATGGGTGATGACGCCGGCTGGCTGACAGCGTCATCGTAGGCCTCCTGACCCCCGAGGCTACCCGCCGAGAAGAAAGAGTTTTCCTCGTCGTCCACCGTTACCTTCTCCACACGCGCAGGCTGGACCGGAGCACCTTGCGGAATCGTGTTACCGTCCGGGCCACGTGACCCGCCAGTCGTCTCAATCGCCGTCCGCTGCCGGCCGGCCTCGCCGGACGGCTGCTGCAGGCCGGCAACGGGGCGCGGCGCCCCATCCCCACCAGCTGCGCCCGCCGCACCGCTGCCGCCACCCCGATTTGCCCTGGCCATCAGGCCAGCACCGAAACCAAGGCCACCAAGCCTGCCGGCCGGCCTTGCCAGGGGCGCCTGCACAAAACCATGTCCGGGCCCTGAGGCCCCAGCGCTGGAAATGGAGGTAGCTGGAGATGAACCGCCGGATCCGGTGTTGCTGCTGCTAGTACCAGCAAATGCACCTGTGGCGTTGTTGCTGCCACCCATGGCAAAACGGCTGAAGAGGCCACTGCCACCACTCGCGCTGCTACCGCTCGATCCCGCAAGGTCGCTGGCGACAGCGCCGTCAGCCTCCAGAGCCTTCAGCTCGGCCACGGCCACCTGGTGCTGCCGCTCCAGGATTACCAGGCTCTCCTTGAGCTGCAGGACATGAAAGCTTAGCTTACTTACAGGTACATACCGCCTAAGCATAGGCAGGTCAAGGTAACATATGTCGAAGTAACAGCGTCCACATAACTGTAGGAAATATAGTTTGACGTACCTTGGCCCCACCGTCCGGCATTCGCATCGCTAAGGCCGCCTTGAGCGTGCCTTGCGTGGTTTGGATGCGGGTAGCGAGCTCCTCAACCTTGCGCCGCGCCTGGTCCACTGCTGCCCGCTGCTTCATGCTGGCGGAGCTACTGGAGATCTTCATGCCCGACTGCATCATGTTGGTCAGGGCATCCACGCCAACTGCGGAGACGTGGATTGCAAAAGTTGCTTTAGAGAATCCTCTACGACTAACATACGCCCTTGCGTCTTCTCAATTTCCGCTGTACATGGTGGGGGGGTGCACGTCATGGAGCATGGCAACGGCTAGGAACGGTGGGATGACAGGGCCCAGGCCCGTGTGGTGTTGAGATGTATATGACGGACATGGGCCCTGGTACAGGTGCGGGCCAGCACCCCGTGCCTAGCTTCGAAGCACTTACTTGGACCCGCCTTCTGCATCTGGCTGAGGATGGCTGCGCCCTCCTGTGCGGTGGGCACGGGCTCTTCTGGGCGCTGGCTGAACAGCAGGTTGTGGTCGTGGATGCCTGCAGCGGCAGCGGCGGTCGCAGAGATGTCAGGGTTGCAGCAACAGATGGGGCAATAGCAACATCCCAGTGATGCTTTTCCCAGACCAGATGCCGTACGCACCTGCGACGCTCTCCATGCGCCTCACGCGCTCCAGATGCCGCTGCAGCTCCTCCGTCGCGTCCCGCTGGTGAGCGTGCATCCCGTGCAGCTGCACCTGTGTGGCGCTCTCCTGCAGGCCCTCCGGGGTCACGCTGAAGAGGTCGCGCAGCTCGGTCTGGGTGAAGTACCTACGGCGACATGGTGTGGGCACGCAACAGAGAAAACATCAGCGCTTCATGGGTAGGGTACAGTACACGGAACAGTTGGCATTGCCTGGGGTAATCCCTGTTTGCTCCGATGTCTCGTCACGCCCCACGCATAAGCCCGGAGCCGCCGCTCTCCTCATGACAAGGGCAAAGCAACATCACAGCAATAGCACGCTTTGATGCCCGCAGCCCCCACACACCTGAACTGGATTCCCTCCTCAGTGCCGGTCTTGAGCAGCCCGCCCTTGTACACCTGCTTCCGGTAGATCTTCTCCTCCACCGTGCCACACGTGATGAGCCGGTACACCACCACGTCCCGGGTCTGGCCCAGTCGGTACGCACGGTCCACACTCTGCGTACAACGCAGAGACAGCGTCCGAGGCGGACAAACAGCGTTGGAAGTGGCAAAGAGCACACCCTCCTTTAGCCCGGGACCACACGCCAGTCACCAATGTGCCAGCAGGGCAGCCTTCGTGCATCCGTACCTGGTTGTCGACCGAGGGGTTCCAGGCGGGATCCACGATGATGACCCGATCCGCTGCCGTCAAGGTCAAGCCGAGGCCACCGACCTGACACAACGGGTAATGGGTTAGAAAGGAAAGAGGGGAAAAGACGTGCGTGGCACAACCGTCCACAGACCTACCTGCGAGGTGAGCAGGAACACTGGGATCTTGTCGTTGGTCTGAAAGCGGTTCACGAGCGCCTGCCGTTCCTCCGCGCTGCTGACGTCACCGTCGATTCGGCAGTAGGCCATCTTCATCGTCTTGACGCCCGCCTGCGCTCATGTGGTTGGGAGGATTGATGGTTCGGCATACTAGAAGCGGTGATAGGCAAGAACAATCCATGTAGGGAGCAAATACCAACACACCTTTTCCGGATACGACAGCACCAAAGCCTGCGGCATCACGCAGCAGGCATGCAACGCCGCTGCTTACCTCGAGGATGCTCAGCATGACTTTGGACTGGCTAAAGATGAGGGTACGGTGCCCCTCCGCGTGCAGCTGCTCAAGCAGGGCCAGCACAAAGGCGGTCTTGCAGGAGGCGTCAGCGCCGCGCCGCTCCAGCTCACGCGCCAGCTCGCCGGCCAGGGCCTCACCGTCGCCCAGCCACTCGATCGGCGCGTCCTCGGCGCTCTCGTCCTTTGAAGACGTGCGCCTCTCGCTGCCGCTGTCGCTGACTTCTTCAGGGTCGTCATCCTCGGAGTCCTCGATTGACTCGGGCTCGTCGGAGTCGTCAACGATGAAGTCATCCAGTGAGTTCCGCCGACCAGGCTTGCGGTTGCTCTTGTAACCGCCCTTGTTGTTGTCGTTGCTTGCCCACCTGCGTTGCATGTGTTGAAGTGACACCCCTGGCCTTGCAACCACCATGGGCACAGTAATAGTGCCACGCACTAGCCATGGACATTCAAAAAGGAGCTATAGTGAACCATGGGTCGCATCTGGGATGCCTTACCTGTGCGCTCCGGTGATGACGCTGCTGGCGGTGCGCTGCGTCAGCAACGCCGGGTGGTCGCAGATCTTCTTGAGGACGGTGATGGCAGCTAGTGGAGAGGCCTTCTCGTTGAGGACCTGGCGCACGCTGTCGGTGTGCAGGAAGGACGTGTAGATCTTGCGCTGGAGCTGCGTCAGCCGCAGCCACACCACCAGGTCGTTCTTGCGGGGTAGGCTTGTCGCGCGTTGGCCGACAGCCGGCGCAGCTGAGGCGGCGGCGCTGGGCCCTGCAAGTCATGCATGCGGGTCAAACCAAGTTAGCGTGTGGCGTGCATGTCGTGAAGTGAATGCTAGGTCCTTAAGTGGCAGCGCCTTTCCTGGCAGGCTTGACGACTGAACTAAGGTTAGGTCCTAACATCTTAGCTAAAAGACAACCTAATGCCATGCGAGTTTCGAAGCGAAGGTATACCGGTAAGTAAGGGTGCGCTACGCACCTGCTCCTTCTGCACCGCCGCTGCCAGCCGTTGAGCTGCTGCCGCCAGCGGAGCCGCCGCCGTTGTCCCCGCCCCGCAGAACGTCCTTCTTCTCACGGCGCAGGAAGAATGGCTCCACCCGCTGCCGCAGCTCCGCCGCAATGGCAGCGCCCATCTGCCGTTCTCGGGCGCACGCCTCCTTGTCCAGGCCCTTCGTGATGGGGCGCTCGTAGTTCCTTGGGCGTAAGAGGGACGTGTTGGGCTAGCTTAGTGAGTTGAGGCTTGGCTGGGGCAATCACCAGGAACTCCCCGAACGAGTTAGGTCCGTACACGATGGTAATGGCTATGGCATGCAAGGGGTTTCCGCTGCATAAAGCGACTGCCTCGTGTCTATGGCTGTGGCCTCCCAGTCCCAGAAGCCATGTGCATACTATACTGAGCCCAGCGTACTTTTTGAACGTCTTGGCGTCTCCCAGCAGCCCCTCGGTGGTGAAGTCGAACAGACTGTGCATCTCCATCAGGTTGTTCTGGATCTGCAGGTGCAGTACGGTATACAAAAGGGATAAGTCAAAGGAATGCACTAGTCATGGATAACATGGTTTTGGCAGTTTCAACAGTAAGACTGTCGCAAAGGAGTACAGGGGTATCCCCTTACCGGCGTGCCGCTGATAATGACGCGCACGCGGGCCGGCAGCTTGCGGAGCTGCTCCACCAGCTTCATCTTGGGGTTCTGCGGTCGTCGAGCAACACAGGGACTCCCATTAGCGCTGGCACGCGCGGCATAGCGCACGACGAGGCACCATTTCAGGTACAGCCCATAGCTGCATGGCAAGGAAAACAGCCAATATGCTGCTTGCTTGCTGTCGTATTCCCCACCTTGATCTTGTGGCCCTCGTCCAGGAACATCACATCCCAGTTGAAGTCCTCGTCTGCGCGGCTGTGCGCTGGCCCTGCCAGCTGCTCTGCATTGTGCTGCACCATTCCGTACGTGGTGACGATAATGCCGCTGCCGCGCACGACGCTCCGCAGCGCAGACGTGCGCTCAGATTCCGAGTTGCCGAAGAACTCTCGCGTCAGGCCCTTGAGGCCGCACACGCCCAGCTCCTTAATCCAATGGGGTAGCAGGGTCTTGGGTGCGATGATGATGGCGCGGCGCACCAGCCCGCTGTTGAAGAGGCCGGCGAGAAACGCGGAGCACTGCATGGTCTTGCCCAGGCCCTGCAGTGGGTTTGGCGTGAAAGGGGTCAGGTGGCCGGTTGATCTGGGTTAAGAGCAAAGTACGGTAACTGGAGAACCACCTTCGGTGATCCAGCAGATCGAGCCACAGAGGGACACTGTCGAGTATGCTCTGTAAGACGGGGGACATGATGGTCTCTTTCCAAGATGCGTACATGGTCACAACCCATGCACCTAAGGGCACAACGCATACGACTACATACATCAAAGCCGGCTAGGTAGAAGGACTGTTTCCATTTGCCACAGTAGATTTTGCCTGGACCTGGATATGGAAACTTACCATGTCGTCACCCAAGATGCCACCACGCTGCATGTCAAAAAGGTTGAACAGCCACTTGACGCCTTGAACTTGGTGGGGATAAAGCTTCTTTGCAGTTGGCGCCGGCAGAACGTACTGCTGCTTTTGACCGAGCACCAAAGAGCCAGGCCCAGGTGCTTCCGATGCGCGTGCGGTGGGCGCGCCCTTGGGTTTGACGGCTGGCGCCAGTCGCTCGAAAAAGGGCTCGTAACCCTCATCGCTCTCAGCACCTTCTTCACTGTCAACGACGCCGTCAACCGCATCCCCTTCATCGCCTTCGCCGCTTCCTTCGGCTGCAGCAGGGATAGCCGCTGTGGCGGAGGGCTTGGCCTTGCGACCACTGTCGTGTTGCTCATTGACAGCTGAAGTAGTTGGTGACGAGGAACCTAGGCCCAGCTTTGTAAGGCCGGTAAGTATATCGTCCTCTAGCGCATGATCATCTTGATGGGTTGAACCGGGCTGGTTGCGGTCGCCCAGGCGAACTAAACGCCGCAGATTGCCTCTCGGGATGGAAGCAGCTGCGCCTCGCGCAGGGAGCTGATCATCGTTATCAGAACTGCTGAAGTCCTCCAGGTCTTCACTCTCGCTGCTCGGGAGTGCTTGGGCGCTCGCGGCCTTAAGCACAGAAGGCGTCTTCTTATCCGAGGAAGCAGCACCTCTCGCAGGTAGGACGTTTGCTGGTATCTCACGAAGCATATTTAAATAATAAACAACAAACTATAAATCGCGTTGCAGTTCACAAACTTCCTCAACGTCTGTCCAGCTCTTGGGCAGGATGCAGGATGCAGAATTGCAGACCCCTTATCAATTGGATTTAGTGAGCGGCTACTTTACCAGCCCCCAAAATGAACGCCATATTGCATGCATGTGGCTCTAAAGGTGTTACAGAATACCGCCGAATCCATAGATCCAGTTACCTTGTACGACTAACTGGCAAGCGTTTCCAGCATTGTGAGTCCGGCGCTACGCACATCTAATATCCTAACATCAAGGTTTTGGATGAGCTTCCTAAGGACAGGGTAAACCGCCCAGGCAACCCGATGGCCGCGCCCGGTGGCCTTCAGGCAAGGACATAATATTCTTACGCCACCTTGTTATTGCTTACCGTCCTGACGTTAGGATCGCCCAATTGCCCCTAACAGGATAGTGCCACTGTGCGATGCCCCGTAAGCGACCCAAATGCCCAATTAACCATTGTCTGGTCGCTCGCCGAGTTCGTCATCAATGTAGTGGCCGTAGGAATTAAGAGGGCAGGGAATACTAGGTGCCGCTTGGACGAAAAAGATTGGGGACTCACAAGGAAAGGTACCGTGGTCAGCCGGCCAACTGCATGTGCCCTACCTGTCCCATCCCCCACCCCCACCCCCACGTGGGTACGTGTCTCGTCTGTATCGGTAACTGTATTACGTCATCTGTGTTGTGCTTCTCCTGTTTTCGTCTGTGTCCGACGACGGGGTGGGTCTCCTAGCCATGTTCGTCCGCATCCAAGACCTCTGGCGCCTGATGGTAAGGTTAGTCCCCCTTTGGAAAGTTTGCTGGCGGTCCAGTCGTCGCACGTTCGGCTTGACTAACTCGACTCCATACGCCAGGAGCTTGTCAGTAGTCGCCTAGCTTGCTATTATTGTTCAACACATTGTGTCCTCTCCTTTCCCATCCCCCCATTTGTTGTTTGGCTTGACTGCCAGTAATCCTGGTGGGGTGGGATGCATGGGCCAGATCCAATGTAGCAATCCATGGCGGAGCCTCGTCATACAGCTCGTCAGTTTCCAAACCACCCACCCACCCACAACGGCCAGATTTCTTAACACAACGGCAATCACAGTACGTTCCGCCTCGCGGCCAATTATCTTAACACACAACGGTTCACATCTACACCACACGCACGCGTCTGACATGTGGACATTGGCGTTGGGTTGAGCTCCAGCCCCTCCAGGGTAATTGGTGAAGTGCCGTACTGCGCTGCCTCTATGGGCTTGGCATCTACCTTGCCCGTGGCCATCCAAGCTAGTACAAACGCGCATGGGTACCAACACCGTTTATTGGCGGCCCCTAAATGGCGGGCCCTTATTACGGCCCCTTAATGGCGGCCCCTTAATGGCGGCCCCTTAGTGGCGGCCCCTTAGTGGCGGCCCCTTAGTGGCGGCCCCTTAATGGCGGCCTCTTAATGGCGGCCCCTTATTGGCGGAACTTTATTGGCGGCCGATTAATGGCGGCTCCTGAATGGCGGCAGCTGCGCGTACTGGAAGGAATTTTGGCACCATGGGTCGGCTGTAGCAACCGCACCCACCATTGGCTTACCCTTGAACTGCTTATATTAATATATGAGCACACCTTGAAGTTAACGCTACCTATCTGTTTCTGGATTGCGGCCGTAAGGACGGCATGTCGTTCAGCAGTTGGCGGTACAGCCTGATGTACAGAGGACACCAAACTGCTTGGACGCGCAGGAAACACGCTCGTATCCCCTCGTGTATAGCTATTGACACCTGCGTTAAAAATTTTATACTGGCCATGTGCAGGGAGTTAGGTTGTTTTTGGTTCGCTTCGTCGCAGTGTTAGAGTCTTTCCCACTGACTTCCGCTTCACCTAAAGACCATTATAAACGAAGCGCTGTTTAACATAGGCTGATTCTTAATAGCTTCGCCTGTAAGACTTGGGCTTGCCGTTCGCTTGGATTTCAATCGTTCGCGCTTTGTTATCTAGCAATTTTACAGAGTAAACTTGGTCCGCATAGCGTAATCGGTTGTTAAACCATGGATCACGTTGGCGGTAGCACTGGACTACATCATACGCACAGCAGTCACCATTACCATGGTGGATTGCCAGCTGGCGGTAGCGTGGTCAACGTCGGGCCTTCACCCCCAACTGGGCCCAGCCAAGGCCTCCACGACCATCCACCCAAGCTCACATTGCTCCAGCGACTGGCCCGGAAGGTATCGCGCACGCTGCGCCGCGTCCCCAACGTGCCAGGCCTGCTTGTGCTGGCCCTGTGCAGTGTTGCCTTTTGGTTCGGCCGCATCAGCCTGACCACCTCGCTGCTGCCCGAGCCCACGGGAGGCGCTGCCAACCCCCTGCTGGTAAGCAAGCCCTACGTGTGGCGGTGCGGGAGGGGGGCTGTGATGACTGGGGCTCAGGACGGGGGCCCTGCATGCAAAGCGAGGGTGAGGGTGAGGGTGCCGCTGGGGGTGCCAGCCATGCGACTGAGCGTCATGCAAAGGTCGGGCTGCTCGAACCCAGGGATTTGGAAGAAAGCAACTGAACTGAACCACCTGGTGGGCCCACCTGAGGTGCTGGCAGCTGAGGTCCTCATGAGTCTTAACTCTGAAGTCCCGCCTCCATCCCTCCCTCCCTCCCTCCCTGCTCTGCTGCTGCCCGCCTGCCTCTCAGGTGGCCTCCCACCTCACCTCCCAGCGCCGCAGCCTGCACTCGACCGCCTCCTCCTCCTCCTCCGAGGTACGCCTGGTGGGGGCGGCGACCACCACCACCACCGACACCTCCTCCACCGCCTCAGCAGGAGCAGCAGTGCTCCCGGTGATCGACCCCTACGACCTGCCCGCCTTCGAGGCGGCGGTCACGCGCGGCCTGGAGGCCGTGAAGCCCGCCATGACGCCCGGGGAGTCGGGAGAGGGGTTCTACCGCACCGTGCCGTTCCAGGTGGGCGGGTGGGTGGGTGGTGGATTGCAGCTGTGATCACTTCTGGTACCCTCCCCTGGTCCGCCCTCATCCCCGCCGCCCTGCCTTGTGAGGGTCAAGTACCTGCCGTGTACCCTGCGCCGTATGTCCTAACCCATTGATCCATCCCGCTCCTCTACACTACTGCCTTTGCCCGAACTGGTTCCCTCATCAAAACGGTCCCCATCGGTATCCTTCATCCCTCTCCTCCCCTCCTTTGTTCTTCCCCCGCCCCTCTTCCCCCCTCCCTTTTACGCCCCATTCCATCTCCCCCCCTCCCTCCCCAGATCCTGTCCTGGTACCCCCGCATCATGGTGTTCCCCAACTTTGTGGACAAGGCGCGGCGGGAGGAGGTGATCGCCACCGCCACCAAGCTGCTCTACCCCAGCGGCCTGGCCTACCGCCCTGGCGAGAAGGAGGACGCGGAGCAGCAGGTGCGAACCAGCCGCGGCACCTTCCTGCAGGGTACCAGCTGCCCCGCGCTGACGTGGCTGGAGGAGAAGGTGGCGGCGGTGACATTCCAGCCGCGGTCGAATGGAGAGGTGGGTGGACGGGGGGAAAGGAAGAATACCCAATGTGTTGCATGAGGCTGGCAGACAAGCCGACGAGGTGCGTGAGGCGGGGGAAGGGGAAGGGGTGATACCGTCTGGGTCAGAAGTCTGGGTTCTGTGGGCTTAGGCGTTTCGGGCGCGTGTAATGTTCGTAGAGTTGGTCAAGATGTACGGCAGCATGGCAGGGCGTGTGGAAGTCGTCGGGTGTAGCTTGTATGGCGGAAATATTGCTTGTGGTCGCTGGGGCGTGCATGTCCGGCCCTTGTGCTAGGTTGCTCGCCCACAAAGCTGATTGCTGTACTGGTCCCTGCCTGCCTGCCTGCCTGCTTGCCGCCCCGGGCCTGCAGTTCTGGAACGTGCTGAACTACAAGCACTCGCAGCACTACGACTCGCACATGGACAGCTTCGACCCCAAAGGTGCGCGCAATTGTCCGCCCGCCTGCCGGCCGACTGCCCTGCCCCTCTTCCTGCTGCTCCTCCGTAGCTGCCAGCTGGTTGCAGCTTGTTGGGTTGGTCGCGTAACACGTAGCAGCATGCACCTGTAATCATGCCAACATGCACCAGGGGGGCCGCCTCCTTAACCCGCCTGAACAGAGTGGGCTCATGTGTTCCAACCTGTACCGTATTTCCAACTTGTCGTACGTGTTGCTGTTCCTGTTGCTGCAGAGTACGGCCCGCAGTACAGTCAGCGCATCGCCACGGTGATCGTGGTGCTGTCGGACGAGGGGCTGGTGGGCGGGGAGACGGTGTTCAAGCGGGAGGGCAAGCAGAGTAAGTGGAGGTGATACGAAAACAGCGGGTTGCACTTGGTGATGCGTGCGTGTGTGTGTTAAGTCGAATGGGCCAGAGGGTGTGGGGGGAGGGGCTTAGCATTTGAAGTATACAAGTATTGAACCCATGAGGGTTGATGGCCTCTTGCGTCGGGCTTTGTGAGAACGGGCGCATTACAGTTTGGCGGTTAGGGTGGCCCTCATTTGCGACCCCTATGTGCCTTTTCCTTCCTCTGCTGTGTCCTCCCCTGGCTATCCAGTAAATGCTGACCACTAGTGCTGCTTCCACAAGCCCCCTGGCAATCGTTCCTCCTCCTCCCTCGTCCCTGGCGCCCCTGCAGACGTCAACAAGCCCATCAGCAACTGGACTGACTGCGACGCGGACGGAGGCCTCAAGTACAAGCCACGTGCCGGAGATGCCGTACTTTTCTGGAGTGCACTGCCGGACGGAAACTTGGACCCGCACGCACTGCACGGCAGCTGCCCTGTGGTCACCGGGGATAAGTGGGTGGCTGTGAAGTGGATTCGCAACAAGGGTGGATACAACCAGTGAAAAGGATAATGGTGTGGTGTGCAATAGCGACGTGCGCGAATAAGGACGTGCATTAAGCGTGCTTAAGAATGGTAGCCTTTAGTCAAGCTGATTACTCTAGTGCACTTCCGTGCGAGCAGGGGCCGTGCTATAAATATAAGCTTATCTAGTACACTAGCATCATTGAAGGTGCCTGTTAGTTGCTTCGTTTCATATTGTTGCGCGTAGAGCGTGTTGAACCATGGGGCGTTTGTACGGCACTCTTGGCTGTATGTATGTTACGTGACCTTAGTCGTCCTCGTAATAAAATTAAACGTGCATATTCCGTGTGCTACTTGTTAGAGCTTATCGGACTAGTTACGCTTTGTCGCGGCGCCGGATTCCAGTCGCGTTAGTTGGCCCTCGTCGTAAGCGCTTTCACAGTTGCCCTATACTGTAATTTCCAAGTTTGTCCATTAACCGCACCCTACCGACTATTGTACCAGAAAAAGCCGCAGCCAAGTGGTTGCCTAGTCACTCACTGAAATGGCCGCAGCAGAGCGAAGAGACGATCTCGGCATTGAAGACGGAGATGACGACGATATAGATGAACATGAATTGTAAGGTCACTGATGGGCCAGTGTGCCTTAGGTACAGCGGTGGTGCTCACACATTGCCATCTGGTTTAGGCGTCGACAGGAAGAGGCGTACCAACGACAATATGAGAACGAGCAGACGTGGGATCAACTACAAGAGGATGAGTTTGGCAACCTCTTCGTGGTACGCATCGCTGCATGTCATCTGTGACCTTGCCAGCCGCAACCCCTGCACCTCAGTAAGGCGGCACTTTCTTCCCTCACGACAGGATAAAACAGCGGAGCAGCGCGAACGAAGAAAACGGCTTTTGTCAGCTGCCCAAAGCGCTCGCATCCGGAAAGGGATGATTCGGTACCTTTTGCTGGTGAGCTGCCCTCCATACCTTTGACATACAGCTGTCAGGAACCCAACACAAGTTGGACAAGGGGCTCGTTGGGGGACTTCCAAACACAGTGCGAGGTGCCGCATTCGGGTTGACGGAAGGAAGGTCCAACGTCCTCTCCTTCACCCTCACCCTCCTCCCCGCTCCCGGCCCCTCAGGTGATCGACCTCTCCCGCGCCGCCTCCGCCCAGGACCTGCGCCCCAGCCGTCTGGGCTGCATGCTGTCGCTGTGCCGCTCCTTCGTCCGCAAGTTCTTCGACCAGAACCCGCTCAGCCAGCTGGGCATCGCGGTACTGCGCAACGGTCTGGTGCAGCAGCTCAGCCAGCTGAGCGGCAGCCCGGAGGCGCAGGTGGCGCTGCTGGAGCCCGGGAAGCTGGGTGAGGGGGGGTTTGGAGGGTGGTGGGGAAGGGGGCAAAGCAAAGTTGGCGACAGGGCGAACGAAGCCGGCCCAGCTGGCTCAGTTCAATGACCTGTTGGGGCAAACCAACAGTGTATACTCATTGCCACACCCCGGCCCCTCACCCCCCACCCCTCCCAGGCGCTGCCTCCGGCGACGCCTCCCTCCAGAACGCGCTGGACCTGTCGGTGTCGCTGCTGCGGCCGCTGCCGCCGTACGGCACTCGGGAGGTGCTGCTGCTGTTCGCGGCGCTGGCATCCTGCGACCCGGGCAGCGTGCTGGACAGCGCGAGGAGCTGCAGGGAGAACAACATACGGTGGGGGGGGCTAGGGCGTGGCGGGGAGGACGGAGGAGTTATGTGTATGTACAGAAAACTGGCCTATGTATGAAAAGAGAGAGAGGGGGCTCCACCCGCGTGGCACGAGATACACTAGGGGCATCTGGGGAGGGGAAAGGAAGGACTCTGGGTTCAAGGCGGACAAGGGCAGAGTGCAGGGGCAAAGGTAACTAGCTACCGTAATGACTTTGTTGTCCTTAACCCACCCCCTCTTTCCCCGTCTTCTCCCTCCTGCTCCTCCTCCACCTCCCCCCCCCTCCGGCAACCCATGTTGCAACCCATGTTGACGCCTTATCCCTCAGTCAGTTAGTTGTTTCCTCTTTACCCCCCCCCCCTCCGGCAGCGTGTCCATCGTGGGAGTGGCCGCGGAGGTGTACGTGTGCCGCCGCATCACGGAGGACACGGGCGGCAGCTACGGCGTGGCGCTGCACGAGCAGCACCTGCAGCAGCTGGTCATGCAGCACGCAGCGCCGCCGCCGGCAACAGCGGCGCAGGCCAGGGCGGAACTGGTAGGGAGCGAGGGAGGGAGGGAGGGAGCGGATAAGATGGATAGGGGCGAGGGAAGGAGGGAAAGGAGGGATGGTTGGGCTCATTGGTCTTTTCCCTCCATAGCAGCCCTCCTCCCTTGGCACATGGTGTACCGGTATGCTCACCGCCCGTTTCCCAATCCCTACTGCACCACCTATCCTACCTCTCACATCCCTGCCCCCCCCGGCTGCCCCCCCCTACCCACCCACCCCCCAGGTCCGCATGGGCTTCCCGCAGCGCAGCACCGAGGACGCCTCCAGTGCCGTGTTCGTGGGCTCCGAGGCGCGCCTGGCGCCCGGCAGCTACACCTGCCCGCGCTGCCGCTCCCGGGTGCCCGAGCTGCCCTGCGCCTGCCACACCTGCGGCCTCACGCTCATCTCCTCGCCCCACCTGGCGCGCTCCTACCACCACCTCTTCCCCGTGCCGCCGTACCAGGAGGACAGCGCGGTGAGGCGGGCGGGAGGGAAGGGGGTAAGGTGGGATGGAGGGGGAAAGAGAAATGAAAAGTGAAGCACTGGAGGGAGGGCAGGGTTCCGTACTGCCGTTCACATGGGGCTGCATCGCCGATCCAGCGGCCCTGCGCGACTCAGCATGCTGCGACATGCCTCGTAGCAGCTGCAGCTGCCCTCAGAGCAGCCCCAGCCCCCGCCTCTCACTGTCCGGCAGAGCTCTGTGTGGCAGCAGCCCCAGCCTCCGCTGCTTCGACTCTCCTCCCTCAGCGCCTCTCTTCTCCCCATGTGTCCTGCATGCGCTAACCCCGCGCAGGAAGCAGCGACTGAGGCCTCAGCGGTGCTGGGCCGCCGGCCCGCCATGCAGCACGAGGTGGAGGCGGGCCCCACCTCCGGAGGCCCCGCGGCGCCCTACTGCTTCGGCTGCCTGCGGGAGGTGGCGGCGCCGGGGCAGCCGGGGCCCCTCACACTGCGGTGCGGGGGCTGCCGGCATGTGTTTTGCTTCGAGTGCGACGCCTACGTGCACGAGCAGCTGCACAACTGCCCGGGGTGCGAGTTCATGGCGGGGGGGACGTAGGAGCGGGGTTGGGGTTGGGGTGCGGAGGTAGTGGTGGTGCGGTGGTGCAGACGGTGTGCATGGGAGGGAGCAGGTAGCACGTAGGGGACGGCGGTGCAGGGAGGAGGAGCGGGTAGTTGGTTGGCTGCGGCGGGCGGGACGGGACGGGGAGGTGTCTGTTGCAGGGTCTAGTTCATCCATCCAAAGTATGGTTGAAGGACCTACTGGAGGTGACGGGCGCACGGGTCCTGGGGCGCCCTGGGACGAGGTGAGGGCTCTTCCTCCGCGGTGGTGCGGGCATTGCAGACCTGGTAACCTGTCGAGACCCAACGTTTAACTGGAAATGGCCTGTGTAGATTGTCATAGGACCAGCAGGCGAACGGAAGTCTCATGGAGTGGGTGGAGATACTCCTTCAAGCAGGCTGCAGGCGAGGTAATTTGCTGGCATCGGCTCCTGCCCAGTTAACTTGTGAGATACAGATAGTGTGGTCATCGTTCCTTGTCCTGGGGAATAAAGTCGCTGCGTAGGGCTTGCATAACGTCGGGTACAGGCGTTGCTGGCCGTAACTACCTCTCCAGGAATAGCTGCTTGCATAATGGATATAAAGGTGTATAAAGAGAGCTAGGTAGGACAACCTATTGGGGGTCCGCTGGGCCAACTACATGGTACATGCCCGTTAGCTGGTATCTACACCACTAGCTGCCGGCGTGCCGGGGCTTTAGGAGTTAATAGGCCTTGCTAAATTCTGTATGCTCGACGGATTCGCTTGGCAATCTATCGAGGACGGCAACGGGATGACAGTTTACCCGCCAAAATGTCGTTCCAACGAAGGCCGTAATATCTTGCACGTGCATGTTGCCCAAGCAGTAATAAAGTATCATAGTAAACCCTTCTCTAGGTATACAGCCCTAGACTCACAGCTAAAGACGAGTACGTTTACTATGACTTCGCTAGCCGGTGTACAGGGCTGGGCCTTTAACGAGGTGGCCATGAACAATTTCGTGCAACCGGAGGACCTAGCAGGATGGCTGGACTTCTCGCAGGGTACGTCTTGGTGAGGGCGCTTGGAGAGTCACCGCGGCTCAATGACCCTTAACGGAACGCAGAGGGAGCTCGAGGAGCTGCAATAAGCTGTATCGAGCCGGCTAGCGCACGGTTCTCACTTGACGAGGATTGTGCATTCGTTCTGGCAGCTGATTTCCCAGAGGCGCAGGGTGAGACCTAGCATGGCAGCTCACTGCTCAGCCTGCTCGTAAAGCAGGGCGTTCTGCATGCCATCGACCTGGGAATCATACACACCCTATAAGATGACAATTGGCTGGCTGCAGGCCCTCTGCCTCTTGGCCTTGGTGCCCACCAACGTTTTGCTACAGATGGAGGCTTTGCAAGCACCACAAGTGCAGAGTTTCTTAACACACTAGGCGGGTAAGATCTCTCAGCAGTTCTTACATATCTTCGCCTTTATACTATTAGGCCGACTTGGCCGAGCCGCTTTCCTACTTAACAGGTCCGAGGACATGACTCCCCGGATGACCCCTTTCTCAGGTCTGTTAATCGGGCTTATGTACGGTGCTGCAGGCATTCTAGGGACGCGTTGCATCTTTCACTCTTTTGGACGCCTTCCTCGTCCTGTTCGGGCGCACACCCTGCGGCTATGCTTCCCGTTTCCTTTGGCCTTCTTCCCTCCCTCGTCACTTCACACCACCCTCGCCCTACTCTCCTGCGCCCACTCTGGCCGTCCAGAGCTCTGCCCCAGCGTGCTAGAGCCGGAGGAGGAGCTCCCCACCTCCGCAGTAGCCAAGACCACCAGTAAGAGCACCGGCCGGGCGGCGAGGCGTGGGCCGGCGCATAAAGGCGGCCGCCGGGGCGTCGCAAAGCGGAGCGCTCGGGGCCACGCCGCTGCCGCCCCAGGTAGGCCCACACGGGGTTATGCATTGGGCAACATGCAGCCGGTCAGCCTTGAACGCACCACCGCAACCTAATTGTTCCTGCCGCGGTCTTGTATATGATGCGTATATCATCAGACTACTGGCCTTTGCGCTTCCCCCGCAGGACCCGTGAGCCTCCTGTACAAGGGCACGATTGGCGGCAGCGGAACCATGCAGGTGGGTCCCTTCCAGGCGGCTCACTCTTTGCCGTCCACATGCATGCTTCCCCTGGCGCCCTACATCCACGTTGCAACGATGCTGCTGCAAAAAGCAATCTCACCCGATTGGCAGGTCCATCTCCTTATCTTTACAGGCCCGCATTCCATGCAGCAGGCCAAGCCGCATACAGAGGCCTCCTAACATCCCCAATCCTGTGGACCCCCACCTTGCTGCTCCCGCCTCCGTACCTCTCCCGTAGGCCCGGTCTCTCCCCTGGACTCTGAGCCTGCAGTGCCTCAACCGGGAGCTTGCGGTATCGGAGGAGGCATGGCCGGAGGCGGACTCGTGAGCGGCCGGCAGCAGCAGCAGCAGCAGCGGGGGAGGCTAGAGGCGGTTTACATGCCTGCACTTGGGAGGGAGCGACCTCGCCGACACGCTTAAAATCAGGCTGTGGTTCCGAAACCAGATCTTTCTGCAGCTATAGGACAGTGCCTGACAGTGGCTGAGCAATGAGACAACATGCGCTTGGTAAAATTGGTCGGGTAGGTGAGCAGCTTCGGCAAAAGATAGTTTGGCTGCGCCGTACAATGCATGCCTTGAGGCAGGACTGGCAGGGAACACACGACAACACACAAGGCAAGGCACACACGCAGAAAGAATCACACATATATTGGGACCTGCAGCGCCGCACAGGCGGTCTTGCCAGGGCCCCGGGGAAGGTCGTATATGTCCCCGCACGCGCTGTTGTAGGGATGTCGCAGGGCGGTCTGGTCCGGCGGGCTTTTCGCGGCCGCAGAGAGGGAGGGGTTGGCGCGAGCAGCAGCTGCATGTGCTGCTGCCGGTGAGCTTGGGGCTAGCGGCCGGAATCCGTTACCTTTGCAGGGAGAGAGTTTGCGCGCGGTTTCCAGCTGCGGCTGTGTACCCGGTTTGGAAGAAGTGTGAGACTCCGTGATAAAGGGAGGCGGACTTGCTGCTTTCGTACCGTACCGTATCTAATAGTTTCGGGGGGTCTCTTTTATACGCATTGTGTCGTTTTCATCGTTCGAAACTGCATTGGCTAAGGAAGACAAATTGTCCGAACGGGGGACAGGGTTGTGATCAGAAAGAGGGGGCAGATGCATTCGGCACGATGCGGTTGTTATAGCCGGAGTTTTGCAGGCCTCCCGGTATATGCGTGCGTGGTTTCGGAGGTGCGCGCGCGGAGGGTTGGACGGGCGGACATTGAGCATTACAAACCTCATGTTGAAATAGTTGCTAGGCGCAACAGAATACATTGAATGTAGCTCCTAGACGAGATGTCGTTGGGTCAGTTGTCTTCAGCTCTGCGTTAGGATTCTGCATTTGTTAGTCGTAGTTTGGTAGGGTAGTGTTCCAGTCCGCACAAACAGTCAGTGAAAGGAGGACGACGGCGTTATCATATTTGCTGTAGACGGTTGTGCATTAGATGCATTCTGTAGAGTAGTGTAGAGTTATGTGTTTCATTAGGCTATACTTGAAGCGGTAGTGCGTGTACGGGTACGGAGCTGGTTGCTACAGCCCTCGCCTGCCTTGGGGCCCGTGTGGTTCGCCCTCATGTCGCCGGCTTACACATCTCCTGGCCTCCTGTACATCCAACACACTTGCTTGCCAGGGTTGCACAACCATGGGGATTGCCGCCTGCCGAGGAATACTTAAGCTTGAGTCAACTTGTTCTAGGTACATTCAATGGGACGACACTGCACGAGGATCCTTACCAATGGGACACCCCATTGGGAACGGCAGAGATCCCTTGTATTACCGCCCGCAGCAACCCCGACAGCATACGAGCAGCAAATCCCTCCGACCAGCACAGCATTGCAGTCTCAAGAAACGTTGGGGCCTCCTGCCCCAGAGCGCCGACCAACCAACCAACTCCCACCCAACTACTGTACACGTACCGCGCTGTTTTGCAAGCAGCTGCTCCCACAACTCCGCTCTCAACTTTCTGGTCTAAACACCTCCGCACCCCTGCCTCATCTGGCAATCAACCAATTTATTGCGCGGTCAAAAACATCCTAAGGGATCCTCCCCTCACTGTCGCCATTCCATCACCACCAGGTTGCCCCACACCTCCGCCATTACCCCACACCTTGCCGTACCCCACACCTTGCCGTACAACCCCACCGCTAGCGCTCCCCGCTCCCCGGCGCCCGTCCCCGCTTCTGCTCCATCTCCCCAAAGTCCAGTTCATGGGTGGATACGAACTGCGGCACGTACGACAGACGACGGTGTACGGTGGACTGTCCGTTGTCGACCGCGTCCTGCGGGTCGGGGCGCTCGTTGAGGTGACCCACCTCCAGGTCCCGCCACCTGGAATCGGGGAGGGGGGCAGGAGGAGGGGGAGGGCAGACAGCGGTTGGGATGTATGGTCGCGGGCTTGAGGTGTGTGAGGGCGGCCAAGGGCAGGCGGGGCAGATACCACCGTAGACGAGGCGAGGATGGCTTAGGACGCATGTCCCCCTGCGGTCCCCCTGCTAAGCCGGCACCCCCCTGACGACCCGCCTGGCGCTCTGCAAGGGGCCCTGTCTGCCGGGGCCCTATGCTAAGAATGATAACCTCAGCCCCCCCTCTGTCAGCCCACACCACCGGCCCCCCGGTGACCCACCATGTGGCGCCGTGTCGCGGCCGCTCACTGGAGCTCGCCTTCAGCGCCCGCCCCTCCTCATGCTGGGGCACCGCCTGGCGGGTGGGGGGCAGCAGGTGGGGGGCAGCAGGTGGGGGGCAGCAGGTGGTGAGGAGGCAGGGGGTTGGATAATGATGTAGGAGTGCTGAAGGGGTTCAACTGCCACACAACTGTAACGGAGGCACCGCCTGCTGCAAGAGCCGGAAACCCAGCTGCGGCCGAGAGCCGACCCCACCTGCGTTGCCCGCCTGGGTACGGCCTTCCGCAGGGAAGACAGCTCCTCCGACCAGTCGATCTGGGTGGTCGTACGGCGTTGTACGGAACCGGGACTCGCGGTGCCTGCCGTACAGCGGGAAAGGTAAAGGCGGTAGGGCAGCGCAACAGGAGTTCAGGCGGGTAATGGTCGTGGCGCCTGGGATACGGTGGTTAGCAGCTGAGCGGTAGTGATACGTGAACAGTATCGGTAGGTGTTGAGCATGCCACATCCGGTTCATTCAGACTTCAGAGTACATCACCTTACGAGTAAAAACCCGCTTACCTCGCAAGGCGGGTGAGCCTTTCCGCGCTGTCGCCGTCGCTGTCGCGGATGGGGAGGGCGGGAAGGGCTGCGCCCTTAGGGTCGCGGGGGCAGATATGCGGGACAAGGAGGAGAGCTCGCGCTCCGCATCCCCGCCATGAGTGTGCCTGTGGAGGCGAGAGCGAGGAAAGCCCCACGCGAAAACGATTAGCGTAACATAACAGTAACAGTTGCCGGCTATCTATAAAGCGTGAGGCAATAAAGCACCCCTTTGTGTTGTGACTCGCGGCCAAAACGTGCCTAGTTTGCGATTCCTTTCGTCGCGCTGCGTAGCATGCATGCGCGTGACGAATCGTCGTCACCTGTGAGACCTCAGGCGCGCAAAGTAGCCTTCCCGCTCGGGCTCTTTGTCGATGTCGTTGTCATCAGGTTGCAGTTCTGCGCGGGTTGAAGGGGCTCTGGTTGCAGCGATGGGACAGGCCAACGCAACTTGTCAGCAGCGGTTACCGGAACCGCACCTCTGGGAACTACAAAATCCGCATCCCATCCTGGAACAAGAGAGCCCATGTTTCAATTGTTATATTACTGATTCAGCTGCGTGAGCCTCTGAGCTGCGTAAGCTCTAAACACGTGTAGAAGCCTCTGACGTGTCGAGTATCGGCAGATTAATATGACGAAGGACTGAATGGTTTGATACAGAGGATTGTTTACTTTGGCATACTTTATCGCGCTAACTCCGGGATCTGCGGTTATACCTTTGCCGATGAGCTCGTTGCCGTAACCAACCGCTCGCTGATTTGGACGACAAAGGAACCTCGGTCATGGACTTTGTTGGCGACCAAAACTACAAATTACGTTTACCATACATGCCAATTTAACTTCTTGGGGCTTTGCAACCTTTCCCTTCCCGTTCCGGACCGTTCCGGCGGTTGACTCACGGGGGAAGACTTACAAGCACAGCCGGCTATCCAACGATGAGGACATTGCATGCAAGCCGGCACTACATACTGCTGGAAAGCTCGGTGGATGTTTGTCAGGCTGGGTGCTGGGATTTTGCAGTTGGGCCCATTACATGCTTGCCGAGCCGAGATGGCCTAGCAGTGAGACAACCCCTGAGGCAAGAGAATTGCTGCCATGCCAAGTGTCACAAGCAAGCTGACGGCGGGGCTGCCCGAGGCTCCACCTCGCCTATGCTCCTCCAACCCAACAAGTCCTGCGATGCATCCTCTATGCAGCACCAAGAGGGCGCGTGCTAGTCCTAAGCGCTTGCTGAGGAGTCTGTTCTCGCTTGGTGACGACCGGCGGTGACCCATGGGTCACTGAAGCTGTAAGCTGCCGCCCATTGCGAAAACGTTGTCGCTTGAGGTCCGTTAAGACGATGTTGCTGTTCACCATACATACACAAACCCATGAGATCGGCCGCGGGTTCGCGGTCAAACAAAAGACGCAAAGTCGTCTCGGCATCTGGGATTCAGTTCACCCTAATGCATGCGCCGAGCGGTCCATCTGCATGCTTTGCCGTACTGCACGCAAGTCCCCTGGCATCAGCCGACTATGCGATAGCCCTTGACCCTCCTCCGGGTGCAGTGTGGCATCGCACCGCACCGCACGCGTGCATGCAGTGCGGGCTGCACCGTTGTTGGGGTGTCGGCAGATAGCCCTCCCGCCTCTGTCCCCGGGTGCCCTGCGCTGTACCCGGCGCTGGCCTTAACCTCAGCTGCAGGAAGCCCGGGTGCATCTGAGCGTGATTGTCCCACGTGATTGTCCCAGTTACATAGTGTGCCGGGTTGCAAAGGCTTGGAGTGTCTGCACTTGGCTGTGCGGCATGGCAAGGTGAATCTACACGCATGCATCTACCAGGATTTGCAGAGACAAAACAGAGTCAGGGGCGAGGGGCGACATGAGCTGCTGTCTGACAGCATACGGCATCACAACGACCTCGCAAGCGGCGCACCCCCCACCTCCGTGGAACACCGGCGCTGCCGAGTACCGCCTTAACCCCCTCAATCGCATGCCTCAGTCTTGACTACAACATGGGGAGAGCTCCGTCCCCCGCTGGGTCCCAACGTTCCCCAATGCGCATGGTGACTGCTGCGCCAGCGCACCGCACCACTGCCCTAACCACCTTCGCTGCGACCGCATGCTGCCTCCCCACACATGCAGCAGCTACGACCTTCTGCCAGCAGCCCTCCTCCGGCAGCCAACGCAGGCGGGCAGCAGACAACCACCCACTCACTATACGGGTCATCCGGCCCCTCTAGCTGGGCCACCAATGTCCAGGTGTGTGTATCCGGGTGCAGCATGCAGGAAATGATGAACCAATCATCCGTTAGTATTACAACGAAATGACTTACTAGGTAAACTAAAGTATCATTTTGAGTGTCAACTAAAAATGGGGTTTTGGAGCGCATGTACGACAGGGAGCAGAGCAGTCGCCACCAGGCTTGCGAGTGGACGGTGCTAGACGTTTTGACCTTGGTTAAACAGTTTGCCCTCAGCTGGCCTTTCAGGTCTTTGCCGCTGAGTTTCCGTGCGCAGTTAGGAAGGCGCTGACTTTTGCGTAGTTGCAGACAGTTCTTAAGTATGGCTGCAGCTGTAGGTAGGCGAGCCTACCCCTCGGCTCAGCACCGCCGTCCGCTCTGGGCCCCCTGGCGGCAACCGTTCAGCGTGAAGGGGCCTGGGCAGACGTGTTCGACCGCATCCCAGGCCTCAGCAGCCTGGTCTCGCTGGCGGACGTCAGCTTCGCATCCCGGGACCAGGCGACCTTCACGCACAAGGCAGACAGTCATCTCCGCTCCCTGCAGCATCTCGCGTCCCAGCTGGAAGCGGCCAAACACTGCGCATCCTCTTCGGAGGAGCTCTCGCTGCTCTTGGCCAAGGCCGCGCAGGTGTGGGAGGAGGCTTTTCGTACACAAGAGGTCCTCCGGCAGGTGCAGAATGCAGCCCGTGTCCTGCCCTTCAAGGACGTCATGGACGTATTCAGCAAGGGCTCTCCCCTCACACAGCAGTTCCTAGCCGCCTTGTCGCAATTTACGGACAGCCAGCGCCAGCACCTCTTCGGGAAGTTCGCCTCAGCCGCCGCTCCCGCGGCGGCTTACCCGCCGCCCCCGCCTCTTCCACTCCCGCCGGCCCCGGCACAGCCCCGTGCCCCACGCGACAACGGCTGCTTCTACTGCAAGAGGCCCGGACACAGCTACCGCGGCTGCCGAGAGTTGCGGTCGCTGGAACCTGGGGCCCAAACGGCAGCATTCGCAGAATGCGCCAAGCAGGAGCAGGCAGCCCGCCGGCCGGCTTAGGACGCGGCAGCGTCAGCTGGGGGCGAGGTCGCCCCGGCGCCAACGGCGCCCCCCCTCCATCCAGCCGCCGGCAGTACGGCCGGCGGTGGGGCAGCTGACGCAAATACGGCAGGGATGGAGACACCAGAAGGTAAGCGTGTACGCGACCTACGGCGGACTGGGGCCCTGCGCGGGTGACAAGCAATGTGCTGTTGCGTGTGTCCATGTGGCGCGACCCTGCCCGAGGGGAGAAGGGCCTGCCTGCGTCTACCTGCTGTCTAGTCTGTGGTGTACGCGACCTACGGCGGACTGGGGCCCTGCGCGGGTGACAAGCAATGTGCTGTTGCGTGTGTCCATGTGGCGCGACCCTGCCCGAGGGGAGAAGGGCCTGCCTGCGTCTACCTGCCGTCTAGTCTGTGGTGTACGCGACCTACGGCGGACTGGGGCCCTGCGCGGGTGACAAGCAACGTGCCGTTGCGTGTGTCCTTGTGGCGTTACCCTGCCCGAGGGGAGAAGGGCCTGCCTGCGTCCACCTGCTGTCTAGTCTGTGGTGTACGCGACCTACGGCGGACTGGGGCCCTGCGCGGGTGACAAGCAATGTGCTGTTGCGTGTGTCCATGTGGCGTGACCCTACCCGAGGGGAGAAGGGCCTGCCTGCGTCCACCTGCTGTCTAGTCTGTGGTGTACGCGACCTACGGCGGACTGGGGCCTTGCGCGGGTGACAAGCAATATGCCGTGGCATGCACCGGGGTCGTGTGGCTCTGCCTGAAGGAAGAAGGGCCTGACGGTGTTCGCATGTGGTTCAATCGGTGGTGTACGCGACCTACGGCGAACGGGGGCCCTGCGAGGGTGAACACCCAAAGCGTAACCTTGACCTGTGCCTCATGCAGTTTTGTGGATGCCTGACTCGGCGGCGGAAACGCCGTCGGCCGGCCGCTGGTTCGGCCCAGGGGGCGTGAAGCTTAATACGGCCGCGTGGCAGCGTCACGGCATCGACACGCCTGCGTCCCGTAACGAAGCCAGCTGGACCTTCCACACCACGCCGCCAACCTCGCACCACTTGCGCAACTACCCATCCGTGCGCGAACACAGCGAATGGTACGCCAGCCACATTGACGAGTTACTGCGCCAGGGCCTGGTGGAGGCGTACGACAGCAAGCAGCATGGCCCCCTGCGCAACTTTGCAGCCACTATCAACCCACTGCATGTTGTCAGCAAGGCGGATGGCAACCTGCGCCCGATCATCGACCCTACCGCTTCGGGGGTGAACGACTGCATGACCAAGCTCCCCTGCCCGCTGCCCGACCTCGCCTCAATTCTGGAGCATTTGCCGTTCCAAGGGGCGCTAGGCAAACGGGACCTCGCATCTGGTTTCCACCACATCAAGTGCAGCCCGGAAGCACGCCGGTACATGGCCTTTAGGCATCCCACCACGGAGGCAGTCCTGCGTTGGGTGGTGCTGCCCTTCGGCGCCAGCCAATCGCCCCCAATCTTTGTGGAGTTAACCAACGCCGCGTGTGCCATCTTCCAAGCGGAGTGCGACCGGCGGGGGCTACGGGTCAAGCTCTTCTGCTTCGTCGACGACTACATCATCCTAGGGGTGACCCATGCAGACGTCGTTGGCGCCTTCGCGGTCATGGACGAAATAGGTGGCGAGCTGGGGCTGGAGTGGAAGACCAGCAAGGACCGCGGACGAAACGAGCACCTGCGGCAGCTCGACTTCCTGGGTATGCTGTTCGACACCGAGAAGATGGAGATGCGCATCTCGCCGGACAAGCGGCAGCGCTACGCGGCGGACGTGCGCGCCCTCCTGGACGCGGCAGCTACCGGACCAGTGCAGCGGCACCTCCTGGAGTCCACCGTCGGCCGCTTAACGTTCATAGCCCGGGCATGCCGCTGGGGTTTCACGTTCATGCAGGGCCTCTACGACAGCCTCTTCTGCCCCACCCGCCCGCCGGCCACTGTCGGCCTGGCGGCGGACGCAGTAGAAGACCTGGCTTTCTGGTGGCAGGTGCTACGGGCGGATTCCTCTGTCTGGGACGGGGTAAAGCGCTCAGCGGGCATCGGTTTGGACCTAGTGAGGGGGGAGTTTATCGGCCAGGATGGGGCCGTCCTCTTCACGGACGCTAGTGGGCGTGGGTTTGGCGCAGTCTGGGGGGAGGCGGAGGTGCAAGGGGCATGGTCAGAGGAGGAGCGTCAGCTGCACATCTCGTGGCTGGAGCTCAAGGCGGTCCTCAGAGCGCTGCAGTCATGGGCCGCCAGCCTTGCCGGGCGCCGGGTGCTGGTGCGTTGTGACAACACCCAAGCCGTAGCAGCCATCAACCACGGCTCCACCCGCATCCCAGAGGGCCGCAGCCTTAGCCGCCAAATTGCAGAGCTTGCGATTAGCTCAGGGTTCGAGGTCCGGGCTGAGCACATTCCCGGCGTGGACAACGGCCAGGCCGACCGCCTCAGCCGCCGCCTTGACAGCGCCCAGGATCAGAACCTGCGGCTGAAGGCCAGCATCTTCAGGGAGCTATGCCGCAAGTTCTCTCTCCGGCCCACCGTCGACTGCTGCTGCGACGCCCATGGCTCCAACCGGCAGCCGGGCTGTGAGGTGTTCTACAGCGCGGGGCGGTCGGTGCTTGGCCAGGAGGCCGAGCTGGCGGGCAAGGCGCTGTGGGCCTTCCCACCCCAGGCCCTGGTGGGGGAGGTGCTAGCGACCCTCGTGGCAGCGGCACGGCGTGACTCGCGGACGCGGGCGGTTGTGGTGGTGCCTTTCTGGCCGGAGCGGGGGTGGTTCCGGGCCTTCGTCCGTAGCCGATCCGCACCATTCCGGGTCGCCCAGGTGCTGCCCAGGGGCGGCCGCCTCTGCGTTTGGCCCTGGGGCGACGAGGCGGGTCCTTCTCCTTACGATATGCTGGTCTTACGCCTGCCCTGACCGAATTCCGATCCGCGTTTGCGCCCCCATGGCGATTGTAGAGGGTGGCGGGAGCTGCGAGGCCTGCGTGCGGCGCACCTCCGTGGGGGACTTGCGCTGTGAGACATGCGACATACGGGCACATCGCCGCTGCCTGGGACTGCCGCCGGGCTCGTACCCCGGCGGCTGGTTCCGCTGCATCCACTGCATCCTGGCGGCGGCGGGTTTTCCGGCAGGGGCTGCGGGCGGTCGGCAGGAGGCACTCGCGGCGAGGCTGGTGGCGCTAGCGGGAAGCGCCGTGTCGGCGGGTTCAGCAGGGACGTACGAATCCCATCGCCGCCGCTACGCGGCCTTCTGCGCTGCTCTGGGCTTACCCATGAGGGCGGCTTTCCCACCTGCGCGGGGCGCGGACCTCAGCCCCGAGCTGGTGAGCCTGTTCATCGCCCATGAGGCCGACCGTGTGGCCCCCTCAACGTTGTCAGGCACCATTAGCGCCCTTGCGGACTGGCAGCGCGCGAAGGGTTTTCCGGCGGAGGCCTCCATCCGCCGGAACCCATTGGTGCAACGCACGCTGAGGCAGGCGTGGCGTGCCCGGGCGCCGGCGGCAGCCGCCACAGCTGGCGGCGATGCAGGGGCCGAGCCGCTGCCGCAACGTACGAAGGAGGCGTTCCCGGTGCCGCTTCTGCGGCTCCTATTGGGCTGGCTGGCAGCGACGGCGGACGGGGCGCCAGCGCGCCGAGCGGAGCTCGAGCAGGATGCGTGTTGGCTGGTGGTGGGTTTCTTTGGGATGCTGCGGAGAAGCGAGCTGGCGGGGCTGCGGCTAGGTGACGTGCATTCGCTGACTGGTGGGGTTCACGTGGTGCGGATAACGAGGAGCAAGACCGATCAGGTTGGGGCAGGGGTGGATGTGCACCTGGGGGCATCGTCTGGCAGCGGAGTACGCATCGGGCGCATTATAGGGCGCCACCTAGAGCGGGCCCGCTCAGGGGGGGCGGAGCCCAGCGCGCCGCTCTTCACGCGGGGCCCCCAGTGGGGACCGGGGTCGGAGGCTTGGCGGAAGGAGGGGTTTACGCGTAGGCTTAGGGCGCTCTTAGGAGAGATGCAGCGCGCCCTGCCACAAATAGCCGGGCGGGTACCAGATTACGCGTCCCACAGCCTGAGAAGGGGGGGAGCCGCGGCTGCAGCGGAAGGGGGGGCCTCTGGAGAGCAGATCAAGGCGCACGGGAGGTGGCGGTCGGAGGCGGTGAGCGCGTATATCCTCCCCTCCGCGGCGGCTAAGGCCCGCATTGTGGGGTGCATGTGAGGTGACGAGGCGTGCGGTGGGTGACAGGGTAAGGGGGGTCCTCTCTAGGCGTGCATGCATGCGGAAGCGCGCCTAGAGCCTAATACGCCGGGGCGGGTTTTGGGGGCTAGAGCCCATCCGCGCCCGGCTGTTGGTTTTCCCCCTCTCCTGTTGTTCCCCGGAGAGGGTAGGGTGAGGTATCGGCTAGGTAGCAAACTTGGTTAGTTACAGAGTTGGGTCTCTTAGACGCTGTTCGGAGTCTGGGCCCGCAGGCCAGGTCCCAGGCGGTGTAAGTTGATGAGGGGTGCGACTCCTCTGGCACTGGAGTGTGTGCGACAAAAGTATCATTTTGAGTGTCAACTAAAAATGGGGTTTTGGAGCGCATGTACGACAGGGAGCAGAGCAGTCGCCACCAGGCTTGCGAGTGGACGGTGCTAGACGTTTTGACCTTGGTTAAACAGTTTGCCCTCAGCTGGCCTTTCAGGTCTTTGCCGCTGAGTTTCCGTGCGCAGTTAGGAAGGCGCTGACTTTTGCGTAGTTGCAGACAGTTCTTAAGTATGGCTGCAGCTGTAGGTAGGCGAGCCTTTTGTTTCCCACCCTCCCACCCCTACTCTCTCCGGGGTCCTCTCTAGGCGTGCATGCATGCGGAAGCGCGCCTAGAGCCTAATACGCCGGGGCGGGTTTTGGGGGCTAGAGCCCATCCGCGCCCGGCTGTTGGTTTTCCCCCTCTCCTGTTGTTCCCCGGAGAGGGTAGGGTGAGGTATCGGCTAGGTAGCAAACTTGGTTAGTTACAGAGTTGGGTCTCTTAGACGCTGTTCGGAGTCTGGGCCCGCAGGCCAGGTCCCAGGCGGTGTAAGTTGATGAGGGGTGCGACTCCTCTGGCACTGGAGTGTGTGCGACAAAACAAACCATCAAACCATGCCGCCCCAGAACGAATCCCTTTTCCTGTACATCCACACATATGCTATACATCAGGCGCGCTAACGGTACACTGTGTGCGTGTGTGTTCATGCACAGAAATCTAGTATGCCCCTCCTGCCGGCTCTCTCCCTCCCATGCCGCCACACAGGGCCGCTTCCCACCCTCCCTTTTTCCTTTTATAGTCTTCATTCATTCACAGCCCATTGCGAATAACTTCGTGCACAGCCCCCCCTCCCGTCTCCAGGCCATGTTTGTCTCCCACCCCACTCTCCCCAGCAGCTCCCCGCCCCTCCTGCTCATCATCCCGTCAGCAGCGAGGCCATCAGCGAGGCCGCCAGCATGACCCCGCCCCCCAGCCAGGCCAGCCCGCCCATGCCCTCCTCCTCCCCGGGCAGCAGCAGCCGGGCCAGCAGCGCCGACCACAGCGGGGTGCTGCTGAACAGCACCTGCAGGGGGGAGGGGGCGAGGAGGGTGGAGCTAGAGGGGACGAGGAGAGTGGAGAGAGGGGAGGCGCCAGCGCAGTCAGAACTCAGCAGGTAGGGGCAAAGAAGGGCAGTGACAGTAGAGGAAGCAAGTTTAGATGGAGGCAGCGCCCCGCATGGCCCTAGCAGAGGAAGCGAGTGGCCCGCACCTCCTCCGCGCCCCGCACCTCCCACCTGGGCCTGAGCGGGCGGCACCGTCTGCTGCCCAACCGCCTGCAGCAGGGTGGGGCGGGGTGGCGGGCAGGTCGGGTGCGGCAGCAGGGCAGCAGGGAGCAGGGAGCAGGGAAGGTAGGCAGTCTGGTGAGCAGGTGGATGGGGAACGCGCCCCACACGCTGTAGCTCCACAGAGGAGTAGCGGGTAGGGAACACCGAAGCTGCGTGCAGGTTGTGGCAGAGCGCTAGCGCATGCAGAACGCCCCCTTCCTCCGTGCCGCCTTCCCTCCCCGCCCCCCCCCCTCAACCCCCCCCCCCACCTGCAGGTAGCTGGACAGCGCTCCCGGCCCCAGCCCCGCCCACAGCAGCGCTGCAGCCGTCCGGGGGTTCCGGAGCAGCAGCCGCAGCTCCAGGAAGTCAGCCAGGCCGGCGCTGGGGGAGCCTGGGGGGGGGGGGCAGGTGGGAGAGGTGGGGGAGGAGGTGGACGGGGTTCAGCGTTAGTTGTGGCAATACATGTCCTGGTAGCAGAGAGACTTACCAGCAGAGGTAGCGAGAGTGGCCCAGAGAGGCTCCGCACTCCCCCACCAGCCCTCTGACCCTCGCCCCCACCTGTTACCTCCTCCCCGTCCCCTCGGCCCCACCTGTCACCTCCCCTTCCTAACCCTTTCCCCCACCTGTCACCTCCGCCAGCAGCCACATCAGCGACAGCCCCGCGTACGCCGCTGCAGCCGCCGCCGCCAGGTGCAGCGGGGCGAAGCGGGCGCTGTGTGCCCCCAGCCGCACCGTGGCCATCCCCCAGAACACGCAGCTCAGCAGCACGTACCCAGCCCCCAGCGCCTCCTCAGATAGGGCGCCGCCGCCCCAGGCAGCTGACACGCCGCGCAGCAGCCACTGAGCGGGCGAGCTGGTGCTGCTGCTGCTGACGCCGCCGGGTGACATTGGATTTAATGCTAGGCTGCCGCCGTCATCAGCGGTTGTGGTGGCGGTTGTGGTTCCGTTGGTCCCCAGCAGCAAGCCGGCGGAGAGCTGCCGCACAGCCGCCTCCACAAAGGCAGCAGCAGCAGCAGCAGCACCACCACCACCATCACTACTGCCACTGCCACTGCTATCAGCCCCCGCTCCCGCTCCCGCGGTCGCGGCCGACCTCACTGCATCCAGTGCCACCATGGCCCCTCCCGCGGCCCCGCAGCAGCACGCCAGCCACACCGCCGGCCCCACCCGCCCGCCGCCCACCCACACCAGCAGCGGCGTCACCAGGCTGGTGGCCTGGGCCAGGAAGGCGCAGCGGGTGGCGGAGATGCGCTGCATGCCCCACGCGCCCAGGGCTGCGGCGGTCACGTTGTACAGGCCCAGCTCCATACCCGCGGCTGGCAGGGAGTGAGCGGAGGAGGACAGGGCATGCAGCCGCCGTCGCCAGCTGGAGAAGGAGGTAGGTGTAGCGGCGGCGGTGCCGGCAGGCGGAGCTGCAGCCGCCGGCCCCGGCGTGTGTCGTACTGCGGGCGACATGGGCCCCAGGGAGACGCCGTCCAGGGAGGGGCCCCGCCGGGGCAGCAGCGGCCGCAGTGGGCTAGCGGGCCACCCGGCTGCTGCCCCGCCTGGGCCCAGACCGGCCTCGCCCTCCCACTCGGCCGTACTGCCGCTGGTGCTGGTGGTACTGAGAGCGGCGGGCAGGCAGGGGGCGGGCAGGCAGGGGGTGGGGTGCGCTGCGGTGCAGGACTGGGGCCTGTCGCGGCTCCTGGGGCTCCTGGGGTGCCCTGCAGCGGGTGTGGGGAGACGGCGGATGCGGGGCTGAGCTACTTGTTTGCCAACAACGGATGTGTCCTATACTAGTCATATAGTCACGTTGGAAGTTCTTTGGCATGCAGGCATGCAAGGCTACTCTAGAGAATTCCTATGGATGGGTGTACAGGTGTGTGTTGCGGGGTGCGTGCGTGCAGTGCGAGTGTGTGGCTACCCACCTAGCAGCCAGCTGTGCTCCGCTGCTGCCGCCGCCGCCGCTGCTACCTCCTCCTCCGCCTGCTCAGCCCCGCCCTGCTCCCCCTCTACCTCGCCCTTCTCTAGCAGCGTCTGCAGCGCTGCCTGCTGCTGGCCCAGCCCCTGCTGCTGCCCCTGCTGTCCCTGCTGCTGTCCCTGCTGCTGGCCCAGCCCCTGCTGCTGGTGATGGCACAACGCGCGCCGCGCCGCCGCCGCCCCAAGTGCGTCCCCTGCGCCCCCCACCGCATGCACGCCGCTCAGCAGCACCGCCTCCGCCTCCATCACCTCCACCTCCGCCGTCTCCTCCTCCTCCTCCGCCCCCATCTCACCCCGCCGTCCCCCGCCCCCGCCCCGCCCCTCCACCGCCGCCTCCAGCAGCCCCCCCGCCAGCAGGAAGAGCGCGGTGGCGGCGGAGATGCAGGCGGTGAGCAGTGCGGCGCTGGGCGGGGAGGGCTGCAGGAAGAGGTACTTGGAGGTGGGGCCGCCGCTGGCCCACAGGATGGTGGTGACGAGCAGGATGGCGGCGCCGTACAGCTGGGGGGGAGCAGGGAATGGGGGGAGGGAGGGGAGGTGGGAGAAGAAGGGGCTGAGGGTTGGGGGTGAAGGGGAAGGCGCTAGGGGTGGAGGTAAGGGGATGGCGGTTGGGAAGGTGGAGGGGAGAAGGGCGGACGGGAAGGTGGCAAGGAAGGCGTATGGGGTATGTCGCACATGGCTTGGCGGGGAGGGTGAAGGGGATGGATGGGCAGTAGGGGAGCATGGGAAGCCGCGACGTTAGGCTTACCTGGGAGCGGAGACGGCGCCGTCCTGGGCTCCTGCAGGGCTGCTCACTCTGCAATGCGTTGCCTGTATCCTCCTGCGTCATGTCCCCTTTCACAAAGTTGCTTAAAGCTATTCGCGTAGAACTTGTTAGGTTGCGAAGCTAGGGCTTGTGCAGCTGTGCAGATCACCCCATTCGGAGTACTTTGCACAGATAGTTTTTAATGGAGAAGCTTAAAAACACCGCTCTACGTGATTGCGGTCTGCACCAGGTATGAGATGGTCATTGACCACGGCAGGGGCATATGGACCCTTGCTGCAGCCATTCTACTTGACAGGAGATACACCAACATCACCACTAAATTGACGGCGACCTATCCTGCTGATGCGTGCATTGGAAACCATGTACTGATGCTGACGATGCAATCTCACCACACGTACACCAACCACTAATATCGCCGAAAATAAAAAATATCAGTATCACATATTTTGCTGTTGCACAACCCTACTTAACAATTGTATTATTAGAGCACACACGGCACAATGATGCTCCAGCGCGCTGGTCCTCTTCGTGCGGGTACTCAGCCAGTTCCGCGAGCGGCGGCCCGTCGCGTTGTTGTATGCCGCGCACAAAAGTCTGAGGATGCTTCTCCTGTTAAAGTCATGGCCCTGCCGCTGGCGTCCATGGTAGCTGCAGCCCTCATCGCTGGCGCAGCTCTACCGGAAGATGCCCTGGCCGCGTCGCAGCGCTCTGGTGGACGTATTGGTGGCTCTAGCGGCTTTGCTTCCCGCAGAGGAGCGGCGCCTTCACGCGGAATTCAGACCCATGCAGCGTGAGTGTTGTAGATCTCCTTCAAGGTTCTAGATACACAGCAGTAGGGGGTATCAACGCATGCGTTGTCATGAGATGCAATACTCCAACAATGTTCTTGTGGGTCAAGGTTGTGGCAAATTTTTGGCTGACTGTCTCTCACGTGCCTCCCCAACCCCTCCTCCATCCCTCTCGCAGTCCCTCCGTGCACAGCACCACTGTGCACCACAGCACCACTGTGGTGATGGCGCCCCCCGCACCGGTTTTCAGCCCTTTCGGCTTCTCCCCTTTTGGCTTCTCTCCTTTCGGTGGCTTCGGAGTCAGCTTTGGGATGCCCATCTTCCTGCCCGGCTCTTTGTTCAGCGGCCTGTTCGGCCTCATGTTCATCGCACTTCTCTTCAATGTTGTGTTTGGAGTCATCCGGAGCTTCGCCGCCGCACAGAAGAAGGATAAGAACGATGACAGCTGGGGCGACCTGTGAACGTTGAGCAGCAGTTGAGCGGCGGTTGAGAGCGAGCCTTGGTGCCCCCTGTATTATTGTGAGTCGTGAGTGATGCACCAGGGTAGTTAGTTATTGATTGACGGGGTGAGAGAGCAACTGGGACGTGAGCGCGTGGCTGGGAGGCCCTTTGCCGGTCTAGAGAGCTTGTTGGCTCTGACCGGACATGCAGGACATGCGGTCCTGGTAACAATTTTGCGATAATTGCCTGTTGCCTTTCATTCAAGTAGAGCGAGTACCAAGTAAATAAGAAATCCGGTGGGAGCATGGGGACTTGGTGCCTGGAACACGAGAGAGTTTTGTACGGTTATGGACTTTTCGATTGGCCGCCGTGCTGTATGTGTCTTATCTGGATCTCCCCTAAGCGGGCTACCTGTTCAGGTAGTGTAGCCGTATCGTGTGCCGTGAACTGTAACAAAACACGCAGGTCGTGTGTGACCTGCACAGGGTCTTCCGTCTGCTGCTGGCTGCAAGTTTGCCCATGTGGTTGCATGCCCACGTCTCTCATTGGGCCACTTAGCCTGCTAAACCAGCGGGTTCGACAGTACAGAGTCTCGATCAGGCGGCTTGGGGACATGGTTAAGAGGCCGGAAGGGCACTTGTCCCCGGCCTCGCCATTGCAAACACCAGCATTAACAGATGACCCGTGGGTCAGGTGTGATGACATTCGGGCCTCATCCATGTGTGCTTCAAGAGCAGTTAGCCCTGGTCAGCCGCCCCTCTCTTGCTACGGAGCGCACTTCCCAGCCGACAAGTCCAACCAGCAACAAGTCCATGTCAGCACCCACAGTTCCGGGCTTCGACAGCTATGAGCAGTCCACAGTTGCGCGGCTCAGAGCGCTGGGTGCATGCCTCCTCCCCCTCCACACGCACAAGGCAGTTACGGTGCGTTCCGACTCACGACCAGTTTTTTAAGCACAAGGGCGACCCGACACCCCGCTCACATGAAGCCAAGCACACCGCCGTAACCCTCATCGTCGTCATCCCCCTCTTCATCGCCCAGACCTCCCAACCAGCCACCCCTCCTCAGCCCCCCCGGCTCCTCCCTGCGCCGCCCCGCCCCTTGCCAGCCCCCGCCACCTACCCCGTGGCCGCCCCCTCCTCGCCCGGAGAATAACAGCTCCTCCTCCCCTAGCCCCTCCTGCCCCTCCTGCCCTACTTCTCCGCCCCCCGCCGAACCCACCCCGCCACCCATCAGCAGTCCGCCGCTGTGGCCCCCCGCCCCGCGCTGCAACTGCTGCTGCCATGGTGACCCCTGCCGCCGCCCCCGCCAGTGCCCTCCCGCCCCCAGCCCGGCCCCAAACCCACCCGCAACACCCAACAGATCCTCCTCCTCTGCGCCTTCCTCCGCCTCATTCTGATCCCAGCCACGCACCCCTCGCGCACTCGCATGCACTCCACCTCGGTGGTCCCAACCGGCTCCGAAACAATCCAACCCACCCGTCCCCCCGCCCAGCGCATCCAACCAGAGGGGCTCCTGCGCATTACCATCACCATCAACAACACCGGCGGCGGCGGCAGCAGCAGCTGTACACCCAAGCCGCCCCTGCTGCCGCCGCTGCGACGCCTGGTGGTGGCTGCCGAATAGCGCCGCCTCATCATCATCGCCACCGTCGCCGTCGCTGTCGACTGCGGCGGCGCCCAACCCGCCTCCGCCCAGCCGCGACCCCTCCTCCGCGCCCGCATCGTAATCTCCCAAGTACGACAAGAAGTCAACACCGCTTCCATGACGATCACCCACCAGGTTGCCGACACAGGCTGTCCTACCTTGCTTGCATCTCCGCTGGGCCCAACCGCCACCACCGCCACCTTCACCGCCGCCACCACCACCCAAGCGATCCAGGAACCCCAGCGGATCGTCGCTTTCGCCGCCGTCACCGTCACCACCTCGCCCCACCGTCTCGACCGCCGCCGGGCCCCACTGCTGGTGCTGCTGCTGCTGCCGCTGCGAGGGCAGTGTGCGGGCCGAAGGGCTGCCGCGCGGCATGCTGGGTCCCAGACTCAAGCTGCTGGCCAACAGGGCCCCGCCCTCCCAGGACTCCGCTGCGACGTCAAACACAGCACCGCCACCGCCCGCCCAGCCACCGCCGCCGCCGCTGCCATGCCGCCGCCGTCGTACGGCATGCTTGTCTTCCGCCGCTGCCGCAGTAGCCATCAAACCGCTAGTACAAGGCGACCCCATCAGATGCGACGGCTGCTGCACCCGGCCGCTACTGCCGCCTCTGCTACGCGCCCTGGCGGCGGCGCCGAGGGAGGCTTCGGAGGCAGTACGGCGCGCCGCCGCTGCGTCGCCACCCCCCTGGCTGGGATGATGGTGCCGTACCCTGGCGGCAGCGGCGGCGGCGGAGCGCGGCGGCAGCGGCTGCTGCTGGTGGCTGGTACCTGCTGGGGACACGGAGGCGCTCGAGGGCGTGAGGCCGCTGGCAGTGGCTGTAGCTGCTGTGGCTGTGGCTGTAGCAGTCGCTCTTGTCCCCCCAGCGGTGGTGGGGGGTTCTCGTAACACCTGGCCACCCGCAGTGCGACCCTCCGCTGACCCTCGCTGTCCGCGTGCAGCAGCAGCAGCAGCCGGGGCCGCAGCGCCGCCGTCGCCGCCGTCACCGGCTCCCTCCTCCGCCTCCCCACTCACCGCTCTTCTTCCATGTCCCCTCCCCTTACCCTCCTCCTGCCGCCTCCCTCCTCTCCCCCTCCCCATGTCCCTCTCCCTGCTCCTACCCGCCCTCACCCCCTCCACCAGTTTCCTGCTGAGGTGCTGCAGCAGGCTGCTCCGCCCCTGCGGCCCCAGCTCCTCCGGCCGCACCCCCACATCCGCCTCCACCAGCGCCGCCACACAGGCCCGCACACCAGCCAGGTAGCGCCAGGGGTCGGCGGGGGCAGCAGCGCGGGGCCCAGCGGCCGCGGGCTGCAGCATGCGGGCACCGCCAGCAGCGCCAGCGGCAGTGGCAGGGGGAGCGGCAGCGGAGGCGGGAAGGCCTCCTGCTGACGTGGACGTGGCACGCGGGAGCTGGGGCTGAGGAGGCGCGGGAGCTGGGGAGCCAGCGGCCCTGGTGGTTGGGGCTCTGGAACCACCACCACCAACCCCACCACCAGCAGCGCTAGTGCCAGCACTACGGAGGAGAAGGAGCTGCTGCGGCGCTGCGGTGTCAGTTGGTCGTAGCATGGGTGGATGGCTGCCGGGCCCGGGCCCTGCGGCGGCTAGGGGGGCATCTGGCGGCGCGGCCAGCTTGCTACCGAGGGGCGCGTGCACTGCAGCGGCTGCCTTGGCGCCTCTGCTGCCGCCCCCTGTCCGCCCCGTTCGTCCCGTTGCTACGGGCACCGCAGGCACATCACTACCGGGGCCTTCATCAGCCGCATTGCCAGCGCCGTGCAGTCGTACGGCATACGAGGCGGGGCCCCTCCTGGCGCCCATGCTGAGGGCTGACGCCAGCGTGCGTTGCCGCAACGAGGCGGCGCTTGCGGCGAGCGGGTCGGCGATGTTGCGGGGCGCGGTGGTGAGGGGCGGCGGGGCGGGGAGGACTGCGGGGGCGCGCGCGGCTGGGGGCGGCGGCTGGGGAGCTTGGCGGGGGGCTGCAGCTGCGGTTCTGGGAGGCGGTTGGATTGATGCCTGTTGCTGTTGTTGTTGTTGTTGTTGCTGCTGCTGCTGCGGAAATGCGTGAATTTGTTGATGGTGCAGCTGTGCGCCTGATGGGGCGTGAGGTGGAGGGCACCGGTGTTAAAGAGGGCTTGCGACTGGAGAAAGATGCGTAACTAACGTGCAGTCGGGGCCTATCAAGTAATAAATATACCTTCTGGAGCACGTGGCCGCTTTGGTGGGCGTTCGGCATCATGGAATGCGCTTTCTTGATCGACGCGTCGCTGCCGGTTAGCATATTCACGCTGCGCTGACTCGGCTATTTCAGGAGCAGCGCAGGCCTTGTGGGCTGCCGCCGCCTTGGTTCTCTGTAATTAACGAGTTTGGCGGTTCCGTGGATTTGGGTCGTCAAGGCTTCTGCCGTCCCAACCGCACAAGACATGCGCGCTGAGCAGTTGGCGAGCAAGAGGCGCACCTGCTTGAAGCTTGCGAGTTGATTGTAACCATGCATCTTATAAAGGTAGTATCTGCAGCAGTGCTGCGGTGGGTTCTGGCATCCTGGGTGGGTTCTAGGTCTTGGCTCCAAAGCCAAGTCAGCCGGCCGGCGGGAACCTGCCTTGCCGACATACCCGACGCTAATTTCCAAACCACTGGCTGCAAGCGAACCAGAAATATTTTGTGAACTGTTATGAGGAAGGCGATGTTGCTATCATCTTGAAACCCTTGCTGCACCCGCGGCTTATTATTAAGCGCTTCGTTATCGCGAGCAAATTACAATGAACCTAGTGCAGACAAATCTGTTGAGGGAAATAGCTGCCGAGGTTAAATCTCATGGCGGTCCGGTGCAGTTCAAGGCGCATGCGCTTAAGCATCTTGAGTTACGGACTGTGCTGAAGGTACTATGAGACAAAGTACAAATATATCGCCTGCAAGCTGGTAGAAGCCTACAGAGATGTTAAGGATTAACTTCATTTGCTCAGGAAAGCCATGGCTCGCCCATTGTCGACCTGGCCTTCAACACGATGGACCCGGAGCACCACAACCTCTTCGCATCGGTCGGCAAGGATCAGGTACACACGCATGGCTTCCTTGTCCCCTTTCTGGTGAACTTCCAAACCGCGAACTCACCTCACCCTCCCCTCCCTCCACCTTCCCTTCCGCCCGCAGGCCACCATCTACGATGACGCGCACATGGGGGACTTCCTGGGTGTGGTTGTGCAGCTGGTCAACCAGCCCTCGGAGCACCACAAGGGAGGGGTGAGTGCTCCCGGTGGCGGCACCCTCCTCCCTCCCTGCATCGCTTGCGCCCATGCAGCAACATTCACACCCCTTCCCTTCACTGCTCACTGCATGAGTCGGGATTCGGGATTGGGACTGTGTTGTTGCACTTATTTATAATTTTCCCCCTTCCCTTCCTCGCCTTTTACTTCTCTGCCCTACCATTTCCCACCTTCCCTTTCCCTCCTACCCCCCCTTCAAGGAGCTGAGCTGCTGCGCCTGGGTGCAGATGAGCGGCCTGTCCCGACACGAGCTGGGGGATGCATGTCTGGTGAGGGGAGGCGGGCGGGGAGGTGGGGCGAGGCGGTGGTGAGGGCATGGGCTGGGGCATGGGGCCTGGGGACCGGCCGGGGCAGGGGTCCCTAGCTCCTGTGCACCGTTGGGTTTGTTCGGGTAATGGTTCGCCCCACTGGGCAAGCCCGCCTATTTTGGATACGTACACCCCACCGGCACCCCCCCCTCTTTCAGGCGGTCTCCGGTCCCGAGGGAGTTATCCAGGTGATCAGTGTGGTGGAGGCGAGGGTGACGGCGCTGCTGAAAGGTAGGGAAGCGGGGAGGTGGGGAAGGGGTTCGGGTGCAGACTGTGCTGGGGGGGATAAGATGCCAGGGTGCGATGGGTAGGGTGTTGGAGGGCGTACGGGAGGACTGTGGGGCCACCTGAACGTATCTAGCAGGGCACCACACCTCCTACTCCCCTCCCTTCTCTTCACCTCTCCCCCTCCAGGTCACCTCTGCGAGGTTGTGGAGCTGCGCGGGTGCGCGGGGCTGCCGGGGCTGCTGCTGTCGCTGGGGGCGGACGGGGCGGTGCGGCTGTGGGACGTGGCGGCGGGCAGCTGCCTGGGGGAGGTGCAGGCGGAGGCGGCGGCGGTGGTGAGGGAGGGGCTGGGGGCGGGTGGGAGGGGCAGGAGTTGGGCGGCTGGTGTGGGAACCTAGGATGTAGGATCCCAGCTTAGGTTTCAAAAACCGCAAGCTCCCCCTCCCTCTGCACCCCTGTGTCTTTACTGCTCTCCCGCACCCTCCCTCCCCCCCAGGAGCTGCACCCCGAGGGCCGCTGCTTCTTCACGGCCCACCGCGGCCCCCGCATCTGCCGCTGGGACCTCAACTGGGCGCCACCACCGCAGCACCAGGACCAACAGCAACAGCCCCCACCTCACCCCGCCGCAGCGCCCCCTGCATGTCCCCGGCTGGCCTTGCTGGGGTGGCCGCCCGTCGCCACCCCCCTGGCCCTGCCGCTGCAGGCGCCCGGCGGGGGGCCGGCGCTGGGGGAGGTGGTGGAGTGCCTGCGGTGCCTGCCGGCAGCTGGGGGCGGAGGAGGGGGAGGCAGCAGCGGCAGCGGAGGGGGTGCGGAGGGAGGCAGCAGCAGCAGCGGAGGAGGCGGGGTGGGGGTGAGACTGGCGGCGAAGTCGTCGGACGGTCGGCTGGCAGTGTGGGGTCCGCAGCAGCAGCAGCAGCAGGGGGAGGTGGGGCAGCTGTGGCAGCTGCAGTTGTCACTACGGGTGCCGGGCACCCACTCGGCGGCAGGAGGCGGAGGAAGCAGGGGCGGAGGCGGGGGCGGTTGCAGGTGCCGGTTCAGTGTCACTCGGGACGGGGCATACATTTGCGTGGGTGAGTGGGGCTCGGGAGAGAGGGGCAAGGTATCCTGGGAAGGTATCCTGGGAAGGAGAGCGCAAAGGAAACAGAAAGAGCGCGGGGAGCTGGCTCATGAAGCCGGCTCAAAACCACCTCCTTCGCCTTTTCCTCGTGCGAAACACGCACGAGTACAACCCCCCCCCCACCCCTACCCCCCCCCAGGCAACCCCTCGGGTGACGTGTATGTGTACGACAGCGGCACTGGCGCCCGTGCAGCGCACCACAGCGCCGCCAAGATGCGGGGGCCGGTGCGGGCTGCGGCGCTGTCGGAGGACGGGAGGCACCTGCTGGCGGTGCACGGGAACGGATACATACTCAGGTGGGGTAACGAGGAAACAACTAACTGACCGTGTGATAAGGCGTCATCATGATGGGGATTGGGGAAGGAGGAAGGAGGGCGGGGTGGGGGGGATTGAAGGAAGAGGAAGAGGAAAGGAAGCGGACAGGAATCCCCACAATCCTCGCTGCCCGACCCAATGCTTGTACCCCACCAAGTTCTAAATTACCATACCCTTCCTGCCCTGGTTGTGACCCATGGGTCGAGCCCCAGGTACGAGTACATCCGTAAACAACAACGAGAGAGCGCCGCAGCGGCTGCAGCTGCGGCTGCTGCAGCAGCAGCGGCTCCTAACGAGGGTGAGGGCGCAGGTGCGGGCGGCGGCCCCTCAGCTGCAGATGGGGAGGGGGACGCGGGCGGTGCAGAGGGGGACATGGACACGGACGCAGATGCGGGTGCAGGTGAAGGGCCCAGCTCGCGAGGGGTTACTCCGGAGGACGGGATGGTGGCTGGTGCTAGCGCATCCGCGGGGGAAGGGGAGGCGGGTGTGACGGGGAAGCGCCCTAGAAATGCGGGTGAGGCGGAGGGGGCGGAGGGGGATGAGGCGGAGGAGGAGGAGGAGGGCAGGCGGGTGAGGGGCTGGGTGGGGTAGGAGGGGCGGGGGGCGGTTGCGGTGGGGCAGCGGTAAACACGCAGGGAGTGGATTCGATGGGTAGCGCATAGGATAGGGAAGCAAGATGGCCTTGTTACGACATGCCTTCCTGTTACCGGAGCTCGGCTGCGGGTGATGTATGAGCGCTGCGGTTGGTTGAGGGTACGACGAGACTGCAGGAGGTGGTGGGTGAGCTGGCTTGGTGGCTTTAAGATGCACTAGCCCTCGGGGCCGCATGGTGAAGGCCGGGGCTCATGTTATTGCAAGCCTGTGAAGAGGGGAGGTGCGGGTGGAGCGCCGTCGTATAAGCACATCCCGCCTTTGGTGTGAACAAGCCACTACCGAGCGTGGGAGCACGTGGCAGGCATTTTGGTAGCTTACAATGGACTCCCAGCGCATTATCTGCTTACGAACAATGTACGGACAACACCTTGGGCAAGTTATACCGGTAGCAGCGACTCTCCGTTGACCAAGTTGACCAACCTAGACTTCCAACGCGCGTCAACAACACCTTATAAGGTCTCTCTCCGCCGCTCAAACAACACCCTCTCTGTCACGTAAGCAGAGACTCTTCAGCAATGCCTAGCAAGAGATGAAAGCGAAGCGCAACGTTGTCTTAGGGGACCAGGAATCTCCCATGTCAAGGGGTCAGTGCCGGCGCAGACCCCTACGTGCCCCCACGGCTTCCCACCAGGCAGAAGCAGCAGCAGAATTATGCAACATGGCAGAGCACCCAAACAGCTCTCCAACCCATACGACCACCACGTCTTTCATGTCGGCATGGCAAGGCAAGGTCTCTCATGCGGAACAGCGCCAAACCACAGCTAAACCCCAAATGGCAGGGGCAAGGGGGCCCAAAAAGGATGCCTTATACTCCAACAAGAACAGGAAAGAGGGAAAAGCGCAAGCCATGGAATACGCTTGCTCCAGCGACGCCGCGGTTATACGGCTCACTTTATTGCCGTACTCCACAGCACACGGCTTCACCCCACACAGCAACCAGTACAGAGCCATCCTTAACGCGGGCTATGACTGCACACCCATTCTTATAATACACTGGGGCCATCAGTACCCTTTTAAAAAAACAACTTAATGTATATATGGGTTGCTGTCTACAAGCGCAGGGGCCCCCTTCTCACCTCATGACTCACAGTAACGCACCCCTGCCCGCTCTAACCGCCCCTAACCGCCGCCGTAACTATCAAAACGCAGCTTGCAACTTGCGAACAACTCAACACACAACGCCATCTTCCTTTCACCAACCCACATCACTCCAGCCCCGCCCTCACCCTCCCTGCCCCTCCTCAATGCGCATGGTGCGAGTGCGGCTGCCGCCCCTCACCTCCCCCGTCCCCGTCCCCTCCTCCTCCTCCCCCTCCCCCCGGCCGCTTCCAGCTTCCCCCCGCCCCATGCCCCCCCGCCACCAGCCGGCTCAGCTCCCCCACCTGCTCCGCCGCCGCTGCCTCCGCCACTTCCTCCAGCAGCACCCGCTCCAGGGCGGCACGCTGGCGGGGACACAGCGGGGGAGGCGGGGCGGGACCCTACAAGGGGGAGGCAGAGGAAGGGAGGGTTGCGGAAGTGAAGGTGACCCTTCTTTACAAGGGTTAGGTAGCTTCATACCCCTCTTGCCGCTCCGCTACATAAAGGCATGAGCGCCTTCCTCTTCCTCTACCGGTATACTGCCACCCCTATGCGCCCTTCCCTGCCCATGCGCTGCTCCTGCACCTCCCTGCCCCCCCCCTCCCTCGCTTCCCTCCCCACCCCCCCCCCCACCTGCTCCCCCCGCTCCCGCAGCACCCCCCGGTACACCCGCTCCGCCACCGGGTCCACCGCGGCGGAGCGGGGCGGCGGGGGCGGCCAGGGCCCCTCCGCGGCGGCCCCCAGCTCCTCCACCAGGCAGTGGATGCGGGGCAGGCTCTCCCTGACAGCCGCCGCCACCCGGTACGCCGCACTGCGCGCCAGGCTGGCATTCCGCAGCTGCGCCGCGTCCTGGTCGCTGCCAGGGGCGGGCTGCGAGCTGTCCACGTAGGAGCGGATGGGCGCCCGACCCAGATCGCCGCCTAGGGGGGAGGAGCCGGGGCCGGAGCGGGGGGAGGAGCCGGGGGGCTGCTGGCGGGGGTGGTGCGTGGGGTGGTCCGGGTCGTCGGGCTCCTTGTCTAGACCGTCAGGCTGGGAAGGGGGAGAGGGAGGTTTGGAAGGTCAGATTTGAAGAGGAGACTGCGCTGAGTGCAGAACTTAACGGTGCTACTTGTTTAAGGTAAGAGCCCCTAATACGTCGTGATCTTGTGTTACGCTCTTACCGCGTTATCTGACAGGTACAACACGGCCTGGACGAAGAAGTAGCCTAGAAGCGAGAAGAACAAAAGAGACGTGAAGGAGAAGTCTGGCCCATATCCGAGCAGTGTTTCACTGGATGGCCCAATGACGACAGACGGGTCCGCGCTGTCGATGCGGGCAGTCGCTGCTAGCGCAGCTGAAGCCCAGGCGCCACAGCCAGCCGTGATGCCCATGACAAGGCGGCGCACTGCTGATGCTGAGGAATAGTCGGGCTTTGGCTCCTTGGCCAATCTGAGATGGGGAGACAGCGGGACGGAAGTTGGCGTGACGTTGCATGTTAACAACAAGAAGGATTGTTTGGCAACTCTTACCCTTCATGTTCTGTTTGCTTTTCGGGCTGCCGAAGTGCAGCCAGCAAAGGGGGACGGCAGCGTGTTGCCAAGCGAGGATGCGTAAGGAAACGGGGCCTCGTCCGCAAATTGCTTGTAGCCCTACAATAGATACGTGAGCAGGAAGTCATAGTTGCCTTTACAAGGCGCTAAAGAGCGCGACCCATACGTCCGAAGAACGTGTCGGGAGAACCTCCACTCACCCTTCTAAAAGGCGAGGACATAGCGCTCTTTCCATGCCTAAATTTTGCTATGCAAATATCGCGAAAACCAATTACTCTCAGGTAAAACGTATGCTTCAAGCTACGTGGTAACGTCTGCAAGCTCCGTGTGTAACCTCGTCTCGCGTATCTACGATTCTATTTGCTTGACGTAGTAATATGTATTATGTTCCGTAGGTGTACTTATGCGAAGCCCAAGGGACGCCCGGCTGTGTTAGCTGCAACCCCTGCAAGCCAGCGTCGTGCATCGATCCTTTTCCGAAACCACGCTTTGGAAGGCGCGAATGCTGGATTGCTAATTGCTCGATAGCGTTGGGTAGAGACTTCTTTCTTAGTTTTTCTCCAACACCATCACGCCCGAAGGTGACTTCAAAAGTATTGATCTGCTCTGCTTTGTGTAACGAAAAGCGCCCCGCCCGAGTAGAGCTTTCCCCACCTTGGGCGCCTATGTCGTGTCTAAATAAACACATATGCGCATGATAGAGAAGTTAATACTATTACTGGTTGCACCCATCACCGGGGCACGGGTCTCGACGGAATGAGCGGACGCGGTGGCGGACGTGGCCGCATCTCATCGCTTCAAGCCTTTGATGCAAACGAGCCCGGCGGGGGTGGGCGTTATGGAGGTCGTGGGGGCGGTCGCGGCCGGGGTCGTGGTAGACGACCCCTCAATGCAAACCTAAACTACATGCCGAGAGACGGTGGACCTGGAGGCAGCGAAGAGGACAACAACATCAAGGTATTAACATATCTTCTTATTATATAGCACAGGCACCGTGGATAGGTTTGGTCCTGACTGCAACCCTGTGTGGGCATCTTACCTCATCGTGTGCCAACTTTCTGCCCTGGAAAAAAAATACCGGCCTCAGCCTTTAAGGCTATTACTTCATAGTTCCACCGCGCTTGCTAATAAGTTATACCTCCATCCTCTATTATCCTGGGCACTTCCTCCTTCCCTCCATCCTAGCTTGCACAAGTTCGCGCGGAGGATGTGCTGGACGAGCAGCTGGGCTTCCCGCTCTTCACCACCGGGGACGACCGCTTGGGCTGGCTCATGAACATACAATCGGTGGGTCACATAAACATACAGTGTCTATTTAATGCAACAGCTGTCACAGCCGTCTCCGCGCATGCGTCTCAACAACCACCTTCTTTCCCTCCCTCCCTCTCCCCCGCCCCCAAATTACCCCCCCCCCCAAACCCAAACCCATCCCAACCCAGTCCCACATGGCCGACAAGGACACGGGCCACGTGGTGGCCTCCGTGGATTGCTACTTCATGTGCCAGGTGGGGCGGGGGGCAGGAGGATTGTTGAAGCACCTGAGGGAGGCAGCTGCCGGCAGCGCCTGTGACCTCCTCAGCAGCAGGAGGGAGAAGGAGCAAGAGGGAACACACATCCGCTGCGAACCCCTCTCTAGCACGGTTACAGTGGAAGCAAGGGCAATGGGGATGTGGGTTGTAGGGAAGCGGTGCTAGGCCGCCACGGGAAGGAAGGACAACACGCCGGGGTGGAGCTTCTTGTTGGAGTTGCAAACCTGTACTTGCCGTGGTGCACCTGTGCTAATGCATGACCGCTGCCCCATTCTCCTGGTTGCCCCCACCCCACCCCTGTGCAGGACGGGACCATGTTCAAGGCGCGACTCGCTTTTGCGCCGTACTTTTATGTGCGAGTGCAGGTGGGGTTCGTTGGGATTTACCAGGCAGTTTGATGGGCTGCTGATTGGTGGGTTATGGAGGTGGCTGGGGCTAAGTGCGGCTGCTGACTGTAACCCAGATAGGGAGGCCGATCTGATCTGGGTCAGAAGGCCGATGGGGAAGCTGATCTGGGTCAGAAGGCCGATGGGGAGGTGATCTGGGTCAGAAGGCCGATGGGGGAGCTGATCTGGGTCAGAAGGCCGATGGGGGAGCTGATCTGGGTCAGAAGGCCGATGGGGAGGTGATCTGGGTCAAGAGTAGCACAGCCGCAGGACTCCGCCCCAGATCAGCCTTCCAGCTGAGGTCAAGCCCTCGTCAGGCGCGTACCCCCCTTCCTTCTTTAATAACACCTGCAAATCCTTCTCCCCCTTTTCTTCCCCTTCCCCTTTTCTTCCCTTCCCCTTTTCCTCCCCACCCACCCCTCCAGGAGGGTCGCGAGGTAGAGGCCGAGAACTACCTCCGTCGCAAGTGCGAGGGAGCAATCCGGGCGGTGGAGGTGGTGGAAAAGGAGGACCTGGACCTGGTGGGTCGGAGAAGGGAGGAAGGGGCAGGGTTAGGCAGAATAAATACACAACGCACGAAACCCTTTTCCCTTCTTTGCATGCCACCACCTACCCCCCTTACCCCGCGTTTACCACCACTGCCCCTCCTAACCGTTTCCTTACCGCCTCTTCATCATCCCCCCCTCCCCGACCTCCCCTCCGCAGAAAAACCACCTATCCGGTATTCGCCGCCGGCTGCTGCGTGTGAGCACCTTCACCGTGCAGCAGCTGATGGAGGCGCGGCGGGAGGTGGCGCCGCTGGTGGCAGCCAACCAGCACAAGCAGGCCACCACCTCGGCTTACAGCGCGGTGGCGGCGGCAGCGGCGCTGGGAGGCGGGATGGAGGGAGGCGGAGCGGCGGGGGGGAAGCTGCAGGTGAGGAGGGTGGTGGAGGGAAGGGGAAAAGAGGGAGGGTTGGCGGATCTGGGTTGGAAGCGAAGTGGGGGAGTTGGTGGAGCTTGGCGAGGATCCCGGAAAGACGACGGTGAAGGACGGGTCTTCACACTGAGAACGAGACCACTAGCTGCGTAGCCGGTTATGGTACCTTGTAGTGTCCGGGATAACGTCGCATGCACATGCGGATATCCCCATTGGGGTCGCTACATCCACCACCCCGCTCTCCCACACCCCTCCTCCCCCCACATCAGGACATCCGGGAGGCCTTCCTGGAGCTGCGCGAGTACGACGTGCCGTACCACGTTCGCTTTGCCATCGACACGGACGTGCGGGTGGGCCACTGGTACACGGTGCGGTGCCACGAGGGGGTGACGTGCATGGAGCGGCGGGCGGACCTGCTGCAGCGCGCGGAGCCGCGCATCTGCGCATTCGACATTGAGACGACCAAGCTGCCGCTGCAGTTCCCCAATGCAGAGTATGATCAGGTATGAGGGGAAATTACATGGAAAATGAAGCAACGGACAGCAACGGAGTCAGAATCCCAAACCCTGGGAGGGAAGGGAGAACGAATGTGGACTAGATGGCCAGTCAAACCAACCTCCCGAACTTGACTCAGATGGGAGGTGGACGGGGATTAATGGGGTGGGGATGGAGAAGAGAGGGGTGAGCGGTGCCGCCTTGTTGGACGGACCTCTGCTGACCTGGGAAGCGGTGACATGCGAAGTGGAGCTCCTACTCCCTAGTCCCATCACCTCGCCTCACCTCCCTCCCTCCCCGCCCCTCTCCCCGCCCTCCCTCCTCCCCCCAGGTGTTTATGATCTCCTACATGTTGGACCGGCAGGGCTACCTGATTGTGAACCGGGAGGTGGTGGGGGCGGACATTGCGGACTTTGAGTACACACCCAAACCCGAGTTCGAGGGGCCCTTCAAGGTGGGTAGCTGGCTGGGGTGGGGGTTGGGCTGGGTTGGTTTGGGTAGGCAGCCGGATGGGCTCACTGCATGCGTCGGGGCATGTGTTTGGTACTCCGGTTGCCTCACTCCTTGTTCATTTCCTCCCCTCCCTCCCTGCCTCCAGGTCCACAACGCCCCCGACGAGCGCTCCCTGCTGCTTCACTTCTTCGAGCACATGCGGTCCGCGCAGCCCGCCATCTACGTCACCTACAACGGCGACTTCTTCGACTTCCCCTTCATCGAGGCGCGCTGCACGCGGCTGGGGCTGGACATGGCGGGCCTGATTGGGTTCCGCTGCAGGGGCGGGACGGGGCCGGGCGGCGGAGGAGGGGCGGGGGGCAGCAAGGAGTGTCTGGCGCGTCATGCGGTCCACATGGACTGCATGCACTGGGTGGATCGGGACTCGTACCTGCCGCAGGGGAGCAGGGGCCTCAAGGTAGGCAAGGGGGGTTACAGTGGGAAGGGGAAGGGGAAGGTTACGGGGAAGAGAGGAAGGGAAGAGAAAGAGGAAGGAGCTTAATGGGAGGGAGGAAGGGATGGAGGGAGGGGCGATGGTGCAAGGTGAAAAGGGCCGCTGCGACATCCACTCAGAACATGCCACGTATGCCTGGATACACCCCCTTCCTCCTTCCTCCAACCCTTTTCCATACCCAACCCTTAACTCAACTATCCAGCCTGATGCGGAATATGAATCCGTACGTGTATCCCTATCCCTATTGATTACCCCATCCTCCCCACCCGCCAGGCTGTCACCAAGGCCAAGCTGGGTTACGACCCCGTGGAGGTGGCCCCCGAGGACATGGTCCGCCTGGCCCGGGAGACCCCGCAGGCCATGGCCAGCTACTCGGTGTCGGATGCGGTGGCCACCTACTACCTCTACATGACCTACGTGCACCCCTTCATCTTCTCGCTGGCCACCATCATCCCACTGCCGCCGGATGAGGTGCTGCGGAAGGGCAGTGGCACGCTGTGCGAGCAGCTGCTGATGGTGGAGGTGAGGGGGGAGGGGAATAAAAGGATATCCAATCTGACCTAATGCGTTGTTGGACAGTGGCAAACTAGGTCACAAGCCATGGGGAAGAGGGGAAGGCGGACTGTGAAGGAGGCGCGAGGAATGCGATAGAAGAGGGGGGAACAGAGAAAAGGAGGGTAAAAGAGACCTGCGCTACCTCCCACTCACCTCATCCCTGAGGAAACACTCAAGCCGTCCTTCCTCCCTCTCCCTCACCCCCCCCCCCTTCCGCCCCCTCTCCCCCTCCCCCCAGGCCTACCGTGCCAACATCGTGTGCCCCAACAAGCACCTCAGCGAGCGCGAGTCGCTGTACCGCGGGCACCTGCTGGAGAGCGAGACGTACATCGGGGGGCGGGTGGAGGCGCTGGAGAGCGGCGTGTTCAGGAGCGACCTGCCGCTGCGGTTCAAGTGCAAGCCGGCAGCGTACCAGGTGGGGACGGAGGGGCGGGGTGGGCAGAGAGGGGCTGGGAGAGGGCCATAAGGAGGACGCAGGCACAGCGTCTATAATGACATTGATAACCAATCTTGATGCTACAAGTGCTGCTGGCTCCGCCCCTCTTTCCCGCTCCTCCCCTTCCCTTCTCCTCTCCCCTCCACCTCCACCTCCCCATGATGGAGCTTCGTCATACACTCGTTAGTTTCCTCTCCCCTCCCCTCCCACCACCCCTCTCCGCAGATGCTGCTCGACAACCTGGATCGCGACCTGTCGTACGCGCTCCGCCACGAGGCCAAGTGGGCGGGCGGCCCCGAGGAGTGCGCCAACTACGGGGAGCTGCGGGCGGCCATTGCGGCCAAGCTGGAGGCGCTGAGGGACACGCCTAACAGGTGGGAGGGGGGGAAAGGAGGGGAGGGGGGGGTGGGAGGGGTTGTGACTCTGTTGTAGATCAAAGGGTCCTGCACATTGAGGGTGGAGCTATCTCGTCTGTTCGTGGCGATGTATGCACCGCTACAATCCCAGTCCCCCTGCTTTCCCCGCCTCTCCCCCCGTTACCTTCATACCCGCTGCCAATCCCTCGCCCCCATCCCCCCAATCTTCTCCCCCTCCCCCCCCCAGGGAGGAGTGTCCGCTGCTGTACCACCTTGACGTGGCCGCCATGTACCCCAACATCATCCTCACCAACCGCCTGCAGCCCTCCGCAATCGTCACGGAGGAGGACTGCGCGGCGTGCGACTTCAACGCGCCGGGGAAGACGTGTCTGAGGGAGATGGAGTGGGTGGGTGGGGGTAGGGGGGTTGGGGGGAGGGGGCAGGAGGACGGACAGGGGGAGGGGGGAGCACAGCATGAGCCTGAGAGTAGCCAAGGTGACTGCGGTGACAACGAGATGTAGCGCATCTTTCCGGCATGCTTGCGCTTCCGGGTCCCCAGCATATGGTAACTTGCAACCCGCGCAACCCTCTCCCGCCCTCGCCCCCATGTGCAGGTATGGCGCGGCGAGCACTACTCGGCAACCCGCTCCGAGTACATGCAGATAAAGGCGCAGCTAGCATCGGAGACGTTTGCACCCGCAGCAGGTGCAGGAGGAGCGGGCGGTGCGGGGGGCCTGGACGGACCCATGGGTCAGCCGCGCACCTGGGGTGAGCTGACCCCCGACGAGCAGCGCAAGCACCTGCAGGACCGCCTCAAGAAGTACTGCCAGAAGGCGAGATGGGGGGGGAGGGGGGAGACTGGGAGGAAGTTTCGAGGAGGGCAGCCAGGGGGCAGCGCTGGGAGTTGGGGTGCGTGCATGTGTGACGCTAGAAGGGGTTCCCGGTATTGTGGCTTTGCGGTACGTCGATTGCGTACTCGGGGTGATATTACTTGTTCGCCCCGACGCGCGCCCGCTCCTCTCACCCGGCCCCTCCCCTCATGTTGCCCTCGCCTGCTCCCCTCCCCCCTCCCCTCCCTCCCCTCCCTGCAGGTGTACAAGCGCGTGCTTGACAAGCCGGTCACCGAGCTGCGTGTGGCGGGCATCTGCCAGCGGGAGAACGCATTCTACATCGACACCGTGAGGGCGTTCAGGGACCGGAGGTACGAGTACAAGGGGCTGGGAAAGGTAAGCGTGAGAGGAGGGGATGGGTGGGAGGTGGGGGGGGAATGTAGGGTTGACGCTGCGGGAAAGGAACTGGACTATGGGAGGAAGGGCAGGGAGGGTAGCTACCCAGTAGCACAACAGCCAAGCTTTGTCAATGCTGCAACTGTCATTGCGGAACATTGACCCACGCGGCTAGATCCCTCTCCTCTCTGCTCCCACCCCTTACCCCCCTGCCCAGCTCACTGCATGAGTCGGGATTCGGGATTGGGACTGTGTTGTTGCATTTATTCATAAATTTCCCCGCCCAGCTCTTCAGTATTCTCTTTTACCCTTTCCCCATCTCCTCCCCTCAGGTCTGGAAGGGCAAGCTGGACGAGGCCAAGGCGGGCGGCAACCCCATCCGCATCCAGGAGGCCGCCGACATGTGCGTGCTGTACGAGAGCCTGCAGCTGGCGCACAAGTGCATCCTCAACTCCTTTTACGGCTACGTGATGCGCAAGGGCGCGAGGTGGTACAGCATGGAGATGGCGGGGGTGGTGACGTACACGGGGGCAAACATCATCCAGGTGGGGAGGGGGGGAGGAAGGGGAGGGGCGTATGATTGTTTTCATGTGCTGCACGGTGACAAGCGTACCTACCAACATGTGCCTTCCTCCTCCTTCCCTGGTACACCCTGTCTGCGGTGTTACGTGCGTTACGTCGTCCCCCTCATCCCCCGTATCCTCCCCTTCTGCTCCCGCTCCCGCTCTCCCCACCCCTCCCCTTCCCCCCTACCAGCGTGCCAACAAGCTGGTGTTGGACCTGGGTCGCACCCTGGAGCTGGACACGGACGGCATCTGGTGCGCACTGCCGGGCTCCTTCCCGGAGAACTACAAGTTCAAAAACAGCAAGGTAAGGAGGAGGTGATGGAAGGGGAGGGGGGAAGGGATGAGGATGTGCGCACAGTACGGACAGGGCAAGGAAAGACGACGGGTGATTAGGGCAAAACTCTGTTGTGCTACTGACCACCCCTTCCCCCTTTCCCCTCCAGTATTTCTCGCAGTTCAGTTTACCTACTAGTTCCCCACCTCCCCCTACCTACAGAACGGCAAGGAGTTCAAGCTGTCGTACCCCTGCTGCATCCTGAACGTCATGGTGGCCCAGCACAACACCAACTCCCAGTACCAGACGCTTGTCAAACCGCCCCCCGGGCAGCCCGCCCCGCCCGGGCCCCCGCGCTACGTCACCAGCAGCGAGATGAGCATCGAGTTCGAGGTGGATGGACCCTACAGGGTGAGGGAGAGGGGGAGGGTTGGAGTGGGGAGGGGGCCTGTAGAGGGGTGGACGGATGGGTATGCGTGGGTGTTGAGTGCTGCTTGGGTTTGCAGGCTGGATAGGCGGTACGGCTGTCCATCCCCATGATGCGGTGGATGCGGCTGCTTGGGAGGATCCTTAGGGTGGTGTTTGCTTGGCGTACTGCCTCGCTTCCTTCGTCAGCACCTCCCCCTCTCCTCCTCCCCCAGGCCATGATCCTGCCCGCCAGCAAGGAGGAGGGCAAGAGCATCAAGAAGCGCTACGCGGTGTTCAACCACGACGGCAGCCTGGCGGAGCTGAAGGGCTTTGAGGTGAAGCGGAGGGGGGAGCTCAAGCTGATCAAGGTCTTCCAGGCAGAGGTGAGAGGGGTGGGGGGAGGAAGTGAAGAGGGGTTGGATACCTTGCCAGGGTGGGGAGGGATGAGGTTCTTCGCAACGGGCTGTAATCCACGAGCTGTGAGAGGCGAGGACGATTGGTGAGCAGTTAGCCAAACCCACAGTGGGGGGCAGGAGGAGAGAGGTTTACGGTACCAACACTGGATTGGTGCAGAAGGAAATGGCTTTTCCTCAACCCTTTACCCCCCTTCCACCCCTTCCTCCCCCAACCCCCTCCCCCCCCCCCCACAGGTGTTCGAGCAGTTCCTGTCGGGCGGCACCCTGGAGGAGTGCTACCGCGCCGTGGCGGCGGTGGCGGACCGGTGGCTGGACCTGCTGGACACGCGCGGGGTGGACCTGGAGGACGAGGAGCTGCTGGGCTACATCAGCGAGGCCACCACCATGAGCAAGGCGCTGGCGGAGTATGAGGGTAAGGAGGGGAGGGGGAGGGGAGGGAGGGAGGGAAAGAGCCAAGGGGGGGTGCCTCCCATGCGTGTGGTTGGGGGTTGGGACCCGTACACCCCCGTTGGGTGTACACCCCTTATTGACCCGCCCTGAAACACTACCACCCATGCAGCTGGCGTGTTTCCACGCTACCCACTTCCCTCAACGGCCCCCCTCAGGTCGCAAGTCCTGCGCCATCAGCACCGCCAACCGCCTGGCCGCCTTCCTGGGTGACGAGCGCATCAAGGACAAGGGGCTCAACTGCACCTACGTCATTGCGCGCCAGCCGGCCACCCAGCCCACCAGCGAGAGGGCCATCCCGGTGTCCATCTTCTCCGCGGAGCCCGCGGTGGCGAGGGCGTGGCTACGGAAGTGGTGCGGAGGAGACGTGGGTGAGTACGGAGGGTTGTGCATGTTGAGTGCCCCTTGTCCATCGCCATTCCTTCCCGCACAAAACCCCTTCCCACTGCTTTCGTGCCAAACGCTATGTCCATGTGTGCTGCCTGCATGCCCGCCGAGGCTGCTTGCTCAGCGCGCTCGCCCTCCCCTCCCCTCATGTGTAAATAGTGTAACCCAATTCCAATCCTTCCCCTCCTGCTCCCAGGCTCCGGCGGCCCCAATGGCGTCCCCGACGTGCGCGACATCGTGGACTGGGCCTACTACCGCGAGCGGCTGGGCAGCGCCATCCAGAAGATCATTACCATCCCCGCGGCGCTGCAGGGGCTGCCCAACCCCGTGCCCAGGGTCAAACACCCGGACTGGCTGCACAAGAGGGTGAGAGCTTGGAGGAGAGGCACGGGAAAGGAGAGGGGTTTGAGGGGTGCGGGTTCGTGAACTGTAAGGGTGCGAAAGGGGACCCTGATGACTCTGGCTTCTTCATAACAGCGTGAGATGATGCGTTACATGGCTGCTCTTCCCTCCTTCCTTTCCATCCTTCCTCCTCTCCTCACCCCCTCGCTTCAGATCCGCGAGCGCACTGATAAGTGTCAGCAGCTGCGTCTGACGGACATGCTGTCCCGCATGCGGGCTAGCGCTGCTGCTGCGGCTGCCGGCAAGGAGCAGCAGGAGGAGGGCAGCCCGGGGGGCCGAGGAGAGGGGGAGCAGGACGAGGAGGAAGAGGAGGACGGGGAGCGGCCCCGGGGAGCGGAGGGTGCTGACGAGGACATGGGGGATCTGGAGGACTTGTTCGGGGAGGGTGGGGAGGTGGCTCAACGGGCTGCGGCGAAGGTGCTGGGCAAGGCGGCGGGCGGGGCAGGCGGAGGGAGGGGAGGGAGGGAGGTGGTGGCGAGGGCGAGGGTGGCGGCGGAGGGGGCGGAGGAGGGGCAGCAGCGGCAGCAGCAGGAGGCGGGAGAGGCGGAGGGAGGGGAGGAGGAGGACAAGGAGAATGCCCCGGGGGCGGCGAACAAGGTGGGGGCGGGTGGGTGGCGGGCATGGGTTGGGTAGCAGGGGTTGCTGAGTTGAAGGGTTCCTTTGTAGCCCTGGTGTTGCAAAGGGAACACCCTGCGTGTGAAGTTGCATGGGGTCAATCATGTGGCCCCACACAGAGCCGTTTTTCTTAACACACCGGGCCAACGCCCTGCTTCCCACTCCATAGCCCTCTCATGTATCCTCCTCTTCACCCTCCTCCTCACCCCACCCCCCAGGCTGCTCCCGCCCTCCCCCCCAACACCGTCTCCATCGCGGAGGACTACCCCGGCTGGGTGGCGGCTCAGAAGCCGCGCTGGCGGGCTGTACGGCAGGAGGCCAAGCGCCGCAAACAGGAGGCGGCCAAGGCAGCAGCGGAGGCAGCCAGGAGGGGGGGAGCAGCAGGGGCAGGGGCAGGGGGGGCAGGTGCAGGGGGGCCAGCAGCAGGTGCGCTGAGCATGCGGTCGCTGCTGGCCACCCATGCGGCTGCGGTGACGTCAGTGCCCTGGCAGCTGCTGCAGCTGGCGGAGACGAGCACACCAGGGCATGTCAAGGTGGGAGGAGGGAGAGGGAGGTGGTGGGGAAGGGAGGGAAGGGAAAGGTGCCGAGGGCATGCCATACACATACACATACACATCGCCCCATACCACCACCGCCCCTCCTCCTCATGCACCCTGATTCCCCCCCCCCCCCCATGCAGATGTGGTTCCTGGCCGGCCCCCGGCTGCTGTCCGTGACGCTGCTGCTGCCCCGCAGCCTGCTGGTGGACTCGCACCTGCCGCAGCCGCAGCAGCTGGAGGAGGCGATACGGGAGGGGGTGGCAGGGGGAGGCGGAGCAGCGGCAGCAGCAGCAGGGGGGCTGCAACTGGAGGTGGTGCGGGCGGCCTCGGTGACGCTGCCGGGGGGCAGGAGGCCGGCAAATGTGTACCGGGTGAGATGGGGAGGAGAGAGGGGAGGGGGAGGAGGTGGGGAGAGCGCGGGCGTCGGAGGTTAGGGGGCGACGTTGGGGCCCGGGGGGCACATCAGGCGTTTGCAGCCTCCCTCTCCCCTCGTGTCGCCCTTGCTGCCGGCTCCCGAACTGCTGCGGCTCCTGTCTTCTCTTGTAGCAACCTATTCGTACCACCACGTGCCCCTCTTCCCAGCATCGTCATCATGCCCACCATTCTCGCGCTAACCCTCCCGCCCCCCTCCCCCCCACCCCCCAGGTTACCCTGCCCGAGTCCCAGTACCGCGCCCTGGCCCCCCGCCTCTCCTCCGCCCTCTCCGCCCCCCACGTGGCGGGGGTGTACGAGGACCGGCTGCCCGCCACCCTGCCCGCGGTGTTGGCGCTGGGGGCGGTGGTGGGGGTGGTGCAGGAGAGCCGGGGGAAGCCGCTGGGGGGGCTGTGGGGGCTGCAGGACTTTAGGGTGAGAGGCGGGTGGGGGAAGGGGGGGAGGAGGGTGTATTTATGGGTGGAGTGAGAAGGGGCATGTGAGGGTGGAAGTCGTGGCAGTCACTGAGTCACCAGTGGGTCCTTGTTACTGACTAACATTGCTAGGGCTGGTAGACCGTGGATACGATTGACATGCAAACAATGTGGTCCCTTGCATAAACAGTATCTACGTATTACCTGCCCTCACCCTCCTTCGCCTTCCCTTATCCCAGCCCTCCTCTCCTCTTCCCACCTCTCTCCCCCCAGATGCGCACCACAGGCGAGGTGGGCTACCTGGACCGGGACCCCGAGGCCGACCCCTCAGCAGCCCCGCCCCCCGCCGCCACCACCTCCCCCCTCAGCCTGCAGCTCGCAGGCATCCGACACATCGTCCTCTACAGCAGTCTGGACGGCTCGGGCCGCGGCCTGTTTGCCCTCACCCTCCCTGCAGCGGAGCGGGGGGTGCTGGTGGTGCTGCAGCCCAGCAGCGCCGCGGCGAGGGAGGTGACCCCCGCGCTGCTGGAAAGGCTGTGGCGGGAGGCGCGGGCGGCAGCGGCAGCGGAGGGGGGCCCTGCGGAGCCTGAGCGGCTGAGCTGGGAGGTGTCGTACGAGCGAGATGCGCTGGATGCTGGGAGGACATTGCAGCGGGCGTTGCTGGCGTACAGGTGAGGGGATGGACGGAGGAGGGGTAGGGCCTAGTGTGCTTGGAAGTATGGAGTGGAGAGGAGAGTGGGGTGCCGTGTACGCGGTCCTGCCGTATCATTCGCTCCTCCTCCCTGCTGCCCGCTCCACCACACCCCTCCCCGCCCTTCTCACCTTCCCCCGCCCTCCCCCTCCACCTCTTAACCCCTCCAGGTCCTCGGTGCGCTATCCCAGTCTGGTGGTGGTGCAGGGCCCGGTTCCCTCTGCCCGACTGCAGCGGGACCTCTCCGTGCTGCAGCACTTCCCCGCGCTGGACATGCCCTGCCATGCGGACGACTCCAGGTAGGAGGGGTGATGTGCCACATCAACCAGGGGCTCGTGCTGCTGTACACCTCGTACTCCCGGCGTTGGTGTACAAGAAGCGCAGACTATCGCCCTTGCTGCTTCGCAAAAACCTTCCACCCAGCTCTTCTCACCTTCCCTTGCCGCACCCCTCCACCTCCCATGCAGGTACCCCCCACTGCAGTGGCAGCAGCGGGCGGCCCGCCGCGCACTGCACCGCTGCGCCGGCGCCGGGCTCTGGCTGGCCGAGCGCGCCGCCATGTGCCGCTACGCACACGCGCCGCTAGCCAACCTGGAACTAGACCCCTCCGCGGCAGCAGGAGGAGGGGCAGGAGCAGGCGGGGGCGCGAGCGGGGCGGCAGGGGCAGGCGGCGGGGGTGGAGAGGGTGGGGGAGGTATCGGTGCGGTGGCGGATCTGCTGTTTGCGAGGCGGCTGAGGGAGGCGGGGCTGCCGCTGTCCGTGGTGGACCCCGCGCTGCCGGACCTGGGGGGTGAGTGAGGGGGGGAGGGGTAAGGGAGGAAGGGAGGTGGAGGAGGGAGGTATAACACAACGCAACCCGGGGGCTTGGATAGGGCTGCTATAGCAGGGGATAATATGGACCACGTGGTTAAGGTATTAAATGATTTAGGTCGCATCCACATCGTTCGGTGTCTACCGTCTCCCCATGTCATGCCACACCTTACCCCTCCCTCTCCACCTCTCTCTCCCTTCACCTCCACCCCTCCCTAAGGCTCCGAAACCGCGGAGGGCGACCCTCGTGAGGACGGCGGCGCCTCCGAGGCCGTACTCGCCGCCACGCGCCCCCGCTCCGAGCTCTCCTACCCCGGGGTCTACCGCTCCGTGTGCGTCACCCTGCGCCTTCACCACCTGGCAGTGGCGGCGGTGGAGGCGGCGGAGGCGCTTGCAGAACTGGAGGGAGCAGCCAGCGTAACCGCAGCAGCGGCGGGGGGAGGCGCGGGAGGGGGAGGGGGCGGTGCGGGGCTGGGAGCAGCGGGGTTCAAGGTGTTGAGGGCCCTGCAGGCGGCTTGGATTCGAGATGCAACGGCTAACCGCAACATGATTGCGGATAGCTTGTTGCAGCACTTGTACCGGTGGGTTAGCTCGCCTGCCTCGCCGCTGCATGACCCGGGGCTGCAGCGGCTGCTGCTGGGGCTGCAGCACAAGCTGTTCCTGCAGCTGTGCGCGGAGGTGCGGCGGCTGGGGGCGGTGATCGTGGCGGCCAACACGCATTCCATCACGCTGTGCACGGGGAAGAGGAGCGTCAAGGCGGCGGCGGGGTGAGTGGAGAGGGAGGGATTGGATCAACTGAGCCGCGAAAACTACTGAGGGACGTGAGGGTGGGAGGGCCGGGAGAAGGATGTGAATAGTACAGAGTGCCCGGGGAAAGGGAGGAAATACACGGGAGAAGAACTTTTGTACGTTGGTAGCAACGAAAAGAGCACGGTCTCCTGCATCCCAATTCCACCCTAACACCAACCTCTCCTCCTTCCTCCCCCCTTCTCCCCTTTGTCCTCAGCTACACCCGCTTCCTGATCGAGGCGCTGCGGGGCCGGGAGCTGTTCCGCTGGCTGGAGCTGTCGCCCGCCGCCTGGTACCACGCCTACATGTACCGCGACCCATACAACTGGGCGGGGCTGGAGAGCAGTGCGGCGGGGGCGGAGTGGCGGGCGCTGGAGGGAGGGGCGGGGGCGGGAGGGGCGGCGGAGGGAGATGAGGGCGCAGCGGCTGTGCCGGAGGATGAGCCGGTGGTCAAGTGAGTGGGGCGGGGGAGGGAAAGGGGGAAGGGAGGGAGAAGGGGTTGCGGGACTGGGGATGGGCAACAGCACGGGTTGGAGGAAGTGGGGGGAGTGTATGACCCATGGGTCGGGGATCTTGTGTGAACCTCCCCCGCGCTGTCACTTTACGGCCACTTAGACTAACACCACCGGAATGCTCCAGCTTCCCTCCCTCTCCTTTTTTCCTGAACAATCCAAATCCAGCAACCCCTTCTCGCTCCTTCCCCCCACATGTCCTCCCTCTTCCTCCCCCCAGGTTCGTGTGGAACCTGAAGGAGCACCTGCCCCCCGCCGTACAGCAGGACCTGGTGCTGCTGCTCACGGAGTTCATCTACCTGCCCTGGAGGGAGGCGCGCAGGGCGGCAGCAGGCGGGGGAGCAGCAGCAGCAGGCAGCAGCAGCCAGGGCGCCCCCAGCAGTAGCCAGGGCGGCGGTAGCACCCAGGCTGCAGCAGCCTCGGGTCGCGCGGAGGAGGTGCAGCTGTCCTTCCTGCAGACGCTGGTGGGGGAGGTGTTCACGGAGCGGCTGCTGACGCGAGTGGGCGCGTGGCGGGGGGTGACGCCGGGGTGCGCCCCCGAGTGGAGCTTCCCGCAGCTGGCGGGGAGCTACCTGACAGAGGTGGGGCTCTAGGTCGTCTGGGCTGCAGTACTGCACTAACTGTGCTGCTATCCCGTTACTATACTTGAATAGCTCGGGGCCGCTTTCGCGCCGCCCCTTCCCCGTCCCTCCTCACACCTCTCTCCCTCTCTCTCTCACCCCCACGTTCCCCTCTCGCCCGTCATTAGGAGGAGCACGGCCACCCCGCCCTCGCCTTCGTCCGCGTGGCCACCCACCTGCTGTCCCTGGACTCGCGGGTGGCTGAGGCGGTGGGGCTGCTGCGGCGGCAGCTGCTCAAGCTGCTGCACGTCAAGGAGTTTGGGACGGAGGCGGAGTTCAGGGAGCTGTGCCAGCCGTTTGTCATGCAGGACGTCATCTGCGGGTACGGGAGGTGGACGCGTGGGGGTGCACAGGAGGGAGAGGAGAAGGAGGAGGAGAATGGACTTCGCAGCTTGGCATGGAGAATGCTTGCTGCGTGGATGTACGCCACTCTCCATTCTTATGCCTCTCCGTTCTGCCGTTGCTGCTCGCATGTGTGTTTTCCGACCATGTCTGTCACCCTTCTCTTCTCACCTCTTACTACCTTTCCTCCCCTCGCCCTCCCCCTCCTCTTCCCCTTCCCCCCAGCTACTGCAACGACTGTCGCGACCTGGACCTCTGCCGCGACGAGGCCCTCGCGCAGCACGACTGGCGCTGCCGCTCCTGCCGCCAGCCCCTGGACACCGCCTCCCTGGAGCGCCGCCTCGTGGCCGCACTGCGAGCCGAGGCAGCAGCCTACCAGACACAGGACCTGGCGTGTGTGAAGTGCAAGCAGGTGGCGGTGGGGCACCTGCGGGCGCTATGCGGGCTGTGCGGAGGGGGGCTGACGAACACGCGGAAGCCCGAGACGGCGTGCAGGAGGCTGCTGGTGTATCGCAACCTGGCGAGGTTTCACGGGTTCCGGGTGTTGGCTGAGCTGGCGGGTTGGTTGCTTGGGGAGGTGGTGGAGGAGGGCGGGGAGGAGGGGGCGGGCGGGGGGGAGGGGAGGTGAGAGGAAGGGAGTGGGGAGGTGGGGGGTAGGCGAAAGGAGTGAAGAAGGCGGCTGGGTCGGTATACGGGAAGGAGGAGGGGAAGATAACGGTGACGTTGGTGTTTCTCAGCTGCTTTTGTCAGCTGAAGTGGTGAGGAGGAATTGGAGAGGGAGGAAGGCTTTCATGGGGCACGTCAGCGTTGTTAAGAGTGAGGCAAGGTGGTGTGGAGGAAGCGTATGGAGTTGAAGTGAGGGTAGGGCGCACTGGGTAGGGCAACAACGTACCGGGTAGCTGGGCGCGGGTAATGCACCGGGGATTGCGCACCAGGAGGTGGTCGTGAGGAGGGGGCAGTAGGGGATAAAGAGGAAACAGACAAGCTGTATGACCCGGCTTTACCATGGGGTGCAAAGGGAGGGGGACTAGGGGGCAGGTATGCGGAGTGCGGAGCTGTGTAAGGAGTTGGGACGGAGGGGGGCTAGTGGGCAACCAGGGGCAGCTGACGTGCATGCCTCATGTGTCGTACATGGAAGCATTGGGACACCTTTCTTCCATGCTCTACTTGGCACTACACTGACTGTGATCTACGGTGCGACCTCCAATCATAGCAGGACTGAGAGCGAAAGCTGTTCGCAAGTGCCCAGGTGATCTACGGTGCCATCCCGGCCTCGATGATACTTCTATTAACATATGCATGATACCGGCGCAGCGGCCGTACAGATGGTAGGCACATGCGCGTTCCCCGCATCCACACGTGACAACATGACGCGCTCATTTGCAATGTGGGCAGAGCTGCCACGCCAACAACAGAGGTTGAGTGACATGTCCGAGCTCCCGACCCCGGCGAAAAGTGCTCATGTCACACCGCTCGGCTCCCGACCGACAGCCAACAACTCTTCAATATCAATTCGCACGCAGTATCGTTGCGCTACATTGCGTATGCCGCCTCTGCTCCGCACGCCTCATTCTCTCTCACCCTACCAAAAATCATCGCCCCAACATCCACACAGCATAACGTATACTACGCTTACAATCCCCGCACGACAACCAAATCCCATATCCCTAGAACCTCCCGCTCCCGCTCTTCTTCCCAACACCCAGCCCCTCAAGCTCATCCTCCTCTCCCTATTCCTCCCCATCAATGCCCCGCCACCTTCTCCCCCGTCACCGCCCTCCGCGCGCTTTCCAACGTGTTCTGCAGCAGCATCGCAATCGTCATCGGACCCACACCGCCCGGCACCGGCGTGATCAGCGACGCCTTGGCGGCCGCGCTCTCAAACTCCACATCTCCCACCAACCGATATCCCTTCTTGGCGGTGGGGTCATCCTTGGCGTTGATCCCCACATCAATCACCACCGCTCCCGGCTTGATCCAGTCGCCTGTTACCATCTCCGCCACACCGCAGGCGGCAATCACGATGTCCGCCTCGGCGCAGATGCGCTGGCCGTCGGGGGTCTTGGAGTGCACCATGGTTACGGTTGCGTCGCGGCGCTGCAGCAGCAGCGCGGCAGGCATGCCCACGATGTTGGAGCGCCCGATGACGCAGGCCTTGCGACCGGAGATGGGCACCTTGCAGCGCTCCAGGAGCTCGATGCAGCCCTGGATGGGTGGTGCGAGAGAAGTTGTTGATGTGGGGTAAAAGAGTGGAGAAGGGAGCTGGAAGACCCTGCATGCAGCGGTGCCAGCCTGGCGCCCTCGCCCAAGCTCATCACATCACCCTCCGGCCCAGCCCACGTGGCCTCCTCCTCTACGTTACCCTGCGCAACACCCACGTCCCCATCCCCCCTCAACACAGCCAACCGCCCACACGCACCTTGGGCGTGCAGGGCACGAAGAGCGGGTCGCGCCCCCGCATGGCCAGGCTGCCGATGTTGAGCGGGTGGAAGCCGTCCACGTCCTTCTCGATGCTGATGGCGTCCAGGATGCGCTTCTCGGAGATGTGCTTGGGCAGCGGCAGCTGAACCAGGATGCCGTGGACCCGTGGGTCGGCGTTGTAGGCCTCAACCACCTGCGCGGGGCGGGAGGGTGAAGCGTTGCTGCTTGGGAAAGGGGTGGAGGCTGTGGGCATGGGTTTCCTCGTAGCGATGATGGAGGTAAAGATGAGGGGTTGGTACCGGTAGGTAGCCCGACCCGGCGGTCTATCCGCAACACCGCAGGTGGAGGTGGCGACCTGCAGTGCACTGCTATCCTGCGGCTTGCAGGGGACGGACGTGTATAGGTGCCGTGCGCTGGCTGCTATCCGCCTGTTGCTGCTGTGGCCTGCAACGCATGCTCGCCGCACCTCCCATGGGGCAAGCACCCCCCACCGCAAGCCCCATACGCTGGTCTTCCTTTGCCGCCGGTGCTGCGGCCGCTCCTCTGCTTGCGCTGCTGGAGGGGTGGTAGACCAGCGCACCACCCCTCCGGACCCTCCAACAACCTCTAGCGGCTATTACCGGGCTACCTAACCTTTACAAGCCGCCCTTGGAGCCATATCACACAGGACCCGCGCATGACGATGCACGCCCCCGCTTGTCATCTGCTCGCCAGCCACCCAAGACACACACACCCCGGCCAGTTTTCTTAACACACCCCGGCCGTCCCCAGCCCGCCCCTGCCTTCCCACAGCATCCACCCACCTTGAGCACCTCCTCCTCCGACACGTCAGCAGGCAGGTCGCTGCCGTACGAGTCGAACCCCACCTCGGCGCACGCCTTCTTCTTGCTGCGAACGTAGGTCTCGCTGTCCTTGCGGCTGCCCACCAGCACCACCGCCAGACCCGGAGTCAAGCCGTGCTGCTGCTTCATGACAGCAACCTCCTTGGCGATTTCGGAGCGGATGGTTTCGGCGATGCCCTTGCCATCGATAAGCTTCGAAGCGGGGACCGCTGAGGCGGTCGCAGCAACGACGGCGGTGGATGGCCGCGGGGCTGCGCGGCGGGAGGAGCGCGCTGCGGGGCGGCAAGCGCCGGTCTGACGGTGGCAGCTGAGGGCCATGGCGAAGGAGATTGCCTTCGGCTAGGCTGTAGGCAGGAAGGGCGGGGCCATAGGGCATAAAGGCGTCGGCCAACGGCATCACATGACGTGCTAAGGCATTGCCGCAGTAACAATATGTATGCGATCAAATTAGCATCTAATACTTATAGCGCTTTGATGTGGGGTGGTTAAGAAGCCCAGCGTGGTGGAGTTGACCACACGGTTAACGCAGTCGTCAAACGGAGTAGCGCGAGTAAACATACTTACATAACTGTCAAGTACAACCTGCAAATCTCTTTAACTACTATAGCGTATGGCGTTTGAGTAAACGCGTTCGGGCCCACCTTCGCTGCTTGACGATGCTTTGCGGCGCAAGGGCAACGGTGTTGTGCTACGTTAAGCACACCAAGTAGACGATAGTTTACAAACGCAAATTGTTTTCAGCTTATGGCTGGGCCTTACACGCTTCATGCTGACGGCTCCGGATCGCCGTATGATGCACCTCGACCCCTTTTCCTCGCTTGCCAGTTCGTCGCTTAACTAAGCACCAGTTAAGATAAGCGTTAAAATAACCCCAGGTTTTACCCTAGCGACCGATGGATGCCGGCAAGAAGTGCAACTCCTGTCTATGCTTGCTTACAGTACTGTACCTGTTGCCGAGCTGTGCGGCGACTTGGGTTGCACGAGGAGGTGTATGCACAATCTTAGGTGATGTCGCTTGCTATCAGGCATAAGACTCCGCAGGGCGCAGCGCCGCACGATCGCCGACTGGTTTCGGCGCCTGGCTGGGTATGGCGGGCAGCTTGCGAGGAGAGTTTCTTTTTGCCAACCAGAAAGGGACACAGGCGCAACATGTTAGCTATCGTATACATGCGTTCGTGTCAAGGTATGTAGTATGGAAACGACCACACAACCGAAGCACAAAAAACTCAACTGCCTGAGCCGCCTGCTTGTTCGATCCCACTGGGATCCGCGCTGTTTAGCAATCCGCTGTTCCATCGCGGCCACAGCTACCTTCCCAGTCGCCACGTACCCCCATTCCACCATCCTTGCCCCAGTTACCAACGGATTCTTTAAGGGGTGCACCTCCTGTACATGCATCCTGCACAAACGAGGACATACATCTGCTTTTGATTTCCCAGATATTCGGCCTAATCCAACCAGTGCAGCTGTCTTCCCGGTGGCTGGGTCGCCTCACCCGCCTCGCAGCTAACCCAATAGTGAACTCAGCTTCAGCCCCACGTTGGCACCCTTTCCCCCGCCTCCCAGCATCCGCCGCCGCCCTCACACTGCCGCCTCTCCAGTCGGCCAGGCTCCTCCTAATGACGTCCACGTCAGCAGCCGCACCGCATGATGCTTCGTACGATCACACCCCCATGTCGTACGGCGCGCCAGCAGCAGCCGCGGACGTGTACCTGCGGCGGCGGCCGTCACACCCGTCAGGCGGGTTGGAGCTGGGTGTCATCGGAGGGGCGCTCTGGCTCCCGTGCTTGTTTTGTACGGTCCTTGTACGAAGCCAAGGAAGGCAGGAAGGCCCCAGCTCCAAGGTGGGAAAGCAACGCCGTCAAGTGTGCTCAGCGACACACACCTCCCCCCAGAGCAGCGCGGCGGGCAACTTTTCAGAACGCATGCAGAGCTGCTTTCAGGGCTGATGGCCGATGACACTCCATGCGCCTCCCGTCCCCCACCTGGAGCAATTTCCTACATACATACACACAGGAGCTACTCCCGGCTTCTTGCCCCAGTAGTTACCGTATATTTCCCCACCTGTGGCCACCCATCTGTGTTGCTCTCCTCCCAACCCACCTGTACGGATACGGTTTCGGAGCCAGGAAGAACACCGCCAGATTGCGGCAGAGTCCCTGATCGAAGGGCCGTGGGGGCGGCTGGCCCCTCCAGTGCTGTCGTACAATGGCCCAGAGGGACACGCCCCCGTATCGGCCCAGGAAGGGGCTCACATGGTGGTGGTGCTGCTGGTGGTGGCTCCCCTCGCGACTGGGCCCCAGCAGGGGTTCGGAGGAGGAGGAGGAGGCTTGGAGTGACGCGTAAGCCGGGGCCAGGTACGGCAGCGTGGGGCCCTGTGAGGAGAGGGGATGTACGGAAAGCCCAAACATGTCGGACCCATGGGTTCGGGATGACCCACGTTACGCACCTTACTCCCTGCCCCCCATCCCATGCCCTCCTCACCCCAACCGACAACAGGCCCTGTACCTCCGCCTCCCCCCCCCCACCTTGACCAGCTCCAGTGTCGTCTGGTTGCTTGCGGCCAGGTAGGCATGCAGCATCACCAGCTGCCCCAGCCCCGCACCTCCCACCACCCCGGCCGCCAGCAGCACCCACAGCACCGCCACTCGCAGCGGCCCGGCGGGGGCGGCAGGGCAGCTGCCCACCAGGTACCAGCTGCGGGGGCCGCTGCTGCTGCTGCCGCTACATGGGCTGCTGGTGGGGCTGGTGCTGCTGGTGCTGCTGCCTTCCCTCCCTCGCCCCTGCCGGCATGCAGCAGCTCCACCTGCCTTCGCCCCGCCGACCTGCTGCTGCACCTGCTGCTGCAATGATTGCGGGAGCAGTAGTGGCGGTGGCGGCGGCGACGACGACAGCAACTGCGACCCCAGCGGTGGCCCCAGCCCCAGCGGTGGCCCCAGCCCCAGCGGCCCGCCGAAGTGCGGTCTGAATGCGGGGCAGGTGAGTGCGGGCGGCAGCAGCCTCAGGGTCAGCCAGGCCAGCAGCAGCAGCTCCAGGATGAGCAGCACCAGGAAGCGGCTGTGGTTGCGGTCGCCTGGAGGGGGGGTGCGGGGTAAAGAGGAACCAAGTAACAGAAGGGGGAGGCGGAGGACGGGGCGGGGTGATGCAGGTGCGGCAGCCGTGGAGGTGCAGGCGTTGTGAGACACCATGGACCAGGCGGTGTGACATGTATACGGAGAGCCGGCAGTGCGGGCGAGGGGAGGAGGAAAGGCTAGCTGGTTCGACCCACGGGTCGCTGGCTGCACACACTGCAGGTCTGGCGCGAGCTCCTATTCATGCAATTCTTCCAGCCCGGGACCAGGGACCGGTGACCAGCGGTTGCCGCCATGCAGCCGCCCAACCCGGTAGCAGCCCCCGGATTCTGTACGACCGGTCCGTACCGTCCCCCGCGTGCCCCCCTTCCCCTCGTTGTTTCACTTATACAATTCCCTCCCCCCGCTAATCGTTTCCCCTTTACCCTACCCTACCTATGGTCCTGCTGTCTTGCCCTCACTTGTGGTGTGTGTTTTTCCCCTGACTCCCCCTCCCCCTCCCCTTCCCACCTATGGTAGCGCTCAGCCAGGCGCAGTGGTGGTCGTACTTGTGCACGCAGCTGCCGGTGTGCGGGTCGTGGCGGCTGCGCAGGCTGGGGTTCTCACCACATCGGGGGCAGGGGACGGAGGTGGGGGGAGAGGGAGGGGGAGCGGGGCAGCCGGGGTGGATCCAGCCTGCAGCAGGGGATGGAGAGATGGATGCAAGGTAGGGCATGGTAGCAGGGTGAAGGGTCAGGTGAGGGGGGCTGCAGGCAAAGCAGCACCCCTGCCATTACACCAATTAACCCCAATCGCTCCCCCTCCCCCGTCCCCCTAATGGGTATCCTTCTTCCCGCCCCCCACCCGGATCCGAGCCGTACAAGCTGCCGTACAGCACATCCACCGCCCCCAGCAGCGCCAGCAGCAGCGCCAGCTGCAGCCGCTCGGGCAGGTGGTGGCCCCCAGCAGCACCACCGGGGGTGTCAGTGCTGCTGAGGCCCAGCGAGGCCAGCAGAATGTGGGCGGCCCCCGGGTCCGCGTACAGCAGCAGCAGCGGCAGCAGCGCGTGAGGCATCAGCCACAACAGCACCTGGGCAGGGCGGGGGCAGGTGGGGGTGAAGAGGACCGACTACGTTGGTGGTGGGTCGGATGTATCACCCGTGTCCCCTTGAGGGAACCATGGTCACGATCGTTCAATCATTCTTTCATTTAGATAAGTGTGAGTGGGCGTTTCTAGAGGCGGGCCGGTGGCCGGATGGAGCTGATGGGCGGTGTTGCTGCTGCTGGAGGCTGGTGGTGGGGAGACTGGGCTGCGACTGCACCCTCGCACAGACTATATGCTCATACCTTGAGGTCTACTCGGCCGAAGCAGCAGGACGGCCCGCGAGCAGCTTTTCGCAGAGACCTCATTCGAGCCTGGAGGTGCGGCGGAGAGCGGTGGTGACACTGCCATCTACCAACCGCTCCTTGGGCATATCTTAATCAGGCATTTCCTATCTTTTGCACTTCTGCTTTTCATCTCTTACATCTCTGCCCTTACGCAACAGCTCTGGCGACCGCCAGGGTGATGTGCTCGGCAGCAGCGGGTCTTCTTCGCCTTGGGCCGGGAAGCCATCGCGACCCGGAGGTACAAGCCACAGCGCTTCCTCGCCAAAACGTCGGTTTGGTTCGTCTTGATTTGCCATCATGAAGACATGCAGTTTGTGACAAACTCAATACCCGAATCGCGCAACAGTCCGAACCCTAGCCGCTGCGTTTGGCCACCGCTATAAGCGGAGCCAATCGTTCCGTCGCGATCTGAAAATAACCTCTTTAAAAAGCTTTAAGAGGCTCGGTAGTGTAGGGAACGAGCAAGCACTTGTACGTACTGACCATACGCGATCCGACGGCCGTTAGTTGGCTTCGCTCCCTCGTGTGCCCCCATCGACCTCAGCCTCCAGCCCAACCACAACTCCATCACACTGCTGCACGCATCCGCCGGTATACCGCGCGTTCCCACCCATCCTGCATCCCAACCTCCTTCACCCCTACAACAAAGCACACTGCTCCCCCTCACGTGTCCACCTCCATAGCCGCCGCCCCCCCACTGCCACCACCTCCCCCTCCTCCCCCTCCCCCGCTCTCCCCCGCCCCCTGCAGCCCCGCCAGCTCCTCCGCAGTGGCCTCCGCAGTGCGCTGCAGCTCCTCGATCACGTAGAACAGCAGCGAGAACTGCTTGCGACGCCGCTGCGGAGGGGAAGGGAGGGGAGAAGGAGGGCGAGGTGGTAGGAGGGTGAGGCGGAGGGGAAACCGGGAGAGAGTCACAGTGTTGCTGTAGGTGAGGTGTCGAGACCACAGCAAGCGTGAAGACGTGGGTCGGGGTGGGCGGAGGCATGTGATCAAATGCCCCTCACAGTGGCGGGCCTGCCCCCTGCTGCCATACCTCACACAACACCGCTCGAGCCCCGCCCCCCCCCCCACCTCCATGAGCTGCGCGATGCGCGCCCCCTCCGCCCTCGCCTCCGCCATCTGCGCCAGCTCGCCGTCTATGGCCCGCTGCGTGAGCTCGCGGGAGGGGTGCGCCATGATGTGGTGCCGCAGCACCTGGCAGGGGGGGAGAGGGGAAGGTGGGGTGGTGGGAGGGATGGGTTGAAGAGGAGGATGGTCAATCCCGGCACTGTTGGCTGGCGGATGGCGTGCCGAGTGGACCTCCTCCACCCTCGCCTGCCCTCTCCCAGCATGTTGAACGCACACACAGTGATCCACCGGGCCCCTGCCACCCCCTTCCCCATCCCTGACCCTCGCTCGGGGCTGCTGGGGCGGCGCCCCCAGCTGAACAGCCAGGCAGCCACCCGCCCCCCTTATCACACTGTCGTTGTTTCCTCATCGACTCCCCCCCTCCCGCCTCCCCTCCCTCACCTCGTACTGCTCGTTCTGCCCCAGCAGCACCTTGGCCCGCTGCAGCTGCTGCTTCCGGTCCTCGATGTCCGCCCGCGTCTGCTCGATGGCCGCCTCCAGCTCGCCCTGCTTGGACGTGTAGCTGGCCTGCTCGCGAGTGCTGGCCTCGCAGATGGAGCGAAGCTTCTTGGCCTGGGGGTTGGGGTTGGGGTGGGCGTGAGGCGGGGTGGGTGGGTGAGGAGAGGGGACACAGTATTGGGAGGGAAGTACCGCAGCCGCAGCAGCAGTAGCCGCCCTGTCGCGTCGCCTGTCTGTTACCTGCCGCACACTCACAGAATGTTGGTACGGTGCTGCTAGCTGCTGGTTGCTCTTCCTAGCTGCTGGTGCTCCACCAGGGCCCGCTATTCCATTGCGCCCCTCCCTGACCCACCACCCCGCCCCTCCCGGCCCAGCGACCTCTACCTAGCTTCAACCAACAGCACAAGGCCACGCGCCGCCAGCCTGCCACCCATGTCCTCCCCTTCCCTACCCTCTTCTACCCCCGTTCCCCACTCCCTTTCCTCCTCTTCCGCCTCCACCCTCCATTCTTCCCCCTCATGGTAAAGACCCGTCACACAGCTCGTCAGCTTCCACCCCCCCCCCGCCCCCTCACATGCAGCTCCGTCTGCGCCGCCTCCCGCAGGAACTCCCGGTGCAGCCGCGCCACCTCCGCCTCGTTGTCACCGCCCTTGTCTACCTGCTCCAACAGCTGCAACAGCCTGCCGTACGCGGGTGCCGTACACACATGAGGATGCCGTGGGGGTGCCGTACGGCGGTGGGAGGGGAGGGAAGCATGTGTGTTTGGGGCCATGCCATGCTGGAGGGGTGGGGCTAAGGTGATCGTGCCCTAGCAGGGAGCCTGGGCGATGAGAAGTACCCCATGTCCTTTCGTGCATGAACCCGGTTCTTCGCTCCAGATCAGCAGCCCAACAAGCCTGGTTATGCGCATGGGCGGCCTGACCGTACTTACTTCTTCGTAAGGACTTTTAACGGCAGATTGCCCTTGGGCACTGTCATCTGTGTCAAGTAGCGCTGCTTTATGATGGCCTCCTCCTCGGCCGGCGTCATCCTGACTGCTGCCATCTTGGCGAGCAAGGTGTTGGCCCGGGCTCAGCAGCCCTGCAGCCCTTCCTTCGGCCTAGACCAGCACTTGATGCAACCGCTGAGTAACAGGACGGCGATGACAACAGCACTAAGTCCTAGTATGTGTTAGCCTTACAGCAGTATAGTCGTCAGGAAATCCTCTCTTAGTGTTTCACGACTGCGAAATGTCCAAAGCAGGGCGGTTAAAGTATAGCTTTGTGGTAATTGGCAATAACTAAAGGCAACAAGGTTCTACTATGTTGCGTGATACGACTCCAACAAGGCCTGCGCCTACTCGTCAACTATAGCCGTGTACGGTAAGTGTTCGTCAGCCACTTTACCACAAGTCGCGTTGCTTTTCCTCGCGCCGTTGTTACTGCAATTGTGGCCAAGCATTTGTTTTCCTACCACTACCTCCGGACTCTTTGCTTCTGGAGGCTCGCTCGAAAGGAAATGCACCGCGCTGTTGGGCCCCAACCGTTGAGGGGCGCTGAACATGCAAGCACCTCAGGGCGGCCGCACTATCCTGCGTCGAGCGCTTGCAGGTTGAGAGGGCGCGAGAGCGCACGTTGGGCGCAGCTCGAATCCCAGGCAGTCGCTGCTTTCGCTGCAGCTACAACTCACAGCTGCAGTCATCGTGTTAGCTCAACGCGGATAAGAGGACCGCAGCGCTTAAGAAGCGTCGAGGATGAAGCTTCCGCAGTCGCTTGCGTCGAGGAAGGATGGTGCAACGACGACATTCACCCGCACCCGTCGCCACCAGAGGACGTTGACCCAAAGAGCTTAATAATGTCCGAGTGCACTGTTCAGGAGCTAGCCAGTGAAGTTCAGGCCCTCGTGCGGTTGGTGCAAGCGCAGCAGGACATTCTTTACTCCCAAAAAGCGCAAATCGACCAGCTAACAGAAACGCTTCTCGAGCAGGCGCAACGCTCCTGCACAGCAAGCAAACCGGGGGAGTGCTCGCAGCGACATCTCAGCCCTTTTGATTCACAACGCGTTGGCTACGGCGACCGCCGCTTGCTGGGCCTCTACGATGCTCGCTTCCACTCCACTCACACGTAGGTCTGCGGCCCGACGAGGGAGCGGCGGGAACGGGGGAGGGACGGACGTGGTCAGTTGGTCCGGTGGGCGTTTTGTGAGCGGGCTTTGTGTGTACGTGTGGTGTACGACAGCGTGTATAGTAATAGTGCCGGCGGGGCGCTGTCAGGTACCGTGACGTGTACCGGTATGTCTAGCGGTAACCGGTACTGCCCGCCTGCACCCCTGCTGGTGTCTCTTGCCTGCCTGCTGCACCGCCTGCCTGCTTAGCCCCGCAGCTGCCCCGCGGGGAGCCCCCCGTGCCCCCACCCAGTCACCCACCCACACCAGCAGCAGTGAGGGCGGCCTAGGAGCCGTCCCCCGTCCGCTCTGCCGTCGCTGCCGCCAGCAGCACCACCACAGCCACCGGCGGCAGCACCACCTGCATGGGGTCCAGGGAGGGCTCGACAGCAGCAGCAGTTGGCAGCAGTAGCGTCAGTTTGAAGCAGCAGCGGCTGTGGAGCGGAGGGCTGGGGGGCGGGGGCGGGGCACACAGGCCCCTCGCGTCCCTAGGCGGCCCCCGCCTCACCGCTGCAGGGGAAGGGGGCCGCACGGCTGCATACCAGCAGCTTGCCACCGCCCCCTGGGCCCCGCCCCCTGGGACCCCAGGCGACCTGTGGGAGTTGCAACCCCAGGGCGCCCCCACCCTGCATGCCCCCCTACGCCCGCGTGCGCTTCTGGTCCTCACATCGCTCCCACCCCCCCACCTGCCCCTCCAGTGCGCCTCACCCCCTCCCGCCCCCCTCCCGCCCCCTCCTCTTCTCCCCCCCATCCCCAGCGGCGCCACCCCCTCCGACTTCCGCGTGCTTCCCTCCCGCATCATCCTGGTACGGCACGCGGAGAGCGAGGGCAACGTGGACAACCTGCTGTACACCACCATGCCGGACAGCCAGGTGCCGCTGGTGAGAGGGGGGGGGCAGGGGGGCGGGGGAGGGGGAGGGAGGGGGAAGGTACGGCAAGGGTGAGAGGGGATGCCAGTTTGGGCTGCTACCCCGCACAGATACGGTGCACCCACCGACCTTGCCGCCACACTCGCAGCAGCCCACCCACCCTGTCCTGTCCAGGCTGCATGCATGCATGCTGGCTAGCTGGCTGGCTGGCTGGGGGGCTGCAACTGGGCCTGCGGGCTCAGCCAGCCAGCCAGTGGCGGCCCTGGCCTGGGCTCACATGCAACACCCTCCTGAGGCCTTCAATACCCTGCTCCTCCCTTTCCTCACAACCTCCTCCCACCTCCTCCAACCTCCCCTCCCCCCCCCTGCCCCCAGACTGCTCGCGGGCACATGCAGGCCCGCGAGGCGGGTCGGGTGATCAAGTCGCTGATGGAGGCGGACCCGGGGCGGCGGGACGACTACCGCCTCTTCTTCTACATCTCGCCGTACAAGCGGTCGCTGCAGACGTACGAGGGGATAAGGTGAGCTGCATGGGGTGGGGGAGGGGAAGGAGGGAGGGGGAGGGGAGGGAGGGCCAACGGGAGGTCATGCCCCCAGACCCCCCGCTCCGGAATTCCCAACCTACACAACCCAACCATGACGCATTACTCCCCTCCCTCCCGCCTTTCCCCCGCAGCTCCCAGTTCTCCAGCCACCACCTGCTGGGGGTGCAGGAGGAGGTGCAGCTAAGGGAGCAGGTGGGGCGGCGAGGGGGGAGGAGTAGAGGGAGAAGGGGCGGAAGTGAAATGGGGTTGGGCTCTGGGAGGGATGTTGGAACCCGGTCCACGGTCCCGCTGGACGCCGCTCCTTTCTCCATGCCCCACCTCCTTCCCACCCCTTTGCTCCCTCTCGGGGCCCCCCAGGACTTTGGTAACTTCCAGGACGCGGAGGGCAAGCAGCACGAGAAGGCGGAGCGGCTGCGGTTCGGCAGGTTCTTCTACCGGTGGGTGGGTGGGGCTGCAAGGGGGGGGCTGAAGGGGGTGGGGGCTGCAGGAGTGGGGGCGCCTCCCCAGGCAATCATTCTCCTTTCCTGCAATCCCTCTACCCCCTCCATCTTCCCGCTCCCTCCCCCTCCCCACCGTAACTCCCACCCTCCCCTCCCCCCCCCTGCCCCCAGCTTCCCCAACGGCGAGAGCGGTGCCGACGTGTACGACCGCATAACGCTGTTCGAGGACCACATGGTGCGCGACATCAACGCGGGGCGCTTCGCGGGCAACACGGCGCTGGTGCTGGTGACACACGGGCTGGCGCTGCGCATCTTCCTCATGAGATGGTGGGGAGGGAGGGGCGGTCAAGGGCAGGATGGGCAGCAGGGGTGGGATGGCAAAATATGACCTGGCGCGGAGGGGGCGTATCCTTGGGAGCTGGTTGCACCCTGCCTGCCTGCCCCCCCTGCCCTGTGGGGCCGCTTACTGCGGCTCAGTGGCCGCCTGCCGCAACCCACCTGGCGTGTGCCGCTCCCTGCCTCACCTCCGCCTCCCTCCCCTGCCTCTTGCCCTCCCTCCTACTTCCCTCCCTCCCTGCCCTCCCCTGCCAGGTTCCACTGGACGGTGGACGAGTTCCTGTCGGTGTACAACCCGGCCAATGCGGATGTGAGGGGGGGAGCGGGTGGGGGGCAGGGAGGGACGCGGTGGAGGGGGTGGGTGGGCCCGGCTAGGGGTCTTTATACCGGGTGGGGGCTGGTAGGGCCTGCAGGCTGGTAGGGCCTGCAGGCTGGTAGGGCCTGCAGGCGGGTGCGTCAGGTTGCGTAGGGTGACATGGGAGGGGGAGGACGGGATGGGCGCTTCTGGGCGAGGTGTGGGTGTCTCCTCCTCCTCCTCCTCCCTTCTAACCTCCCCCCCACCCCTCCCCTTACGGTCACGGTCGGTGTGTCCTCGCTGGCTCAGCCTACCTAATCCCCGCAGTGAAGAGTCATCGCACAGTTCGCCAATGCCCTTATTACCCCCTTCTCCCCCTCCTTTCCTTATTATCACCTTCCTACCCCCCTTCCTACCCCCCTTCTCCCCCGCCCTGCAGCCCCTGGTTCTGGAGCGCACCCCCAGCAGCACCCAGCCGGTGCCAGCCTGGCGCCACACCAAGTCGCTGTACCGGCTCACGGAGGGCAGCATGCGCTCGCTGCGGGGCTGCAGCCCCGAGATGTGCTCGACAGACACCCTGCCGCGCAAGTCACTCAAGGTGTCCACACGCCTCCTGTGAGCCGTGGGCGTGGCGATGGTGGTGGTGCTGGTGGCATGCGAGTGTTGTAGGGGAGTCAGGACGACGACTGAGGTGGTGGTGGTGGGATGCTTGGGAAGAGGTGACCGCGAGGAGGAGTGTCGTAGTGGAGTGGGTTGTCGTAAGATGGTGTCCCCCACCAAAACGCCACGGGAGACGAGGGGTGTGTTGTCGCAGGGGTGTCGTTGTGAGGTTGGGGTGTGTGTGTGTGTGTGTGATGTTGCTCGGTGGGCCCTGTGGTGGGGGATGTGGTGGACCCTGTGTGGAGGCGTGTGGAGGTGGGTGGACAGGGAGGGAGGGTGCTGGGGGGCAGCATGAGAGGGGGAGTGATGTGCGAGTGCGAGTGGAGGGAGGGAGGCGTTGACGTATGACCGTTACCAGAGAGAGAGAGGGTGAGAGTGAGGGTGAGAGAGAGAGAGGCTGCGCACGTGACCAGGTGTTTTAAGAAAACTGGCCAGGTGTGTATGCGTTGCTGTGTGTAGGCTAGCGTAGGCTGTATGGCTGCTTGGTTGTGTGTACTCATGCACGCGTTGCTATTGTACAGTCGGGTACAGTGCTGTTGCTCTGTGCTATCTGCAAGGGAGGGGGGTGTAGCCGTGAGGGTAGATAGTGTAGGGCAGATACCGATAGGTGGAGTGGAGGGGCCTCTCCATCCTGGGAGGAGCACCTTCACCTCCAAGGAGACCTGCACCCTCTTCCTGGTGGGGTACGGCAGTCCTGTGTCACCAGGTGTTGTATGAGAGTGTCAGTTATAGGGGCGAATGGAAGGACAGATGTCTTGCTGACACACATCGTGACCCCTGAACTCAAGTCGTGCCATACGTTGAAGCGGTGCACTACTGCGAGTGTCGTACGCAGACCCTTGCGGGAGCCGTTGCACAGTACAACGGCAGCGTGTGCTTGTGCTTACTACTACGAGAGGTCTCCCCATGAGCGGACACAATGCTGGAAGGAGGCCGAGGACAGTCACTAAGTCGGGCCCCATAGTGCTCGGTCATCCCCCCCACTCACGGTATATAGCCTGTTTGTACTCGCGCTTTGCACCTTAAGGGGTAAACTGATGTGTCAGTTAGGAAGCAGTGAGCGGGTCGTGTGGGGTGTGGGGGTTGAGGGCAGTGTTTTTAAAACTTTTTAGGCTGGGTAATTATTTAGGAGCCAAGTGGTTACTTTGGGCCTTTTCGGGTGTTATGTTAGTAACCACCAGATAATTTTTCCGGGGGCTGCGCCCCCGGACCCCCCCGTACATAATCTTAATCGGATAACGACTTCTCTTTCCAAGTACTACTTACCTCAGAAGCAAAACTTGCGTTGTGACGCGGCCGTTCACTTGCCTTCTTATAGGTTATGGCCCCCCCCCCGCGTGCGTCCATCCGTTCGCCCTTATTAGTTAGCGCCTGTACTTCTAAGATCACCTTCATCCACAATGGCTTCTTCAAAGTTCTTCCGTTAATTCACTTGCCATAGCCCAGCAGTTCGTTCACACCTTCATTTGCCATAGCTCAGCAGTTCGGTAACAACAACACAAGAAACACATACCGGTATACACTATCACACCAACCACACGTGTTCACTGCGTGTCTGCGACCGTGCATACTCCCCGAGCCCCATCCCCTCGAGCCTCAACCCCACTAAGCGCAATATAACAATATATGACTGAGGTTGACTGACCGCCCGCTGAGGCTTGCGTGCTGGGGCCGGTGGCCGGCCAGTCGCTGGTTGTCCTTGCAGGGGTGGTTATTTTCGGGGGGTGGCGGCCATTTTTCCAGTGACCACCTGGCTACTTCCAGGGTAGGCCAATAATTTCCTAGTAACCACCCGCCGGAGGGGAATTATTTTCTGAGTAACCACTTGGTCACTAGTGACCACTTTTTAAAACACTGGTTGAGGGTGAGAGGTGGGTGCACATGCAACTGCCTTGTGCCCTCAAGCTCGCCTACAAGGGCGGGACGTGAGAGCAGCGGGTGGCATGAAGCCCCGCTGTCACCTGCTGCCAAAGAGCATGGAAGCGCGGCTGCGGTTGGTGAGGTGGTGTGAGTTGCAGCATGGGTCAGCTCTATACCTTCCAAAGCACCTGGTTGGCCCCGCATCCGGCTGCTGTCCAGGATCGGGCCCGCACATACAGCTGCTTGGGGACGTTGGGAGGCAAGCATGGAGCGGGGAGTGTTCAGCCCCGCAACAACACATGCCGCGCAGCTCTCTGCTGCAGTGGTTGATCTCACGATACGATGAGAGTTACACGCAGTAAACAAGATCAGGCGCAGGGTTGGGCAGGCTTGGGCAGGGCAGGGCACTAGCTGGGGGGTGGATCCCTTGGGTCGGGAGGTCCCCAGCTGGGCGGTGGATAACGGTTTCCCACGCGCATGCTCTCTTGCCTTAGGGCGTGGCGATCGATGTTGCAGGGATTTCTGGAAGCGGTTGTGACCCACGGGTCGGGAAGCCGGTGTTCATTAAGGGGTACGCCTAGGCCCACACCGGTTATCCCAGTCGTAGGACAACAAGGTAGCTCAGTATGGTTCTAGCGGAATGCAGATAGCGGCTAGACTAGGGCGGCATAGATCATCCCCACGCAATCAATGTACCAGCCGTTTGCTAGATCAGCCCTTTTTGGGCGGAGCCCCAGCCGCGAAGCGGCTTCGGGGGGGCTCGCCCCCCAGGATTGGTCCGTGTGTCTGTCCGTCCGTAACGGCAAAACATACAAACTAGACAAAACTATTAACTGCCCCTAATAGGTATTATGTTATCTGTATTCAGTAAAAATAACTGGAAGCACACAATCCTTTGCGACGATGTTGCCGGCCTTTGCTATTTGTTTGCGCGCCATAATGCCTATGAACTGTAGCGTAAACAGGTACCTCGCCTAGAAGCTAATAGCGATGTTCCGGTGCAATTGCCGAAGTCCTTAAGAGCACGATGCCGACATTGCCGAGCCTGACCTCCTCATCATGTTAGTAATGTAGGCGAAACCTAAACGACCTGCAGGACCCTGAAAGCACTCCCATGTGGCAGTTACGCCGTCGATTTGGGTTCTGTAGCCTAACCTAATGCGTGGGTGTTATCAAGCATGATAAGACGTTACTGAGTACTCAATTGAACAGGCGTAACCTAACAATGAGTGCAATGAGTGAGGACCCTATGTACGCCATGGCGGCCGGCCTCGGCTGGACAAGGGGCTCTGAGCTCGTCTAGCCATGCAACGAACACTCCAACTACAGTAAACAAGCGGGTTCAGCGTCCGTATAACAAGGTGTGTTAGGTCAACTGTTGCCGTGGAGTCACAGGAGCGCATGCCGTGCTCATTTCGTTTTATAAGGCCCTGAGTCGTTCGGACTTCCCTGTATTAATCGCATTCATTCCAGTGGTAATAATACGTTCCTGTACTGAAGAGGAGGGGCTCCGCCCTTTTCCAGCTTTTAGGAAGTTGAACCCCCTTGTCGATGCAGTCCATTCCACCCAGGCTACCCTTTTACGTGGCTAGAAAAAGGTAACATACAACCCGATACAATAACCGCTTGCTTTGCGAGTGTCATTTCCCATCCTAGCCCCCAAGCGTGGAGTCCGAGGCGACAGCGCGTCAAGCCGCGGAAACGTTTTTGCACACAGCACTTTGCAGGGCGGTTCACTGAACTCCTCTATCTTCATCTTGTCCCCTTTCTAAATGTCAGAAAGGCAGCAGCAGCGGCCCCGGGAGCAGCAGCCCGCTGTTCCGGAGCTTCCTCCGAACACTTCGCCGCAGCAGCCAGGTCTGTCACGCGTCTGGCCTCAGCTGCTACCAGAGCTTGCGGAGCGCATCATCAGCTTCCTGCCGCCCAACGAGGTCGCCTGCACCGTGCGACTGATTAACAAGGCCGCGGCAGCGCAGTTCCGCGGCCCTGGCTACACCACCGTAAAGCTTTCTTCCCCCGTGCCGCCCCACGCATTCAAAGAGCAATGGGAGCGACCCGGTGCCATGCGCAGGCTGACGCTCCAGCGGCGGCAGGCGCTGCAGATGCTTACAGCTCACAGCGGCAGTCTGCAAAACCTCCAGGTGGCAGTTGCTGTCACGGGAATTCTTTTGACTCAGGCGTACGACGGGCGCTTTACCTCCGTTGCCCAGGCAGCGGCCGAAGCAGGCCAGCTGGAGATGTGCCAGTGGCTGGTACAGCAGGGCTACCCCTTGCATGAGGTTATGAAGGCGGCAGCTGGCGCCGGGCAGTGGGCCATATGCGAGTGGTGCCTGGCTGCCGGCTGCTCCTGGAGTGCTGGTGCTGTGTACGCTGCAGCTCGCGGGGGCCATGTGGGCCTGATGGAGTGGCTGCTGCAGCTGCGCCCGGCAGAAGGTGCACGTGTTCAGGCCGCAGAGCTGCTAAGAGCAGCCGCTTTCGGCTGCGAGCTGCACACCCTGCAGCGCCTGTACCGTGACTGGGCGGGCGAGCAGCAGCAGGTGAGCGACCATGTAAAAAAAATTATAGTGGCAGCTGCGGCCAGGAGCTCCACACCTGACTGGCAGGCAAAGCTGGTGTGGCTGGAGACACAGGGCTTTCCTGGCTCTAACGCTTGCTCGGGCGCCGCCTCCTGCCCAGACGCTCTGGATCGATTGCGGTGGCTGCGAGGGCGGGGCTATCCTCTTGACGAAGATGTTGCTGGTGTGGCAGCAGAACGGGGCAACGTGGAGGTGCTGCAGTACCTGCTGCTGTCTGAGGGTATCGGGCCCAGTTTGGACTGCGGTAGTGGGGCTGCTGCGTGTGGCAGCCTGGGAGCGCTCGCCCTGCTGCATGCCCATGGCTGCCCAATGGATGTTGGGACAGTCCGGGCTGCAGCAAGGGAGGGGCACCTGCATGTGGTGGTCTGGCTGGTGGAGACGCTGGGCGCAGCACTGCAGCTGGGCACAGAGGTGTTCAGTGATGCTGCCTATTCAGGCAACCTGGAGCTACTGAGGTGGCTGCGTGAGAGGGGCTGCCCCTGGGATGCCGATGCCATTGCAGAGGCTGCGAGGTCAGGGTGTGACGAGGCACTGGAGTGGCTAGTGGAACAGGTCTGCCCCTGGCCGGTGAGTACCGTGCAGGTAGATGTCTAACTAGGGAGGTGTAACCTGCTGGCATCGTTTGAATAGATGTCCACTTATTGTACAGTGTCTTAAAGGGGCATGCTTAACAGCTGAGGATGAAGCCCCATACATGGTACCACGGGTCATTTGACTACCTAAAACCCTAAGTCCATTCTCCTCCATGCAAATTCCCAGCGCCTTGCTGCCTGGGGATGACTGTGATATGACGCCCTACCTACTGAAATGCGTGTGACCCACATCCAGGACGATGGTCTCCCATACGTGGAAGCTGCACGCAACAACGACCTGGCTACCCTGGCCTGCCTGAAGCGACTGGGTTGCCCCTGGGGCCCGCCTGGACGCCTCCTCAAGTACTGCCTCCAATACAGCTGCATTAATGCGGTGCTGAGCTGGCTGCTGGCGGCAGGTTATCCTATGACGGTGGAGGTGGTGCTGGAGGGCATGCAGTGGATAACTCGAATGTTTGGTGCAGATGCCCACCATGTGAGGCGGCTGTGGGGGTGGATGCAGGAGAACCTGGGCCTGCAGCCGCCCCACCATGGCCCCTGATGATGATGTAGCTGGGGAGGCAAGCAAGGGGCGCTGGCAAGTGCTGAGCGCTGTGAGGGTACGGTGAACCCATGCTGCCGTACTGCTGCCAGTCGTACATGTATGCAAGCGGGGGTTGCAGGTGTAGATAGGGCGCGCGCAGGAGGGCTATTGCATTGGGACTTGGAAAGGGTTCGCCTTGACAAGGGCAAGGTGTGCAATGCCCTGCTGTAGGCTTTGGAGGCTAAAAACTTGGCCCCGGTTGGTATAGCTGTGTACATGAGCGGTGTGCACGTCTATACGCTGCTTTGACGTTGCGTCCGATTTCCTCTATCCATTATAGAATGGAGGACATACAGTGCCTTTGCAGGCACGCATGAGTGTGCAGTGTTCACTGCTGTGTGCAATTGCTGGCCTATGAGGTGTGGCTGTGTGCTGAAGTGAAGGCTACACATATACTACATAGACTACACATGCTAGCCGTGGATTCGGTGCGGGCTAGGGCTGGGCTGGGCGCTAGCTAGGGTTTGTTCCCTTGGGTCGGGCCCTGAGAAGCAGAAACAATAGCTGTTGCACCAGCAACTACACTGCTAGCAGCGGCAGCAGGAGGTTCCGCACAGCATCTCACCTCCGTCCCAGCGGGGCCCTGTCCTGTGTTGTTGTGCACTGTGCTTTGCTTGCAGTACATGCGAGCAGGTAGGACAGCGGATGTGCCCTTGCATTGCCCGCTGATAACGTTGCCATTGTTGTTGTTGGTTGGTTGGTGGTGTTACCGGTATTAGGTTGATCTAGCTTCTGCGGCTCAGGACTGACTGCATCTGCAGACTGATAGTCTGCATGCATGACTACTTGGCAAAGTAAACCTTTTCACACCATTTACCATAAGGGAGACCCCGACCCCAGAATGCTGCCTTACCGGCCCTAGCCCCCGCATCGGATCTCCAGTTGTCGCTCTCCTGCCCTCCGGTTTGCCAGCCGGGGTTACGTCAGCCTGCTGGTTCTAGAAGGTAAAGGCCGGCTGTATGCACCATCCATGCATGTTTGTGGGGCAGCTGCAGCAGCCATCCCGCTTGCAGCCCCCTGCGACTGCTGCTGGCCCGCCTGCCACAGCACACTGCAGCCCCTTCCCGCCCGCCGGTCCACCAACCTCGGTAGACGTTCAAAGCCAGTGTTGAGATGTGAACAATGACAACATCCCGAATGGCATAATTTGACATGATGCTGCTGTCTTTTGTTCCTCTGGCGCGCTCTAAACCAGGTTAATTGTGAGGCTCGGTCGTTTACTTGCAGGAATCGTCACTATACACAACTTGACACCTATGCTAGTCGCCTTGATACGTTCTTCTATGCTAGCTGCCTATCCTACTAATTTTCCAAAATGCAGCGAACCCAAAGGCTTGTTTGCCTGATGAAGCCGCTCGTGTGTCTCGGAGCATGAGCCAAGTAAGACGCGATGTGAAGACGCAGGAAACGCAGTCCTGGCCAATCCATGTTTTAGCCATAAATTAGCCCAGTGTCAATTCGTTTCTTTGGTCCTTTACTCGCTAACCAACTCCCCTACGTCTCACTTGCTGTACTCCAGCTAATCCATTAGGGGTGTTTCTATGGGCGCGGTCCGAAACCAAACCTAAGCAAACCTAAGCCAACCTAAGTCGTACGCTACGCGCTCCTAAGTGTTCCTAAGTGACCTGTTTCTATGGACTTCAGGAACCACGGTGAAACCAGCCTTATGATAAGACCATAATCTTTATCCTTACAGGATAGGGAAATAACTGTTTATAAAGCCAAGAAAAAAGGGGCGCTCGCGGATAGATGCAGCGGTGGATTTCCGTTTGCGGCCCTGATGGTTAGGAAAGGATATAATTTACATTACCTCGGGCAACAGAACAACCCATAGCACGTGAACTGGGACAACAGGACAAGTTGCGTGACAAGCCATGTGGGAATGCATGTAGGAACTAGGAAGCACATGAACGGAAACGCCTAGGTTCTGCCATAAGTTACCTTCGCAGAGAATGGACGACCCCTGCAAGGGCCTGGGTTGCCAGTGGGCAAAGCTGCTGCTGTCAGGGGCCCGTGGGACCTTACAATTCAAGGGAGCGCAAAGCACATATCGCTTGTGAGGACCACACTAGGGGTGTGGTGGAAGATAACCATAGGTTAGATGACCCTCGACCGGCTCTGTTGCAAGGGGTGATGGTGGAGCTGGCTAAATGGAGATTCCGCTCCGTGAGATAAGGCACCCGTAACAAGACACGCAAAATGTGCCATACATGTGGCAAATGACGGGAAGTACGTTGCTTGCTTTCGGGTATATGTAGCCTCTATGAAAGGAATGGAGGATTCTCCAAAAAGAAGCAAGGACACAGCCCACATGCCCCCAAACGCCCTCAGGTATGTCACACGGGTGCAGCCTATGAAAGCCGTCATATTTTGCAGAATGTCCATATGAGGACACTTTTAACGCAACGTGTTTGCAAGATGGGGTGGCGCTGGAATCTCGCATTTTTCAAGTTGACAATTGAGGAATTGCTTTTGCTTTCTTGGGCATTTTAACATCAAAAACAAGGTCCGGAATGCCAACTATGCAACCTTGTCATCTTGCTTAGTATCCCCGACTGTTTGTCTGTATGCGAAGGTCTGCAGGCTCAATGAGTAGGGCCCGCTGGCTCCACTCGCTCCACCCTAAGCCGGTGCTAAGTTGCTGCTAAGTTGCTAAGCGGGGTCACCCCACTTAGCAATACTTAGCAGCAACTTAGCTAAGTATTGGTGGGACGAGCATGGGACGAGATTCACTTAGGTTGGCTTAGGTTCGGTCCGAAACCAAACCTAAGCCCATAGAAACACCCCTATTATTAATTTATCAGTTCTGAGCTGGTTCCCTTCTTGCTTTCACCTTTGGGTGGACGCTACATACGTGATTTGACATTGAAAGCACAAGACTATTTGTTTGTCGCTTTGTGCTCGCGATCCATGAGCCTTCTGGCTCGGACGGATCTTACGAGCTCGGTACGAAGCTTGTAACACACACACACATCCATCACAGAACAGCGCAGGAGCGATGTCAGAGGAGCACCAGACCAACCTGTCCTCGCGCTACGAGCAGCAGCTGCTGTCCGGCGACACGTCCAGGCCGAGCGGTAAGGAAGTTCGCACCGCGAAGACGACCCGTGCGCGGCAGTTGGCCACGTAGGAGCTGCCGCCCTTCCCCCCTTTACCCCAATCGCCGGATGGACGAAGCAGAAGCGCGAATAAACAAGTCTGACCACTCCAACCGCCTCCTGACCGCATGAATCTGCCCCTCTCCCTGTCCCTGCGGCCCTGCCGCCACTGCACTTGCGTTGTGGTTCCCTGCGGTTGGGTCCTGTCTTGATCTTTGTCCCCCTCCCTCCACTGGTTTGTCTAATCTGACCCCCCACTGCAGTCATCCCCGCGGTGGTGATCACGGGCTTCCTGGGCAGCGGCAAGACCACCCTGGTGCAGCACATCCTCAGGAACAGGTGGCTCGGGGGCGGAGCGGGACAGGGGGCGGGCCGGACAGGGGCCCCTGTGCACCCCAGCCCGGCCGGGGGAGCAATGTGTGTGTTGAGGAAGCTGTGGCGGCGAGTCGGAGCGTACTGTGCTGTGATTGCGGGAAGTGTGCGCGGGTGTGCATGGCGGCGGGGCTGGGGGCGACACGGACCCGCGGGTCGGGATGCACTACACGAGCATGCACTGCGCTGACGTCACTTTGCCACGTTCTGCAGTGCCTGCCCTGCCCTGCCAAGCTTTGTAAACCTTATGACCTCCCTGCGCCTTGCGGTGCTGGTGAACGAGGTGGGGCACATCGATGTGGACTCGCAGCTGCTCAACGCCAAGCAGGTGGGGGAGGGGGTGGGGGAGGTGGGGGAGGGAGGGAGGGAGGTGGGGGAGGGAGGGAGGGAGGGAGGGGGAAGGGAGGGCGGGAGCGGCCCCCAGCCGCTGATCAAGCGGCGGTGAAGGAGCGGAGTTGGGCTGGATGGGCCTCCTGTCCGCACGCCTACCCTGCCCTTAGCCGATTAACCCCTAACCTTATCGAGATCTTCCCTGCTCTTATCCCCTCTGGCCCCGCCTGTGCTTCGGCCTGCCGCTGCTCCCGCCCCCGCCTGCTCCCGCTGCCGCTGCCGCCTCTGCAGAGCAACGCGGCTCTGGGTGTGCCCGCCTCCGACCTGTCGGGCGGCTGCGTGTGCTGCTCGCGGTGGGAGGACCTGCAGGCGGCGCTGAGGCAGCTGAGGGAGCCGGGGGCGGCAGGGGGGGCAGCAGGGGGGGCAGCAGCAGCAGCCGGCCCGCCCTGCGACTACTTGCTGGTGGAGGTGGGTGGGGGCGGCACACCCTGGCGGCTCCCAGTTGCCGTACGAACAGCCATGCAGCCGTGTTGCACGACACCCAAAACACACAGCCTACGGCCCACCCCCGGCCTCCTAAGTATCTTCATGCTACCATCATCACCCATTCACACCCTGTCATCACCTCCGCCCACCTCCCCACCCCTGCCCCCAGACCTCCGGCGCTGCCGACGCGGGCCCCCTGGCTGACGCGCTGGTGGCTGGCGGCTTCCGGCTGGATGCGGTGGTGGCGGTGGTGGATGCGGAGGCGGGGCGGGAGGCGCTGCAGCTGCCGGTGGCGCGGGCGCAGGTGGGGGGGGCGCGCAGGTGTTGTGGCCAGCCCTGGTTCTTTCGTCCCCTCTTAACCCTCCCCTCCTCCCCTCCCGGCCCCCCTCCCTCCCCCCCCCCCAGGTGTGCTGTGCGGATGTGGTGGTGCTCAACAAGTGCGACCTGCTGGCCCCGGGAGCTGGCGGGGGAGGGGGAGGAGGGGGAGGGGGAGGAGGGGGTCTGGGGGCGCTGTCGGAGCTGGAGGATGCGCTGAGTGAGATGGCGCCCGGGGTGCGGCTGCTGAGGGCGCGGTTCGGAGAGGTGAGGGAAGGGTGCGGCTGCTGAGGGCGCGGTTCGGAGAGGTGAGGGAAGGGTGCGGCTGCTGAGGGCGCGGTTCGGAGAGGTGAGATGAGGGTGGGGGAAGGTGAGGGGAGCCGCACCCGCACGTCGCGCCTGGGTCCCTCCCAGTACCAGCAACCTGCCCCCTGCTCACTACACCGGCAGTTACCTCGCCCTACCCCGTCCACTTCACCTCACCTCACCCCATCTCACCCACCGCCCCCAGGTCCCGCTGACTGCCGTACTAGATGTGGAGCCCGTCGGTGCGGAGGAGCAGGAGGCGGCGGGGGGGAGGGCCCCGCAGCAGCAGTACGGCAGTGGGGCCGGTGGGGCGACTGGGGGTACGGCACCTGACAGCAGCGGTGGTGGAGGAGGTGGAGGAGGAGGAGGAGGTGGAGGAGGTGGTGGCGGTGGTGGCTGTGGTGGAGGAGGTGGAGGCGGCGGTGAGGGCTTCATGTCTCACGAGTCGCTTCCCTCTGCGGCGGCTAGCGGCGGGCGGGGAGGCTACCGACTGAGGGCAGGTGAGGTGGCGGGTGGGGTGGCGGGTGGGGTGGCGGGGAGTGGGGATGGGTCTGAAGCAGGCGGTGGGGGGGCGGCAGCTGCCTTCCTCCTGACGGGCCGTGGTGGAAGCCGAACAGCAATACAGTACCCAACACCGACATTGCCGCACCTTGTGACACGTCACCGCACCCGCCCTCACCCGCCCTCGCCCTCGCCCTCCCCTGCCCTCCCCCCCACCACATGGACAGAGCCGCTCACCGGGGACGGTGCGGTGACGGGCGCCTCCCGCCACACCCAGCGCCGCACAGCTACCTCACCCGCATCTATAGCAGCAGCCCCAGACCTAGTCCCCCCTAGCGCCTCCCCACACACACCCCCGCACCAGCCGCACCAGCATCACTACGAGGCCTCCTCGCACCCGCACCCTCACCCGCACTCGCACCCTCACCCGCACCCTCACCCGCACCCGCACGCCCACCTGCACAGCGGCTTCCACACGCAGTCCCTGGCGGTGGAGGGCCGACCCGTGGGTCTGCGGAGATTTGCGGAGTGGGTGCTGAAGTGGCTGGTGCGGGAGCCAGGTAGGCGAGGGAGGGAAGGGGGGGGGGCGCTGGGAGCTGCATGCGGGGTGGGGCGGAGGTGCGGGGGTGTAGAGCATAGATGGAGTGGGGGCCGGGAGAGAAGTAGAGAGAAAGCAGATGGGTGCATCTGCCGTTACATGTACGCTATGCCAACCAACGCACCTGACCAGATGTGCAGGCGGAGGGGCGCGGCGCCTCATATCCCAAACCTGCGGCTCCTGCACTGCTCAGGCCACCACCCGCCCACTCCCACACGCCACCCCCATACACCCCGCACTCTCCCTCCCCCCTCCCGCCACCCTTTCCGCCTCCTCCGCCTCCTCGGCACCCTCCTCCTCGCTCGCAGCCTTGCTCCGCAGCAAGGGCGTGCTGTGGGTGTCCGAGTGCCGCTCGCGACGCTTCACCTTCCACCTCAGCGGCCGGCGCCGAGTGGAGTGCAGTCTGGAGGGCCCCTGGGAGGGCCCGCCCCGCAGCTGCCTGGTGCTCATAGGCAGCGAGGTGGCTGCCGTACGGCGACTGAGGCTCGTGTTTGAGGCGGAGGTGCTGCAGCAGCAGCAGCGGGGGGGCGCGGCGGTGGTGGCGGGGGAGGAGGCAGCGGGAGGGGAAGGAGAAGGGGAGGAGGAGGAGGCTGGGGATGGGGGGGGGGCAGAGGAGGAGGAGGGGGAGGAGGCGCCTCGTGCGGTGCGCAAAGAAGTGGAGGTGGCGGTTGAGGGCGGGGCGGGGGCAGGGGGGGCACAAGCCGAGGCGGGCAGCGGTGAGAAGGAGGAGGAGGAGGAGGCGGATGTGGTGGGGGAGGTGGCGGCGCTGATCGCTAATGGCAACGAGAGGTTGGAGGTGTTGGGGGTGTGGGGCAACAGCGGGGAGGAGGTGTCGGGGGCGCTAGGCGGCAGCAGCAGCAGTGCCGAAGGCAGCAGCAGCAGCAGCGGCATTCTGCAGTTCACGACCCGTGGGTCAGTGCTGCACGGCATCAACGCGGAGGAGCTCAATGCGGAGCTGCTGCGTCGCGCCAATGCGAGTGGGCGGCTGCTTCTGGCGGGCGTTACGTCGCCAGGACACGTCAGTGCGGTGACCAACACCCAGTTGAGGGACAGGTGAGAGACCGGTAGGAGGAGGGAGAGGGGGGCGCGGGGGCCGGTTGGAGGGGCAGGGTGACGGCGAGAATGCGCATGAGTGGCGGGGCCTTGGCCGCCTCCTGCTGCCCCTGGGTGCGCTCCACCCACATACTACCGGTACATGCGGATCCAGAGCTGCGACCCGCTTCTACAAGGGCATGCCTGATAGCCAATGCGGCAGCTCGCTGCGCAGGAGGTGACGTCCTGCTCTCCTGCAGCTGTAGAGGAAGAGGCTCTGCTCTCCAGGGGGTGACGCAAGGCGCCAGTCATCCTCCGGGCCCACGTGGCCCAAAGCAACCCACCACTAGCGCCCCTCCCTGTATCTCTTCCCCCCCTCTCACCCATAGCAATGCTTTGCCCTAACCTGTGGCTTCCTATGGCATGATACGGTCTTTGACCCCCCCCCCGCTCTCCCTCCCCCACCCAAGGGTGGTGTCCCTGCGCTCCCCCTGGCCAGCCGGCGTGAGGAGGCGCGGCAGCAGGCAGCGGCGCTGCTGGCGGCGGCGGACCCGCTGCTGCGCCGCGCCTACGCGCACGTGCACAACTGCAAGTGTGATGTGGCGGGGGCGGTGCAGGCGCTGGTGCGGGGCTGATGGTGAGGCGGGGAAGCGTTCGTACGTACTGCGTCCCATGTGGATGGAGTTTCCCCGCTTGGCTATTAATGGAGGTTACCGGTATTGGGGGTTACTGGGGGTGTGTGTGATGGAGCGCCCTGTTGGGCAATGGCGGCATCGCTCCGGGGTTTGGCTTACTTGGAACTGCTGCTGGGGCGCCATGCATGGCTGGCCGTGGTTGTCTACCGGTACCTCCGGTTGCCTACCGGTACCTCCGGAGTCACCAACTGAGGTTGTTAAGTAAGGAGAGGCTCGGGAAGTGTAGCGTACACGGTACAGTATGTGGGGGTCTACATACTGAGCTACGGCATTCATGTGAGCTACGGCAGCCATCCCGCTTGCAGCCCCCATACAATGAGAGTCGCACATAATGAACAAGATCAGGGTTGGGCCCTTGGGTTCAGAAGGCCCCCAATCGGGCGGTTGATTAAAGCTTCCTGAACGCATGCACTCTTGACTTAGGGCATGGGCCTGGAGCAATTAATATTGCAGGGATTTCTGGAAGCGGTTTTGACCCACGGGTCTGGAAGATGGTATTCTCTAGTCGCAGCCCATAACGAGTCGGCTGCACCTGGACCCACACGGATTTGCCTATTCGTAGCGCCGTCAGCTATCTTAGTTCCTGGAAAAATGCAGGTAAAGGCCGGGCGCCATGACCCCCCATGAGTCATCAGATTGTACCAGTCGTTTGCCAGGTCAGCACCTTTCGATCCCACCCAGACTTTCGATCCCACCCAGACCTTCCCACCCAGACCTTCCTTTCACGGTGGTATTTAACCTGATACAATAACCGTTTACTTTGCGAGTGTCATTTCCCATTCTAGCTCCCAAGCGCTCCTCTAGTCCGAGGCGCGTCAAGCCGCGGAAACGTTTTTGCATACAACAGCACTTTGCAGGGCGGTTCGCTGAACTCCTCTATCTTCATCTTGTCCTCTTTCTTTTTAAATGTCAGAAAGGCAGCAGCAGCGGCCCCAGGAGCAGCAGCCCGCTGATCCGGATCTTCCTCGGAGCACTTCGCCGCAGCAGCCAGGTCTGTCACGCATCTGGCCTCAGCTGCTACCAGAGCTTGCGGATCACATCATCAGCTTCCTGCCGCCCAACGAGGTCGCCTGCACCGTGCGACTGACCAACAAGGCCGCGGCAGCGCAGTTTCGCGGCCCTGGCTACACCACCGTGAAGCTTTCTTCCCCCGTGCCGCCCCACGCATTCAAGGAGCAATGGGAGCGACCCGGTGCCATGCGTGGGCTGACGCTCCAGCGGCGGCAGGAGCTGCAGATGCTTACAGCCCGCAGCGGCAGCCTGGGAAACCTCCAGGTGGCAGTTGCCGTCACAGGGATTCCTTATATGGAATGGTCCGACGGCTTTCGGTGCTTGACCTCCCTTGCCCAGGCAGCGGCCGAAGCAGGCCAGCTGGAGATGTGCAAGTGGCTGGTGCTGCAGCAGGGCTACCCCTTGCTCCATGTTGTTGAGGTGGCAGCAGGCGCCGGGCAGCAGGCCATATGCGAGTGGTGCCTGGCTGCCGGCTGCTCCTGGAGTGCTGGTGCTGTGTACGCTGCAGCTCGAGGGGGCCATGTGGGCCTGATGGAGTGGCTGCTGCAGCTGCGCCCGGCAGAAGGTGCACGTGTTCAGGCCGCAGAGCTGCTAAGAGCAGCCGCTGTCGGCTGCGAGCTGCACACCCTGCAGCGCCTGTACCATGACTGGGCGGGCGAGCAGCAGCAGGTGAGCGACTTTGAGGAAGTATTTATAGTGGCAGCTGCGGCCAGGAGCTCCACACCTGACTGGCAGGACAAGCTAGTATGGCTGGAAACACAGGGCTTCCCTGGCTCTGAGGCTTGCCAGAACGCCGCCTCCTGCCCAGACGCTCTGGAACGATTGAGGTGGCTGCGAGGGCGGGGCTACCCTCTGGGGCATGGTGTTGCTGGTGAGGCAGCTGCACGGGGCAACGTGGAGGTGCTGCAGTACCTGCTGCTGTCTGAGGGTGTCGAGCCCCGTTTGGACTGCGGTAGGTGGGCAGCTGAGTGTGGCAGCCTGGGAGCGCTTACCCTGCTGCATGCCCATGGCTGCCCAATGGATGTTGTGACAGCAGTCCGGGCTGCAGCAAGGAAGGGGCACCTGCAAGTGGTGGTCTGGCTGGTGGAGACGCTGGGAGCAGCACTGCAGCTGGGCGCAGAGGTGTTCAGCAGTGCTGCCTCTTCAGGCAACCTGGAGCTGCTGAGGTGGCTGCATGAGAGGGGCTGCCCCTGGGGTGCAAATGCCATTGCAGGAGCTGCGAGCTCAGGCTGTGACGAGGCACTGGAGTGGCTAGTGGAGCGGGGCTGCCCCTGGCCGGTGAGTAACGTGCAGGTAAATGTCTAACTCGGGAGGTGTAACCTGGCATCGTTTGGATAGACGTCCACTTATTGTACAGTGTCATAAAGGGGCATGCTTAACAGCTGAGGATGAAGCCCCATACATGGTACCGTGGGTCGTTTGACTACCGTAAGTCCATTCTCCTCCATGCAACTTCCCAGGACCTTGCTGCCTGGGGATGACTGTGATATGCCCTACTTATAATGATGCGTGTGACCCACATCCCAGGACGATGGTCGCCCATACGTGGAAGCTGTACGCAACAACGACCTGGCTACCCTGGCCTGCCTGACGCGGCTGGGCTGCCCCTGGGGCCCGCCTGGGCGCCTCCTCAAGGACTACAGCCGTCCTTGCATTGCGGTGCTGAGCTGGCTGCTGGCTGCAGGTTATCCCATGACGGCGGAGGCGGCGCTGGATGAATTGCAGCGGATAACTGAGTCGTATGGTGCAGATGACCTCCATGTGAGGCGGCTGTGGGGGTGGATGCAGGAGAACCTGGGCCTGCAGCCGCCCCAGCAGGGTCCCTGGTGATGAGGTGGCTGGGGAGGCAAGGAAGGGGTGGTGGCAAGTGCTGGGAGCTGTGAGGGTACGGTGAACCCATGCTGCCGTACTGCTGTCAGTCGTACATGCAAGAGGGTTGCAGGTGTAGATAGGGCGCGCCCTGGAGGGCTATTGCATTGGGACTTAGTGCACTGGAAAGGGTTCGCCTTGACAATGGCAAGGTGTACAAAGCCCTGCTGTTGGCTTTGGAGGCCAAAAGCTTGGTCCCATCGGTTGGTATAGCTGTGTACATGAGCGGTGTGCACGTCTATACGCTGCTTTGACGTTGCGTCCGATTTCCTCTATCCATTATAGAATGGAGGACATACAGTGCCTTTGCAGGCACGCATGAGTGTGCAGTGTTCACTGCTGTGTGCAATTGCTGGCCTATGAGGTGTGGCTGTGTGCTGGAGTGGTGGATTCTACAGTGTGCTGAAGTGAAGGATTGCACAATGTACAGACTACACATGCTAGCAGTGGATTCGGTGCGGGCTAGGCAGGGCTGGGCTGGGCGGTAGCTAGGGTTGCTTCCCTTGGGTCGGGCCCTGAGAAGCAGAAACAATAGCTGTTGCAACTACACTGCTAGCAGCGGCAGCAGGAGGTTCCGCGCAGCACCTCACCTCCGTCCCAGCGGGGCCCTGTCCTGTGTTGTTGTGCACCGTGCTTTGCTTGCAGTACATGCGAGCAGGTAGGACAGCGGATGTGCCCTTGCATTGCCCATTGACATTGTTGTTGGTTGGTTAGTGGTGATATTAGGTTGGTATGGCTTCTCCGGCTCAGGACTGACTCGAAAGATAGTCTGCATGCATCACTACTTGGCTGTGTAAACCTGTTACACCATTTACCATGAGGGAGACCCCGACCCCAGAATGCTGCCTGACTGGCCCTAGCCCCCGCACTGGATCTCCAGTTGTCGCTCTGCAGCACTCGGGTTTCCCACTTCTGTTTGCCAGCCGGGTTAGGTTAGCCAGAAGAGAAGGGGCGGCTGTATCCATGCATGTTTGTGGGGCAGCCACGCGCAGCAGCCATCCCGCTTGCAGCCCCCTACCTGCGACTGCTGCTGGCCCGCCTGCCACAGCACACTGCAGCCCCTTCCCGCCCGCCGGTCCACCATCCTCTATAGATGTTCAAAGCCAGTGACAATGCCAGAACAATGACAATGTCCCGAATGGCTTATGACATCTCCGCCCCACACACAGTTCCCCACAGATGTCAGCACATGTGTCGGGACTGCCCCACCCCCATGACCTACCGCTCCTTGTCCTGGCACGGCAAGGACACCCAAGTCGTGGCACCTAGGTGTGTGGAGCGGCTGCATGACGACGACGTGATGATACAGCGGGCACTGTGAGCGAGGCGCAAGGGGAGCAAGGGCCCAGCAGGGCGGGCAGGGCCCACACGGCAACGGCCTATTTGGCTGCTTTGGATCTTGCAGCGCTTAGGTTGGACTGTAGACGTCGCTTGATCATCAGGGTAAAATGATCGGTGTAGTCAGGCAAGGCCTCGCGGCTCCTTCGTCCGGACCGCTACGGTTGAGGGTTGAGTGGGTTGGCCGCGCTAAGAAGCTGAGACCCACGCTTGAGCATAATTTGACATGATGTTGCTGTTTTCTGCCCCTCTGGCACGCTCCACACCAGGTTACTTGTGAAGCTCGACCGTTTACTTGCAGCTTTCGTCACAACAAATGGCTTGATACCTATGCTAGTCGCCTTGATACGTTCTTGATGCTAGCTGCCTAGCCTACTAAGTTTCCAAAAATGCAGCGAACCCAAAGGCTTGTTTGCCTGATGAAGCCGCTCGTGTGTTTCGGAGCATGCGCCAAGTAAGGCGCGATGTGAAGAGGCAGGAACGCAGTCCTGGTCAATCCATGTTTAAGCCATAAATAGCCCAGTGTCGATTCACGTTTTTGGTCCTCTACTCACCAACCAACTCTCCTGCGTCTCACTTGCTGTACTCCAGCTAATCCATCACAGAACAGCGCAGGAGCGATGTCAGAGGAGCACCAGACCAACCTGTCCTCGCGCTACGAGCAGCAGCTGCTGTCCGGCGACTCGTCCAGGCCGAGCGGTAAGGAAGTTCGCACCGAGAAGACGACATGCATGTGCGCGGCAGTTGGCCACGCAAGAGCTGCCGCGCACAATTAACGGCGAGGACAACCGCGCCTTCCCATCCACTCTAACTGTCCCCTGACCTCATGCATCTGCCCCTCTCCCTGTCCCTGCGACCCTGCCCCCACTGCACTCGTGCGTGGTTCCTGCGGTTGGGTATCGGTATGGCCTTTGTCCCCCTCCCTCCCCCCACTGACTTGGTCTAGTTTGCCCCCCTACCCCCGCTGCACGCAGTCATCCCCGCTGTGGTGATCACGGGCTTCCTGGGCAGCGGCAAGACCACCCTGGTGCAGCACATCCTCAGGAACAGGTGGCTCGGGGGCGGAGCGGGACAGAGGGCGGGCCGGACAGGGGCCCCTGTGCACCCCAGCCCCGCCGGGGGAGTACTGTGTGTGCTAAGGAAACTGTGGCGGCGAGTCGGAACGTACTGTGCTGTGATTGCGGGACGTGTGTGCGGGTGTGCATGGCGGCGGGGCTGGGGGCGACACGGACCCGCCGGTCGGAATGCACTACGCGAGCATGCACTGCGCTGGCGTCACTTTGCCCTGCTGCCCTGCACTGCGTAGCTTTGTAACTCTTGCGAACCTTCCTGGCTCCTCCTCCTCCTGCCCCCCCTCCTCCTCCTGGCTCCTCCTCCTCCTCCCCCGCCTCCCGCCCCACCCAGGGGCTCCCTGCGCATTGCGGTGCTGGTGAACGAAGTGGGGCACATCGATGTGGACTCGCAGCTGCTCAACGCCAAGCAGGTGGGGGAGGGAGTAGCGGCCCGCAGCACCTGAACAAGCGGCGGTGAAGGAGCGGAGTTGGGCTGGATGGGCCTCCTGTCCGCACGCCTACTCTGCCCTTAGCCGATTAACCCCTAACCTTATCGAGATCTTCCCTGCTCTTATCCCCTCTGGCCCCGCCTGTGCTTCGGCCTGCCGCTGCTCCCGCCCCCGCCTGCTCCCGCTGCCGCTGCCGCCTCTGCAGAGCAACGCGGCTCTGGGTGTGCCCGCCTCCGACCTGTCGGGCGGCTGCGTGTGCTGCTCGCGGTGGGAGGACCTGCAGGCGGCGCTGAGGCAGCTGAGGGAGCCGGGGGCGGCAGGGGGGGCAGCAGGGGGGGCAGCAGCAGCAGCCGGCCCGCCCTGCGACTACTTGCTGGTGGAGGTGGGTGGGGGCGGCACACCCTGGCGGCTCCCAGTTGCCGTACGAACAGCCATGCAGCCGTGTTGCACGACACCCAAAACACACAGCCTACGGCCCACCCCCGGCCTCCTAAGTATCTTCATGCTACCATCATCACCCATTCACACCCTGTCATCACCTCCGCCCACCTCCCCACCCCTGCCCCCAGACCTCCGGCGCTGCCGACGCGGGCCCCCTGGCTGACGCGCTGGTGGCTGGCGGCTTCCGGCTGGATGCGGTGGTGGCGGTGGTGGATGCGGAGGCGGGGCGGGCGGCGCTGCAGCTGCCGGTGGCGCGGGCGCAGGTGGGGGGGGGCGCGCAGGTGTTGTGGGTAGCCCTTTCAAACGGTTCTTGAGTTCCCTCTTAACCCTCCTCTCCCCTCCTCCCCTCGCCTCCCCCCCCCCCAGGTGTGCTGTGCGGATGTGGTGGTGCTCAACAAGTGCGACCTGCTGGCCCCGGGAGCTGGCGGGGGAGGGGGAGGAGGGGGAGGGGGAGGAGGGGGTCTGGGGGCGCTGTCGGAGCTGGAGGATGCGCTGAGTGAGATGGCGCCCGGGGTGCGGCTGCTGAGGGCGCGGTTCGGAGAGGTGAGGGAAGGGTGCGGCTGCTGAGGGCGCGGTTCGGAGAGGTGAGGGAAGGGGGGGGGGTGGGGGGCGGGGGTCGGTGGGGGAGGTGATCATCGCGCTACCCCGCCCCACCGCCCTCCACCCACATCCCCACCTCCCCCAGGTCCCGCTGACTGCCGTACTAGATGTGGAGCCCGTCGGTGCGGAGGAGCAGGAGGCGGCGGGGGGGAGGGCCCCGCAGCAGCAGAACGGCAGTGGGGCCGGTGGGGCGCCTGGGGGTACGGCACCTGACAGCAGCGGTGGTGGAGGAGGTGGAGGAGGAGGAGGAGGTGGAGGAGGTGGTGGCGGTGGTGGCTGTGGTGGAGGAGGTGGAGGCGGCGGTGAGGGCTTCATGTCTCACGAGTCGCTTCCCTCTGCGGCGGCTAGCGGCGGGCGGGGAGGCTACCGACTGAGGGCAGGTGAGGTGGCGGGTGGGGTGGCGGGTGGGGTGGCGGGGAGTGGGGATGGGTCTGAAGCAGGCGGTGGGGGGGCGGCAGCTGCCTTCCTCCTGACGGGCCGTGGTGGAAGCCGAACAGCAATACAGTACCCAACACCGACATTGCCGCACCTTGTGACACGTCACCGCACCCGCCCTCACCCGCCCTCGCCCTCACCCTCCCCTGCCCCTCCCCCCGCATGGACAGGGCCGCTCACCGGGGATGGTGCGGTGACGGGCGCCTCCCGCCACACCCAGCGCCGCACAGCAACCACACCCGCATCTACAGCAGCAGCCCCAGACCTAGTCCCCCCTAGCGCCTCCCCACACACACCCCCGCACCAGCCGCACCAGCAGCACTACGAGGCCTCCTCGCACCCGCACCCTCACCCGCACTCGCACCCTCACCCGCACCCTCACCCGCACCCGCACGCCCACCTGCACAGCGGCTTCCACACGCAGTCCCTGGCGGTGGAGGGCCGACCCGTGGGTCTGCGGAGATTTGCGGAGTGGGTGCTGAAGTGGCTGGTGCGGGAGCCAGGTAGGCGAGGGAGGGAAGGGGGGGGGCGCTGGGAGCTGCATGCGGGGTGGGGCGGAGGTGCGGGGGTGTAGAGCATAGATGGAGTGGGGGCCGGGAGAGAAGTAGAGAGAAAGCAGATGGGTGCATCTGCCGTTACATGTACGCTATGCCAACCAACGCACCTGACCAGATGTGCAGGCGGAGGGGCGCGGCGCCTCATATCCCAAACCTGCGGCTCCTGCACTGCTCAGGCCACCACCCGCCCACTCCCACACGCCACCCCCATACACCCCGCACTCTCCCTCCCCCCTCCCGCCACCCTTTCCGCCTCCTCCGCCTCCTCGGCACCCTCCTCCTCGCTCGCAGCCTTGCTCCGCAGCAAGGGCGTGCTGTGGGTGTCCGAGTGCCGCTCGCGACGCTTCACCTTCCACCTCAGCGGCCGGCGCCGAGTGGAGTGCAGTCTGGAGGGCCCCTGGGAGGGCCCGCCCCGCAGCTGCCTGGTGCTCATAGGCAGCGAGGAGGCTGCCGTACGGCGACTGAGGCTCGTGTTTGAGGCGGAGGTGCTGAAGCAGCAGCAGCAGCGGGGGGGCGTGGTAGGGGTGGCGGGGGAGGAGGCAGCGGGAGGAGGAGGGATGGGTGCGGTGGCCGGGGATGCGGGGCCAGAGGAGGAGCTGGCGGGTGAGGGCGGGGCCGGTGTAGGGGGAGCGCAAGCCGGGGCGGAGGTCGGTGAGAAGGAGGAGGAGGAGGATGTGGTGAGGGAGGTGGCGGCGCTGATTGCTGGCAACGAGAGGTTGGAGGTGCTGGCTGTGTGGGGCAACAGCGGGGAGGAGGTGTCGGGGGCGCTAGGCGGCAGCAGCAGCAGCAGCAGCAGTACCGGAGGAAGCAGCAGCAGCAGCGGCATTCTGCAGTTCACGACCCGTGGGTCAGTGCTGCACGGCATCAACGCGGAGGAGCTCAATGCGGAGCTGCTGCGTCGCGCCAATGCGAGTGGGCTGCTGCTGCTGGCGGGCGTTACGTCGCCAGGACACGTCAGTGCGGTGACCAACACCCAGTCGAGGGACAGGTGAGAGGCCAGTTGGAGAGGGGGGCGTGGGGGCCGGTAGGAGGGGCAGGGTGAGGGCGATAATGCGCATGCATGGGCGGGCCTTGACCACCTCCTGTGCTCCACCCAAGTACGGATCCCGAGCTGCTGCCACCCGCATGTTCAAGGGCGTGCCGGATAGCCAATGCGGCAGCTTTCGTGGGAGCCAGGTGACGCCCTGCTTTCCTGCAGCTGTAGAGGAAGAGGCTCTGCTCTCCCAGGGGGTGACGCAAAGAGCCAGTCATCCTCCGGGCCCACTGCAGACCACCCTTTGCGCCCCTCCCTCCATCGCTTCTTCCCCCTTCCCCCACACCCAAGGGTGGTGTCCCTGCTGCTCCCCCTGGCCAGCCGGCGTGAGGAGGCGCGGCAGCAGGCGGCGGCGCTGCTGGCGGCGGCGGACCCGCTGCTGCGCCGCGCCTACGCGCACGTGCACAACTGCAAGTGCGATGTGGCGGGGGCGGTGCAGGCGCTGGTGCGGGGATGATGGTGAGGAAGCATGGAAGCGCTCACGTACGTACTGCGGCTCGGGTGGATGGGGTTTCCTCGCTTGACTATTAATGGAGGTTACTGTATTGGGGGTTTCTGGGGGAGTGTGATGGAGCGCCCTGTTGGGCAATGGCGGCATCGCTCAGGGGCCGGGTTGTACCAGTACGGTAAGGTTGGCTTACTTGGAACGGCTGCTGGGTCGCCATGCATGGCTGGCCGTGATGCGGTATGGCGGGCTACCTCCGGAGTCACCAGCTGGGGTTGTTAAGAAAGGAGAGACGTTACGTTGACAAGCTGGTGGCGGCGTGTGTTCGCGCCGCTGTGCTTTCCCGGAGGCGATTGAGCTCTATCTGCGGCTGGCGTGTTCCCTCCCACGTCCTCGCGTACCGTGGCGATAGTGTTGAAGGGGAGAGCTCGTTTTGGAGGGGAGAGCCGAAGCGACGGAGGCGTCGTGCTGGTTGTAAGGCTAAGGAAGTTGTGAGGCTAACGATGCCTAACAAGGAAGGGGCCTGAGTTCGCATTCGCGGGGGTCGTTACCCAGTGGATGGGCAGTGGGTGTTCCAATGAATGGGTGGTCAGCTTAGGCTACGGAACGGGCAAACCCTTCGCTGTCGAAACGACATCCAGTTAGCGAACAGTTAGTGAACAGAGTGCTGGGGAGGTGGTGTGGATTGCGGTTGGAAACACCGAAACCTCTGCATGCCAAAGGTCTTCGGGCGTAGGGCCTCGGGAAGCGTAGCGTACATACACGGTACAGTATGTAGGTGTCTAAGTGAGCTACGGCAGCCATCCCGCTTGCAGCCTGAGAGTCACACGCAATGAACAAATCCTGGGTTGGGTCAGAAGGCCCTCAGTCAGAAGGCCCTCATTCGGGCGGTTGATTAAAGCTTCCTGAACGCATGCACTCTTGACTTAGGGCGTGGGGCTGCTAGAGCGACCAATGTCGCAGGGAAGCGATTTCGACCCACGGGTCGGGAAGACGGTGTTCGTTAATAAGGGCTGCGCCTAGACCCATATCTTTTTTCCCAGTCGTAAGGGCCGCAAGTTACCTTGATATTTTTCCTAGCAAAATGCAGATAGCGGCTAGACTAAGGGTGGCAAAGATCATCCCCACGCAATCAATGTACCAGCCGTTTGCCTGGTCAGCACTTTCACAGCAGTCCATTCCACCCAGGCTACCCTTTTACATGCAACAGAACGCTAGAAAAAGGTAACATACAACCTGATCCAACAACCGTTTACTTTTCGAGTGGCACTTCCCATCCTAGCCCCCAAGCGTGGGGTCCAAGGCGACAGCGCGTCAAGCCGCGGAAACGTTTTTGCATACAGCAGCACTTTGCAGGGCGGTTCGCTGAGCTCCTCCATCTTCATCTTGTCCTCTTTCAAAATGTCAGAAATGCAGCAGCAGCCGCCCCAGGAGCAGCAGCCTCAGGAGCCCGCTTATCCGGAGCTTCCTCCGAACACTTCCCCGCAGCAGCCAGGTCTGTCACGCATCTGGCCTCAGCTGCTGCCAGAGCTTACGGAGCACATCATCAGCTTCCTGCCGCCCAACGAGGTCGCCTGCACCGTGCGACTGATCAACAAGGCCGCGGCCGCGCAGTTCCGCGGCCCTGGCTACACCACCGTGAAGCTTTCTTCCCCCGTGCCGCCCCACGCATTCAAAGAGCAATGGGAGCGACCCGGTGCCATGCGTGGGCTGACGCTCCAGCGGCGGCAGGAGCTGCAGATGCTTACAGCCCGCAGCGGCAGCCTGGGAAACCTCCAGGTGGCAGTTGCCGTCACAGGGATTCCTTATATGGAATGGTCCGACGGCTTTCGGTGCTTGACCTCCCTTGCCCAGGCAGCGGCCGAAGCAGGCCAGCTGGAGATGTGCCAGTGGCTGGTTCAGCAGCAGGGCTACCCCTTGCATGAGGTTATTGAAGGGGCAGCTGGCGCCGGGCAGTGGGCCATCTGCGAGTGGGGCTTGGCTGCCGGCTGCTCCTGGAGTGCTGGTGCTGTGTACGCTGCAGCTCGAGGGGGCCATGTGGGCCTGATGGAGTGGCTGCTGCAGCTGCGCCCGGCAGAAGGTGCACGTGTTCAGGCCGCAGAGCTGCTAAGAGCAGCAGCCGTCGGCTGCGAGCTGCACACCCTGCAGCACCTGTACCATGACTGGGCGGGCGAGCAGCAGCAGATGAGCGACCTGGGGAAGCAATCTATAGTGGCAGCTGCGGCCAGGAGCTCCACACCTGACTGGCAGGACAAGCTAGTATGGCTGGAAACGCAGGGTTTCCCTGGTTCAAACCCTTGCTTGGCCGCCGCCTCCTGCCCAGATGCTCTGGATCGATTGAGGTGGCTGCGGGGGCGGGGGTATCCTCTTGACGAAGAAGTTCCTGTTCTGGCAGCAGAACGGGGTAACTTGGAGGTGCTGCAGTACCTGCTGCTGTCTGAGGGTATCGAGCCCGACTCAATATATGCTTTTGCGGCAGCTGTGTGTGGCAGCCTGGGGGCGCTTACCCTGCTGCATGCCCATGGCTGCCCAATGGATGTTGACACAGTCCGGGCTGCAGCCGAGGGCGGGCACCTGCAAGTGGTGGTCTGGCTGGTGGAGACGCTGGGAGCAGCACTGCAGCTGGGTGCAGAGGTGTTCAGCGGTGCTGCCGAGTCAGGCAACCTGGAGCTGCTGAGGTGGCTGCGTGAGAGGGGCTGCCCCTGGGATGCCGATGCCATTGCAGGAGCTGCGAGGTCAGGCTGTGACGAGGCACTGGCGTGGCTGGTGGAGCAGGGCTGCCCCTTGCCGGTGAGTGTCGTGCAGGAAGATAGATGTCTAACTAGGGAGGTGTAACTTGCTGGCGTCGTTTGACTTCTTAATCCGTTTGGGTAGATGTCCGCTTGCTCACATTGTGGTGAAGGGGCATGCTGAACAGCTGAGGATGAAGCCCCATGGTACCGTGAGTCGTTTGCCTAAGCCCATTTCATTCCATGCAAGTTCCCAGTGCCTTGCTGCCTGGTGTTGTGCAGCCCTACCAACCTACCTAGAATGCGTGTGACCCACATCCAGGATGATGGTCGCCCATACGTGGAAGCTATACGCAACAACGACCTGGCTACCCTGGCCTGCCTGAAGCGACTGGGTTGCCCCTGGGGCCCACCTGGACGCCTCCTCAAGGACTACAGCCGTCCTTGCATTGCGGTGCTGAGCTGGCTGCTGGCTGCAGGTTATCCCATGACAGCGGAGGCGGCGCTGGATGAATTGCAGCGGATAACTGAGTCGTATGGTGCAGATGACCTCGGTGTAAGGCGGCTGTGGGGGTGGATGCAGGAGAACCTGGGCCTGCAGCCGCCCCAGCAGCGCCCCTGATGATAAGGTGGCTGGGGAGGCAAGGAAGGGGCGGTGGCAAGTGCTGAGCGCTGTGAGGGTACGGTGAACTCATATGTCCGTACTGCTGCCAGTCGTACATGCAAGAGGGTTGCAGGTGTAGATGGGGAAGGGGGCAAGGGGGCTATCTGTTGCATCAGGCCTTGGTGCAGTGAAAAGGGTTCGCCTTGACAAGGGCAAGGTGTACAAAGCCCTGCTGTTGTAGGCTTTGGAGGCCAAAAGCTTGACCACGGTTGGTTACTAGCTGTGTACATGAGCGGTGTGCACGTCTATACGCTGCTTTGACATTGTGTCCGGTTTTCTCTATCCATTATAAGATGGAGGATATACAGTAGCTTGGCAGGCATGCATGAGCACGCAATGTTCACAGGTGTGTGCCATTGCTGGTCTGGCTGTGTGCTGGAGTGGTGGATTCTACATGATATAGACTACACGTGCTAGTAGTGGATTCCGTGCAGGCTAGTGCCAGGCTGGGCGCAGGGTTGGTTGAGGGGTCTGTTGGGGGCCATGGTGGTTTGTGGTTAAGAACGCCATGCAGCATCAGCACGTCCAGGATTCCCCCGGTGCAGGATGTGTGGCGTGCAAGTCACGGGTACTGCTGCTGCTGTGGCTGCTCCTAACCAACACGCCACCGGAAGTAGTGGGTGTTACAGTCGCTACTATTGCTGCTGCTGCTCTGGTCAGGCCCGTTGGTGCTGTTTTTGAAGTCCGGCAGAGTCACGATCAAGGAAGGCACATCCGCTGATAGCATTGCCATTGTTGTTTGTTGGTTGGTTGGTTGGTGGTGTTAATAGGATAGTCTGGCTTCTCTGGCTCAGGACTGATGACTCGAAGAAAACACTCTGGGCTGACTTGAAGGAAACGCCATCCATCTCTAGGCAGTGTAGTGATGAACATGCAACTCTTGCGTGATGTCCCAGAATGCTACCTTACTGGCCCTAGCCACGGCAGGTCTCCATTTGTCCAGTCGCTCACCTGCACTCGGGTTTCTCCCTTGTGTTTACCAGCAGCCGGGTTAGGTCAGCCTGGTTACAGAAGGGAAAGGCCGGCTGTATGCACAATCCATGCATGTTTGTAGGGCAGCCGCACACAGCAGCCATCCCTCTTGCAGCCCCCTGCGACTGCTGCTGGCCCGCCTGCCACAGCACACTGCTGGAGCCCCTCCGCTCCACGCCCGCCGGTCCACCAACCTCGGTGGACGTCCAAAGCCAGTGTTGAGGTGTGAACAATGACAACGTCCCGAATGGCTTATGGCTTCTCCGCCCCACACACAGTTCCCCACAGATGTCAGCACATGTGTCGGGGCTGCCCCGCCCCCATGACCTACTGCTCCTTGTCCTGGCACGGCAGGGACACCCAAGTCGTGACACCTGTGTGTGTGGAGTGACTGCATGACGACGACGTGATGATACAGCGGGCACTGTGAGCGGGGTGCAAGGGGAGCAAGGGGACCAGCAGGGCGGGCAGGGCCCCAACGGCAACGGCCTATTTAGCTGCTCTGAACCTGGTTGGACTGTAGACGTCGCTTGGGTAAAATGCTCGGTGTAGTTAGGCAAGGCCTCGCGGCTCCTTAGTCCGGACCGCTTTTTCGAGGGTTGAGTGGGTTGGCCGCGCTAAGACGCTGAGACCCACGCTTGAGCATAATTTGACATGATGCTGCTGTTTTCTGTTCCTCTGGCACGCGCCACACCAGGTTACTTGTGAGGCTCGTTCGTTTACTTGCAGCTTTCGTTACAACAAATGACTTGATACCTATTCTAGTCGCCTTGATACGTTCTTGATGCTAGCTGCCTACCCTACTAAGCTTGCAGAATGCAGCGAACCCTAAGGCGTGTTTGCCTGACGAAGCCGCTCGTGTGTTTCGGAGCATGAGCCAAGTAGGACGCGACGTGAAGAAGCAGGAAACGCAGTCCTGAGCAATCCATGTTTTAGCCATGTTTTAGCCCAGTGTCGATTCACTTCTTTGGTTCTCTACTCACCAACCAACTCTCCTTGCTGTCTCACTTGCTGTGTCCAGCTAATCCATCACAGAACAGCGCAGGAGCGATGTCAGAGAAGCACCAGACCAATCTGTTCTCGCGCTACGAGCAGCAGCTGCTGTCCGGCGACACGTCCAGGCCGAGCGGTAAGGAAGTTCGCACCGCGAAGACGACCCGTGCGCGGCAGTTGGCCACGTAGGAGCTGCCGCCCTTCCCCCCTTTACCCCAATCGTCGGATGGACGAAGCAGAAGCGAGAATAAACAAGTCTGACCGCGTGCATCTGCCTCTCTCCCTGTCCCTGCGACCCTGCCCCCACTGCACTTGTGTTGTGGTTTCCTGCGGTTGGGTCCTGTCTTGATCTTTGTCCCCCTCCCTCCACTGGTTTGGTCTAATCTGACCGCCCACTGCAGTCATCCCCGCGGTGGTGATCACGGGCTTCCTGGGCAGCGGCAAGACCACCCTGGTGCAGCACATCCTCAGGAACAGGTGGCTCGGGGGCGGAGCGGGACAAGGGGCAGGCCGGACAGGGGCCCCTGTGCACCCCAGCCCCGCCGGGGGAGTACTGTGTGTGTTGAGGAAGCTGTGGCGGCGAGTCGGAGCGTACTGTGCTGTGATTGCGGGAAGTGTGCGCGGGTGTGCATGGCGGCGGGGCTGGGGGCGACACGGACCCGCGGGTCGGAATGCACCACGTGAGCATACACTGTGCTGACGTCTCTTTGCCACTTTCTGCTCTGCCTGCCCTGCCCTTGCCATTGCCTAGCTTTATAAACCTTATGACCATTCCTGGCTCCTCCTCCTCCTGTCCCTCCTCCTCCTCCTGCTGTCCCTCCTCCTCCTCCTGCTGCTCCTCCTCCTCCCCTCCTGCCCACCCAGGGGCTCCCTGCGCATTGCGGTGCTGGTGAACGAGGTGGGGCACATCGATGTGGACTCGCAGCTGCTCAACGCCAAGCAGGTGAGGGAGGGAGTAGCGGCCCGCAGCAGTTGCTCAAGCGGCGGTGAAGGGTCGGAGTTGGGCTGGATGGGCCTCCTGTCCGCACGCCTAGTCTGCCCTTAGCCGACTAACCCCTACCCTTATCGGAGTAGGGGTAGAGTTTCTCCTGCTCTTATCCCCTCTGGCCCCGCCTGTGCTTCGGCCTGCCGCCACCGCTGCTCCCGCTGCCGCTGCCGCTGCCGCCTCTGCAGGGTAACGCGGCTCTGGGTATGCCCGCCTCCGACCTGTCTGGCGGCTGCGTGTGCTGCTCGCGGTGGGAGGACCTGCAGGCGGCGCTGAGGCGGCTGAGGGAGCCGGGGGCGGCAGGGGGGGCAGCAGGGGGGGCAGCAGCAGCAGCCGGCCCGCCCTGCGACTACTTGCTGGTGGAGGTGGGTGGGGGCGGCACACCCTGGCGGCTCCCAGTTGCCGTACGAACAGCCATGCAGCCGTGTTGCACGACACCCAAAACACACAGCCTACGGCCCTCCCCCTCCACCCCCAGACCTCCGGCGCTGCCGACGCGGGCCGACGCGCTGGTGGCTGGCGGCTTCCGGCTGAATGCGGTGGTGGCGGTGGTGGATGCGGAGGCGGGGCGGGAGGCGCTGCAGCTGCCGGTGGCGAGGGCGCAGGTGGGGGGGGGCGCGCAGGTGGTCAGCCAAACGGTTCTTGCGTTCCCTCTTAACCCTCCTCTCCCTTCCTCCCCTCGCCTCCCTCCCCCCCCCCCAGGTGTGCTGTGCGGATGTGGTGGTGCTCAACAAGTGCGACCTGCTGGCCCCGGGAGCTGGCGGGGGAGCTGGCGGGGGAGGGGGAGGGGGTCTGGGAGCGCTGTCGGAGCTGGAGGATGCGCTGAGTGAGATGGCGCCCGGGGTGCGGCTGCTGAGGGCGCGGTTCGGAGAGGTGAGGGAAGGGGGGGGGGGTGGGGGGCGCGGTTCGGAGAGGTGAGAGGAGGGTGGGGGGAAAGGTGAGGGGAGCCGCACCCGCACGTCGCGCCTGGGTCCCCCCCAGAGTGCCAGCAGCCTGCCACCTGCTCCCACTACACCGGCAACGGCAACCCTACCCCGCCCCACCGCCCCCCACCCACTCCCCCACCGCTCCCAGGTCCCACTGACTGCCGTACTCGATGTGGAGCCCGTCGGTGCGGAGGAGCAGGAGGCGGCGGGGGGAAGGGCCCCGCAGCAGCAGTACGGCAGTGGGGGCGGTGGGGCTACGGGGGGTACGGCACCTGACAGCAGCGGTGGTGGTGGCGGGGGTGCAGGGGGGGGAGGAGGAGGAGGAGGTGGAGGTGGTGGTGGCGGTCAGGGCTTCATGTCTCACGAGTCGCTTCCCTCCGCGGCGGCTAGCGGCGGGCGGGGAGGCTACCGACTGAGGGCAGGTGAGGTGGCGGGGAGTGGGGATGGGTCTGAGGCAGGCGGTGGGGCCCTCCTCCAGCGGCCTTCCTCCTGATGGGCCGTGATGGAAGCCGAATAGCCGCGCAGCACCCAACACCGACACCGGCGCAGGCACGTACTCACCGCACCTTATGACACGTCGCACCACCCGCCCTCACCCGCCCTCGCCCTCCCCTGCCCTGCCCCCCCCCCACATGGACAGGGCCGCTCACCGGGGATGGTGCGGTCACAGGCGCCTCCCGCCACACCCAGCGCCGCACAGCTACCTCACCCGCATCTACAGCAGCAGCCCCAGACCTAGTCCCCCCTAGCGCCTCCCCACACACACCCCCGCACCAGCCGCACCAGCATCACTACGAGGCCTCCTCGCACCCGCACCCTCACCCGCACTCGCACCCTCACCCTCACCCGCACCCGCACCCGCACGCCCACCTGCACAGCGGCTTCCACACGCAGTCCCTGGCGGTGGAGGGCCGACCCGTGGGTCTGCGGAGCTTTGCGGATTGGGTGCTGAAGTGGCTGGTGCGGGAGCCAGGTAGCCGAGGTAGGCGAGGGAGGGGGGGGGAGGCGCTGAACAGGGTTACCGTTATGGTGACCAACGGACCGGACCCGGACGTGTAGGTTCCCTGCACCGCTCGGCCCCCGCCTACCCGCCTACACCCCGCACCCTACACCCCGCCACACTCCACCCCTCCCACCTCCGCACCCTCCATCCCGCTCGCAGCCCTGCTCCGCAGCAAGGGCGTGCTGTGGGTGTCCGAGTGCCGCTCGCGACGCTTCACCTTCCACCTCAGCGGCCGGCGCCGAGTGGAGTGCAGTCTGGAGGGTCCCTGGGAGGGCCCGCCCCGCAGCTGCCTGGTGCTCATAGGCAGCGAGGAGGCGGCCGTACGGAGACTGATGCGCACGTTTGAGAGGGAGGTGCTACAGCAGCAGCAGCGGGGGGGCGTGCTAGGGGTGGCGGGGGGCGAGGCGGCGGGAGCGGGAGGAGAAGGGGAGGAGGAGGAGGCCGGGGATGTGGGGGCAGAGGAGGGGGGAGACGCGCTTCATGCGGTGCGCAGAGAAACGGAGGTAGCGGGTGAGGGCGGGACGGGGGCAGAGGGAGCGCCAGCCGAGGCGGGAAGCGGTGCGATTGAGGAGGAGGCGGATGTGGTAGGGGAGGTGGCGGCGATGATCGCTGATGGCAACGAGAGGTTGGAGGTGTTGGGTGTGTGGGGCAACAGCGGGGAGGAGGTGTCGGGGGCGCTAGGCGGCAGCAGCAGCAGCAGCAGTACCGGAGGAAGCAGCAGCGGCATTCTGCAGTTCACGACCCGTGGGTCAGTGCTGCACGGCATCAACGCGGAGGAACTCAATGCGAAGCTGCTGCGTCGCGCCAATGCGAGTGGGCGGCTGCTTCTGGCGGGCGTTACGTCGCCGGGACACGTCAGTGCGGTAACCAACACCCAGTCGAGGGACAGGTGAGAGGCCGGGGAGAGGGGGGCGTGGGGGCCGGTAGGAGGGGCAGGGTGAGGGCGAGAATGCGCATGCATGGGCGGGCCTTGACCACCTCCTGTGCTCCACCCAAGTACGGATCCCGAGCTGCTGCCACCCGCATGTTCAAGGGCGTGCCGGATAGCCAATGCGGCAGCTTGCGTGGGAGCTGGGTGACGTCCTGCTCTCCTGCAGCTGTAGAGGAAGAGGCTCTGCTCTCCCAGGGGGTGACGCAAAGAGCCAGTCATCCTCCGGGCGCACGTGGCCCAAAGCTTCCCACCACTAGCACCACTCCCTCTATCTTGTCCCCCCTCTCCCCCCTACCATTGCTTTGCCCTAACCTGTGGCCCCCTAAAACCCCCCCCCGCTCTCCCTCGCCCACCCAAGGGTGGTGTCCCTGCTGCTCCCCCTGGCCAGCCGGCGTGAGGAGGCGCGGCAGCAGGCGGCGGCGCTGCTGGCGGCGGCGGACCCGCTGCTGCGCCGCGCCTACGCGCACGTGCACAACTGCAAGTGCGATGTGGCGGGGGCGGTGCAGGCGCTGGTGCGGGGATGATGGTGAGGAAGCATGGAAGCGCTCGTATGTACTGCGGCTCGGGTGGATGGGGTTTCCCCGCTAGCATGCGGGGTTATTGGGGGTTATGAAGGTGGTGTAACAGGGGTGTGATGGATCGTCCTTCGGGGCAATGGAGGCGTCGCTCGGGGGACGGGTTGTACGAGTAAAGTTGGCTTACGTGGAACTGCTGCTGGGTCGCCATGCATGGCGGGTCGTGGTTGTGGCCTGGTGTGGTTGCCTACCGGTACCTCCGGAGTCACCAACTAGGGTTGTTACTTGTTAGGAGAGACGTTACGTTGGCAAGCTGGTGGCGGCGTGTGTTCGCGCCGGTGTGCTTTCCCGGAGGCGTTTGAGCTCTATCTGCAGCACCTGCCCCATCCGTTCGCTCCCACGTCCTAGCGTACCGTGGCCATAGTGCTGAGAGGGGAGGAGCTCGTTTTGCTTGGGGCAGAAAGCTGAAGCGCACGAGGCCCTGAGCTTGTCGCGAGGCTATCGAAACTGTGAGGCTAACGAGGCCTTACGAGGCCTCGTGACGAAACATCCAGCGGGGTTAGTAGTTATAAGGATGGCGGGGCATGAGTGTTGCAGGAGTGTTCGCGCGGGTCGTTACCCAGCCAGTGGATGGGCGATGGGTGTTCGCGTGGTCCAACGAATGGGTGGTCAACTTAGGCTACAGAACGGGCAAACCCTTCGCTGTCGAAACGATATCCAGTTAGCGAACAGTTAGCGAGCAGAGTGCTGGGAGGTGATGTGGCTTGCGGTTGGAAATGCCAAAACCTCTGCATGCCAAAGGTCTTCGGGGGTAGGGCCTCGGGAAGGGTATAGGGTACACGGTACAGTATGTAGGGGTCATAGTGAGCTACGGCAGTCATGCTACTAATCAGGCTAAAACAATAAAGAGTGATGAAGCATGCAGAGGTTATGCACGAAACGTCCTGCGAGAAATGTGGGCTAGTTCTGGTGCTTCCAAAAGGTGACGAGCAAACGTTTGGCCACTTCATCTTAGGATAGTTCTAGTACAGCGTAAGTGTGCGTACTGTGAACTTAGCTTTAACTCCTACTTGTCGGGATTTACGCTTTATTGTACTGATTGCGGCTTTGAGCTCGGGAACTCAAGTGAGAAGAAACTACCCACTGGCTTCCGCACCGGCATTGATGAGAGCAGTGGTTAAAGATAACAAACCGTGACTGAAATATGCTAGTTTGGTCCCGGTTCTCGCCAAGTTGCTCGGCAATGGGCGGCCGCGTCTCCCCGTCTACCTGTCGTAGTGCAACGAGCAGGACGATCGAACAACGGCGACCCTGACGTCCAGTCGGGGCACCGTGTGTTACTCGCAGTCAGTTACATATTTAAGTTCAAGATATATTGTACAGTACATCTACGCTGCACGAACGCAGAACGAATATTAAGCGCCCATACCCTTTTCGTAGGTGTCCGGTTACGTCGGGCTCCAGATATTTACCTTAGCAAGATACCTCATACTGAACTTCCGCCTACATACATAAATCATAGGCCTCCCTTCCGTTGCACTCAAATAGGGAAGCGTTTCACTACTTACGTCTGTCGCGAAGTCGCTGCCGGTCAGGCCGTTTAGTATAACTCTTAATAAGAACCTATACAGTTGCCTTCACACTTATACATAGATCACGCCCGCAAGGCTCCATTGCGCGGCCTAGCTAGCTGGCTGCGGTTGGTCGCAACAGGACACAAACAACAGCCAGTTTCCCAGTAACCCGACCGAATTCCGTCCTCTTCAAACGTGAACATAAGCTTTCTCTTCCAAGCCAGGCAAAGGCTGCGCTGCTGTAATGTCCTCGAGCGAGGAAGCGCAGCAGCGTAGGCCTGCTGCCAAGCGGCTGCGACAAGTGCTTCGTTGTCTCTGCCTGGGCGGCTGCGGAGCTCCGCGAGATATTGCCCGAGCGCACAGAACCTTACCTGAAGATGATGATCCGGACGCAAGCATTCAGGTAGGGGCACCCTGGGATGAGCCTGGGCTTTGCGTAGTGTGGCGCTTGGCTTCAGGCCTCCAGGCCTGGACGGTCCTGCTTCCCTGGTCCTCCTCACCCGGAATACACAAGTCCGCTTCGGCTGAGCCGGTCCATCTTAGTTAGATACTTCCGCCAGTGTTGCCAGGTCGTATTGTCGTATACAGTAACGCTCGTGACTACACACAAAGATCACACGTGACCACTCACCCTCGCCCTCTCCTGCGCTTCCGTACACCCTCCCACACCAGGCTATTGACAGCAGAGCACGCGGCTCCAGCGAGTCGACACCCGCGCCGTCGTCCGTCTGCGTCGCAGCGCACGTCACCCTCACTCCGCCAGCCGGCAGCAGCAGCGGCAGCAGCGCCCAGCCCTTCCGACCCCGTGGCGGCAAGCAGGGCAGCAGCAGCCGCCTCGGCCCCGACGCCAAAACCTTCCTCCTCAACAGCGACGCCCCCTCGGCCGGCAGCAGCCCCGCCAGCAAGCCCGCAGCCCCCTCCCCCTCATGGCGTGCCACCCGCCCCTGCCGCTTCCGCTGCGGGCGCTGCCCGGCATGTCTGGAAGCCGCGCCGCCAGCCAGCGCTGGTGGTGCCAAGTCCCCGGACAGCAGTGCCGCGGTGGCCCATGGGTCAGCTGGCTCCTGCCCAGGTCCCTCTCACCCCAAGCGAGGTGCAGCCAACACCAACAGCGATGACACGGACACCGCCACCGCCACCTCCTCCGGCGCCTCCAACAGCACCGCCCCTCCCGGCACCTCCTCATCTGCCGCTGGTGCTGCTGCTGCTGCTGGCGCCCCCCTAGCTCCCTCACTCAGCGTGGGCGCTCCCTGCCACGCCGCCCTCTCACCACCCCGTCCATCCTCCACCCCGCCCGCCAACCCTCCTCCCCTCTCTGGTCGCCGCAGCGCCGACTACCTCGTTCCCCGCTGGCCGCCCTCTCGGCAGCGCTCCCGCCGCCTCACCGCCACAGGCCGTCACAGCCTGGGCGAGGAACGCACCTCAAACAGCAGCCCCAGCACCGCCGGTGGCCTCCGGATCGCCGCGGCTTTCTCCGCCGCCACCGCCGCCGCTGCTGCTGCCGCCGCCGCCGCCAGCAATCGGCCCTCCGGCACGCACCTCATCTTCATGACGCCGCGAGACCTGATGGCTACGGCAGGCGGCGGGCGGGGCACGGGTACGGATGTGGATGGGGAGGAGCTATCCACGGTCAACTCGTTGATCAGCACGGGGGCGTTCCAGTTGCCGCTGCTGGGCACAAGGCCTAGCGCACTGGGGCCGGATGAGGGCGGGCTGGACTTTGCGAGTTTGATGAAGGGAGCCGGGTGGCGAGGGGGAGGAGGTGGTGGCGGTGGGGGTGTGGGATGCGGGTTAGGAGCGGAGGGCGGGCAGTTGGGGATGATGATGGAGGGTGCAGGGTGCTGTTCGGAAGTGGGGATGGAGAGCGGGATGGCGGTGTCCGGAGAGGACGCAACCAGTGGCAGGTGCGTGGGGGGTGGTGATGGGGTTAGGGGGTTAGGGCTGGGGGTGAATGTTTAGGGGGATTTAGAGCGGGCGACTGCGGCGCTGGACTGTGAACTGCGCATGCACATGCAGTTGTGAGGGTGTGAAGCCACCGGGAATGACCTCCACCTTGTACCCATCTACCTGCAGTACTTTTACTCTATATTGTATCTAACTCCTAACTACCAACTGTCAACCGCAGGGGCGTCACAACCAGTAGCTTCGGTTACGGCGTCGCCAGCAACGACATGTACGGCAGCCTGAGAGTCACCCTGGTCGACAGCAGCAACCCAGCAGCTGCCTCCGTGTACCCGGCCTCAGTGACCCGTGGGTCACTTCAGAGCAGCCAACAACGCTGTCTGAGCAGCTCCGGTTGCGACTCCCCTGGGGTGCCGTCGCCGCCTGCATGCGACTCCTTTCTTGGTTCCGGAGCTCAGGGCTGCGTGGATGGCTCGGGCGTGACGTCACCGGCAGGCGCGTCCTCCCCCTCTCCCTCCGCTGCTGCTGCTGCTGTTTCGCCCTTCGCTGCTCGCTTCCGAAACAGCTTCAGCCGTATTCGATCGCTGAGCAGAAGGTGCGGGTGCGTGTTTGGCTGTGCGTCTGCTGCTGAATGCGACCTCGGCTGTTATGTTTATGAGGAACTGCGAAGGCTTACATGCCATCTGAAAAGGAAAGGGATGACACCAGATGTGCACTTTTGCGTACCTTACTGTGCTCATGCCGCTGAACCACGGTACGTTTGCATGTGCCCGCGCCGCCCACCGTCCTCCCTCTCGCTGCCCCTCCCCTTTCCCACAGGGCCCAGCGCTCCTCGCTGTCTCACGTGCCCGAGGAGGACTCCCGCTGCCCCTCCGCCACCGCCCGCACCGCCGTCACCACCACCATGCAGCCGCCCGGACACGGCAGCGCGCTTGCATCCCTGGACCCGCACCCCTCTGTGGATCAAGCGGAGGAGGAGGCCTCGAGCGACACACGAGATGACGGCAGCGACGAGGGCGGCAGCGCTAGCGAGGATGATTACGTTGATGAGGAAGAAGACAAGGGTAAACTGCAGCAACAGGAGGCCGATCCTGCCGCTGCCGCTGCCGCTGCCCCTGCTGCTGCTACCGTCGGCGCGGATGAGACCGATGTGACGCTGCAGCGGCTGCAGATGGCGCCATGCGGGGGCGGTCTGGATGCGACCAGCTTGAGGGAAGGGGACGAGTCGCCTCCTGCAGCCACTGCCGCTGCTGCCACTGGAAGCCCTGCAAGCCTCGCTGCCGCCAGCCCTGCTGCTGCTGCTGCAGCTGCTGCCGCCTCCCTCTTCTTCCAGTCTACTCCGATGGCTGCGGCGCCTGACACGGCTCCCTCGCTGCCTGCTCAACAGCAGCATGCACCAGCTGTCCCAGCTGCTGACACCTCGGACCATATCAAGCCGCCCATCGTGGCCGCCACCGCCACCGCAATGACACCACCACCAGCACCAACACCACCAGCACCAACACCACCAGCACCACCAGCATCTCCACATGGCGACACGAGCAGCGATGTAACGCCGCCTGCTGGGTTGAAGCGACTCTCACCTCCGCCAAGCGTGCTAATTCCCAACAACCACGCAACCGAAGACCTGGGAACGGTCGTGATGCTGCCATGGGCTGCATCCGCCGTCGCCCCCGTCTCTTCCCCGCCCGCCTCCCACCGCCCATCGGACTGTTGCACAGCGGTGGCTTCCCACGTTACGGCCCCTGTCGTGGCTGCTGCTGTTGCTGCTGATACTATTGAAGTTGAGGTTGAGGCTGAGGGGGTGTGCGAGGAGGAGGATGTCGCAGTGCTGGTACTGAAGGGCAGCAGCAGCAGCCTTCCTCCTGCTCTTGCTGCTCCTCTTGCCATCGTGCCTGCAGCAGGCAAGGAGGCCGCGCAACCTGCAATAGCAGCAGCAGCAGCCCCACCACCGCCAATACCGCCGCTTCGAGGTGGCATCACAGGAAAGGCTGAGCTGGCTCTAGACGGGCTGCGTCGCTCCCTCATGCGAAACAGGAGTACAGGCTGCGCGGGGCCGCAACCGGGCGGCGCACTGCTGCAGCTGCCTCCCACAGGTCGCGCCGCGGGGGGCAGCTTGAGCCGCCTGGGCAGCAGCACCAACCAGCACCCGCTGCCTCTGCTGGCAGCTCAGTCTCCCCGAACGGGAGGAGGCCTCAGCATCAGTGGCGCATGCCAGGAAGGTGAACCGTCGCGGGGGCCAGGGGTCTACGCGCCTCGCCCCGCCGCTCCGTCGGTGGCGGGAGGGTGCAGCTCCCTGCACGGAATGTCCCATGGGTCGTCGTTTCCTCAGCTCTCGCGTGCGGCCTTTCCCACGTTTTCCTACGAGCCGGAGTCGCCCGGATTCCTGCATGGTAGCGGCTTCGCGGCGCTTACCGGGCAGTTGCAGAGCTGTGCGGGCAGCAACACATCGCTATCATGCCAGCTGAACCCCGCCATGCAGGTACGGCAGGATGTACGGCATCCTTGCTTGGGGTGTTGTTGTTGGCGATGCGAACCTGCATGGATGGGATGGACATCCATGGAGAGATGCATGGTTGTGTGTAAGCCAGGAAGGCACCCGTTTGTGGCATCCCGTCGTGACTGAAAACCTCTTTTGTTACACCAGGTGACACCCTTTCTTTCTCGTGCCCTGCTGCAGGTGGCTCGGCCCTCGGAGGTGGTGCTGCAGACGTGCATCGGCAGGGGCAGCATGGGCAGTGTGTTCAAGGGCACCTGGCGGGGGGAGGCGGTGGCCGTCAAGGTACTCAAGCACTCCGCGACAGGGCCGGACGAAGAACAGGTGAGAGCGGGCGGGTGACCCGTGGGTCGCGCAGAACAGCAGCGAAGTGGTACACAGAACAGCAGCGCGGGGTACACTCGGCAAGCTAACCACTCCATCAACTTCCTGCCTGATGTCCTGTTCGGTATCAGGGCACATGCCCGTATCATTCCTCTCTACCCCTGCTGGTTGCTGCCCACCCACCGTGCCATCACACCATGCCGACACAGGCGAAGCGGATCGAGCAGGAGGCGGCTCTGGGCATCTGCCTGGACCACCCAAACATCGTGGCCACCTACGCGGCCTTCACCACCGTATCCGCAGTCCCCGGACCCCAGCTCCCAACCTCCCGACAAGCCTCCATGCACAGCCAAGGGCAGCTGCACATTCCCTGTAGCCGTACCACTCCCTTCGGCTTCTCGCCCGGGCTCAGTGCTGCACCTCTCATCCAAGTGGAGCAGCTGGACCTGACCCACGGGTCACAAGCGGACACCCGCGCCTCCGCCTTCAACAACACCGGCGGCAGCACGAGCTTCAGTCGCGCCCCCTCAACCTTCAGCCGCTGGTCCCCGGGAGTCTTCCCGGACGAACCCCTTCCGGGCTCCCCCATCAGTCCCCGAGGCACTGCCATCGCTGCTGCTGCTGCTATGTCCGGCTGGCCCACTGCTGCCGCTGCTGCTGCTGCTGCCGTACCTCCTCCTCCTCACCCCGTCGCCGCCACCACTGGCAGCAGCCGCTGCGGCAGCTTCGCCTCCATTGCCGCCGGCCACTCCTACAGCAGCATCAACCTCCACATGAGCTACATGGCCAACAACGGCGGCTTTGGCGGGCCCTACGCGCCGCCCATCAGCCCCCGTGGCGCCGCCGCCTCCGGCTGCGGTTTCGGGGCGGCTGCGGCCGGGAGCATGAGCGGCTACTCGCTGTGCGGTGGTGGTGGTGGCGCTGCTGCCGGGCCTGCGGAGTGCAAGACGTACATTGTGATGGAGCTGTGTCCCTGCGGCTCGCTGCGGGCTGCGCTGGACGCCAAGCGGCTGCATGACAAGCGGGATGCACCCAAGCTGCATGAGGTGGGTGGGGTTGGGGGGCCGGTATGCGGGGGGCGTGCGGTAGGTCAGGATGTGCGCCCCGTGTGCGACGCTGCGTAACCTACTCAGCAGCCACACCCGCATGGTGCATCACCTTATCTGATATCGGTAGAGTAACCCTTTTCCTTCCCTGTCGTGCAATCCTCCATGCATGCAACACCCCACCCCCTACATGCACGTACCAACCTCCAGCCCCCCCACCTGCCCCCCCCCTTCCACCTGCAGGTGCTGCCGCTGGCGTGGGAGGTCTCCTGCGCGCTGCAGTACCTGCACGCCAACGGAGTGGTGCACGGCGACCTCAAGGCCGCAAACGTCATGCTGGCGGAGGCCCCGCCGCCGCCCGCGGCAGCAGCAGCAGCAGTGGGATCTGGAGGTGGCGGGGGTGGGGGCTCACAAGCGGGGGCTGCGGGTGTGGGGGCGGGAGGGAGTGTGGGCGGAGGCGGAGGCGGGGGAGCGTTGACGCCTCGAGGCAGCATGTCCAAGCGCCGACCTTCGTACACCGCCAAGGTGGGTTTGTACACGTTTCGTAACGCATGGTGGGGTGGGAGGTGTGGTGGGATGGAGGTAGGAGTTAGGTACCGTGGAGCAACCCGGCTGTACGGGGGCACAGGGCGGAAAGCGTACGGTACACTGCATCCCCCACCCATGTTGCGATACGCACTGGCCAGCTTTCGGAACACACAGGCTCCCTTACGCACCTCACCGCCACGTCACCAGGTTGCCGACTTCAGCAACTCATACCAGGTGGAGCTCACCCTGCGGCGCATGCGCCAGGCAGCGGGGGCGGAGGGACCCGCGGCAGCGGCAGCGATAACACCAGCAGGGGGGTCCCCTGCCGCCAGCGGTGCCTGCGCCGTGCCTCCGCCCCCCGCATGCGACGAGCTGGTGTCTCCCTCCTACGCGGCTCCTGAGCTGTTTGAGGAGGGGGCGCGGCCCACCTTCCAGTCGGATATGTACTCCCTAGGTGTGCAGGGTGGCTTGGGAAGGCCTTGGGAAGGCTTGGGAAGGCTTGAGAGGGGCTTGGGAAGGGCTTGGGAAGGCTTGAGAGGGGCTTGGGAAGGCTTGGGAAGGCTTGGGAAGGCCTTGGGAAGGCTTGGGAAGGCTTGAGAGGGGCTTGGGAAGAGCTTGGGAAGGCTTGAGAGGGGCTTGGGAAGGCTTGGGAAGGCCTTGGGAAGGCCTTGGGAAGGCTTGGGAAGGCTCGGGAATGGCTTCGGAGGGCTTGGGAAGGCCTGGGAGGGGCTTGGGCGGCTGGCTTGGGGCCAGGCTTGGGGCCTTGGACAGCTATGTGTGATTACCGGTACTGCGGTGTTGAGACAGCGTCATGAACGACAATTCGTTCCCCCTCCCCTCATTCGGCTCCAGGTGTGGTGCTGTGGGAGCTGTACGGCCGCAAGACACCGTACGACAAACACAAGAACCTGGGGGAGGTGATGCGCTCCAAACGCGCCGTTCCCACCGAGCAGGTGCTGCCCATCCCGGACACCTGGCCGCGGGAGTACGGCAACCTCTGCCGCCGCTGCTGGCTGCCTCCGGGGGAGCGTCCGCCGCTAGAAGAGGTGGTTACGACGCTCGTACTGCTCTGCCGTACACACCTTCCGCACGTGCAGCTTTGCTACCCAACCGCTCTTACCGCGGAGCAGGCGGCGGAGGTAATGAAGGAAGATGAAGAGGCGGCAGCGGCGGCGGCGGCGGCGGTGACGTTTTCAGGGTTGCTTCCGACGGTGGGAATGCCCGGGGCGGTGCGGGCGGATGGGGAGATGCTGTTGCATCCTGGTTTCGGAGGGGGAGCGCCAGTAGAGCGGCACCTGCACGAGCAGCACGACGTGCAGGATGAGGCGGCGGCGGCGCTGCTGGCGGAGCTAGAGTCCGGGAGGGCGGCCCTCCAGCCGCCGCTAGCTGCCACTGATGGTTGCAACGGCGCCGCTGCCGCTGCCGCCTCCACCGCAGCTGGCGGGCTGATGCCCTGCGGCGGCGTGCGGACGTCGGCCTCCAACACTAGCTGCTCCGCCCTTCTGACTCAGCAGCCCGTGACTCAGCAGCCCATGACGCTAACGGCGGCGGCGACACCCGCGTCGCCCGCCTCCTCCTCCCGGCTTGCGGCGCCCATGCTGCTGCACCCGCCCGGCTTCGACTTCCCCTCCTCCGGCGCCATCCCGCCCCAGCCTGGCTCCCTACCACTACCTCCCATGCCGCTCCCGCTGACCTCCGCCAGACCTCCCACGCTGGCCTCCATGCGTGCAGCCAGGTCTGCCCGTGAGCCCCACACCAGCAGCAGCTTCGCAGGAGAGTCCGCCGGGTTACTTCCGCCACCCTCCCCCTCCCCCTCCCCCTCACCCTTACCGCGCCCACCACCAACCAACCATACACACTCGCTCTCCGACGGTCCCAGCCCGACAAGAGTCCCTCCTGCTTCCGCTGCTGCTTCCGCTGCCTCCCCGCGTTTCTACGAGCGAGGCAGTGCTTCCCTAGGCGCCGTCTCCCACTGCGGTCTGCTGACGCCTCCGGGCACGCTGTCCCCAGCTCAGACCGGCACCCAGCGGACAGGCGCAGCTGCCAGCTACACCACGCTGAACACATGCATCGGCACCAGCACCACCACCCTCATCTCCATGCCGCCGAGCGCCGGGAACTCGCCATCTCGCTCGCTGCAGGGCAGCTACCGCTGCTTGTACGACGAGGATTCCGCTGCCCTTGTGATGGGTCCGGAGCGGCAGCTGGGAGCCTCGCAGCAGCTGGGGGAGCAGCAGCTGGGGCAGCAGCAGGGGCAGGGGCAGTGGTGTATTTCGGGCAAGACAGCTCGGGCGCTGCAGAAAACCGTGAGCGCTGTCTCCCTGCGACCCGCATCCGGCACTGCCTTGCAACTGCCGCAGCCCACCGCCGCCGCTGCCGCCGCTGCAATGGCAGAAGCCGAACCGGTAGCTGCCGCTGCAACAGCCTCCGCTGCAAGCGCAACAACACCAGCCCCGGCAAGAGGAGGAGGAATAGCGGCAGTAGCTACAGCAGCTGCAGGGACGATAGCATCAGCCGTGCCCTGCCGTACCGCGTCTTGGTCACACATGGGCTTGACGACACAGAGGTCACGCCCGCAGGTAGCACCCCCCTCCTCTCCTCGTAGCTCCGCCGCCTCCGCTGCTGGAGAGTATCCCTGGTGCGTTCCCAGCCCCTTCACCTTCGCCAGCGCAGTGGAGGGGCTGGAGGCGGGTGGGGAGGAGCTGGTGAGTGGTACGGCAGCAACAGGTGCCACGGGGTTATATCCGGAGGGTATATCCACCGTGTCACCGGCTAATGCTGCTGGCGTTGCTGCTGCTGGTGCTGCAGCTGTTGTTCCCGCTTGGAGGCGTAGCAATGGCGGCGCGGCAGGCTGCGGTACGTTGATGCTGGCTAGTCCGGGTGTAATGGCCCCCATGCCTGCATCTGGAGGCACCGGCGGCGGCGCTGGCGCCTGCAGCAGCAGCAGCAACAACACCACGTTGCCCGTCCGTGCCGCCGGGCGCCGCACCGGCTGCAGCCAGGACCCCAGCACCCGGCTGGAGTCCCTGCCAGAGACCCAGTCCTGGCATCTGCGGCCGCCGCTGTGGCTGCAGCCGGAGGCCCGCCAGCCACGGCCATCTGGCTGCAGACCGGGTCATTTGCCCTTCGTGGACGAACTAACCGATGACTACCTGGCAACAGGCTGTACTGCTTCCCCTCTTGCACAGCAGCAGCTGCAGATGCCAGCATCGCCTAGCAGCCGATATGCCTCAGGGTCGCCGGTTGCAGCCTCGGGCAGCATGGTTCGTAACTTCAGCGGTATCCTGGGCAAGCCTCCAAGCGAGGAATCACCCGCGTTTGCCTCCCCCGGTGTTGCAGCGGCTCTGCAGCTGCACCTGAACCTGCATGTACAACACCAGCGCCAGCAGGGGGTGCTATTGCCAGCAGCAGAACCAGCAGCACCAGCAACGGACACTGTGTCGTCGCTAAGGGGCAGCTGCGAGCCTCTTAACCTCCATAACTCGTACGGTGGCGCCTGCAGTACATGCAGTCCTGCCGCTCGGTCCTGCGACCCCTCCAGTCCCTTTGCTGACCTAGGCACGCAGCGACAGCTGCACCAGCGACACCAGCAACCGCAGCAGCAGCAGCCGGTTGGCGTTGAGTCGACGGGCTGGGCTCGAAGGGCACAGTCGGCGGACCGATTGCACCCTGCGACCCCGCTGCACCCGGCAACTGGGGGCTGTGCATGCGTGCGGACGGATGGTAGCGGCGCACCCCCCATTGCTGCTAGCGCGGCTGGGGAGGCTGGCGCTTCCCTGCAGCAACGCTTGGTACGCACTGGCAACAGCTTCAGCAGTGGTGTACCCTCAACTCAGCAGCAACGGCAGCAGCAGCAGCACGGGGCTTGCAGCCCTGCTGCCACTCCTTGTAGCTTCCCACGCGGCCCACACGTCCAGCCGGCAAGTCCGCTGTCCTTCCACTCCTGCCGGGACATGACGGCCAGGTCCGAGGGAGGACCTTACGCAGCCAGCCCCACGCACCCCAGGAACCACCAACATACCAACCCCCACCACCACCACCATCACCCCATGACCAACGTTTACACGGCCCCCTGCAACTCGGGAGCCCCGATGCCTCCGCATGTGCATTCGTCCGGAGCTGCATCGTACGGAACCTGCGCCGGAGCCGATATGATGGCGGCTGCGGCCGCCGCCGCCGCCGCTGCTGCTGCTGCCTCACCCGGCACCCAGCCGTGCAGACCACATACCTTTGCGGTCGCAACCGGCGACAGCAGCTGCCTGTTGCCTGGCGAGAATCTTACACTGTACGGCAGCTCAGCCGGCAATGCACCAGGCTGTAACTTTGTACGGCCGGGCAGCCTTCGAGGCCGTACAGATTGCGGTCTGACGGCTCCCCGGTTGCCGCAGTCCCCCCGTAATGGAGGTGGTGGTGCCAGTGGTGGAGCTGCCTGCCTGGCTCGCTCTGCTAGCAGCATGCGACTGCGCTCGAGACAGCACAGCCGCATGTTCACAGCGGAGGAGCTGGCGGCTGTGCTGACGTCCATTCCGCGATTCACGGATGCGCCCGCAGCAATGTACGGCAATGTGCCTGGGGGGGCGTGGGCTTAGATAACTGGGAGAGCCCATGGTGATGCTTGGAATGTGAGGGGGAGACGCTGCCGGAGTTGGGCCTTCGCAGACCAACAGGGAGATATGGTGAACAGGATCCGAAGGAAGCAGGGATTAGGCTGCAGGATGGCTAGGTGGAGTAATGTGTGTCCACAGTCATGCAGCTGTGGGTTTTAGCAGGGTTTCAGCTCGGGTGATTGTTGCGATAAGCCGCGTCAGTTTCTATGCCGTACCTTGCTTCTGTGTGTGGAATCAGGTGCTGTTGTAGCACGCCATTTGCACTTGATAGCTGGCTGAGTTCTGGATACTAGGGAGCTCGGCAGCGGTGGACAGCCGCGGAAGGCCGTGACTCACGGTGTTCGTGGGTCAGATGCGTGCTGTGTGATTTGCTCGCGAAAAAAAGGCTAGGCTGGACGGTGTTGCTTGAAGCAGCAGGTTACGGTGGCGGCAGAAGGTACGCATGTTTGTTTTCAGATGTGGGGTGATGTGGTCAGGAGTTTGTGTGCTGCAAGCTTTGGTAGGTTACTTGTCATTCCATATGTATTTTGCGAGCGCGGTACTTGTACATACCGATATCCTAATCTTTTTACATCAATCTAATGGGCCTGTGTGGCCAGCCGCCGCGCGGAACGTTGCCAGTGGCGGTGGCATTTCCTAATTTGGACAGCATTCTGTTTCTTATCTTAAATACACAGCAATATAAGCGAGTAGCAGCTCTCGTGACCGTGCACGCGTTGCCTTGCACAGGGATGGCCTTCAGTTGACGTAATGCTCGGAGAGATCTACGCGCGTGTGTGTTTTGGGTTCGGTTGCAGCGGTTGACTGCTCTGACATGGGTTTTTAGACGTGGGGTTGGACTTTCGACTTGATATCGACATTCGACAAATGACAACGTGCATGTTGGGGGATGATGACCAGCGTAGCACCGGCTGGTCAGGCGTGAGGACAGGGTTGGATTGCATAGTGCCTTGTTCGCGTACTGCTTGCAGTTTCTCGACACGGCAATTCCTGATACAAACATTCGCTAACATGTGTGGGCGTACGCTGGGGGTGGAAACGGACTTCAAAGCATGACATGTAAGATGTAACGTCCCGTACACGGCCTGTAACGAACCGTAGGACACTGGCTACGTCAGCAAATTGTAAATTACAACATACTTCTATTCATGGAAAGCATCCCCGTGGCTGGAGCAACCCAGGAGACTAAGCAGCGCGCGCGCCAAAAACCATGCCCCATGCGCCTCGTTGTTGCCAAAAACGCAGCAGCCACAAGAATATGGGCTGCATCGACCGTCCGGATCCCGCTTCAGGCGTCCGTTGTCATCCTATGTCGGACTAAATATGTCGGACACCGGCCGGACGAGTCTTAATAGTAATGTCACCGCAGTATGCGCTCGGTGCCTAGTGACAAATGCCATCCCCAAGCACCCGAGCTTGTCCTCCCCTACTGCTAAGCCACAGCCGCACAGCCTACAAGCATAAGCACAGGTACGCAACGAATTCGGGTCGCGCAACCGGCAGAAGGTCGCGAGGTTTTAGGACAAAAAGGCACCATTTACGATTGAGTATAAGCAACGTCAAACCGGAAATCATGCGAGGAAATCCAAAAGACATTGGACGAGCAAACACAGGCGGCCTTCCTAATTACTCGCCTCCCCCAGAGCTTCTCCCAGCCCCTCTAGCATCGGTGACAAGGGCCCTCCCCGGGATTCCACTCCCTCCCTCCTTGCCAACGCCGAAGGAGCACGACCACCCTTGCAGTTTCACGGCTTCACATAACAGTCCACAAACACACAGCTTTAAAAACACACGCCCAAGCACACAAACCCCGCATTCCGCATGTTCCATTTCACTCAAACCATGCGTCTTCCGACTCCACAAAACTCCCACTCAAGCACACCGTCCACCCATCACCGCAATAAGCTGTTTCCCCTTGACCTCCGCTCCCGCAACCGCTGCCTCACGCACAGCCCCGACTGCACACCCAAATCCACCTACACCAAGCATTGGGTGTGTGTTAAGAAAACAGGCCGCAAGTCGGTGAGAGTTATTAAGGAGACTCATCGGAGTGCGTATGTGCCGACATGCATGCTGCTGCAGCAGGTCACCCGCCTCCCTCCCTCGCACCACCACACCGGCCCAGCCCACTCAGTGGTCGGCAATGGCCTTGGCAGCGGGCTGCGCCTTCTGCATGCCGCACAGGCGCACAAAGTCCACCCACAGCAGCGAGCCCAGGAAGGTGTTGCCGGTGCGCGCGGCGAAGGACAGCAGGTGGCACAGCTGGTGGTTGCCGCGGAAGAGCACCTCGATGCCGCGCTCCTCAATGATACCCGCAATGATCTGTGGGGGTAGGAGGGCGGGTGCAGGGGGAAGAGGGAGGGGTGCGTGAGGGGAAGCGCATGCAGGTGCGTGCATAGCGCACGACGGCATGACTGCGCGACACTTGGACGTACGAGGCGCGGCAGGGTGCAAGCGGTTACTAGAGCTAGGCACCGTGTTGGGCAACCACAGGTATCCGCAGGGCTCAACCGCATGTTGGAATATGGCACGTTGGTGCATTTTCGCTGCCAGGCGGTTACCGTACCTGGTAGCGCAGGTTGCTGGAAATGCTCATGTAGACACCGTACGCGGCCGAGGTGGCAACCACGTTCTGCGGCGCGTTGGGCGGCTTGAGCGTGGGGTCCAGTAGCTGCCGCACCGTCAGCAGCGCGTTGGTGACGCCCACACCTGCGAGGGGGACGGGATGGGACGAGGGGGCAGCCGTGGTGTTTAGCAAGCCACGTCAGCAACCCCAACAGGAGGGAACCCAAGCACACACACCCGTGTTTGGGCTGACCCAAAGCCGCCTAAACCCATGCTGCAGTACCCCTCCATCCCCTGGGCCACCCCTGCCTCACCAATCATGGAGGCGCAGAAGCCCACCCCCAGCAGCTTGGAGCCGTTGCGAATGATGGCTCCGATGCGCTGGCTGAGGCTGAAGGGCTCCATGCCGGGGGGCACCTTTTGGAAGGCGTTGTCGGGGCAGCTGGCGAAGAAGTTGGCGATGGCGTTGCTGCTCACCGCGCGGGGCCTGCGGAGGGAGGGAGGGAGGGCACAACGGTCAGATGGGGACCCAAGAGTTGCTTCCACATCAGCACGTCCAGGTGCTTTCCCAACACACCCAGTGACCCAATTTTATTTTGCCCGTACAGCATGACCCAAATGAGATTTCGACCCTATCGCTTTCCCAATCACTCCTCAACAACCCAGATGTTGGAGCAACCCGCGCCTCACTTGTACGACAGCGTGGGCGCCGGCAGCCACGTCAGCATGAAGTCCGCAATGATGGCCATGAGGGTGTTGGCGAACACGAAATCGATTTCCTTGGCGAAGTTGCCTTGCCGCTTGGTGTACTCGGCGGTGATCTTCATTACCACGCCAATGCCGATCTCAATGGCCAGCTTCACGAAGAAGGAGGGGTCCGCAAGCAGCCGCTCACGGAAACCTGGAAACAGAGGGTGCGGGGCGTTGGGTTTCGTGCGGTGTGTTGTGTTTCGTGCGGTGTGGGATTCGCGGCTTTGTGATAGACTGCGGTACAGCGAAGTGCTGGTGACGGCAAGCCAACCTGGCCCAGTTGGGATGGATGCGCCATGCCCCCATGTGGATGGGCAGGCCACCACCGACATCCCGCTGTTGGAGCGCCAGTCGCTCACCGTCAATGCCCCACACCAGGCGCGCGAGGAAGTTGGCCTCCATGCTAAAGTACCGCTCCAGGATCTCGGGGGTGACCTGAGGGCAGGAAAGAGGGCCGCAGGACAGCGTTCAAGGGAGGGCGCACTGCGGCATGAGGCAAGCAGGCCATGGGGATGCAAGTCCTGTGTAGTACGGTAGCTAACCACCTCCCTGTTGTTGCTTAGGCTTGGGCCGCCAGCAAGGAAGGACTGGCCAAGCCGTATGGACTAACTTACGCCACCGCTCCCCTCCCTCCTCCTGATCCCCCAAACACACACCCGGTTTGTCAGGAGCCCGAGCTTGAAGTCGGCAGGGAAGCTGTCCACGCTGCGACCCGCCGCTGCCAGAAGGGCCACAACCTTGGGGTCCATAGGCTTGCCGCCTGCACACCGACGCAGACCGGGACAGACAGCTTACTGGGTCGGTTCTGAATTTGGGTCAGCATACTTTTTTCATAAACTGCAAACGCACCATCTCCGTTGTCACCGCCGCCACCACCACCACCGCCACCGCCACCGGAGCCGTTGTTACCAACGCCGTTGCCATCGCCACCGCCAATCGCGAGGACGGGTTCCTGAGGCTTGTCCTCCTTAGGGGTCTGGACGCCCTCTGTATAGATAGGAATTAACAAATGAACAAAGAGTTCATTAAAAGGGATTTTTCAATGAAATAAGCCCAACGAAGCCGCCATGTACCGAAAGCCAGCGCCGGAAGCTTGCACGTCCTCAATAAATAGCCGCTTACTAGCAAAGTACACACCTGGAACACCGGTGCTGCCTACTGCCACACGGCACACCACCGGGGCGCGTCGAGCGGTGTTATGAAGCGGAACGCATTGTGGCCGAGCCCGCGCAGCTGGCAAGGGTGCGGCCAACCCTGTGCTGCGCATAGCCAGGCTTTGCATCCTCGTTGTTTCCCAGTACAGCAGTGCTTTTATGCGGGTAGTGGTCGGCCGGTCAGTGTCGGAAAGGAAGCCGCACACAATCCAATCAGTACCCCTCTGTAACGTTACTGGCCACAGTAAGGCTGCTGTCGTGCGTCGGGCATGATGTTGTGCGTCCGCAGAAATTCATGTGATACGGCAGCCTTGCGGTTAACGTTCTTGACTGCGAATTCTGTACGTAACACGATTTGGATTAATAAGTTTAACGAAAATATATCGTGTAGCCAAGGTGGTCCGTTTGGGTAAGAACAATACTAGCTGGACTTGGCCTGACGCGGCCGTCAGGCCAAGTCCGGCTAGTGTAGGTCTCACCCGATGGATATCCTTGCTCGCATGGATGGCCATTCGTGAACTCAAGACAGGTCTTCTGCAAACGGCTAGGCGCACACCGGTACGTGCTGGAACCATGGGACTTTGCAGAAGAGCGCTCCTTCTTGTTCATTACAAATCCCAAGGGAATGGCAGTTTAACCCATGATCATAGATCTGGTATCACCAAGGCGTTGTACCTCTGGTATGCCAAGAAAATGGTGTATCGATAAAAGGCCCGAATGCGGTGTATCACCGCCAGCATAAAGTTTCAGACCCAATGTGCAACCACATTTTGCGGGCCGCCAATGCAACTTGCTGCCTCCTCTGCAGCCAGCTGCCCCAAGAAAGAAGTTCCTCGCATGTTACCATCTCCTGCGTTGCGCATGCAACGATTCGCGCACGTGACGAGTAACACACACAAAGGCACCACGTCAGCAGCGCCATGCAGCGCAAGATCAGAAGACAACAGTCCGCAGTATCCGCGTCAAAGAAAAGCTTGTGCATCAGACACCGCTCTGTCTGGGGTCAAACTCAGCAACATGCAATTGCATACCGCTCGCCTCCGTCAATCCGATGCAAAGCTGTCAGTGCCGCTGCGACCTCGCAGCGGCGCGTAGACCACACGCCAGCCTGCAACTCACACATCCCAACGCAGCGGACTTTTGATCAACCCTCCTTAATGGACGCTCCTTACATGAAGCGACCGTCATCCACGACTATGTGCCATCTCCGCGCTAGACGCCTCCTCACTACAATCCTACAACAGTACTAAAGCGTCAAGTAGCATCAGGAGCCATCTCTTATAAAGAAAAACCACCGCTATGGCTAGAAGATTGCTCCTTATCCCCGAGTATGTATTTACATGGCGCCGCTGGCCGCTGCTGACGCACTGTTGGCGTACTTGACGGTCAGTAGCCGACCCCGCGGGTCGCTGGGCACCGACACTTGGCTATCGAGCGTGCGGATCGCCTTCTCCGCGTCCGTCCGGTTCTCGTACGTGAGGAAGGCGCAGCCCTTGGACTTGCCCTGGTGCCGCAAGATGACCAGCTCCAGGATGTTCCCGAGCGGGCTGAAGATGGGCCACAGGTCCGTCTCGTTGGCCTCGAAAGGCACCTGCGTGGTGTGGCGGCGAGGCAAATTGCTCGGCACATTTCCGATGGGTATCTTGCACAGGGCTACGGGTACCTTATACGGGGGAATGGCTTGCAAGCAGCTGCCTCTTAACCCGAAGCCGAAAGAATCAATAGTCAAAAGGAGCATACCGCAGAGTCGCCGACGTACCTGGCCGATGAAGAGTTTCCACGCCTTCGGCCCTTCTTGGAGCCCCGCCGGCTTGTTCATGCCCATGCCGCCTCCCATGCCGAGCCCCATCATGCCCATGTTAGCCATGCCAGCCATCAGGCCGCCGCCCATGGCGCCCATGCCACCCATGCCCGCCATGCCGCCCATGCCTCCCATACCGCCCATGCCGGCACCCGCAAGGCCCTGTGCGGCGCCCATGGCACCGGCGCCTCCCATGCTCTGCTGCGCGCCTTGCCCTGGAATGCCGCCCATACCCTGCGCCAACGGAAAGGGAACACCGGCGTTACATCCAACGTCCCGTAAAGGAGACCCTTACATGACGTTACATGACCCAGTTATGGCGGCTGCTGGCAGCCTGAAGCAAGGTTATGGCGACCCAAACCCATGGTTGTTTAAACTTGTGTCCAGGATTTGTACGTGGATTTGTGCATGTTGCAGGGCGTGTCAGGGCTGACAACAAGGGATGCCGTTGCGATCCATTTTCATGCTAAGATGTTCGCTGCTCATGACTACCCTAACAACGTTCCCTTGAACTCCCTAGCCGCAAAACGCTGTAGCAATGTCCAATACTCCCAACCCATCCTAGACACTCCATTCCTATAAGCCTATCCCGCTTACCTGCATGCTAGCCATGCCCGCCATCATGCCCATGTTGCCGTAGCCCATGGCAGCCATCGTGCTCATGTCGTACCCCATCGCCGCCGCGGCTGCGTACGGGTTGTAGCCCGCAGCCGCCATGCCTGCCATGCCCATGGCGCCGGGGCCTGCTGCGCCCGTGAAGGTCCGCTTGTTGCCGGCCGGCCCGCCGCCTGGGAAGCCTTGCTGCCCGTCCATGACGCCGAATTGGCGCTTCTGCCCGGCGGGGCCCAAGTTGGGGTCAATGACCTTGGCGTCCGCAAACTTGACCACCATGGGCGTGGTGGCTCCCTCAATCAGCGTCTGGCCGTTGAGCGACATCATGGCGGCCTCAGCCTGAGCCCAACGCTCAAAGGTCACAAACGCGCAGCCTGAAAGTAAGGAGGGGTGGGTGAAAAAGGCATGATCATAGGTAGGCACATGCGGTTTTCCGAACGTCCATAGGACATTCAGCGCAGGGGGCAAGCGGAGTAGCCTGAACAGCAGCCAGGGCTCATGACACGCCACCCTCGTCAATATGGCTCAGCCAACCAACCAACCAACCCACCAGGCGCATTGCCCTTGTTGAGCACATGAACGTCCGTAATGTTGCCAAAGGGCGCGAAGAGCGTCCGGATGTGCTGCTCAGTCGTGTGCTGGGGGATCTGTAAATAGTTGGGGCATGAAAGGGGGTGGGGGCAGGTGTCAGAACGCACGGCCATACCTCACAGGCTGGAAACACGGACATCAGGCAAGCGCATGCGGAGTGAAGCTAAGGGTAAAGCTCAATTTCGATCAGCAATGCAAGTGCATAGTGCTATGGTGCGAGCGTTACACCACACATACGTGCCCCCTCCCCAAGCATGCACACGACACGTGTACACGGCACAAATGCCACTGCAAGAGCTGCACGTAACCGCGGTCAACCAAACAATGTGGACTGCTACTGCCCGCTGTCAGGGGTAAAACGGCTGTCAAGAAACTGCCCGAAGCCACCTGCTACAAACCAGAAAAAGACCGCCAGCTAGTGTATTGCCACCAGCTGGTGTATATAGAGCGCCAACGGTGGAAAACTGATTCGAGTGGCTCCGTTGACTAGCGTCTACTAAAACGGCTGACCAGACGATTGCAATAGCTACAGCCCCTGAAACAGATAGTGTGGTTGTAATATGATCACATATGCTGCTTGGCGGCTGTATGGCTGTTAGCTGGTATGGAACGCTCGCAGGTGGATGGCTAATGTACAATGCTAATGGACAGAGCTCTAACGCTGATCCCGCGCGCGAACACCCGACCCAGATGCAACAAATGACGTGCGGACAATGACTAGCGAACAAGCAAAGCTTAACCTAAAGATCGACGCGACGGCACCAACACCTGTCCGACAAACAACTTCTTCGGCGCCACGCCCATCACTGGACCATCGCCACGCCCACGTGGAGGATCGGCAAACTTCACGAGCAGCGTCCGGCCTCCTCCCAGGTTAGCTGTACCATTTTCGTGCTCGATGGCTAGCTCTGCCTCCGCCCATCGGTCATAGGTGACCATAGCACAGCCTTTGCTGCGGCCGTCCTGCCCAGTAATTAGGGCGCACTTCTTGATGGTGCCATACTTAGAGAACAGCGCAAAGACCTGATCCTGAGTGACCTCGTGGGGGACCTGGCCTACGAACACCTTAGGCTCAGCGCACACAGCCTCAGGCTTCTGCATTCCCATGACCATCGCGCTGCAGCGAGGATATGTGGGTGGGTGCGAAACTAAACCAAGCGGCGCGGCAGCGTTGCCAATTGGCGGGTGAGCCGAGAATCCAGTCAGATATGTCAAGCCTAGCCTAGATAATAAGTAGTATAGACTTGAACGCGCCTAATGAGTCCTATGGGGCGGGACAAGAGATAATGAATTGATTTTGGCGGCCATGTTTTGGCGGCGCCTAGCGCATTCCTGCCGTACAACATGTCCAGACTCCAATGTGCGCCTGTCGTCCATAGGGGTATAATAGTGTGTAGGATACATTTGAAGGCATTAAGGAATGGCAATACATACATGCTTAGCAAAGAAACGCTTCTCCACCGAAGTTTCTCGGTCTTGCCACACATCTCGCTCTTCCTGTCTAAATTGTCTGTGTGTGAGAATTAAAGCGTGGTTTGGAGCATGTAACCGTGGCCCCCAATCGTTTGAAGGGTGCCCCTAACAATGCGTGGCGCAACATCTTCCACGGACATCTGCGCGGCTGGAGTTGATGACAGCGCCGGATGACAACGCCGGTGTTTGTAACAACTGGCGTTAATGACAGCTCTTCATTTTTGTAGGCTACCTCCCTAAAGCGCTGAATTCGAGGCTATTTCTGCCACTGCAAGGCGAGCTACCGGACCAACAAGCTTGTCTTCCAGGCTTTCTGGTGTAACCAGTGCTTTCCAGGGCGCGTTCAGCTGTGGGCTAAGCCAACTTGAACCTGGAACCGTCAGTTGGTCTTTCCCGCCCTAACTAGCCGCAAATTACCGTATACCGTATTATTATCTACAATGTGGCGCGTTATCATTTACAATGTGAGGCCCTTTTTTCTATTAGAGCCTGCACGTGCATAGTATGAAGAGTGTTGCTAGGGTTCTTCTGCCAAAGCCGAACATTTGCACGTGGCAAGGGTCCCGGACACGCTCGATGGTAGCAAACAACATGCACTCCTGCTGTCCGAAACAACAAATAAAACACAACGGTGAAGCTATTGGACTTATGCACATGCCATCAACTTACAACGACTACACTATCCGCTTTGGTTGCTGTCCATGCGTCGTGACCAAGGCGTTTCCTAGCTTGGTCCGCAGGTACACCCCGTATGCCACCTCAAAATATCTTTCTCTTCTTCGCCCCGTCCTTCGTAATTTGGATTTGGTCCAGACAGACGTAGGCATCCCGCTCAGCCGTGTTCTGGAAGTCGAAGCGGTTCAGAAGATTGACGTCAAGCGCGCCTTCGCAGCGGAAGGTGGAGATGGGAATGGAGAACTTGTACCACGGCGAGCGGCTCTCTGACGGCGACTGTAGGGAGGAAGGAGCAAAGGCGCAAGCCATGCGTTGTGCTGAAGCCAGGGTCAACGCCTATCAACCTCCGACCCTCAACCCGGCACAACCCTGCTGCAAGCGCCGCACCCAAACCCAGATTAGCACCCCCTCGCTCCCCACCTCGCCGGCTTTCCCCACTCCTCTCCCCTTTTACCAGCCCCCAGCACACCAAACTTCCCCCCACCCACCGGCCATAACCCCCTCCTCCGTCTCCTTTCCCTACCGGTATTCCACCGCTTCCCATCCTCCCCACCCCTCCTCGCTGTGCTTCACTTCTTTCCTTCCATCCCTGCCGCGCTCACCGTCTTGTTGAGGTATACCTCGTTGAAGCAGTACTGTCGGCTGCCGCCCGAGCCGTCCGCCGTCACAAACACCTTGAGCGGCGGCACGGCGCCGGTGGGGGTGGCGGAGAAGTAGGGGTCGGAGGAGTTGCTGTTGGGGCGCAGCCAGAAGCTGAGTCCGCTGGCGCCCTTGAAGGGCTGGTAGCCCGCCCGCCCGCACTCGCGGCAGGAGAAGGACAGGCCGCCGCCCGGGGAGAGCTGCACGCAGGTGGCAGCGGAGCCGTCCAGACCCGCACCTGAGGGAGGTCAAAGACCGGAGCAGGGAGACAGGGATCATGTTTGCACCCCATGGTGCAGCCGTGACACACAGCTTGTCAGTTTCCTCTTTACACTCCCCACACACCCGCCACCACCACCACCCCCCTACCCTGCTGCACCAGCCTGTAGTAGCCCGCCGAGTAGGGGAACCAGCTCCAGCCAGGGCGGATTTCGTTGTCGTACACCAGCGAGCTGACGTAGCCGGGGGCGGGCGGCGGCGGCAGCGGCTGTCCCGAGTCGCAGTCCACTGGCCGGTAGTCCACTGACATGACGCCGTACACCTGGGGGGTGGGTGGGGGGTGGGGTGAAGAGGAAACAACTAACTGACTGAGGGATAAGGCGTCAACATGGGGAGGGGGTGGATGGGGGGTGGGTGGGGAGGGGATGGAATACAGGGCTACTCGAAGCAGCTGATAGAAGGATGAGCTGTGCTGATTGTTGCTGGCGTCGTCCTCCGGCAGACACCGATGTCCTCATCCTGTTCCCCCTTTCCTCGTTTCCTCGCAAATAGTTTTGCCCGCGGAAACGGCGACAACAATTTGGCTCCCCGACATCACCAATGTCTACAGCATGGTAACCGGTATATGCTTACGCAGCTGAGTTGTTGCCTGAAACACAGTCACACGCGCTTCCCTAGCCCCCGCCCTGCCCCCCCCAGCCCCGCCCCCGGCCCCCCCCACCCACCCACCGGATGCGCTAGCTTCTCAAACGCAAAGTACGACAGGTCGAAGTGGTTCTGACCTGCAGGGCAGCGGTGGCGGGGCAAGAGGAGGGCGAGATGGGCCGCAGCGGGAGCAGCAGCAGCAGCGTGCGCGTTGTAGTACCCTAACCGACTGCAGCCGCAGGTTGTAACAAAACCGAACAGCCGCTGCATGCATGCACCCTCCCCCTAGCCTGTTCTTCTTCTCCCTCACCCCACCCCCCGCCCACCTCCGCAGCACCACTCCTGCCGTCGCGTCTCTCCGCCCTTCTTGACCCCCGGGGCCGTCTCTGAGAGCACCTGGGTGCAGGGGCAGGAGTCGATGATGCGCACCGTCACCACCTGCAGGGGGAGGAGCGGAGGAGGGGGAAGGGGGAGGTGAGGGGCAGGAGTTGGGGAGAAAAGGGTGAGAAAACCCAGCAGCAACGCTAAGGCCGGGCATCAGCAGTCGACCCAGGACATCCACCCGCAACAACCTTACCCCTCCCCTGTCTTGACCCCCCCCCCTCTCCCACCTGGTTGGGGTCCCAGCACTGGACCTGCTGCAGCCCCTGCCCCTCCGCGGGGTTGCCGGGCCAGGGCCGGCCGCGCGTGTCCTTGATGTTGCGGTTAATGGCGGGCAGGTAGGGCCGGAAGTGGTCGCCGTCGTAGGAGCCGTTGATGATGCGCACGGGGGTGCCGTTGGAGGCTGCGGGAGGGGGAAGGGAAGGGAGGGAAGGCAGGAGGGGTGGAGGAGTGTGGGAAGGATTGGGAGTGTGCAGACCCATGGGTCACCGACCGGCCCCTTCCTTCTCGTGACCCCTCGTGACCCCACACCCACCTGCCACGAGGCCGTTGACGCACTTGACCTGGTAGCACCTGCGGTGTCATGATTGGGGAGTAGGTATTGGGAGTTAGGAGGGGAGGGAACATTTTAGAAGTGCCCCGGATGAGGACTGATTGGCGCCATGGAAGCAGGCACGCCCAGCGCACCCACGACCCACCCAGACCGCAGAACACACCAACCCGGCACACCGAAGCCGCTCCCCCCCACCACCTGCCGCAGCTGCCCGGGTAGTCCGGATCCGCGTCCGCCGCCGCCGCCACCGCATCCGCGGGGAAGGGCAGCGTGGCGTCGCTGTTAGTGAAGCCGCAGGAGCCGTAGGTGAGAATACCGAAGCTGCCGGCGCCGCGGGCGGGGTCGTAGGCAGCGCTGCATGGGGAGACAAGGGGGGTAGATGGAGCAGGTGGAAGGAGGGGTAGAAGGAGGAGGTAGGAGGAGGGAGTAAAGGTGATGTACCGGTATGGGAGTGTGGTGGGGAGCTGCGGCGGGGTATGGAGCCCCACCCCCCAGCCCCTACTGACTCCCTAACCCGCATGCCGCACACCTCCACACACCTCCGCCCCCTCCGCCTCCGCCCCCCCCCTCACCTCAGGAAGTCGGGACCGCCGTAGTAGGTGGTCCGCCCGCGCACCCAGCCGGCAGCAGGACCCGGAGGCAGGGAGCCGCCACCGCCACTGCCGCCGCTGGTGGTGTTGGTGTTGGTGCTGGCGTTACCGCGCCCGCCGCCGCCACCGCCGCCAGCATTGCTGGTTGCGTTACCGCCCGTAGTGGCGTTGCCGCGCCCACTGCCGCCGCCGCCACCGCCACCATTGGCACTGTTAGTGGCGTTACCGCGCCCGCCACCTCCACCGCCGCCACCGCTGCCGCCGGCAGTAGTGTTGCCGCCGCCGCCGCCTCCACCGCCTCCACCGGTGGTGGTGGTGTTGCTGCCGCTGGGCGGGACGGAGGAGGTGCCCGCGGTCTGGTTGCCCGGGGCGGCAGTCACGTTGGCTGCGAGCACAAGGTAGGAAGGTACGCACAGGTCAGCGTGGCGATCTCACTTTGCTTCCTCTCGCTTTCCCTCCTCCACCGCATTGTTCTCCATGTGCACGTTACTGAGTTACCGCCGCCAAACATGTCCCCGTCTCATTGCCTAGGCAGATCGTCAACCTACCGCCGGCGAACGTTCCTAAACAAGATGCTTCCGTAAAGCTTCCGGTTAGCACATTGCATCTGACACGAATTATCTTCCACTAAATTCCGCATTGTGTTCAGACCCTTCCCTCCTCCTCCTGCTCGGAGCCCTGCTCCCAGCAGCGCTCACCGGGGATGCTTGCGGTGCCGGTAGCAGTGGCGCTAGCATAGGCGTTACTGCTCACATTGCCGGTGCTGTTGCTGCTAGCGGCTGCATTGCTGATAGCGGTTGCATTCTGGGCGCTAGCGCTGGCAATGAGGGCGATCGCGCTGAGCGCGAGCAGCAGCGCCCTCGCGCCGGCGATGCTAGCCCCGCGACGAGCGGCGCTTGCCGGCACAGCTTTCGGGCTGTGCCGGAGATAGCCTGCTGCTGCCATGTGAACTAACAAGGCTGCGTTGGACAGAATGAGACTGCGGGATTGGTAGGTTGGTAGGTTTAGCAGCTGATGGAAGATGACCCGTCGCGGAAAGCAAGCAGCCGATTTCGCAATGCCTGATCTTTACAGCATGATCAGCGTGCATACAACTCGTTGATCGGCAACCCGATGATTTGCCTTCCGCTTATTGCAGGGAAGTGTGGCAGGAGGAGAGAGAAGAACAAGTATGATGCGGCCCCTTGGAGTGCCGGGTGGTTTCAGCACGACACGACATCGGTCGCAACTGCCGCTTTGGCGCCCAACCTGCTGACCCATGTGCACGTCGAGCACGTGTGCCCTTTTCCCAAGAGGAGGGAAAACAGGTTGCACTCGGAGCCATCAATCAGGCGCCGCAGGTCATCGTAAACCTCTCGCTAGCACAACACAGGCGTGAAGAAACAACAGCAAAGCGCGCATCCGCAGCAACCGCACTACCGCAGCGATAGCACTCCTGCAACCCATTCTTCTTACGCTGCGCAATTCACTAAAGGGACAACACTCCTGGAAAGGAAAAGCCTGGAATTCTTCAAGTCTTCACACGGAAACAGCGGTCGCAGCTCTACGCGCTAGCAAAAAGAAGGGCTCCCTCCTCCCTAAGCGGCAGTGTCCATCGCGTCCCCGCCCTCCGCCTCCGCCCGCTCCCGCTGAATGGCCGCGTACTTCTCGCGCAGCGGCGGGGAGGACAGCACCACTCGGCGCAGGAAGCCCTGCGGTGAAGCGGCAGGGAAAGAAGAGCGAAAATAACTAACAGCGAATGGGGTGACAGTAGGGGACCTGGGTTATTAGTATAAGAAGCAACAACAACCACAAAGCGCCGTATATGGAGGCTAATTGCGGATGTCAGGCGTTTGTAAGCACTTGTGAATGCAATGACCCGTGGGTCGCTTCACTAGCTTCATTACTTGTCTATGCTGTGACCCATGGGTCAGCTATGTGCGACCCCATTGCTAGCCGCTATACCCCCCCACACACACACACCTGGAGCGCCGCATTGTTGTCGGCCCCCGGCACGTGCGCCAGTGCGTCCACACAGCGCAGGCAGCTGCGAAGCATGTCCTCGTGCCGGTCGATCTGGGGGGGGTAGGAAGGGGGGAAGGAAGGGGGGAGGGGGAGGGGAGGGGAGGAGGTAAAGAACACACCCAAACCATAGGAGGGGGACATGCGGCAGTGGCTGTGGCTGCGGCTGCCCCTTCTCACCTCCTGCTTGACCGCATCGCTTTTGAGCCGGGTGGTGAGTGTCTTCTCCAGCGGCCCCACCAGCCTCTCCGCGGCCGCCAGCACCGCCCCCGGGTCGGAGGCCACCAGCTTGGACAGCGTGGTGTGGCAGGGCATCTTGACCTGGGGGGACAGGGAGGGGAGGAGCAGCAACAGGGGTTAAGCAGCAGCATATGGTAGGAAGGTACTACGTAGAAAGGAACTAAGGAGGCGCGCTTCACGGCGGCACCAGCAGCTACGCCCACAAGCACTGACTAGGCGGATCTGAAGGTCTGAACCCCCCCTCCCCTTCCCCCTCTCCTGTCGCCTAGTTTGTCCCACTATCACATGCGGGTATTCGCCCTTCCCCTCCCCTCCCTCCCTCCTCACATCCGCATGGTCCCCCAGCCCGCTCTCCAGCGCCCGCAGGAAGGGCCCCGGCTCCAGCTGGTCGCGGCAGCAGTCGTGCAGGATGTCTAGACACTCGAACGCCGACTTGCGCAGCTCCAGACCGTCGTCGATCTGCAGGAAAAGGGGGGCGGGCAGGGAGGGCAGCGTGGGGGACAGGTAGGGGGCAGGTAGGTGAGGTCAGAGACTTAGGTGCGGCGGGGACAAAGACCCGTACCGAACCGTAGGAAACCACAGGGGGGAGGTGTGACGGTGCAATCATAGAGGGCACTGGGGATCAGGGCGATGCGCGCAGTGCCGACTGAAGCACATCGCCACGGCACTACCGTCCCGTCCCACCAGACGCCCCTTCCCCCCACCCAAGGCGACGCCTCGTCATACAGCTCGTCAGTTTCCTCTCTTTACCCCCCTCCCCGCCACCCACCTTGTGTTTAAAGGGCCCCAGGTCCACCGTACGAATCATGTCCTCCCGCACCTCCGTGCACGCGTACAGCAGCGGCAGCAGCTGCGGCAGCCCGCCCACCACCAGCGCCGGCTTGGCGTGCGCGCAGCCGCTGAGCGCGCCCACCGCCGCGCGGCGCACGTGCCGGTCTGGGTCGGCCATGAGCAGCAGGAAGCGCAGCAGGCAGGGGCCCAGCGGGGCGTCCACGGGGTGCGGGCGCTCCAGCACGGAGAACTTGACGGCGGAGACGACCTGTAGGGGGGGAGGGGGGAAAATTATATAAGAAATGCAAACAACTAAAGTCCCAATCCCATATCCCGAGGAGGAGTGGATAAACGGAGCTGCGGTAAAGAGGATCAAACAAGTAGCTAACCGCATAAAGGTGGGGATTAGGAAGTCGATAGAAGTCGTGAAACACAGTGACCCTGACCACCACAGAAAGCACCCAGCCACCACCACCGCCCACCCCACGCCTCCCCACCCACCACCGCCCACCCCACGCCTCCCCACCCACCACCGCCCGCATGTTGGCTGAATCCGCGCTCGTCCGCTCCAGCAGCGCCGGCAGCACCCTGCCCGGGTGCAGCAGCGCCAGCCGCCCCGCGCACTCCGCCACCACGTTGCGACACTCCTCCTCCGACTCCACAGCGCCAAACAGCAGGGACAGGACCTGGGGGGGAGGGGGTGGGGGGAATGGGGAGGAGCAGGAGGGGTGCGGGTGGGCGAGAAGAGGGGGTGTGCAGGAAGCGTCGTAGCGCATGTGGGTGTTCCCCCCACCTCCGATTGCTGTGGAGCACCCCGCCGCACGCCCTATATACGATACACCACTCCCCGCACCCCCAGCCCCCCAGCCCACCTGGTCCGCCATGTCCTGCCCCAGCTCCGCCGCCTTGGCGCCCGCGGAGGGGGAGGCGAGCGTGGAGATGACGTCGTTCAGCGCCTGGGGGTGGGGTGGGGTGGGGCAGGGGGAAACGGATGTGGAAGAACAAGGGAGGGAAAGATCGTTGGGATGCGGACGGGGGCTAACAAACACACAAGATAGTCATTGCCGCCGTTACCGCTCTCCCCTTTCCTCTTCATCTTTCCTTACTCCGTTTCCTTTCCCTCCCTCCCCCCCCTCCCACCCCCTACCTGTAGCAGCAGGTACTGCTGCTTGGGCTGCCCCGCCGCCGCCCCGATCTGCGCCACCAGGCCCGGCAGGAAGTGGGGCAGGTTGCCCCGCGTCACGCCGCCCAGCGCGTGCGATGCCGCCTGGCGCACCTCCTCGCCGCTGCCGGGGGCGGCCAGCAGGGAGGAGGCGGCTGCCGCCACTGCGGGCAGCGAGGAGAGGTCGGTGCGGCCGCCGATCTCACCCAGGCACAGCAGGGCGAGGCGCTGGGTGCCTGCATGGGGGGGGTAAAAGATATAATGAGACACTGCATGGGGGAGGGATGATGAGGAGCGGATGGGGATGGATAGGAGCGGCAGATGGAGCACAAGGTGTATGTACAACACTGGTAGTGCGGAGCAGGTATGTTTAGAAAGCTGAGGAGCAGGCATGCATGCGTGGTCACGGGCCCTGCCCCCCCACTTCCCGCCCCTCTGTCCCCTCCCCCTCACCCGGGTCCCTGCCCCCCGCGCTCTTGAGCAGCATCTCCACCCGAGCGGGCAGCTGGGCGGGGGAGGTGGTGGCCAGCGCGGCTACACAGCGGGCCACACTGTGCTGGGCCTGGAGGAGGGGTGGGTCGAGGGGAGGGGAGGCAAGAGGGCTAAGGAAGGCGGTGGAGTGCAACAGCGCAGTGAAGGGCCGGTGGGAAGAGGACGGTGACTCTGTAAGGGCTCTGCGGTGGTGCCTGGTGCGGGAATTGAAGCCCATAGCTACTACCGCATACCCACACCTCCCCCCTTGTTCCTCCCCCTCCTCCTCCTCCTCCTCCCCACCTGCTTCGACGCCGCCTCCGCGCTCCTGCCCGCCTCCAGCAGCTGCCCCAGCAGCGCCTCCGCACCCCCCTCCCCGGCCCCCCCGCTCCCAGCCAGCGCCGCGAAGAAGCCCTGCAGCACCTCCAGCGCCCCCCCCTGCAGCAGCGGACTGCGCACCAGCACCAGTGCGGGGCCGCGGGCGCGCTCCGCCACCACCGCGGCAGCCGAGTGACCCATGGGTCCGGGCAGGGTGGTGAGGGTGATGAGGAAGCGTAGCGCGAGGGAGGCGAGCGCCACGTCGGCGTCTGAGATCAGTGCGGCCGCCTCCTCCACTGCGGAGGTGAGGACGGGGCCCTGGAAGGCAGGGGGGTAGCGGGAGGCGAGGGCCTGCGGGGGGGGAGAGGAGGGGAGCACAGCTTGGTAGGGGCATGAAGGGAAGCGGCAAGAAGACATCACACGGTACATGTGCCAGGAGAGTGTCGGGAGGTGCTGGAAGCCTGTGTAGTTGAGTAGAAACAAGAGCAAGCAGTTGGGATAGGTTCGCATGTGAACCGCGAGTATAGTCAAAACAGAGGCAAAGCAGAGATTAACAAACCTGAAACGTAACTCAATAACTGCTTAAAACGCGGGTGCTGGATGTAAGAAGAGTGGCGGGTTGACGACGCATGTCGGTGATGCTGATGGTGTCGGGAAAAACTAATTACTGCTGAGTACCTAGCCCGCTGACCAACTCGACGCCGGGAGCCCCCGCTCTGGTCACGCAGACGAGACACCACAATGCTGTGCATGCGTGCGTGCAAACGCGCATTGCGTACCTGCGAGCAAAAGCCTGTGTGTGTATGCATATGTCGTGTGCCGTACAGCGTCTGCCGTACAATTACACACATACCCACCCGTACACCCGCCCGCTCCCCCCTTACCTCCAGCGCCACCAGCGACGCCTGCCTCAGCAGCCGGTTGGCCTTGCGCAGGAAGGAGGTCAGCTCGCCCACCACCCCGCCCTCGCCGTTACCGTTACCACCACCGTTACCCCCGCCGTTGCCCGCCCCCGCCAGCAGCTCGGGGGGGAGCAGGGGCGAGGATGCGAGGGTGGTGAGCGCCTTTACGGCGGTGAGGCGGGTGATCTCGTTGCGCAGCCGCTCCAGCAGCACCCGCAGCACACCGGGGAGCTGGGGGGGGGAGGGGAGGGGAATGGAGGGGGGGAGGAGTCATGCACGTCATGGCAAGACATGGGCGTCTCTCATTCCCACCGCCAGACACCCCGCCACCGCCACAGGCACAAACCCAGCGTGTCCATCCCAGTCACACACCCTACTCGCGGCCAGCTTTCTTAACGCCCCCTCCTCCCGCCCCCCCCCCACCTCCTTCTGCAGCACATCCCCCAGTCGCGCCGCTGCTGCCGCCATGGCGCTGATGGCCGCCTCCTTCACCTCCTGGTCCTGGTCCGTGGCGCTGAGGGGTGGGTGGGAGGGGGGGAGGCAGGGGTTGTTACTAAGGTTGATACAACAGCGCGATAGGACTGAACCCTTGCCTGAACATCGCCATCTCCTCAATCGCCACCATCCTTTCCCCTGCATCCTTCGCCCCCCCCCCCTCCCCCCCCACCTCAGCCTCCCCATGACCGCCGCGTACAGCGGGCCCACCAGCGGCTGCTGCTGCGGCGGCACGGGGGCGGCGGGGTCGGGGCGCAGCACCCCCACCAGCGCCTCGCACACCCGCAGAGCCTCGGCGGCAACCTGGAGGGGGGGCAGGAAGAGGGGATGGGGGAGCGGGAAGGGAGGGGGTCAGGATTAAGGGAGGGCAAGGAAGGGTGAGTGGGTGGAAGGGAGGGTGGGAGGGAGCAGGGAGACGCAGGGGGGAAGGGTGGAGGGGTGCATGAGGTACCGCGGTGGTGCAGCAGCAGCAGCAGGAGGCGAGCGGTGCGGTGCGGGACGGGATGCAGATGATGGGTGCCGGACACCCAACCAGCTAGGAGCCGGTCACAGGTAGTGTTAGAGACCACATAAGTCGTCCCTACCCAGTAGCAGGGTTGGAGCGGCAAGCGGGTGAACCCTCATGCCGTAGAGTGCCCCCCTCCCCCTCCCCTTCCAACCCCGCCCCCCCCCACCTTGTAGTACCGCTCGTTCACGCATGCGCACACGGGCGGCAGCAGTAGGCGCGTGTGCGGCTGCAGCAGCGCGGGCGGGGTGGCGGCCAGCGTGAGGCGCAGGAAGCTGAGCGCCTCGATCTTGAGACCCGTGTTGCCGGACTTGTCCTGGGGGGGGTGGGGGTTGGGGGGTGGAGGGGGTGGAGGGGAGGGAAGGGGCCGGTGGTGTCACGAGGGGGAAAAACGAGGCAGCTGCTGTTGTGGTAAGGGTGCGAGCAGGAACGGGGTCTTGATATGCGGCCTGAAATCCCTACCCCGCGACCTCTCCTCCTTCCCCTCCCTTGCACCCCATGGCGCAGCCGTGTCATACACAGCTTCCCCCTTCCCCCCCTCCCTCCTTCCCCCCCTCCCTCTCCCCTTCCTCTTACCTGCAGCGCCGCTAGCACCCCCGGCACCAGCGCGCCCACCTGCCCCGCCACCTCCCCCGCCGCCACCGCCACCAGCTGCCGCAGCACGCCCAGCACCCCCACCCGCGTCTTGGCGCCCGCCCTCTCCCGCGCCCCCAGCTGGCGGGCGGAGCAGCGCACGATGAGCGGCACATCGCGGACCAGCAGCGACAGGGGGCTGCGAGGGGGAGGTGGGGAGGGGGGGGAGGAAGGGAGGGAAAGGGATGGTGTTGGGACGAGCACCGGAATCAGGCGGGTGGTACGACATGGTGGGTGGGCGACTGTGACGCATGCAGGGGGTTTGCGGGGCTGCAGGGCGACACCTACCCCCTTTCTTGGCTTCCCTCAAGAACAGCAGACGCATGGCAGTCAGCCAGTCATTGGTTAGCCCCCACAAACCACATCCACCCACATCCCCTCCCCTCCCCCCCCCCGCAGCCCCCCACTCACCTCTTCTCATCCCCCGGCGCGTACCTCCCCGCCGTGCCCCCCACCGCCGCCAGCAGCTCCCCCGTCGCCGCAAACACATCCGCCTTCACCCCCTCCTCCCGCTCCCGCCCGAACCGCCCCACCAGCTCCCCCAGCGCAGCGCCGTACAGCCCCGGCAGCGCATCCGGGTAGCGCGCCAGCAGCGCAGCCAGCAGGCGGCAGGCGGCGCGGCGCACCTTCCAGGACACGTCCTCGTCGTCGCTGTACTCGTCGGCGTCGTCGCTTTGGGGGGGGGGGGTTGGGGGGTAGGGGGGGGGGATAAAGGAGAGGGAGATGGTGGGGGTAAAAAGGAGGGAACTGACGAGCTGTGGTGGTGGTGGTGGGGTGATGTTGGTGTTATGTTGGGTAACGCCCACAAGCGCATGCAGGCTGCAATGGCACGTGGCCTTGCATGCCACACCAGCTCTTGCCCTCGCTCCTCTCGCCATGCTCCGCCATCCGAATCCACGACCCCACTCCGCTTTCCCCTAACTCCCCTCACCCCACCCAACCTCCTGCCGCTGCTCCCTCCCTCACCCGTCCGCGTCCTCGTCCCCCTCCTCGTCCCCCTCCCCCATGTCCTCGTCCTCCTCGTCCCCGCCCTCCTCCTCCTCGCCCGCGTAGTTGGGGTCGTAGCGCATGTAGCGCAGCGCCGCCCCCTGCAGCGCCTCCAGGCTGGGGCGCGTGTCGTGCGGGCAGCGCAGCACGAAACCCTCCAGGGCCTGATGGGGGGATTGGGGGAGAAGTGGGGGTGGAGAAGGGGGGTGACGCTGCGCGCACCACACAGCTCATGTGCCCAGTTCGATTCAGCCACCGCAGCCACGGCCCATTGCTGGACACCTCCTCTCCTCCTTTACCGTCACCCCCTTGCCCCCTCAGCCCTGTCCCTGCGCATGCTATGTTTTGTTTCCCCCCTCCCCCCCCACACACCTGCAGGCAGTGCTCCCGCAGCTCGTCATCTCCCTCCGCCGCGTTGTCGCAGTGCCGGATGGCCAGCGGCACAGCGGTGCCCAGGTAGCGGCCGAAGCGGTAGCCCACGGCACGACTGGGGGCGAGGGGGGGGGGAGCGGGGGGTAACGTGTATGTGTATGGGGTATGTGTATGGAGGGATGGGCCGCCCGTCCGCCCTCCCGCCCCCTCTCCCCCTTGCCGGCTGCTTGTGGTGCCCTCCCCCCCACTTGGCGCCTGGTGGTGCCACTATCATTCTCAACGCATGGTTCTTCTTCTCCTTCGTTCCCCACCTCCCCACCACCACCCCGCCTGCCCCCACCCACCCCACCTGATCTGCCCCACCGCCTGCATGTAGGTGCGCGCAAAGTCGGGTTTGAGTCCGGGCTGCTGCAGCTGCTGCAGCAGGGGGCCCACCACGCCCGCCAGCGCCTCGTCGCTCAGGAACACGGACAGAGCGGCTGGTGGGGAGGAGGGGAGGAGAACACCCCATGTGTTAGGGAGCAGGAGGTGAGATGGAGGGGAGGAGGTGGGTGAGGCAAGCGTAGGTGCTCGCGCCACCCACATCCTACAGCGCCATGCATGCTGCAGCCAGAGAGGCGGCGGCGGCTCCAATGCACCTGCTGGCATCCGCATCCGCACCCACCCCCACCTCGCCCCCGCATTCGCCCCACAAGGGCCTCTCCCCCACGTGCCCACGTCCTCTTGTACCATCGAGCCCCCCCTTCCTTCCTTTTTCACCCCTGCGTCCTCTCTCCTCCTCCCTCCCAACCCCTCCCACCCACCCCCACCTAGTCCCTGCAGCGCCCGCTTCCTCATCACCGGCCGCCCCTCCGCCAGCGCCCCCAGCAGCGCGTCCCGCATGCGGCAGTGCTCCGCCCCCAGCAGCCCGCCCGCGCGCTGGATGAGCTCCGTCAGGATGTCCAGCACGTGCCCCACCACCTCGCTGTCGTCCTGTGGGGGGGGGGAGGGGAGGGGTGGTGGTGGGAATGGGATGGGGGGGGGGTAAGGAAGCATGCGCTGGAGGATGGGAAAGGAGGAATGATGGGCGGGGGGGAGGGAGGGGCAGAGAGGGAGAGGAGGAGGAAGGCAGGTCCTCCATGCTCTTATCCTCCTCACGCATCACACCTGCCACCCCCCTGCCCCTGCCGTACACCTCGTACACCCTACCTTGTGCGCTGCCAGCCCCTCCAACATGCGACCCGCGATGATGGTGGCCGCGCTGCTCGCCAGGTGGCTGCTGGCGTGCGGCACACCACCACCCCCTGCAGCACCACCCCCGCCCCCTCCCTGCAGCTCCTTGATCAGCGCCTTCAGGCCGATGGCGGCGATCTCGCGCTGCGCGTCGCGGGCCTTGCTGGCGGCGCTGGTGCCGCCGGAGGCGGGGCCGCCGCCCGCGACCTTGTCGCACAGCTGCCGCACCATCTCCTCGGCGCGCACGTCCGCGACCTTGCGGGCTAGGTGGCCCAGGCTGTGAGGGGTGGAATAGAGGGGTGGGGATGAGGGTGGGAGATACAAGGAATGTCAAAATGAGTGATTCAGAGGGGTAGGTTGAGGGGTTGAGGTTAAGGGACATGTTAAGAGGATGTCGGGTTGGGTGACGTCCGCAAATGCATGCGAGACACGCAACCTGCATTATTGCACTTCATTAACGTTTATATTCCGGCTCCATTTCGGGATTTTCTCAAGGCAGAGGCGGGCATGACGTGCGGCATGTTGCCGATCCCAACGGCTAGAGCTTGCTCACCAGCTGACGGCCAGGTTAGAAATGTCTCCAGACTGGTCTTCCAGTTGGTTCAGAACCACAGCGCACAGCTTCTTCTCCAATTCAGCATCCGCCTTGAAAGTGTCCTTCTGCAGCTCTTGCAGCAAGTCGGAAGTCGCCATGTAGCGAAAATCCTTATCCTTGCTTGCAATCTTCTCCAGAATGACGACAAGCGCTGTGTTCGCCATTTTGCTAGACGCGCGTGCGCTCCCGAAACACCCAAAGGAAGTTCAGGAGTCTGACGCGCTAGGGCGCCAAGAGTAAGTGTTTAGCCTCTGGTAGTGTGCCCAGATCAAGAGTAGGACAGAACGCTAGGCCAAAAGAGTGCCGCCGGGCACTTGGACAAGTTAATGGTGTATCCCGCCACGAGATCTTGAGGATGTTAGGACTAACAGCAAGCCCTACACACCGTTTTCCTGGTGTTTCCCTGTAGGAAGTAGCTTGAAACAAAAGCCAGATTATTAATAGAGGCCCATTAGTGTTCTGGTGATTGTCGTGCAAACCTCCCAATTGCGACTGCGATGAAGTATCAGGGGGACAAATTAGGTAAGTATCAGTAATTTCATTTTTTTATGAAGTAGTTGTGAAGTAACCAAACACAAGATGGAGGCATCATCTGACGGATCAGGCTTGCCACTCGTCAGGTGCGGCACGGGACTAACAAATGGCACCGAGCTTACAATGCTCTCTTGCAAGGATACCTGAAAGCCAAAACTCCGAATATACCTTGGGGCAAGATGGTCACGGCGCCGTTACACAACGCAAAACAGTCCCCTTAGCCGAGCCCCTCGCTCCTGCCCCGCCCCGCAGCCCCGCGCTGGCCCTTGAGCTGCTCCGGACACCGCCCGCGCCCCTACCCAAGGTGCGGTAACATACCTCGCCAACTCCTGCACCATGTCAGCTGCACGCGCTTTCCCAACCTCTCCCCACTGCTGCTAACCATGCACACGGACGCCGAATACCTCCTTTCTAGTCGCGCTCACACCCTGCAGTACCGCGCCACCTCCTCGCCGCCAAGCGCCCAGCCCTGCCTCCCTCCTGGCCCCTCCCTGCCTCCTCCCGCCAGACGGACCCCATGCTCTTCGGTCGCCATGTGCTGGCGGAGGCGAGGAGCAGACCCCCCTGCCCGGCAGCAGCAGCCGCAGCAGCAGCGGCAGCAGCGGCGGCGGAGGCAATGGCTGATGATGGGGCAGCTGACGGCACGGTGATAGCAGCAGCGGAGGCTGAGGGGACGGAAGGGGCGTCATGCGGTGCCGGCAGCCCCGGCAGCTACACCCCGGGGGCTGAGGCTGAGGCTGGGGCTGCTGCTGCTGGCTCCCGCCCCCAGCGGCAGCGGCGGCGGCGCTACCGTCAGCTGCCTGTTCGCTCCGCTGCCGAGCTGTCGTACGATGAGTTCGTACGGCATTTCATGGCGCCCAACCGACCGGTGGTCATCCGGGTACGGCAGCAGCAGCCGCAGCAGCAGGGGGCGGTATGGGTGCGGGGTGTCGGGATGTCGGGAGCGGTCCTGGGAGGCCCCTGCTTCTGCGCCCGTGTCCTCTGCCGTGTGTACGTGCGGCCTACGCCGGGCCTGCTTAGACCCATGCCCCCGACCCGGCACCCCTCCCACCCCGCCTTCAGCTCACACCTCCCCTCTTTCCCACCCAGTAGGGAGTGACGGCGGGCTGGCGGGCCGCTGCTGAGTGGCGCCTACCCCCAGCAGCAGCGGCAGCAGGGGGAGCAGGAGCAGGGGGCGACGGGGCGGCAGCAGGAGCAGGACCAGGAGCAGGCGGGTGTTGTTGCGGCGGCGGCGGGGGCGAGGTGGCGGTGGCGGCGTTGGAGCGGGTGGCGGGGCACTGCACCGTGAGCGTCACCGATACACACACGTGAGCCCTGAGACACACGCAGCACCCGGGGGGGGGCGCATGTGCACCTGCGTCCGACCGACCCATGGGTCCCGCACCTGGCAAAGCCCACGCCGGCTGTCACGACGGTACATGACTCCCAGCCGCCTGTCTGCCCACCTGCAACATACCCCTCCGCTGCGATGCCGTACACTGCACTTCTGCGCACTGCATGCTGGCCGCCAGAATCTGAAGTTAAAAACTGCCGCCCCACGCCCCACGCCCACGTCCTCCCTGAAAGCCGTGCTCCTGCTTACAACCTCCCGACTCCCCGCATGGCTTCCCCCCAACCCGATCCCCTTCCGCACCCCTGGTTCACAGTCAGGCACACGAGGGCTGCGGCGAGGTGCGGTGCATGCCGCTGCGGGAGTACCTGTCCTGGTGGCGGCAGTGGCATGCGGCTGGGGGGAGGCAGGGGGCGGCGGGAGGGGGGCAGCAGCAGCAGGGGGGGAGCGGTCAGCAGCAGGGGGGAAGCGGCCAGCAGCAGCAGGAGGGGGAGCAGGAGGGGGGGCTACAGGCGGCTGAGCAGCAGCAGGGCGAGCAGCCGCCCCAGCTGCGGCAGCAGCAGCAGGCGGCTGGTGGGGTCCCTGTGGCGGCTGCCTCCCCCCCGGCTGGCGGCCCGAGCAGCGGGGGGCTGCTCTACCTCAAGGACTGGCACTTCGCAGCGGACCTGCCGGGATACGGGGTGGGTGGACGGGGGCTGCAACGGAGGTGTGTTGGTGTACGCAGATGCGCGTGTTGCATGCATGGGTTGCACATGTGTCCGCCCACGGCCCCTGCCGCCGCAGATCGCAACTCAAACCGTATCCCCACCTTCCTCCCCACCTTCCCCCAGGCCTACCGTGTCCCGCTGTTCTTCCGGGAGGACTGGCTCAACGCCTACTACGACAGCCTGGCGGGGCAGCAGCCTGGCCGACAACACCACCACCACCACCAGCAGCAGCAGCAGCACAGCGGCGCATGCAGGGACGACCAGGACAGCAGCAGCAGCACTGGGACCGGGACCGCCACCGCCCGGCAGCAACACCACCACCCGCCCTCCGCCTTCGCACCCCCTGCGGAGAGTGACGTCCCCGCCAGCACCGCCACCACAGCCGACCCATCAGCCCCGCATGGCGATCTGGACCGCTTCCCCGCATGCAGCCCCTCCTCTCCCACCACCCCCACCACTCCCACCACCTCCCCCGCCCCCACCCGCACCAGCACCTCCGACTACCGCTTCTGCTACCTGGGCCCCGCGGGCTCCTGGACGCCCCTGCACTCCGACGTGCTGCGCTCCCACAGCTGGTCCGCCAATGTGGCGGGGCGCAAGCGCTGGCTGCTGCTGCCGCCGGAGCGCACACACCTTGTGTACGACAGGCGGGGGGGCAGGCTGGCGCCACACTTGGAGCCGGAGAGGGTTAGGGAGCTGGCGGGAGGAGGAGGAGCGGGGGGAGAGGGAGGTGGAGCAGGGGAGGAGGAGGAGGAGTTTCCGTACCTGCGGGAGGCGCTGCCGTACGTGTGCGAACTCATCCAGGCAGGTGGCTGGGGGGCTGAGGGGGGAGGGTGTGATTTGTGGAAAACTGAGGGAAAGAGGAATGTGCGGGAGGGAAAGGGATAGGAGGGGTTACGGTAGGTATGTGGACCACTTGCCCCTCCTGCTCACCATGCTTCCCCCTTCCATGCCCTTGCTCCCATCCGCACCCCTCCTCCTCCCACCACCCTTCTTCCCACCACCCCCTCATCTCCCCCCCCCAGGAGGCGGGTGACGCCGTGTTCGTGCCCAGCGGCTGGCACCACTGCGTGGAGAACCTGGCCGCCACGCTGTCGATTAACCACAACTGGGTCAACACCCATAACGCACATTGGAGCTGGGCGCTGCTGAGGGCGCAGTACGCGCAGGCAGCGGAGCAGATTGAGGACTGCAGGTGAGGGAGGCGGAGAGAAGCGGTGCTTATCCGCTGTTTTAGTCCTCTTCGTACTAAGCGAAGTACGCTTTTTTCGTGCTTGTCGTACACTGCTGCTGTGACTGGTGCTGCTGCTGTTGTCGTACACTTGCAGGCCGCTGTGCGCTGCTGATGAGTTCGAGGATCTGGTCCAGGGCAACCTGGCGGCGGAGGCGGGGCTGGGCTGGGGCGGGTTCGTGGAGCTGCTGGGGTGTGCGGTGGCGAGGGCGCTGAGGGACATGGACGCGGACATGGACATGGACATGGACATGGGTGGCAGGACATGTCAAACGGCCGAGGATGGCGCTGCTGCTCGCCGAGTGGTGGAGGAGATGACTGTTAAGGAGGCGGAGGAGGCTGGCGCGTTGTATATGAATGGGCTACTGGCCTTGCAAAGGGCAGGTGAGGTGTGAGCAGGGATTGGAACGATGCCTGGAAGTCGACATCTTGGCGAGGAAAACGTGTTGCTTTATGCTAACGTCTTACGTACATGCTTTCGTGCAGGTTTGGTGCTCATAGACTTTGTCCAGGCGTCTGAGGAGTTGGTGCTGGCACCGGCGAGGAAAGAGGCAGCGCGAAAGACGCGCCGCGGAGGGGATGCGAAGGAGACGGAGGACGCGCTTCGGCGCTTGCAAGAGAAGCCATCCTTCACAAGAGCTAACGATTTGCTTCTAATATGCCAGCAGAAGCTTGGCCCGTTGTTAACTTAGTCGGTTGGGTCTGCCGGAGTTCAGTTGCTGTCAGTTACCCGCGAAGAGACACTCTTGCGTGTTGTCTGTGATATGTCGCTCGTTAAGATTCACCTGACATATCCTTCTTGACCGACTCCTATAACTTCGCGACAAGCGTGCATTCTTTTCCAATTTTGTTCTAAAGTTCTTCTTCACCTTAAGTTCGCGGCCTTATAGATGCGACGCTCGGACAAAATATATAATTGGATAACATAGGCGTAGCAGGTTCCTTAACTTGCACACAGTGCTGCAGCGAGGGCTTTCGCATTGTATGTTCCCTTGCGTCGCACGACAACGAGTAGCGGTTGCGCTCCTTTTGGCGACCTCCTGGCAGGTGGTTAACGGGAAATGGGCTGCTCTCTTCTTTATGCTTGACGAGCGTGCGCAGCAACTGCATGTCCTTCACATGTCCCTCAAGTGACAAAGCAAGCCTCAAGTCTTGTGCAGAGTTGCTTGCACTTAGAGCTGTCAGTGAAGTGCCACCTCCATTTTGGTTGGCAGCGACGCATTTGCATTTATGGAAAGGCCAGCCCCTCTCCGTACAGCCACACAGCGATAGCTTTAACCCACAATCTCCAACTCCCCACCTGCTCCCAGATCGTAGCTGGCCAAACGCTATGCCTCAAGTTCTCTACCGCGGCCGGACAAACTCAATTCGATGATGCCTGCTGGGCACAAGGTACGACAGCTGCTAGAGCCTGCTAGGGTCCGCACAATGGCTGCGTGAAGTATCGTATACGCTATACCGTTAGTCCAACGCACGCCCGGTGCTGAGGTCTCCATACTACCGGAGTTCCAACCATAAACTTTCGACCCCTCAATCGCTGTTGCTCGGCCCTTCAACTGTCCAAACACAGTGCTCCCCACCCACCCCCGCTGCCCCCCACAGACCCCTGCGGCCGCAATGTCACCATCCCAGCCGCCTGGAACTACTCCACCCCCTGCCCCTCCGCCTCCTCCTCCAACTCCTCCACCGCATGCGAGGCCCTGCCAGCGCAGTACGGCAGTTGTACTGCATGGATCCAGATCTCCAACACCACCCGGGTGGCCTGCCGCGCGCTGCAGTGCTGCGCCAGCACCTACGGCCAGCGCTACAACGCCACCTACTGCACCCCCAAGAATGTGACGTGCATGGACAGCGGGCCGGGGCTCATATCGTGCATGCCGTACTCGGCATGTCCGGCAGGCAGGTGGCGGGGGTGGTGCCGTACATGCTGTCAGGCCTGCTGGGCCTTGGGATGGGAGAAATAGGGGGGCTCCGCGAAAGGCAAGGAACGTAGAGTAGGGTACGGGGAGAGTGCGTGAGCTGGTTTACCTGCAGCTGTAGGTTCCGCCACTGCGTTCTTCCGCTGATGTTGGGGCATCTGCGCTGCTGTAGTCATGACATGAGCCTGCTAACGTCGGAATGCGGGGAGAACGCAATACAAGGGATGACACACACGTGGGGGCTAGCTAGGATCCGCCCTCTGATGCCTTATGGCGGTTATACGAGGAGGTACCTGCCTGCTGCGCTGCCCGCACCTGCTCCCCTGCCCTCCCCTCCCTCAGGCAGTGTCGTATCCGCATCAGGGGGCTGTGTGACGGCGCCGCCCACATCCCCGCCGCGACCGCCCTACCCACCGCGCCCGCCGCCCTTCCCGCCGCCATCTCCCAAACCACCCTCTCCCAGCCCTCCCCTCCCTCCATCGCCCCCGCCGCCATCCCCACTACCCCCCAAGCCGCCCCTCGCCCCACCTCCCCCCTTTCCACCCCGCTGGCCCTTCCCCCACGTCCCCTCCCTGCCTCCCTCACCGCCTCCGGAGCCCACCCAAGCCTTCAGCCCCTTCCAGCCTGCCTACCCCTTCAAACCCCTTCCTCCTCACCGACCCCCCTACCCTCAAACCCCGAACTTCATCTTCGGTTCCAGCGTGCCACCTCGCCCGCCCCCACCCCCGCTATACTCCCCTCCGCAGCCCCCACCGCCCCCGAACCAGCCCCACCGCCCGCCGCCTCCGCCACCACCTCCCTCGCCTCCGCCGCCACCACCCTCACCACCGCCGCCGCCACCACCGCCTCCCAGCCCCGGCTCACCCCCACCCCCACCAGGCTCCTCCTCCCCCTCGCCACCATCACCACCGGCGCAGCCCGCATCGTTAACCGACACCAACCAACCGCCCCCACCGCCCCAGTCGCCTCCTGGGGACTCCAGCGGCTCTCTGAGTGTGACGGACGACAGTGGCGGCGGGCAGACCTCCAAGGCGGTCGCAATCACCGTGACGGTGGTGATTGCGGTGGCGGTGCTGGCCGGTACGGAGAGGAAGGGGGCGGATGTACGAGCGGGCTGACTACTAGCGGGCTGAAGGGGGGGCACGTGGTTCCCTGCATTGCTTCCTAACACTCGCTGCTAGGGGTGTGCAGGTGGGGGAGGGGCGGACAGCCCCCACCTCCTGTGTTCTTTTGGCTTACGGGTTATAGCTCCAACCAGGGAGCCATGCACGATGTGGGGTATCCCCATGGTGCTCCACCGCAATTCAAGGCTAACGTCCTGCTTTCCGTTGCCCCCTATCGTATACAACTCTTATCCAACTCTTTAGTCGTGCTTCTGCTGCTGCTGTGGGCGTGTCGCCGGCGCCCTTCCGCGGAGGCCGCACCACCTGGGGCCGCTGCGGCTGCTAGTGATGCTGCTGGTGCTGCTACCTACAAGGGGCGTAACAGCACCCTCCCGAAACCACCCCCGTTGGGGCCTCCGGGGCCCGCTTCTAAATACTCTGTATACGGACCTACGGCGGCGCATTGTACGGCAGCAGCTGCTGCTGGGGACGGCAGTACGACAGATGACGTGAGCCAGTCTGCCTCCGCGAGCGGTCGGGGTAGCGGCGCCAGCAGCGGCGGCGGTTTCCGGGGGTCACTTCGCTTGCCACCGCACTTGCAGGTGGGTTGTTGGGCTGGAGGTAGTGGCGAGGGGGCAAGGCAGGGGGCTGCAGCTGTGGGCTGAGGCAGCCGGGAGGCGCCCTTCCGCCTGCTGGACTGCAGAACACGTACGAGCGTGATGTAATGTGCTCAATTGCATGGAGGGGGAGGGGCTGTCTGACTTGTGCTTCTGTGATAGGCGCGGTGGAGCGTGGGGGTTTGGCCTTGTAGGAGACTAAGGAGAGTGGCGTTGCACGACGACGAGCGCGGGATCAATGAGCGCGGGTGGTCAAACCTAAACTTGCTGTTCCACCGCCCTGACCTGCAGGCCGACGCAGCAGCCCATGTATGGCACCAACCCCATGCAGCGCCGCAACCCCGCGAGACGCATGCGTCGCGACCCATGGGTCTCTCAGCTGCAGTCGCTGCGAGCCTGGATGCCGCCCGGTTGCCTGCTGACGGGCGGCTGGCCAGGCTGCTGCTTGCGTCGGGAGGCGGTCCGGGGGGGTTCCTGTCCGGGGTGCGGGGAAGCGGTGGTGGGGATGGGGGCCTAGGGAGGCCGAGGTGGCCTCCTGGGAGGGAGCCGGGCTGGCGCCTCGGCAGTGGTGGTAATGGTGGTGGTGGCGGTGCCGCGGGGCGGTATGGGAACAGCAGCTCGTACTGCAATCCCATGTACGACAGACTTCCTCCTCCTGCGGATCGATAGCTAGCTACCTTTGATAGCTGGCGAGCTGGGAGCAGCCGGTTAGCGGTAGTTGCATGACCTGGGCTTAACTTTATTTGCGACAAGAATGAATGCTTTAGATATACCGGTATCGCGTTGAAGAAGCTGAGACCCTGGTCCAGGAGGGAGATTTCATTGGGCTGGGTTGCGCGGGACATTGGGCTGGGTTGCGCGGGAGCGAGCTTGGCTGGGATGTTAGGTTGGAGGAATTTTCTGAAACTATCCGATGGAAGGGAATTAATCGGTATGTACAAAGGCGCGCGGACATAGCTGCATCCCTACCCGATTACCGGTATCAACGACGGCCTTAGCACTGAGGTTTACCGGTTCCATTGCCCTGTGAATAAGCGCCTAGGATTCGCAGTAAATGACCAAGCGACTTGGCCTTGCTATCAGGCTGGTACCTGGTATGCTACAGAACATATGCTGCTGAAGACATTTTGCTGATTCGCCGTACCTCGTTCGTCTTGGGTCGCCAGAACCGACTGACATGTAACGCTTGCCACCCACAGCACCAGCGCAAACACGCAGTAAAACTGTAAACTGACTTCGTTACATACATCAATCTTGTTCGGTATTACACCGTTCCTGGTGCTGGTCAAAGCCCTAACCCGTGGGCGCATAGCAACAACTTCCCACGCGTCCACAGAGCGTCAGACAATAGGCTAACTAGCTAAAACCATAACAATGCTCTCCTTCGGCTTCTCCTACTACCTGTGCCTCTGCGCGCAGCTGTTCTACCCCACCTACGCCTCCTTCCTGGCGCTTCAGAGCTCATCCAAGATAGACGACACGCAGGTGGGTGCGGGCTTGGGAGCTGCACTAATGAATGCTCTCAGCGGCCAGAGCATGTCTAGCTAATTGGCCATGTGGCCAAAATATTGGGCCTTGCTGCTGCTGATGCAAGTTGCTTGCACGCCGCTGAACTGTTACCTTACCACCCCAACCACCGTGTTCCCTTTCCTTCCCTCAACCATGTGTGGTGCTGCCCGCAGTGGCTGACGTATTGGGTAAGGTCCGGGTTCACACATGAGTGAATCGACAGTTGTTACAGTGATCCCAAACACATGGCAGGGCCTACGCTTGGCAGACGCAGGATGGCCCGCCCATCCACCTATCTAGTTGGCAAGCAAGAACCCCTTCCTCACGGCCACTGCTGCTGTTACCTTGCTAGGTGGTATATGCCTTCCTGACCACCTTCGAGAACCTCAGCTGGGTGGTCCTCAACTGGTGGGGAGGGCTGCTGGGGTGGTTCCGGGTTTGCATGAAACTATGGCGGAGGTTCGGGAAACGACCCGCGGGTCATCCGATCGTTGGGAAACGTGTTGGAGGATGGAACCCTCCCCCACGAAGGCTGCTGTACTTCGGTTGAAACAGCATCAAGTCTGGGGCTGCACAAGCTAGCTGCTGTTGCACCCCCACCCCCCCTGCGCACACACGCCACTCCAGGGTGCCCCTCTACTACGAGGCCAAGTTCCTCTTCCTGCTGTGGCTGGTGGCGCCGCAGACGCAGGTGGGTGGGTGGGTCCCGAGCAGCTGCACGCGGCACACAGCAGCGTGTAGATAGGCAGGACTTCTATAACGCGGACCCACGGGTCGTTCAGAAGTGTCACCATGAACCCTGTTTAACCTGTACAAGCAGCACAACCTTTTGGGGCAGCTGCAACGCCCTTTTGGGTTTCACCCAATCACGCCCTCGCCCCCTCACCAGGGCGCCCGCAAGATCTACGAGGACGTGTTGGTGCCGCTGGTGGGGGCCTGGATGGGGTGATGGGGGGCGCCTGGGGCGTGGACTGTGTGATGGGGGGCGTGTGGAAGGGGGCTTGACGGAGAAGGCTTATGACCCGACACCCGAGGGGGGGGCTGGGCGCTGCTGAATGGGGTCGAAAGGAAGCCACGCGGCTGGTGAAGGCACCGCAGCACCCCCTTGTGGTCATGGCTGGGCTGCATTAGGAGCTGGGGGCTGCGTTGTCTGAGTACTGGTAGACTCGCCGATTTCTATTTCTGCAAGCATGACGCATCGGTGCTGCAGTAGACAAGTTCTAGCAGGTCTTTGTTAGGCCTCCGCATTATTAGGCCTTGCGTCATGTCCCCTCTAGGTCATGCCTTACAATTGTAACAGCGTCCATGCATAAGACCCGTTGAATGGCCCGCCTGCACGATGCGCATGCTCTGCACGCCACCGCAGTTGAAGAAGTACGGCAAGCACATCGACCCCATCTTCGGCCGGGCGGACGCGCTGTTCCAAAGCCGGCTGGCGAGCGAGGTGGCGGCCTACATGGACAAGCACGGAGCTGCCGTAGTCGATCGCGCACTTAAAAAGGTACGACAGAGTGTAGGGCAAGGGTACGGCAACCGGGTACGGCAACCTGGTACGGGAACCTGGTACGGGAACCGGGTACTGAGCGTTCCTTTTGTTGGGGCCCCTCCGTTGGTCAGTATTTCCCGCGGCCCCACAAAGGGGTCTCTGTGAATCCCGTTCGTTGCCTCCCATCACCGGGATCTGCCAACCGCAGGCGCATGAGCACGAAATCGAGCAGGACGGGCGCCCGAGTGCCCCGCCGGAGACATCTGCCGCCTCCTCCTCCCTCTCCACCTCCTCCCCCGTGCATCCCCCGCGCCTGGAGCAGAAGCAGCAGCAACAGCAGCAGCATTACGATGCGCCGCAGGGAATGAGCTTCTAGGGCTCGTGAGTTTGGGTGCGGGAGATGATGGTTAGGAGCTTAGCTTGTTGTTTAACGCCAATCGACGGTGTAGGAGGCTACAAAAGGTTCAGGATGTGTTGAGGGCCCTTCTCGTACAAAGCCGGTACGGCCGTTCTGCAAGGCCGTACGGCTCCGTAAGCGGCGGCTACAGTTTTACCTTTGTTGTCTAGTGTTCGGGCTGACTGGTGGAAGGGCTATTGAACTGATGGTGTGGGGGTGTTGTGTTGATATCCACGGTGCCCTGGTGGATCCAAACAAACAGCATGATTGTAGGACATGTTGGGGAAAACATTGGGGCTGATTCCGGTATTCGGCCGAGATACCTGCTGTAATCCTCATTTGTTGACGATGCCGTGAATTGCAGTTATTAATAAAGGCCAGGAACATACAAGGGTGCCTGAAGCTCCTCCAGCCCCCATAACAACCTGACGAGGGGTGATGCAGGCTTACAAGTGCGTGCACAATGGCAGGCTAGAAGCAAGCAGGCAGCCATGCTGCTAGCGTGGGACGGGTTTCGGCAGTGAACAGAGGGCATCGCAGTTGCCTGGAGCTGATTAAAGCGCAAGCGGCGTTCAGCCGTTCACCCCAACCGTGCTCTGGGCAACACGGCGATCCCCCAAAAGCCAATTGCGCCAATCTAAGCAGCAATTATGTAGCTACCAGTAAACGGTGCGTTCGCAATGCAATATTGGTTGGAAAGTGTTGGAGGTGCCCGGCAGCTATCTGATTTCGCCGGCCAGAAGTACGGCATGTGTAGGATCCTGTAGGGCTATGAAAGGTATGCTCGCATCAATGCGTATTGCGCCCCCTTGGTTTCATTATTTGCAAAGAGAATCAAAAGAAGCTAGGCCGTGCGCGAGCGTTAGTTCTGCGTTCGCGGTCGCATGACTGTGTAGACTCCATTGCGAAGCCACGGCTATGCGAAAATCCTGCGTCACTCAACTGTTTAATAGTGCAGAATCTCAAACCTGTATCTATAATGGGTTACCAACGCTCGGGCCTTCGTGTCGAATAAAGCGAAATGTAGCGGCATGCAGCGGCATCCTACCACACCAACGCGCCAAAGTGCGCCGCGCTCAACACCACCTCCATATACCCTGTCCATATCAATCTTTGCGCTGTCGCTCGGCAGCTGCGGCAGTCGCTTCGTCGGACAATGGTGACGATGCGCCTGGCGCAGATGGTGTACGGCAGTATCAGCGGGAGCTGCTGGGCCGCATGATGTCCTTCCTGGGTCCCGCCACCCTCATACCGCTGGGCGACCCGCTCATGAGCCTCGTGGATACCGTGTGCATTGGCCAGGTGGGTAAACAGTGACCAATTACAGGTTACAGTCCCGTACCATTGTGGAGTGTGGCCGTATGAGCCAAGGGTATGTGAGGGCATGTGCCTCCACCCCTACTTAGCTGGAGGACATGGGAGGGCTTGCAGCGGCTGGGGACTGTGTGAAGCGGGTAAGTGCTTGTCGAGGAGATCCGGACCATGCAGGACGGGGTTGGGAATGGAGCTGCGCGATGTGCTGGGCTGGATCACCACCAGGCGCAACCCCCTTCCCGCCCCCCCCCTGCCGTACAGTTCGCGGGCACCAGCCAGCTGGCGGCGCTGGGCCCCGCCAACCTGGTGTTCTCCTTCGCGCAGTACATGTTCCAGTCGCTGCAGGTGGCGGCACTCAGGTCAGTTTTGGAGGTAAAGAAACAACGAAACAACGAACTGGCCGTGTGATAAGGCGTCATCTTGGTGGGGTACTGCGGTACCGTACGCAAGTGGCGACTTCCCTCAAGTGGTGAAGAGGAATGGGCGTTGGCAGGAGGGTTGTCACAGGCAGCCATGCAAGCAGCCCTCCACCCCGCCCTCTCTCCCTACACTGCCGCACCCTAGTGCCTCCGCACATGAGTGCTCTTCCCGGGTCCACTCCCGCCCCCCGCCCTCCGCCCCCGCCCCCCAGCCTTCTAGCCGGCTACCTGCGTGACGGGCGGATACGGCGAGGCGAAGAGACGCTGAGTACGGCGGTGATGATGGCGGCCTTGTTCGGCCTGGCCACCATGTGTGTTCTGGAGGTGAGGAGGCAGCCGCCGCGCCGCCCCTCCTCCCCCCTATCCTCTCCTTCAGCCTAAGTACCATTACCGTACCAGTATGACCCTGACCGCGCCACTTCGCAACCCCCATCTCAGCTCACCCCATCCTCCTACCCACAAATCGCGGCCCCAACTCAGCCGCAGGGCATCTGCTTCTCCGTACCCTTTCCTAAACCCCCATTTCTTCTTCTCCTTCCCCCCACCCCACTCTGACCTCGCCCTCTCTGACCTCTTTCCCTCCCGGCCCCCGCCCCCGCAGTCCTTCCCCGAGGCCATCATCCGCGCCACCGGCCTCCGCGACCCCGCCCTGCTGCCCCTCTCCGCGGAGTACCTCCGCCTCCGCGGCCTGGCGCAGCCCGCCGTGCTGGTAACCCTGGTGGCGCAGAGCGGCCTGCTGGCTCAGCAGGACTCCACCACCCCCGCCATCACGGTAGCCGCATCCGTGCTGCTCAGCCTGCTGGGCAGTGTGGTGTTCGTGGCGGGGCTGGGCTGGGGGCTGGCGGGCGCGGCGGGTACGACGGTGGTCTGCCAGTATGTGGGCGCGGGCGCGCTGCTGTACGCGCTGTCGGTGCGGGGGAAGGTGAGGGAAGGGGGGGGGAATTAGCCCACGGGTGAGGGAGTTGCGCCACGGGTGACCCGTGGGTCGGGTCAGTGGGTCGGGTTAGCTACAGGGTAGCTCGTACGGGCCTTGTGAGGCCGATCTTAGTAGGATTGACCCCTTCCTTCATGGTCCCCAAGGCCTACAATGTCTTGGCAAACCGAGCATCGTCCTCCTGTTTAAGCCCCCACGCCACCTCAACCCGCGCCCTTTCCCCGCCCGCTCCCGCAGCTCCGCGTACGGCTGTCCCCTCCCCGTCGTGAGGTGGTGTGGCAGCTGCTGCGAACCATGGGTCCGCTCTCCATCACCTACCTCTGCAAGAACGTGTCGTACCTCTTCATCCAGACCACCGCCGCCACACTCGCCACCACCAAGCTAGCAGCGCACCAGGCGCTGTTCGCGGTGTGGAACGTAAGTGGGGTGCGCTTTGCACCGTACCCTTCCTTCGTCGTACATCTCAGAAGTCTTCCCGTACATTCCCCTTCCCTCGACCACCCGCACACACGCATCTCGCGGCCAGTTCTCTACGTTCCAACTCGCGGCCTGTTTGTTTTGACGCACGCATCTCTCTGCTTCCCCGGCCCCCCCTCTGCCTCCCTCTCCCCGCAGCTCCTCTCCTGGACGGTGACTCCCCTGGAGCAAGCCGCCCTCACCTACCTGCCCGGACACACCGGCTGGCGCAAGTCCGCGGGCATCGTTCTCCTTGTCAGCCTGGGCGCAGCGGGCGGAGTGGTGTGCGGCGCCGCGCTGGCAGCTCTGGTGTGCCTGGCCCCTCAGCTCATGACGCGCGATGCCGCCGTATGGCCGCACATGCAAGCGGTGGCGGGGCTGGCCTCGGCGTCCATGCTGGCCCTGGGGGCGGATGTGGTGAGCAGCGGAGTCAACATCGGGCTGGGGGATGCGCGCTACGTGGCGCAGTCGTACGTGATCACGTTGGCGGCGCTGGGGACGTTCATGGCGGTCAGCCGGGCAGCGGGGTGGGAACTGGCGGGGGTGTGGGCGGGGGTGGTGGTGTTCTTCGGAGTGAGGGCGGCGCAGAGCACCGGGCGGGTGGCGTGGCGGCATTTGAGGAGGAGGGGAGGTGGGGCGGAGAAGGAGGAGGGGAGGAAGGGGGAGGAGGCTGTGAGGGGTGGGGATGGGGGAGGGGAGAGGGGTGGGGTGCGGGGAGCGGCGGGTGATGGGGTGACAGGGAGTGAAGCGAAGGGGGCAGGGGGGAGCAGCTGGGAGGTGGGGTCGGGGCTGGGGCCGCGGGCGGAAGCAGCGGCGGAGGCGGGTGCGGAGGTGGGGCTGGTGGAGGCGGTAGGAGGAGAGGAGGACGGAGGGAAGGTAGAGCAGCGGCAGCGAAGAGTGCAGGCGGCAAATGGAGCGGACAGCTCAGGTGGTGGTAATGGAGGTAGCGAGGGTGGGAGCGTCACCGCTGCTGGCGGCTGAGGTGGTTGGGACCTCACTGGGCGTACGGGTGGCGCGCGTTGATTGCATGAGGGCAGCATGGCGTTCAACGCTTGGGGCTTCATACCCTTGTATTTTACCGCGTATCACTTGTCAGGGGCCGCATGACCGCTCCCAGCAATGGCAACACCTCTGCGGCTGTGTGGCGCCTAGCGATGTGGCCCACGTAACCGCTCGTGGACCCATCCTCGACATGACAACCTGAACTCAACCTTTTGTAGCTCCCTGCTGTTCGTACTTGTGGGGCATACGCGTTTATGATTTTAACCCAACCCCCGAGGCCAAAAAGAGGGAATTGTAAACCAGCAGGGGTGTGGTCCCATCGAGCATCATTCCTCGCGGCCACATATGTGGGTGGCTGGCGGCGGGAGTCAGCCGGGGCTCCGCCGGGCGCTGCTGCATCAACACACCGAAAGCCTGTCTCGACCTTTCGTCAAGCCTCAGCAACAACCCAGTTCGCTGGGAGTCACCAATACACCGAGATACTAAGACACCGAGCCAAGCGAAGCAGAGCCAGCAAGTCAAACTGTGTGGGGCGCAAAACCGTCCGTAGACAGTTGTATAGTGGCTGCTGTAAACCACTAGCAAGAGTATGGTACTAGCAAGAATACGGTAACGTCAACATTTGTCGGGGCCACTGACAGCTGTGCCTATACGACTTATGAACTACAAACTGCACTAACCGTCCCCGCCAGGCAACGAAGGCTGACCATTGTCTAATCCTTTTACTTCTGCTTGGGAGACCCACGGGTCCATCCAGAGTCCTAGACGACCACAGGCCGAATACAGCTCAGTAGCGTTCCATTCAATGCAAGACAACAATTAAATGCACGTAAATGCTGTCCTCGTCTGTGGCTCACGGCATACACGCACGTGCACTATTGACATCCCGTATAGTGCAAAATCAACGCATTCACTCTACATCACCATCTGCTTAGCCAAATCACGGCGAGGCTCGCTCCGGTGTCCTATATATAACAGCTATCATGAAGACCTTTGGCCCTAGATGATACACCTTAGCCCCCGACCCCCCTGGCCGACTGCCTGCCCATGCAGCCTTTCCTTAAGCGCCTCAGGCACCAATGCCCCAACATCCACACTCTCTACTTCCCCACTTCCCAAGCAGCCAACCATGTGATGAGGCTTGCGCTCGCCACAACAGCGAACAGACGCATGTAATCACCTCAGAGCAATGACACGAGGGCCCCAGGAACCCAAACCCACAAACCCCTGCTCCGGCTTACAGTTCATGCTTGGACTTGTCAATCACGGGAGCGCACACCTTGTACTCGGGGAACTCGTACCCGGACACGCACTGGTGGTTGGCGCCGCAGTGCTCGTCAGCTGTGCAGAAGCAGTCCAGGTGGATGGCGCAGCCTGGACAGCAAGTGCGGTGGGGAGGAGGCAAGCAGCTTAGCGGGCCACGTCAAGGGACAGTCTGGCAGTTGAGTTGAAGCCATGCATGCCGTACCCACAGGTCCGGTAACACTAGGGCCTTGAGTGCTTCTCTGGTGAGGCGCAGGCCAACCGTGTCCTGGTTCAGAGACAATGTAACCCCGAAACAGCTCCTAACCACCCGTCACCTTCTTACCGGGATAGTAGACTGGGCCGCGGCGCTCCACCACGTCCTGGAACAGCGGAGGCATGAAGATGCTCGAGGGATCGTACTCCGCACGAACTGCCAGGAACTTATCGAACGAGGCGCCGTACAGGTCGCGGACCGCACAGGGCCCACGCAGAAGGCGGTTGGTGGCAAACGCCCAATGCGGGCGCCCGCCGTACTTGCACAGCGTCATCTGCAGCAGCTCCTCATGCAGCCGGGCGAACTTGAGGTGCAGCCCCGACCCGGCCGCCATGTGGGAGCTGAGGGTGGATAGCTCGATCGCCACCACCTGGCGGCCGCTGCTGAGCGCCATGGGTGCGTCCGACTCGCCCACGAAGCGGAAGTTCAGGACGAAGGGCGGGCAGCCGCGGGCATGACGCAGCACTGCGCGTGCGTCCGCAAGCCATGCGGAGAAGTCCTGGGAGTGGATGGCCAGCTCGTAGGGGGTCCACTTGGCTGACTCCAGCAGGCAGCCCGTGGTCGGCACGCCGCTCCGCAGGAAGCGCTCCGTCGTGGTGGTGAGCCCGCTGGAGCAACCCGCCGAGGCCATGTGATTCAGCCAGCCAACCGCTGTGTCCGGCGGGGTGGTTTCGTCGGGCCGCTGATCCGGCGAGTGCAGGAAGTAGGGGAAGTGCGACATCTCCCCAATCACCTCGCACATGTGGCCCTCCCGGTCCATCAGGTCCAGCTGGTCGCGGTGGACGCGCTCCGGCAGCTGGGGTCGGCAGACGTGGATGACACAGGGAGAGCGGGTGGGATCGAATAGGAATAAGCCATGAAGAAGCATGAAGAGGGGGATAGGCAGGCAGGGCATACAAAGCCAGGCGGGTGTCAGGAGGGAGTCGAAAGCTATACCGGGCACGTTGGCTTACAGTCCCTGGCCCACCTGCAGCAGCCAGTCAATAGGAGGCTGAAGTGCCACGTTCCGCGCATCGCCGCGCGAGACGGGGTCCGTCTCGTGCCATACCCGCGCCTGGTACATGCCGGCGGTGGGGTTCCACGTCACATCCAGCGACAGCGCCTCGCTGTTGTCGATGATGTCGCGCAGGTCCGCAACCAGGTCAAAGTCCTCTGACTGCAAGTAGCGAAGTGTGGACGTTGGGTGGGGTAAAGGTCAGGCCGGCTTATCCTCATGGGTCAAACAATGCTGCTCGTTGAGGAGAGGGCTGTGCCGCGCCGCTACGTATGCTGGTAAGAACTACAATAAGGAACGGGGCAAATGCGCTTTTCATGTGGTATGCGCCATGCTGTGTGCGTTTGTACCTGGATTTGGCGTACGGCCATCTTCTTTTTCGGCTGGACGTACATCGTGACCTCCGTGACCACGCCCAGCAGCCCTAGGCTACCCTCGAGCAGCTCACCAGGGTGATCCAGCGTGCGGACATCACCTGCAGACAAACCACCCAAGGATGATGACCTCAAGGAGCAGAGTTCATCTCACTAGCCCCCAGCGTGTGGCCAACTGTGCGGCCATGCGCTATGCACAGCAGGCAAACCGGCCCCTCCGGCGTAGGCTGCACGTCTAGCCTACCTGTACCATCGACCAGCACTGCGGATTGAAGGAACGACGCAATTCCAGCTGGCCCCACGAGCGAGCTGCCATGGGCTGACGTCATGATAGCGGCACCAACCGTCATGCTGCTAAGCTGGGGTGCGACAACCACGCCAGGCAGGCTCATGTCGTACTCCAATAGGGTGCGTTCCAAAGCCTACAATGAGGACCGAATGGTAAGGTTTGCCCAGCTACTAAGCTGTTACCGTAAAGTGAATCGATTAAGCAGCCACCATAAGCGGGAGTGCCTTTCGCGAGCAGGAAGCGGGCGGGAAGGGGCACGCCAAAACTAAGGAGGGGTAACTGAGGTAATCGCCATTTGTATCCCGGGATTCAGGGTAGACCATGCGCACGTACATACCTCGAACGTCATGCCCGCCTGCACTGTCACTGTTTCCTTGTCGTCGTTGAACTCCAGAACCTTGTTCATTGCTGACATGTCCAGCACCACCGACCGCACATCAGCAGGCAGGCTGGTGCAGGCGCAGCTGAGGTTGTTATGGGATATAAAGCCCTGGCTGGTAGCGCGCACTAGGTATTTCTGCTGCGTGACCTGTAGGTCGCGATAAAGCGCCATGACGATGTCCGCCACTTCCTCCGTATGCTTAGGCCGCAAGACAGCTCCGCAAGAGCAATCATTCCAACCAAGGCCACTTCGAATTGCTGTTTGCTGCTGCCCTGGTTTGCCTTCTCGTAAGTCCTGTTGGAATAAACAGCGACAGACAGCTCCAGTCAACCCTCAACGTCTATTTGCAGGTGTAGCCAGGAAGGGACAAACATGTTTATGAATTCTGTATTGTCTTTGGCAAGCAATAATGCATGGTGCGCTGGTTGCGGCAAACAGGACTTCCATGAACTCAAAAATCGGCGTTCGGAACTTCTACCAAAAGAAGCGTTTCCGATTGCTCACCAGTATCGCGAATCCGAGCTGAAGGGAAGCTGCAAGTACCACTAAAGCGGTGGTCAAACCAATACGGTAATGCGCATTGCCTCTTCGGGAGAGTGTCGCACGCACAAGTGGGCATAGGTCCGATAAATGAGCCATGGCTGTAAAGTTGCGACTCGCCGTTGCCTATTGCCCTATACCTGCTTAGCGTGTAAACTTCAGTATGCCAACTATAGACGCGATCCACTGCGTATTGATGACATAGTTTATCTAACAAGGAAAGACATGTAGTTTCTCTAGCGCAGAGGTCAACCTTAAGGCAGCCAATGCAACAGGCGGGTGTACTACACTTCACGAATTGCCGTGCACGATACAATTCCTATCTGGTGTACGTTATTATAGCTCATTGTGCTATTTGTATTGTAAAACAGCCTATTTAACTGCAATGTCGCTAAACCGTACGCGTTACGTGTACCGGTATTGCTTTACCTGTTTTCTGCGCTTACGTTGTAACGTTTTATTGGCCTTCTGAGTTGTCTGGAATGACAACACGCTGCATGTGTAATGGCTCAATGATGATGGCCCAAGACGTTGCAAACTGGAATACTGGATTACCAACTGACTACCATGACCGGACGGTCAGGAGGCGCAACACATCCTAAACAGTGCCCTATGTGATAGGCATGCATGCAAAATCTTCGTACGCAGATGCTATCACACAAAGGTTATAACCATCCATGTCGCAACATCCCATCCTGTGCTGTATATGCCTCTTGTCCGCTGTCCATGGCTCCCGCAACACCTCATGTCCGCCTAATAACCACCCAAACAAAACGACATAACGATACTTCTTGTCCCTTGGAACACGTACAACCCACATTGTCGTATACCGAAGGCAAGCCCCGCGGGCGAATACATGCACAAACACATGTAAGGCGCGCATCTATGTGCATCGTCCGTAACAATATAGGGGTCATATGTAAGAACGGCCCGTTTGCCTTAGCTCACTGCAAGTCATCCACCAAGCAGGTCAGCAGCACTTCACCACCACCACGACAAGATCATTTGAGCACACGAAGGCACCCAGTATGTAGAAAGCTGCCGTCAACTAGCCATAACATAGTAGGTGCGGCAACTGTAGTATGAACATATGATCATTGCCAACAAAGACACAGCATGCATTCCTGCACATGGAATTGACAACGGTTTATAGTTCAGTCCAAGCATATTGATCACAACGTTCCACTCAACTAAGCACAGGCAGCACAGCCATGGGCCTGTCAGTCGGCAGGCGTGTGTACTCGATAAGGCCCAGCTAACCTTCCGGCGCTGGCCTCTCATGTACCTGCCGACGTGTTCCACCCAACGGGCGGAGGCACTGAGACCACACACAGCACCAACCCCTGGTCAACACACGGCATGAGCCGTCATGCCAGTTCAACGTTCATTCGTGCCACCCTGCGTCATGTCCACACGTCGAAACCGGGCGATCCACGCAGTGTGTTTCGAATGCTACACATGCACACCACCACAACGCCAATGATACAAGGTTTTCGGTCCTCCATGGCTCTGTACGACAATATCCTCCCCCCCTTCCCCGCCCGCAGCGCACCGCTAGCTGATGACGCAGCCGCAGCCGCCGCCCTCCACCTCGTTGCTGTGCACCCCCTCCACCTCGTCCGTCTCCGAGGGCTCGTACCACACCACATCCTCCGCCACCGGGTCGCGGAAGCTCACCACCTTGGCCCAGGGGCTGCGGTAGATCATGCCCGGCTCGAACAGGTCCCTGGGAAGCAGCATGGGGGGTGGCAGGGGCGAGGTAAGCAGACTGGACAGCGGGTACAGACAGCGGGTACGGGTACATGAGACGCTACCACTACCGGTATGTGAACGCTCGCAGCACCTTGCGCCTGCCAGCGGGCGCGTCTTCCAAGCCTTCCCAGTTATGGTACATGCTCCCGGCCCACTTACGGTCCGTCCGGTTCGAGCACAATCAAGTTGTCCGGTTGCCCGCCCTGGGCCTTCTTGAACAGCGGCTTGGGCGGCACCGGCGGAGGGGCGCCGCTGCCGCTCAGCTTGTGCGACCCCGCCAGTGCCGCCTGGTGCAAACCAGCGCGCTTGTCCGCCGACGACGCCACCGCAACCTCCTTCGCTAACTCGGACGAGTTGGATGCATGCGAGGCCACGTCCTCCGCGGCCGACGGCGCTTGCGGGTGCGGGTGCGCATGCGACGGCAGCGGCGACTGCAGCCGAGCCGCTGCGCTTGCAGCAGCCATCTGGAACCCCTCCACGCTGCCGTGGCCTGGGCTGTTGGAGGTGCTGCTAGGCCTGGAGCCCGCCGGCAGCACGCAGGCCTTGCTGCCCCGCCGCTGCACCACCTCGTACCCGTCCAGCTCCTGAAGGAACTTGGCGGCATGCGTCTGTGCAGCACCGCCGCCGCCGGGGCCACCCGGGCCGCCTGCCGCCATGCCGGCGCCTCCGCTGCCCATCTTGGCGAGGTTGGCTCCCGACACGCTGTTGGGCAGCCCGTCCATGTGCGGCTGCAGGCTGCTCATCGCCGCTGCCCGGCTGCCGGCGGAAGACGCCGCCTCCGAGGCCGCGTACCGCCCGCCTGAAGACGGCGACGCATGCATCGCAGCGCCACCCCCGGGGCCACCGCCGCCGTCCTGGGAACCCGAGTTGCTGCCGCCGCCACCACCACCGCCGCCATTGGAAGCTCCGCCGGCGGCAACACCGGCGCCGCCGTTCGTCCCTCCCGCTGCGGCCTTGAGCGAGCTGTTGCCGTTTGCGGAGCTGTAACCCGGCTTCCCTGCTTCGGTGATGGCGCTGGCGTCAGCTCCGTGCCGTACCAGCAGCTCCGCCACCGCCTGCTGCCCGAACTCCACTGCAGCGGAGAGGGCGGTGTAGCCCTCGTAATTGCGCAGGTTTACGTTGGCGCCGGCTCGCAGCAGGTGCGCGACCACCTTGACGTAGCCGCCCACGCAGGCCACCATGAGGGGCGTGTAGCTGCGGGAGCGGGGTGCAGCGGTAGTGGGGACGGTGGCAGCGATACGTGAGTCATAAAGACACACGTACTCTTGCTGGCTGGAAAGCCTAAGAGCGTAAGGACCGCTCCATCCCCTTCTCCCACCCAGCCCGCCTACCACACCCACCCACCCCCGCACCCACCCCTTGAGGTCCGCCTGGTCGATGCTGGCTCCCGCCTGCAGCAGCTGCTCCACCACCTCCAGGTACCCCGACCGCGAGGCCAGCAGCAGCGCCGAGATGCCCATGTTGTTGGCGTGGCCCACCGCCGCCCCCGCAGCCAGCAACCGGGACACCACCGCCACACTCCCCTGCGCGCGCGGCCGGGCGGAGGAGAGGGTAGCGGAGGGTAGCGGTGAGCAAGGCCCAGGTTATCGGCGCTTCACCGGCAACATACCCGCAGAACCACCCAGTCTCCAGCACCGTGCACACAACAGCTCCCCTCTCTCCACCGCTGCTGTTCGTCTCCGTTCCATGCGCTCCACCCATACCCCCACCTACCCCCCACCCAGATGCCCCCCAACACCACCTCCACCACCATCTCCCTCGCCCAAGCACCCACCCACCCGCCCCTCCCCCCCCTACCTGGCTAGCTGCGTACATGAGCGCCGTGAAGCCCAGCTCGCTGTCCGCCGCGTCCAGCCGCGCGCCCACCGCAATTAGCTCCTCCACAATGGCGGGGTCGCTGTGCACGGAGGCGCGCATGAGCGCCGTCTCGCCGATGTGGTTGCACGCCTGCACGTCCACACCGTGAGACACCAGCGTCTGCACGACGCCCACGGCGCCCGCCGTGGCAGCCTGGGGGTGGTGGGCGGGGGTGGCATGGGGCAGAGGCAGACGAGCTCTGATGATGTGCTGATGCGGGGAAGCCGCAGCCAGGAGACAGGGCTTCGTGCAAGTCAATCTCGCATCCAACCACCTCCTGCACCTACCATTGCGCGTCCCAGCAAGGTACGCCCAGCGTTCCAGTCCGACTTTCCGTGGACCCACTGCTACGCCCACGTTACACTTGTTCCCGCTGGTAGGTTCCCGCCTACCACGAAACCTAGTCCCTCACCTCTATAAGCGGCGTCTCGCCGTCGTTATCCGGAATGTTCGGGTTGGCCCCCGCCGCCAACAGCAGCTGCACCACTCCCACCCGGCCGCCCCGTACTGACATGAGCAGCGCCGTACTGCCATCCCGTCGCCGGTGGTTGATGCTGGCGCCCTGCCGCAGCAGGATGGAGCACACGTTGGAGTGGCCCAGCTCCGCCGCCCGCAGCAGCGGTGTGCTGGCATGCGAGTCCGACACGTTCAGGTTCGCGCCGCGATCCAACAACAGCCGTACAATGTCGCTGTGCCCCCCAGCAGCACATGCATGCAGCGGCGTGGAGGCCTCCCGTGAGGGCACGTTGGGCGAGGCGCCTGCCGTCAGCAGCGCCTGCACAACCACCCGGTGCCCGAAGCGGCAGGCCAGGTACAGCGGCGTGTGGCCATCCATGTTGGGTTCGTCAATGTCTACATGGTGCATGCGAGCAAAGTCCAGGAGCTTGACCATGATGGGCAGCAGCCCACGTGCGGCCGCCACATGCAAGGCGCTGTTGTGCAGCATGTCGCGCTGCGAGAGCAGCACCTCGCCGCCGGGAGCCGACAGCATGGCTACCACCTGCGCCTCGCTGCCCGACTGGATCGCGTTGGTAAGGCTGTGGAACGCCTGCGAGGGGCGCGAGCTGCCGCTGCGGGACCGAATGCCGGGCGATTGGATGGTGGGGGAGGCCCCCGTGTTGGGCGAGACGGAGTAGTTGGCGGCTGCGACGGCTGCTGCTGCGGCGGCGGCGGCGCCGGAGGTGCTGTTTCTAAGGCTGCCGTTTGCGGTGAAGCTGGTGCGGCGGCCATGGGAGTTGGAGGTAAGCAACAAGGCGCGCATGTCTGGGTTCTGAACATAGTCCAGCGCGCATTTGCCGGCGGCGTCCCGCACCGACAGGTCGGCGCCGGCCGTGACAAGGTGCTGGGCAACTGCTGTGGAGCTGGCGACGCAGGCGTGGAAGATGGGTGTGCGGCCGCTGCTGTCCGCCTGGTTGACGTTGGCGCCGGCATCGATCAGCAGCTTGCACAGCTGTGCGTTGCCCGTGCGAGCGCACCATAGCAGTGCCGTGTTGCCGTGGTTATCGCGCAGGTGCAGGTGGGCGGACGCGTTGGGCGCCTGCAGCAGCAGCTGCACCACCTCCACCTTGCCCGCGGCGCAGGCTCGGGTGAGCGCGGTGTGGCCGGAGGAGTTCTGGCAGCTGGCATCCGCGCCCGCCGCCAGCAGCAAGCGGACCAATGCAACACTGCCCTTCGATGCTGCCAGGATGAGCGGCGTGTTGAGCTGTGGGTTGGCGCAGGTGGGGAAGGAGGGTTGGGTTGGGACAGCTGTGTTGATAGAACATGTGGTTGGTACACAGAGGGAGTGCCGTGCGACAGATGTGGAGTTGTGTACCTTCCCAAGCAACGGGACCGCATGGAGAGGCTTATGAGGGGAGGGTATTCAAGAGCTCCCTCCATAGACTGCCGAGTAAGTTACGAGGAGTGCAGACGACTGCACGCGAGTACAGCAGGCAGCGTAACATTACGTCTAATGTTAAATCGTTTAGGAGACGGAGCGTTGGTGAAAGCGGTAAGCGCGCGCAAAGCATGTATGCATTGGTGAGGTAGGCAGGCTAAAACAACCGACCTGGTTGTCGCACTCATTTATCCCATTGCTGTTGCTGGCGAGGAGCTCTTGTACTGCCTCAACCGAGTTATTGCGAACGGCGTCCAGCAGCGTCGACCGGCCCGGCGCACGGCTCATGGACAACCCCCAAAGCAAACCCCACCCACAAGCAGCCTATTCGCTGCTAGCTGTTAAGACATGTGGCCCATGTCCATCCATTGTGCTGGAAGGGGATAGCACCTAGTGCGCCTAGCTGCGCCAGCGGCCAGCCAGCGCATGCCGGCAGCAAAAACTACCCCTGTGTACTCCTAGCAAGAGGGGTTATTATAAGCGAATGTTAAGAGACACTGTAAGGTTATATGAGCGCAACTATTGTTAGGGACTGCCTCCGAAGTGCCCGAAACAGAAAGAAAGCTATATACAAAGTTGTCGTAGTGTACAGTAAGACACCTTTTATTGGATGGAGTATGCGATATTCTGCCCTAGCAGAATTGGGCTTCTAAGGCGTTAACACCAGGCGATAAAGGCGCCTTGTACTGGATAGGCAATTCTCCTAGGAGCTGTTAATGGAGTCTTGTTGTGAGTTTTCATTGATCCTGCCTCCTGTAACGAATGCGAGGGGAAGGCAGCTTGGCTAAACGTCGTACATAACACCATTGCTAGGGGCTAGACTCCTTGCGACCATAGCCTTTCCATAATGTCTTTAGCAACGATATCACTTAGCACTGTTTTTGCCTACGAGAGCACATAGAATGTGATCCTAAAGCCCTGCAATGCGTTTCCAGATAGTTGGCGCTACCTTGGGACGCTACCCTAGCCGCTCAACTACCCATCTGGATATACAGTATCCGTTGCTGTCAAGTGCGACTTCATGCTTACTGGGTATGCGCTCCTGTTACCGGTATTATGACCGCACTACCATTAGACTTGCTCTAAATGCTCTTTGCGGTAAGCGTTCGGGTTTAACTCATTAGCTGCGCCTCGGACTAGCCAACGAGCTAACGGAGCATGACCTACCCAGGATAGATAACCCGGCCACCACTCCATTGTTTACATATGGCACTCTTTGCGACCAAACTCCTTTAGGTGCAGGTCGTAGCAGATCATACCGTTCGCAAAGTTTCTCTGCCCGAAGGGGTTAACTCGCATTAGGGCTCGAATGCCGTTTGAGTTACATCCGCTATGCCTAAGGCCCGACAAAGAGAAGGGCCACGAAGTAAGGAACCAAAGCCCAAACCGCGCGAGAAGTGCGGAAAACACTGGGATGGGCTGGGCGGGCGCACTGAACAACAAAACAAAATAACTAACTTGCTAGCACCCGAAGCGCAAGCAGCCCTTAGGGCTCGGGCCGCAGGCATGGTGTCGTACACCTCCATGCCAAAGCTACCACCCAGCACGCAAGTTAACCCGGCTATAGCTACGCAAAGCCCGCAATAATCAAGACACACACGAGTATGCATGTCAACCCACCCGAACCCAGTAGTTGGCACACAATACGTTAAGGGACATAAGTCGTAGGGTGACAACCCAAGCAGCACATCTCACACCATAACAAAGTTGTTCTCCCGACACAGTGTACAAACATGTTGGTAACTGTTCAGTTACCCGCGACAATTAGATGCGAGAACAGGTAAGCATGCGTGCGAGCGACGACAGGACAGCACACGTAGCCATAGCACGTCAGCCAACGGAACCCCCCCATGGCAACGCTTTTGTGCAAATGCCCGTTTACATCCACCCGAAGAAACCTTCGATACATAGCCACACACAGGTACATAGCCGCCGCTACGACGCGCCCAGTGCTGTCGTGTACACGTGGCGCAACTGTAACACGGGTAAACCCTTTACAACCAGGAGGTATGACGTTTACCGTCGTGGTGATACCCATAATGCCGCACTAAGGCATTCGAAAGGCATTATGGAGATACAACAAATGTGGTTTCCTTGCCATGTAACGTAGCAGCATGGCATGCGAGCAAAATTAAACGCCCCGTTTGACCCTTGACTCTCCAAGCCACATGCCCATGGCAGCAATGGCCACAAAGGATGCTACGTCAGGTACACATGATAGCCTGTGAGGGCCCCTCCATGAAAAATCCTCAAGCTTATCAACAAGCATAAGCAACCGCACGCGCACACCGTATGTGGCTGCTCGCCAAGCACGCTACATGTTTTACAGCTTTCCACCGGCGTACTAGCGAAAGGGACCCTAGCTCCCTGGGCCCCCTACGGGCAGAGGCCACCTACCGCGCGGCGAGGTCATCTCCAAGCAGGTCCAGCAACTCCAGGCCCCCGCCCAACGTGCCGCTCTTCCCCCCCATTTGGACGGAAACACCGCCGCTGCTGTTGAGGTTTTGGATGAAGTCCTCGGGTATCTCCGACAGCGCGCACAGCTCGGGGGTCGCGCCGCTCAGTCCCGGAGACATGGCCAGACCAGTGAACGGCGAGGGTGAATCACCGCGGGACATGCGTGGGGCCGAGACGTCCATCGCAGCGGACGACGCTGGCGCCATTGAAGACGCAAGGCTCAGCGCACCTGCAGAGCTCGAGGCATGGTTCAGCCACCCCGCCGGATCAGAGCTGCTCAGCTGGTGCAGCATGCCATTGCTTGGGTGCTGCTGCATGCCCGGCTGCTGCACCGCGTGTTGCTGCTGCGGATGCTGTTGTACCGCGTGGGGTTGCATCAAGCCTAGCTGCTGCTGAATCTGGTGTTGCTGTTGTTGTTGTTGTTGTTGCTGTTGTTGTTGTTGTTGCTGTTGTTGTTGCTGCTGTACTGCGTGTTGCTGCTGTTGCAGTTGCAGCTGTTGCTGATGGTAGCTCTGCAATTGCTGTTGTTGCTGTTGCTGCGCTTGCAGATGCTGCTGCAGCTGGTGCTGATGCAAGGCCTGTTGCATGCCGAATCCTCCGCCCAAGACTGGGTGCAGGGCGCCGCCGGCGTTTTGAAGGCTCATCCCTGCGCCCCCCTGCAGCTGCATCCCGCCAGCACCCTGCAGCTGCATGCCTAGCGCAGCCGCCTGGATCCCGCCTGCGTGCCCACCTTGCATGGCGCCCAAAGCGCTCATGCCTTGATGCATCTGAATGGCGGCGCTCAAGCCGCCAGCCATCCCACCCATTAGCACATGCGCCCCCTGGCCCAAGCCCGCACCGGTAGCGGCCGGCCCGTTGCCGGCATGCTGCGCCATTACTTGACCCATGCTTCCCACCAAGGAGGTGCCCGGGAAAACACCCTGCGGCTGCTGTTGCTGCCCCGGCTGGCCTGCCTGACCAGCCATGCCGTACATACCCTGCATGCCGTGCGGAATCCCCTGAAACTGACCACCCATCATCAAGCCGGCAGCCGAGGCAATGTTCGGGAACATGCCCCCGCCCGCTGCAGCCGCCGCAGCCGCGCCTAGCTGCTGTTGGAGCAGCAGGTGGGTCGCCTGCTGCAACGCGGCTGGATCGGGCTTCTTCGGAGGCTTGGGCCTCGCAGCAGCAGCCTGCATGGACGAGCCAACATTCATCACGGCGTTCTGCACCAGCCCTGGCGGCGGCGCGCCGCTATAGCCCATCTGGTTTAGGGCCTTGCTGAGCTTCGCAATCTGGCGTCGCGGCCAGCGCTTGATGCCGTGCCGCCGGCAGGCGCGCTTCAACGTGGTTGCGCAGATGCCCAGGTTGTTGGCTGCTTCCTTGAGCCCCAGCCCAAATTGCGCCTGCAGGTCCTCAAAGCGCAGCCGCTTGCCAGCGCCGCCCCCAACGCGGTTGTTATTGCGCATGCCTCCCGACCGCTCATCATCCGAATCGTCATCCTCGCCCCCGCTGCTGATATCCTCGCCATCGCCGTCGTCAATGGTATCAGCAAGCGCACGTTGAGCCGAGCCGCTGCGAGACAGCTTGATCGACTTGTCGCCCGCCGATGCTGCGGCCGTGACTGCAGCAGCGGAGGCTGCAGGGATATCCAATGAAAACGAGGACCTATGCGGCAAGAAGCCAGCCTTTGCTGCGGACGGTGAGGCATTCAAAGGGTGGTTGGCTCCAGAGGCAAGCGCGGACGGCTGTGAATCCATAGGATGCGGCTGTGTGGGCTGCCCCGCCCCAGCTTGCTGCTGGTTCCCTGTCGGCTGTTGTTGGCCCGCCTTACGCTGCTGCTGCTCCATCAGCATGCTGCGCAGCTGCTCCAGCGCCATGCTGCCCCCTCCGCTGTGCTGCGACAGCCAGGACATCAGCTCTTGCGTGTTGCTCACGTCCACAGGCGGTGCTGTCCGGCCGCCTCCCGAGATCTCCATGCTGCTGCTGCTGCTGATGTTCAACGCAGGTGCCGCGTTCCGTGGCTGTTCCGAGGCCTTATGAGGATCACACTGCACGCCCCCACCACCGGACCCTGGCCAGACACCCGCGGGTGCAGCTCCCTGGGCTGGGGTCGTTGCCGCCGCAAGACCCGCTGATGCGGCTGCTGGTGCGAGGGGCTCTGCAACGGTCTGCGGGCTGGAGGACAACTTCATGGCTGCCGCGCCGCCTTGCAAGAGAGGGTGAAGCGGGTGCTGTCCGCCTGATAACCTGTATAAATGTTGAGGCGAATGAAAGGCGCGGGCGTGCTAGATACGGTAGTCCAAACATAGCTGCATACATACCAAATGCTGTGCGACCAAGAGCCCCAATCATGACATCAACACTGCAAGGACCCGAGGGCCTACGGAACCGTGGCCGCCGCAAGCGCATCTAGAATACGTCAACCGGTATTGTAGCTCACCGTGCCGGCTGCAATGTTCCCTTGGCTCCCCAGCTGCCAGCTTCGTCGCCACGGGATGCGCTGGGCGACGGCTTTTCCTCTGCACGGCGGTTAGGATGGACGTGTTCACGCGTATTTCTTTCTCCAGAGGCGCAAGTTCCTTGCATGCATGCTGGCTTTGTGCCAACAGTAGCAAATGGCGACAAGCATGTCAGGATGACAAGGATGCCATACTGTCACTGCATGCACAGATCACCAACCCTCCTAGCCGTGCTTTCCTTCCCACAGCCTGTGCCATTGTCTATTGTAACGTATCGTTTCCTCTTACCTCCCGCATTGTAATTGGAGGACGAGACCGGCTCCTTATCCTCCGCCAGTTCCTGTATGCGTGGCACGCTGTTGATCCGTGGGGGCCCGTCATTCGTGGGTGATAGCCGCCCCGCACAGCCGCCGCCGTACTCCAGCGCGGGCAACGCGTCTATGTGCATGGGCCACTTGCGCAGACCCGCGGCGCTGGCCGCAGTCTCAACGTCCGTGGTATACAAGCTGACGCTCTGGAGGTGCGACGGGGAATGGAGGCATGAGTGGGGCAGCCCGGGGAGGGTACACCAGAACCAGGGACAAAAGACAGCGAGAGGCACCCCCAAGGAGTTCCTATCAGCCCGGTAACGCTGCATGCCCGTTGCGCTGCAAGCCAGTTACCTGCAGCGAGGAGGTGAGCTGCGAGATCACGGCCGGGAAGGTGACATCCCTATCACCCTGCACCAGCTCAAACACCGCCAGCGGAGTGTCGCGCGCGTCCGAGCCGAAGATGGGCACCATGAGCGTGGAGTGCACACGGCACCGCTGCGCCTCGCTCACACGCAGGTAGACCTGCTTGTCGTACTTTTGCACGTTGTGTGACATCTCGGGCTGCATGCAGCAGGGGGGCAAAAAGCAGGTGGTGGCTGTCAGGCGGTGCCTTAGCAGTGCATGCCGAACGCTTCCTGTATCCTGCTCCAAGCGTTCACGCACCGGTACACCGCAGCCGCACCCAGCAGTTTAACCAGCGCTACCGGTATTAAAGTTGCCTTCCCTAAACAACCCACGACTGGCAGGCGGTGCCTCTCATGTGGCAGTGCGCGGCCTCGTCGCCCCGCACCACAACGCACCTCAAGCGTGGAGTACACCCGGCCGACGGCCCCCATCAGCGTGGGCTTCATGACATCCGTCGAGAAGCGGTACCGCACCGACACGCAGCGGAACAGCGCCAGCAGGTCGCCAACGCCCGCAACAGCGAAGGGGAGGCCCTGAGGCGACAGGGGAAAGGCGGCCGGGTGGTGAGGATTCAGGGGCCTTTTCCCGTGTACCCGGCAGCGTGTAATTGGCCACAGGCAGCGTGGGTTTGCATACTTCACGGGGGATCCTGTAGTGCTCAACCATATACTCATGACCGCAGACATGAACCAGCGTCAGGTGTTCCAACTAACAGCTCCTAGGCGTGCCAACCCAGCCCGCGGAGCTTACCTGACAGCTGAGGACAATGGTTCCATCGTGTGTATGCTCCGGCATCCATATCTGAAGTAAGGTAGGACATATGAAAATATGCGTAAGCCGTTAAAGGGATGCCAGCGACATAGCCCCGGAATATAGCGCGGACCATGTCACTAACATAGGGTGGCAATAGTGCCAATACACGCTGGCAAGGGCACTTATGTCAAACGTCGACAAGCATAAATCCCTTCTATATATGCACAAGGCTCGACCCATAGCATAAGAAAGCCATACGGTGGCAGAAAATTGAGCAAGGTTGCGCTGCGTTGCGTGTTGGAAGGTAAGCGCTACGAACGACCCTTTATGCAAGGAAGTGCTCGGAAACGACAACACCAGTGATGTTAGTAAAAATCACAAACGTACCTGCACCAGCGCCCCGCTTTTTACCGAAGCAAGCGAGCCAGAGATGTCAAGCAAAGCCTTTGACAGGCGATGTTTCAATTCGGAGCCGTTTGCCTGCATTCCAAGGCCGTCCTCCGCCGCAGTATTTGTTAGGTGCTGGGGCTAACTCCCAAAAAGCCCTGCCCGGGGCCTTCCAACTCCTAGGTCAGTCAGCGTCTGTCCTTCCTACGGAACAAGCCGACAATTCGCAGTTATAAGTAACATGTTGAAGGCCTGTTGCAAGGTTCTGGCCAGTATCCAACAAACAACTAGGGGCGGCTTGTGGGCATGGTGTCGAAAGTTAGGGCTTTCCTACAGCACCGGTGCACCGCAGAGTGTAACGTGTACGCAACTTGCATGTAACGTATAGCTGTGAAGGTCAACGTTCAAGCTAGGTACACGCACATGGCATTGTACTTTGGGGTCCCACGTGCACGTGTCGGATGGTGGAACGGGCTTCAACGCACATCGCTGCCGTCTGCCACAACACAGTTACTAACGGAAAGTACACATCTTTCCTAAACGCCGGGCTTTTACCACGGTCAAACCACTCCGCAACCACCTATGCACCTGCCTTCAAAGCATGGTATTTATATTATACCATTGTACGTCGTCGCAGTGCAACATGTGCCTATAGATTATGCCTGTTTTACCTTAGCTCCACCAACGTTATAGATGCAATCAAAAAATGGGTAGCGCAGAAGGACCACTTTTTAACAAAACGCACATGGCTTGCCTGTATTCTGCACAGGCGGAACTGTTTGGGGATGGCTTGGCCGCCACCCGCCAGGAAAGCTCGAAACCATGAGTCGCTAGGATCATACTCTATGTGGCATGTTGCAAACGCACGTGCCCCCATGCGGCATGTGATGACCCCTAAGGGCCGAGATTACGTAAGAGCCAGTGCCCTGAGTCCGGGCAGTACGAAACACGTCAAACACATCCACAACTCGCCAGCCATCTTCGCCGCAGGCTACACCTATGCAAACAACGCTGTAACAACATCGGCTTTCATGCATCGGGTTCTTTGGGCTAAAGATTGAGTTCAAGGCATCTGTCTTTGTATAGTCACTACATACTAGGTAATGCACGGGACGCGCGCGGATTTTTCAGTGCCCTACTGAATGGGATTACTGGCCTTGCTAACCGCGCCAGGGGCCATGTAACTCAATCCAGCTCACATTTCCCGGAGACAGACTTGCTGTACATCAAGGACATACCAGCCGCACGCCATTATGTAAGTCTACTACCCTGCTAAGGCACGCGTCTCCCCTTCAACGGGCTACGCCGAAGCGGACTCTGCGTCCTAAACGGCACAAGCAGCGGAAGGCGCCAATCCATCAGCCGGCCCGCTGCGTCAACCTGCAAGGGCAACGAAAACGAGCGTTACAAGAGGGACAACGGCTTTGCGTCGCTTGGTAAACGTGAGGACCTAGCACGGGGGCACCCGCTGCCCAACCCCGGCACTACAGACCACATGGTGCATTCCTCGGCGCTCTTCCAGACATGCTGCGGCCGTTGGGGCAGCTCTCAGCACACAGCCCAGCCCCACACAGCCCAGCCCCATACGCGCCAGAGGCCCAAACCCCGCCACCCACCTGCAAGCCGGGGTAATAGCCCAACTGCGCGTCGCTAGGCGGCAACGCCGCTTCCGACCCGGCAGTCGTGACGGCAGCCCCCCCGTAGCTCGCTGACGGCAGTGTAGCCAGCCGACCGGATTTGGGCCGCCCGCGCTCAGGGCTCAACCCCCCCAACGACTGCCGGCCCCGAGGTGAAGCGCCATCTGCCTCGCTCCGCGCCCTGATCCCCGCCGCAGCCGCGGTCCCGTGCGGTGACGTCGCACGCTGCACCCCCCCGCCCGCACTTCCGCCCTCCCTTCCAGCCCCATGCGCCATCACCGCAGCGGCCGCCGACACCGCCTCCACCACGGCGCTCGTGGCGGCGGCCGAGGCGGCGGCCGCAGCCTCCCTGTGCTGCCACAGCAGCGCCTCCAGCGCCGTGGCGGGCTCCGGCTCGGGGCCGCCCACCTGCAGCGCGTGCTGCTGCTCCCGTGCGGCTGCGGCCCGGGCGTCCGCACGCGCCAGCTGCTCCACGTGCGGCAGCCCGCCGCGGGGCATGGGGCCGATGGACCTGCAGGAGGGGTGCGGGAGAGGCGGGGGGGGGAGAGGCGCTTTGGAGGACAAACGTGTACATGGGCTAACTTAATCCATCCTACCACAAAGAGCAAAGCCCATGTGGGTCATCCCAGCCACGCCAAACATACCGGTACAGCATCATGTACGCTCCTGACACCGCTTCGACCCAACACAGAATGCACCCCAGGCCCAGGCCCAGCCCCACAGCGCCACTCACTCGGTGTTTCTCTGCAGCTGGTCTTGCCGCGCGTGCAGCATCACCCCTTCCACGAACGCCCTGGCCGTCAGGGGCCGCCGCGCGTAGTACGGAGGCACACGCCCCAGCGCGTCCTCCGCAGCAGCGGCTCCGCTGGACCGGAAGCGGCTAGCACCGCGGCTGGCGCTGCGGCTGCCGTCGCGGGGTCGGCGCTGCTGCGCTGCCAGGGAGGAGCGCCGCAGCAGGTCATTGCTGAGTTGGATGAGGGCCTCTCCGGGCGGCAGGGAGCTGGCACCACCGCCGCTGCTGAGGGCCTGCGTGGAGCGGGAGCAGCGGGGGAAAGACCGGGAGTCGGAGAAGGAAACAACACCGTGCGGGTACACAATACTAGCGCGCAGGACACGTTGGGGCACGGGTGGCAAGGATCAGGTCGTGTCCACATGGTCCCCGACATGAACAGATTCCCCCGTCCGTTCATCCTCGAATGCTTACAAAGATACACAGGTACACAAACCTGCAAAGACCTCACCATGAAAGCCCGCTTCATGGCCATCTCCAGGGTGAACCCGGGAGGCCCCTCCTCCTCCAGCGCTGCCCGGCTCGCCTCGCGGCTGACCGCCGGTGTGCCCGCATCTGGGTACTGCGGCACTCCGCCCGGCGCACTGCTGACTGCGGCGTCAGCCAGGCTGGGCTTGATTCTCAGCCGCAGCAGTCCGCCCTGTGCATGGGGGCTCTGGTCGTCGCTCTCACTGTCACTGTCAGTGTCGGTGTCAGAGTCGTACACTTTCCGGGAGTAGGGAACCTTGGACTGGGTTCCAGCTCTGGACGGTGAGCCCGGGGGGGCTGCGGCGATGATGCCCTCCAAGGCACCAGGTAGGGCTCCTGCCTGCGCGGGTTGGAGCTCTACCACGAACTTGTACTCCTCCTGGGTCTGCGCCTGCGGTTGCTGCTGCTGCTGCTGCCCCGGAGGCAGCTGTCCCGGCTGTTCCTGTTTCCGCTCGCCCTCAGGCAGCTCCAGCTGAGGCTGATGCTGCTGCTGCGGTTGCGGCTCCGTAGACTGTGGGGCAGCATGGTCAGCTGCATGGTCTTTGGTTGTACCCGGGGGCAGAGCGTCAGGACTTATGGTCACTGTGCGCTTGCCGGTGGCCGTCGCCGCAGCGGCGGCTGCGGCCAAGTTCACGTTGACCACCAGGATCTGGTCGCCGCTGGGCAGCAGCGGACCCATGGCCGCGGCCCTGCCGGTCCAACTTGAACCCTGCGGGAAAATCAAGGCACACGAGGGCGGACGTGAATAGGACATGTGAATAGCTCCACCACGCTCCACCATTACTTGGCATAGCTAGCACGGAACATTAGCTGCATTAGGCGCTTCTACATGAACCGAAGGTCTGTACCTGTTTCAAGCATTCCGCCTGGACGCCTGACTGTGCCAGCACCGCCAGCTGCCCCGCAGCGGTACGGAGGCGTCCCACCGCTGCTGCAAGCGTCTTCACGGATCGCTGCACCACTTCCCAGTCGGTAGCGGGAACTGCCACGCTCTTGCAAGCTACCTCGATGGCCTTCACCGTTATCTCACTGCTTGCAGGCTGCACGGGAACAGCAAGCACCGCCCTTACAGGCGATCCAGGCGCTGCTGCCGGGGAGGAGGAAGCCCCACCAGCCCCTGCAGCCGTGCCAGGTGCGCTCGTCCCCGGTGGCGGAATTGGAATCACATAACTAGCAGAAGCCTTCAATGGAGCAGTACCAGTAGCAGCAGCCTTCGTCCCGGCAGCCTTGTCCGTAGCACCCGCCTTTTCAGCGGCTGCGGCAGCCTTCGCCGCCGCCTTCTCCGCTGCCTTTTCCGCAGCCGTGACCGCCTTCACGCGCATCTTCAGTTCCGATAACGCCATGCCCAGCTGCGTCACGCAGTCCGCCATCACCGACCCATGGGCCACCCACGCCGCCATGGACGCCAGCTGCACCCCTAGCGCCGTCTGCAGGCCGCGCAGGTTGGCGGCCTTGGCCTCCAGCTCGTCTGCTGCCTTGACCAGGGCTGCGTGTCGGTGCTCCAGGTCCGCGGTGGCGTCGCGCAGCAGCACGGAGCGCTCGTGCTGCTGCAGCAGTCCGCCGCACACGTAGATGTAGAGGCGCGTGAGGGAGGAGCGCAGCAGCGGCAGCCGCCAGTCTGCGGGGAGGGGAGGACGAGGGAGCAGGTGAGGAGCAGGGGGCTGGCAGGCGGAATAATATTGGGGTGTTAAGTAAAGCTCACCAATTCCCGCCTAGCAACGGTTGCTTGTTGCCATAGCTTTTCAGAACCCTCCGGTTGACGGAAAACGCGCTGATCCAGAGGTACCAGTAACGCAAACCCCCTTCACCAATGCTTGTAATCTCCCCCAGCCCAGCTGTACCTTTCGGCAATCGCCTCGGGAAGAACTCAATCACGCGCCCGTCTGCCGTCACCTTGGGCTGCCCGCCCAGCAGCCTCACCAGCTCCTGCACCGCCGTGACCAGCGGCCCCACGCCGCCCTCGCCAGCCGCCTCCGCCTCCGCGGCTAGGTGCAGCGCGCGCAGCGCATCAAGGTAGACAGTGTCCCGTGGGTCGTCATCATCTTCATGCGGCTGCGGCTCGTCATGAGCTGCTCGTGTTATCGCCGCACCTTGGCGCTCATTGGCGCCCGCACCGCGATCCAGATAGCCACCGCTGGGTCCACTGCTGTAAGCGGGTGCTGTTGAGGCGCTCATGGGGCGGATGAAGCTGGCGGATACCGGCCGGGCACGCATGTCTTGCTGCGCGCCTGCAGCCTCGCCACCCATGCTGCCGTACGCCGGGCCCTCGGGCGGGCGACCGGCCATGGACACGCGGCCTGCGACCGACATCCTTCCAGCCATCGACATGCGACCCGCCGTGGACATCCGGCCAGCCATGGACACACGGGCACTGCCAGGTCTCGACAATCCAGCCGCCTCGCCGTCGCTTGCGGGGTCTCCGCCGCCCGGCAGCAGCACCGACACCGCCGGCACTCGCGAGCTGCCCGGACGTGACCGCCAGCCCGCCACGTCCTCCAGTGCCGCCGCCAGCGCCGCCGTCTCCAGCGCCGCCGCCGCCATCACCTGCCCCACATGCCCCGCGTGCGCATGCAGCCGCCCCGCCACCTCCTGCAGCTCCGCATGCGGCACACCATCCACCTCACCCTCACCCAGCCCCTCCTCATCCTCCTCTTCCTCCGCCTCCACCTCATACTGCGACCCACGCAACTGCGCCTCCGTCTGCTCCCCCGAAGCCTCGCTGTCCTCCTCCTCCAGCCCCGCCCCCGCCTCCGTCCCTGACTCCACCGCTGACAGCCCCCCAGCACTGCCTCCTCCTCCCGCCCTAGCTCCACCCCCGGGTGGAGCTCCCCCTGACCTGACCGCAGAGGTGGGGCGCATGCTGACCCGCCTGGGGCCACCCAGCGGGGCGGACACCGGCCGACTGGGGCTGCCCGGCGAGCCCCCAGCCGCCGCCGCCGGGACCGCTGCGGGGCCCGCTGCGGCTCCCGGCCGCACCAGCGCCGCCAGCACGGTGTCCCCCAGCTTGGGCCACACGCCCTGCTCGCACTCCTGGTGCAGCTCCGCCAGCAACTCCGCCACCAGGCGCAGCTTGGCGGCGGGGCGCATCTGGGACAGCACCTCGGGGGAGGGCAGCCCCGCGCTGCCGCCGCCGCCGGCGGTGCTGACGTCATAGGCGGTCTGCAGCGTGCGTGTGGCCTCACCGAAGCGAGTGCGCAGTCGGTGATACTTGTCCTCAAGTTGCGCCAGGCGCTGTGCGGTGGGGCTGCCCGGATCGTCTGGGTAGTACCGGTCGTAGCCGCCGCCGGCGTCTTCCCGGCCCCGATCGTCATCGCTGGGATCAGTGCCGTCTGCCATGCCGTCCGCGGCCCCTGTGGGGTCGGGAGCCAGGCCGTTGTGGAGGGATACGGTTCGTGTCACAATGGACACGGAACGGGACATCGCGCTGCGGGGGGAAGCTGCTGCCGCCACCGGCCGGGTGCCGCCAGCAGCAGCAGTCGCCGCCTCGACATTGCGTGCGGCTGCTGCGGATAGCGGTCGCGGGGCGGCGATGGATACCGCACGTGACAGGGTGCCGCCTGCTCGCCCGCCTGAGCCTGAGCCTCCCGGTGGTGTCACGATGGAGGTACTGCGAGACGGCGCCCCACGCGGCGACGGCGTTGTGGCCACCCCCGCGATCGACGGACCGCGCGAGGCCGCTGGGGATGCCTTGATGGACACCGAGCGAGACAGCGCGGCTCTCTGACTGGGCTCTTCCCGTATGGCCATGCTGACGCTGCGCTGCATGCGCGGGGCACGTCCCCGCAGCCGCAGCGTCGCCTGTGACGCGGACTCCCCATCCATCATGGCCACCTCCTCCTCGTCCTCATCCGAGGACCAGTGCGCGCTCGCCAGTGCGGCCCGCAGGTCGCGCTGCAGTACGCCGCTGCTGGGCGGCCGGGCGAAGCGCGTGGAGGTGCTGCGGCTGAGGATGGGCACCAGCGGGTTGCCGCCGGAGGAGGTGCGGGGGGGCGGCTCGCCGGCGGCGTCGAAGGCAGCGGCCAGGTCGGCGCGGGAGGAGCTGCGGGCGCCGCGGCCCCCGCGCAGGGCGGTGAGGCGGGCGGAGCCGGGGCGGCTGGCAGCCTGCATGGGAGAGGGGGTGTGTGTCAAAGACCATACCAAAGCGCAGGAGGCCACAGGTTAGGGCGGGGACGTACGGACACTGCCAGCGAGAAGCGCAAGGAGAGGTTCCGGTTTATCTTAGACAGGTGCGCGATGTACTACGCCAGGACAGCTGCACCCCGCTTGTGACACAATAGGTTATAGCCCAACACCTGGCATCCACTGCACAGAACCCGCCAGCAAGCACGGCCCCCTACCGCCAGCAGGAGCACCTACCTTCCCTCCGTCACCACCCGCTCCACCCCGGTTCCTGCCCATCGCGCTCTCCATCCTGGCCGTCTGGTCCCGCACTGCCGCATCGAACAGCCGGTAGGCGTCACGCGCCTTCAGCAGCGCCCCAGTGAGCTCCTCCAGCACCGCCCAGCCCGCTTGCACTCGCCGGTCCAACTCAGCCGGCGGGGGACCGCTGGCCACCGCGGCCAATATCTCCCTTAGTCGCGCCATGGCCTGCTCCAGGGCCTCGAAGCTCGCACCCGCCCGGAATCCCGGCTGCAGCCGCATGTCGGCGGCAACATGCTCCGAAACCCGCAGCATGTGGGCGGAGGCGGTGGCCAGGCGCATGCCCTCATGCGACATGCGCTGACCCGTGGGTCGCGGCGGCAGCAGCCCCACCTCCGACAGCGCCTGGCCCAGTGCGGCGACGGTGAGGCCGGACCAGCGGGTGCGTGAGGCGGCTTGGGAGGTGCGGGCGGCTTGTACCGTGTTGAAGTACAGCTCGATCTGGGAGGCGCGGTCCTGGGGAACGGTGTCGGGACCCAGGCCGGCCGCTGCGGGGGACGAGGGGGGAGGTGGCGGGGGTGAAGGGCGGGAGCTTGTGTGCGGCTCAATGCAACTGTTGCATGCCCCTTTCCATAATCTGGCAAGGCAGAGTGGCAGGGTGGTGACTGTCCAACCCGAGCAGGATGCGAACCACGTAGCCTAGGTATCAAACATGATATGCTCGCAGCCATTCCGCCCCTACATGCACCGCCCATGCAGCCCCCCCCCCCCACCCGCCACCCTGGACAGCTGGTCCACGTCCATGCGGGTCGCCAGCACGCCCCCGGAGCCGCCGCCGGGCTCAGCCGCAGCCCAAGCGGCAGCCAGCTCCTTCATGGCAGACTGCAAGGAGTACAAGGAAGCAGCCATACGTCAGTGCGCCACAACCAGCGCGGCACTAGGTGCAGGGGCGCTTCGGCAGAGCTTCACCGGAGGCGCCCCGCTACCCTACCCTACCCTAACACCAACAGGGATGCGACCTCACGTCCGAGAGGAGTGTGGCAAACTCCCGTCCATTGGAACCCCCGGCCCCCGCCCCCCGGCCCCCGCCCCCCCCCCCCGCCCCAGCCCCCACCTGGCGCTGGCTGAGCCATGCGCCCATGACTGCGGTCAGCAGCATGTCTCCGTCCGACATGCCGAAGGAGTTGGTGCCGCGGTGCGTGTCCATGCGCACGGAGGCAGCCTGCAGCCAGGGCGGTGGGAAGATGAGACGGCAGGTTGTCAAGGGCGGGGTCATAAGTGCAGCGCTGTCCCACCACTGCAACCCCCAGAACTGTGCCCTTACTTCAAACCCCCCCAAACTACGGTACATCCCCCAGGCCGCACATCTTCCGTTTACCAGGGCCCCACACGCCCCACATGCGGCAAACCCCACCGCCCGCCGTGCATCCCCCCGGCCCCCTGACTTCACGTCTTTTTCTTTCCCACCTGCTTGAGCAGCGCCGCCTTCCTCTCCGTGTCGAATCCCGCCACCAGCGGCCCCGTCAGCGCCGCGCGCCACTTGGTGGGCGACACCCACACCACCCCGGTGCTGGCGTCCATGTAGTTGGGCGGCGGGATGCCGGGGGCCATCAGCGAGTGGAAGGCCTGGGGGACGGTAGGAGGCAGCAAAGGAGGGCAGGGACGGGGGGTAAGAGAGGGGTACGAGAGTCAGGGGGCGACACCCTACCACGCCCTCTACCGGTGCCTCATCCATCTCCCCCGTGGTCTCCTCCCTCCTCCCTCCTCCTCCCCACACCCCTCTCGCCACCTCCCCCCCCCGCCCCACGTGCCTCCAAGTAGAACGCGCACGCATCCGGCGGCAGCACGGGGTTGCTCAGCTGCAGCAGCTGCAGCCAGGTGGCGGCGCGGGGCAGCTTCTTGTGTGCGCGCAGGCTCTGGATGAGGGTGACGATGGCTTCGTCGGCCTCGGCGGCAGAGGGATGCCTGCATGCAAGGGCACAAGTCGCGGCCGTTTGGTTTCCTTAGCACAGGTGGGGTTAAGAGGGGTGGGCATCCCGCACTGGGCTAGGTTGTTGGATTGCGTATACGGTAGTGTTTCTTATAGGTGGGGTCGGGGCCAGCAGCTCCGGCTCTTCCCTGTCATGTGGGTTGTTGCGTCACACAGTCTGAGGCAGCAGATAGAAGACGACGCCGAAACCAGGGAGCGGCTCCAGAAAGGACAGCAACCAATGGCACGCACACGCGCCGCCGAGCACCCCCTCGCAACTATCCTCCTCCTTCAGCCTGCCGCGGCCCCACCCCCGCGCCCCCTCCCTCCCTCGCACTCACTCCGACAGCTCGTGCTTGTACACGAACATGTGGATGTCCGGCAGCGGCAGCCCCTGCGTGTAGGCCGCCTTGTCCGCCGCCCACTTGGCGTGCGCCAGGTCTGCCAGTCGCGTCATCAGCACGGCGGGCGGCAGGGGGGTGCACATGGGGGCGCGCAGGAAGCGGTGCCAGGTGACGGGCAGGGTGGGCTGCAGCAGGGGCGGGGAGGGACGAGGCGGGAGGGAGAGAGGAAGGAGGTTGGAATGGGTGGGAAGCAAGAGGAGGAGGAGGAGGCGGGGTGATGTGGAAAAAGGGTGAAAGGGTGGAAAAAGAGATCATGTACATCTTGCATGGGGATGATGTTACACATTGTTAACAGTACACATGAGTCCCGTGGGTGCATTAATATACCGGTATCCAGTCTTCCACCTACCGGGAAGTCCCCGGACAGGGGCGGAGGTGCCTGCGGGGAGCCCAGCTCGCCCTCCTCCAGCCCCTCATCCTCCGCGGGCGGCCAGCCCCCCTCCGGCCAGGGCAGCTCCCGGGGCAGCAGCCGCCGCAGCTCGTCCTGCACGGCATGCAGCCCGTACAGCCGGGCAGCTGCGGGGGAGGGGTGGCGGGAGGAGGGCCAGTGGCACCCGGTTGAGCGGTTGAGCGCCAGATCTTGTTTTCCGCTCAACTACACACAGACATTACATTCCGAATCGCGGCCACCTTTCTCAACATACGGAAATATGGTCTTGCAGGTGATGCCTGAGCATGACTCGCCAGCCGCTACAAAACCTGCTCCATCCCTCCCTACCATCACCCACACCCCACCACCCCGCCCCGCCCCGCGCCCCCACCCGCCAGGAATGCCCTCCCCGTGCCATGCTCCATGTCCAGCGGCCCGCCCGGCAGCGGCATGAGCGGCACCTCGCCCTCGCGCAGCCCCGCCAGCCACTCGGTGACCGGCATGCCGGCGGACAGGTGCACGAAACGCTTGAACTCCTCCTGCAGGGGGGCCGCGAGGGGGTGCGGAGGGTGGGGGGTGAAGACGAGGAGCGGGGGGCGGGGTGACTTGGGTGAGAGGGTGAGACATGCGGCTGGTTGCCTCCATGAGGTTTCTTCCATATGGGTGGCTGGTCGACCAAGATGAGGCTTACTACACGGACACTTCTGGCAAAGGCCCGGCTGCTCATCCCAGCTTCCTCATTTCTCCCCGCTGCTCCCCGCCTCATGGAGCCCTGCCCTCCCACCCCGCCCTCCCCTCCCCACCAGCTGCTCCGTGACTGCCTCCAGCTCCCTGCTGGTGCCGTCCCGCCGAGCGAACGCAAGCGCTGTGCGGGGCAGCAGGGGAGCGGGGGATCAGAGGATCAGGGGAACAGGGGGCAGGGGAGCGCGGGAGGGCCATCAAGACGGAACATGGAGCCAACACGGAAGGGAACGGGCGGCAGGAGAACAAGGGAGCACTGTGCTGTGCCGATCAACCTTAATGGACAACTCGCTGACCCAACCACCGCAGGAGCCCATGCAGAAGCATAACAGCAGCATGTCCAGCAGCGTCCGACGCACATACTCCCCCAACCCGCCACCTCCACCGCAACCTCATAACCGTCCCATCATCCTTCCAGCACCCTACCCGTCCAGCACCCTACCCACCCACCCACCCAGCATGTCTGCTTGCTCCGTGGCCCGCGCAGTCATCTTGTCCAGCTCCCCCTGCCGCTGCGCCAGCTGCTCCTGCAGCCCAGCCGCCAGCGCCCGCATCTCGTCCAGCCGCGCCGCGTGGTCCGCCCGCATCGCCTCCAGCGCCTCCTCCTTGGCGTGCAGGGCCGCCTCCAGCTCGGCGCGCTGGGCATCCAGCCTGCGGTTGGGGGGAAAGGGAGGGGGAGGGAGGGTCGGGAAAACAAGTAAATGGTAAGTGCAGCAACTGGAGTACAATTCCCATATCCCGACAAATGCAGTGAGCGCATACGGAGAAGGGGGAGGACAAGGATGACATGGCGTTTGCATGGTTCCCAGCCCCCTGAATCCCTGGACCATGCCACGGCCCCGCCCCCGCACTTGGAGTTCCTCTCCGCCCGCTCCGTCTCCAGCGAGATGCGCATCTGGTTGAGATCCCGCTCCAGGAACTCGATGCGCTGGTTGGCGGCGATCAGCAGCGCACGCAGCTGGGAGCGCTCCTGGGGGGGGAGGAGGGCGGCAGCAAGGGGGGACATGGGGGTGGTGGTAATCCGCAGCACAAGGGCGAGGAACTGCATGCACTATATTGGGGATGCGTGAAAAGGAGATGCAGGGTGAGCAGGTGGGAGACAACCTTGGGCCCCCAAGATACCCCTGTGAATGGGCTTCCCAAGGCTTAAACTGGTACCCTTTGCAACCCGACGACCAACCCCCTGCCATGCCGCGTGCCGTACCTTCTCCGCCGCGGCCTCTATCTCCTCCTTCTGCCGCCGCATCGCACGCAGCTTGTTGGCCGCCTCCTCGCGCTGCCTGGCGGCGCAGGCCTCCAGCTCCGCCTCGCGCTGCTGCATAGCCTGTGCGGGGCGGGCGGGAGGGGGGGGGGGGGGGGGGGGGGGGAGGGAGGGAAGGAATGGGACGGGATGGGACTACCGGTATGGGATATCGACTCAGGGTGCTGCCGTAAGGTGCCCCGGCAACGGCAGTGCAGGGTCCGAGTGGTTCGAAACCATCAACATCTCCATCAGCCATGAGCGCCGCGTTCGGAAGGCAGGAAGGCCCACATGCCGTACTACCAGCGTACTACTACCTGCCGCCAGCACCCCAGCTCGCCAGCCACCACTCGCCAGCAGCCCAGCCCAGCCCCTGCCAGCAGCGGCGGCGGCCTCATCCGTCATCACCAGTCCTCACCTGTCGGAGTCGGTCCACCAGCGCGTGCTTGCTACCCGCGTACTGCATCGCGCCCCACAGCTGGTCCATGGTGTCTGACAGGCAGTCCTCGAAGGCGGCGCACAGCTTGGCGCGCACCTGAGAGGGTGAGGAGGGAGGGAGGGAGGTGGGAAGCGTTGGAGGGTGATGGACGGGAGGCGAGCCAGCAGGCACAGGGACAACGCAGGCGGCTGGAGGAGACGGGGCTGAGCGCCGTACAATCCCACGCACCCTTCTGCTCCTTCTGCATCCCACCCGCCATCCCCCCTCCTCCCACTCCTCCCGTTGCTGCACTTTAAATATACCTTCCCCCCTCCTCCCCTCCTTACACTCTCCGCCACCTCGTCTGCAAGCCCCGGCGGCAGCCGCCCGCCGCCCCCCAGCATCCCGCTGAAGCTCACGCGCCCACCCGCGCCGCCCAGCAGGCTGACGCCCCCCAGGCTGCTGCCACCGAAGCTGCGCGCGGAGGCCATGCCGCCCGCTGTCGTGGTGGCGGCGCTGCCCCCCGCGAAGCTGGACATGTTGGACAGCGCTGCAGGCACCAGGTCGTCCAGGAGCGGCGGCGGGTTGGCGGCCTCCTCCATGCGCCGTACCGCGCCCACGCACACCTCCTCCAGCTGCTGCCGCAGCTTGATGAGCACTAGCCGGGCATTGGCCAGGAACCTGGGGTGGAGACGTGGAGTGGACAGGGGGAGAGGTTAGGATCATGGGCGCGTCTGGGAAGAGGTGAGGATCATGGGCGCGTCTGGGAAGAGGTGAGGATCATGGGCGCGTCTGGGCGGGGTTTTGGAGCACGTCCAGAGCTTGGTGAGGATGGTGGGGATGATGATGCCATGCAACGTGACACCGCACATGCCCTGGCTTGGCATGATATCGGTAGCCATCGTGAGAACCGCCTTCCCGCCTACCTGGTGTGCTGCATGACGAGTGGGGGTTCCGGCAGCGGCTCCTCCTCCTCTTCGCCGTTGGCACCTCCGAAGCCCTTTGCACTGGCATTGCTGGCAGCTCGCCTCGAAAAGGACTTCGGGGCATCCAGCCATGCATAGTCGGAGCTTAGCAGCTTGTAAGAGCCAGGAGGAGCGCCAAAGGGGTGCTTCGGACTGCCCCAAGCTTCGGGATGGCCCGGATACATGCCATCCGCAGCACCATCGGCACCAGCCCCGGCTTCGTTCTTATCATTATGCTTAAACAGTTCCGGAGGTGGGGGTGGTGCCGCTTGAAGTAGGCTGGGGTCTTGCAGCTTGAGGTGTAGCGTCTGAAGTGGTCAAGCATGCAAGCGACGTGGGTTGGGGTAGGTCCGAGAACAGCCAATAAGAAGAACCGGCGTCGAACCTAGTTGCGACCCTTGCAGCAAAACTAGGTTTACCCTTATGAAGTGCTGGGCGAAATTTTCCCCGTGGGCCTTCTCCGGCGGACCCTTGTCCGGCACATTAGGAGCCTGTGGCCTCATAGCGTATTGCTGGCAGAAGTCGACGGGAAAAAGCAGCTTCTTCCTAAACTGAATGCAAGCACGTTAACTAACATATCTTTAGTGTTTACATGGCATGCAAGCTTGTAAGTCCGAGGACGGTAGCCAGGTAGTAATACACCATACTATTTGGGCCATATGTAGTCGTATTTATCACCAGATAGTGTTCGTAGTAGAGGCTTTCGTGCGACCCGACGTTAATAATGTCACTTAAGGCCTTCGATATATCTACCACGTCAACACATCACATTGTATACCAACCAGCGTCATTGGGTAAGCTGGAATTCGATACTGTACCGAGCGTCACCCGGTCTGGGCTATGTCGTTAGTGGGTTCGTTATTTGTCGTACTCCCTGCAATCATATGGAGATTGGCGCGCCCCTACCCCGCATATGCCACCCCCGACAGGCAGACGTCCTAATCCAGAACTGGTTATAGACTGACAAGCTTCAGTGGTAGTTGGCCGCAGTCTTCTCCCAAAGTTACCCTTGGAAGGCGCATGCCAACATTGCGGTAACATATACCCGCAAGCGGATTAAGCCCGACCGGCACTGCGGTGGTGCATGCACGTGAAGACGCCGCAGCTACGACCACCTGCAGCTGCTGAACTGGCTGCTTGTGGGTTGGAATGTCTGGGTAGTTGTCTGGATGTATGAGCAGTTACAAGGAATGCCACGGTCACATTACGAATGAGAACAGGATAAGGTGTCATCAATAAGTACGAGCAATCACGCTGCAGTATGGTCTTGGGTCCAGTAATATGGGTTACTACACGATCACTGATGCAGTACAGCGCTACATGTTGCTTTCTCCCGTAAGCATATTCGATGGAAAACTGATGAACAGCCAGGGTCACCGCTGCCGCCATCGCTGTTGCCGCCGCTGCCGCCACTCCCGGACGTGCCGCCCGCCGAGCAGTCCACCTCCCGGTAGGAGAGGCCGATGACGCCGATGTTGAGGTCGGCCAGCTGCGGGGCGAGGTAGGGGGGAAGGGGAAGGAGATCAAGAGATGCCATGGGTTCCAATGGGAGAAGCGGAGAAGGACCAGCTCAGTCGATCAACTTTGCTAATGCACTGGTCTGACATCTTGCGAAGGCACGGAGCTCAGCCCACGTGATGACGTGAATGCCAGCGCAACCCACCTGCTGGAAGGCCTCTTGGGAGATGTCGTTGTGGTTCATGTCGCCGCAGCACCAGCGCTGGTTGCTGTAGGCGTTGTTGGGGTACTGTGCAAGGGAAGGGCAGGCAGATGGGCAGACCTTGATCCACACTGTACACCCGGGAAGAAACTGCCGGTGCATGCAGCTGGCGGCAAGTGCAACTCGTTCAGTATGCAATCAGAAGGTACAGAAGGGTATTAACCCTTGAGTACACCAAGTACACACCTGCTACACTGCTGCACGTCAGGAGTTACCCTCTCACCTTGCAGGGGCATGCATCCACAATTGTAATAATCACGGACTTGCTCTCGTCGTAGCAGGCGTTTGACGTGCAGACTCTGCCCGTAGCCGTCCACAAGGTTGGCGTTGCGGCACATGACCTCGTAACATTTCCTGCATAGGAACAGAGGTTAGGGCGGATCGGGCGGGAAGGAGTGTTGAGGCGTTGACCCACATGGACGAGAGTTGCAAGTGCAAAAGGGCGCTGCGGCCTTTAGGAGCTACATGACGACATCGCCAAGCTACCAACCATAACCAAGGCGTTTCATAACAAGGCTGGTATAATCATGTGTTACCGGTAGTCATCATGACATACTTGAGACACGCGCGATTTACATGGCACAACTTTGCTCACCCGCAGCTCGAGCTGAAGCCGGCTTGCTGGTCAGGCCAAGCCCCAACGTTGCGGCCAGTTGGCGCCCATGAAAAATGGCAGTTCGCCCTGCATCACCGATCACACAGATTAAGAATCGAACGACAACGGAGGCACTGCTTCATGCAAACGTCCACTAGGACAAGAAGGCGACATAGCAGTAATGTTCGTGCCGCTAGACGGCTCTTATGGTATTACTTACTTGCTTATATCGCCAACATCGAACCAGGTTGCCCGAGCGGGAATCCAACCATCATCAGCTGATGCCCCGCACGTAAAGAAGGCGCCGACGAGAAGGAATCCGAGGATAAATTAGCTATCCAAACGTGTCATAACCTGCCTTTATTCGTCCTCGTTCACCCCCATCGCCATGCGCATGGCCTCCACTTCCTCCTGAGAGTACGCGCCTGGCCGTTTTAGGCGCGCGCTGACCTTGTTGGTGGGTGTGTTTACGTCCACGGCCGTGACCTCCATGTCCGAATTCGGATGGAGCGTGAGGGTGACACGCTCCATCCGAATTCGGACATGGAGGTCACGGCCGTGGACCCTCACGCTCCATCCGAATTCGGACATGGAGGTCACGGACGTAAACACACCCATCCGAATTCGGACATGGAGGTCACGGCCGTGGACCCTCACGCTCCATCCGAATTCGGACATGGAGGTCACGGCCGTGGACGTAAACACACCCACCAACAAGGTCAGCGCGCGCCTAAAACGGCCAGGCGCGTACTCTCAGGAGGAAGTGGAGGCCATGCGCATGGCGATGGGGGTGAACGAGGACGAATAAAGGCAGGTTATGACACGTTTGGATAGCTAATTAATTTATTGTTGGATTGAAGGTAAGTGCCCGCTGCTTTTATACCAGCTAGAAGGCTGACTGGGCGTCCCGCTCTCGTCCAACGTCTGTACGAACCTTACGAAATGCGTTTGACGATTTACTGCCGGTGATCGCAACACATGTGGATAAAGGAGTCTTAGAAGGACAGAACCTTCATAGTCCCGGACTGACAGGATACAAGTGTATATGGCAAGATACCATGCTAATGTACGCAGCTGGGCGTAGTTACTTAGCCAGTCAGCTAGGCCCCATGGGAAACGCATCAATCGAGGCACAATTCACGGTGCGGCACATACATGGCACGTGTTAATGTGTTTCAGCACTGCGGGAGTACATCGTTTCCGTCCTACAATCCGGATGTCCCCCATAACACATTCACTCCATGACACCAGTTGGGCTTATGAAAGCATGGTTGCGGATGTGAAAGAACTCAGGAGTAGGCAGATTGTTAGCAGGTTGCAAGCAGCTGGCACGTTGTTGGCGCACACAACACGCAAACCGCAAAATGCGATGTGGGTCGGACAGTAGCGGACCTAGACCTCAAAGCGTAGATAGGCACTAGGCGGCTTAGCGGTAGGTTCGCAGGTTGCTGGCAGGCCAGTGCAAGTGCTTGCCGTTATCCCCTTGGAGTGGTTTGCATACACAAGACACACAAGTAGCAGCATGCAATGTGGGTCGGACAGGGAATGCAACCATGTGCACGTGTCCCCAAGCATGTTCCTATTATTGGCTGCGGGTTACCGTGTAACCCTTGTCGGCACGCACACGACAGCACCGCCGAATTGTATATTTCTCGTTGGAAGAACGCACTTCCCCATATGGGTCACGTGATAAATTATCCATAACAAAGTTCACCACTAAGCCTTGGCGACCTAGTGACGCGGTGAGGTTGGACTTTGGGATACCATTAGCTGCACGCCAGAATGGTGCGTCCGGTGCAAGTACGTGCGATGGTAGAGGGTTGTAGACATGATTTTTACGTACAGGCATTGCGGTAAGGTAATCCCCCCTAGCCCCTCCTGCGCGCGTCGGGCTTGCCCCTGCCTTCGGTTTGCGCCCATCCATGGATGCAAAATATATGAAAGCGCAGCTCTGGCAATAAGTCAGAGTGCTTTTTAATACCAAAGCTGGTGAAGTTTGACCACGCATTTCCTTGTCAAGAAGTCCATGCCCCTTGCATATGACAATTTTGCGCCGAATCAGCTGGGACGAGCAATGGGACGAACGCGGGAGGCCCGCTTTGGCCCTAGCAATACATAAAAAGGCACAGCTTTACGTCAATTTCAGAACAGATTACTTTTGCGACCCATTTGTATTTATTTAGGTCTGACCTAGCGGTGCGACTCCGTGACTTCGCTCGCCGCATACATCTGCGCATCCCTGCGCGAAAGGCAGTCATGACACGAAACAAGGCCCTGGCGTTCTCAACCTCATATCGAAGGCTTCTGGGCGGCATGTTGCTTGCGAGCGGTCTGCTCGCCTGTGCCGCTGATGGCGGATGGACCACCGGCCGGGCAACCTGGTTTGACGTCGGCGATATGAGCAAGTAAGTTGGCGGGCCTTTTGAAACAATCTAAACAAACAGCACGATGTTCGCAGTTACCGAGGATAGTTAACGTTTCGTCCTAACCCATGAGAGGAATGTCGTTCGCATTTACTGTAAGCAGCGAGTCATTCCAACACTTGGACCTGTACGCGCAGGGCGAATTGCCATTACTCCTGGTCACCAACTGGTCGGAACGTGGGAGCATGGCCAGATCAACAGTCTGGATTCAGCTCAAGTTGCGGGTAAGCATGCTTGGTGCAGCGCTAACCCCCATCTACCTACTTCTGAGGAAACGTTCGGAAATTGAAATACTTAGTTTTTCAGGCACGCCACAGCTGTCTCTCATTTCCGTCGTCCCCTTCTCGTCCAGGAAATGTTACGAGGTCAAGTGCCGCAACGCCAACTTCGTGGACGGCTACGGCCAGAGCCTGCAACGCTCAAACGCTTGCTACGACGAGAGCAAGTCCGTAATCATAACAATCGTCGATGCCTGCCCCTGCAAGGTAAGACGTTCCTACGGCGTCGTGTGCGTGTTCCTTGAGCAACGTCTGGTGGATTTATGGGATGGGGATCGTAACCTGCAAGTTCCTGTTCCTGTTCTTGTTTTACAATGCGTACCCGGTACATACAGCGTAACCACTGCTAACGCTCGTCCGTTTTCACGCCCTTGCGCAGTACCCCAACAACGCCTACAGCAACCAGCGCTGGTGCTGCGGCGACATGAACCACATCGACATCTCCCAAGAGGCCTTCCAGCAGGTGGGGTGCGCCGACAGCCACGTGGGCTCAGCTCCGTGCCGCAGCAAGCTAGCATGTGTGCATGTCAGCCCAGTACCTAAACAATCCTCTAGTCG